TATAAACCACATGTAGCATCAGTAAATCACATTCTACAAACCATTGGGTGGAAAAAACATGTATTTTGGCCTCAAAATACGTATATTAATCCAGTGCCGCCAGTGACCATTATCAACAACACCAACCAACAAACCAAACCAAATCAAAGAATCACACATTCAATCAATCAAAAACCCTGCAAGCAGATCCTAATAACCTCCGACAGCATATACCTGTAGCTGACTCATGCCTTCTCCCATATAGTCTTAACCACTCTCAATTAACCTCATACCTCTCTATATCCTGCTCCACGTCATCTCACTTTAATGTAGTACACAAACACAACTTCAATCAAGTTTTCTATCAACGAAAAACCTCAACACGTGACTTCCTTACCTTATCGACACATCTCCAATGACAGTCTATACACACCAATTCCAACCAATTTCAACCACAAATCATACTTCTTCTCCCTTAAACAACAACAACCCTCCCCACTGCTGCAAAAAAAAATTATCCAGAGAGGTATAGGGATCAATTAGAATTAAAATGATACAACTTGGAAGGAGTTTGTCCCACTGGGTGGTTAGTTATGCTGTGTTAAAGTCGCGACAATAGATTAGTGGAACATATACGAACTAGTAAGCGTTAAATAATTTGTTCAATTTGCAGAGCTTTTAAGCCTGAATACAAAGGAATTGGTGACCTTCCATATCAAAAAGAAATTTTGGGCTCTATGTTGTTGGTCACCATTTGTGGAATCGCGAACTTGTACTTGAAGCTTGAGCCAGGGTCATTAGTTGGCTGTTGAACCCACTACAGTTGTGCTAATTCATAACTCATCTAAAGTATATACTAATTTTTCTTCTATGTACAATTCAAAAATAACTAAAATTAAAACCTAACTATAAAAATCCAACTTTTTTGCAGTTTGATGATCTATCAAATCGTCACACTCTATTTAGTAAACAACTTGTCAAAAGTTGGGATCAAAGATTGAGCCAAGGCAAATGAAAACACTAATTTAGGACCAGTGGTTAATAATTTTGGAGTTAAACCTTTGAAGAAAGCAGTGATACCTTCATTCTTGGCCATATTTTTCAAAATAGTGAAACCTGACTCTGGGTTTTCGAAATTTCTGTTCTGGATTCTTGTCTTGATGACATCTAATGGAGCACTAACGATTAAAGAAGCAGAAGCACCAAAGATTGAACTGACAAAGTTTTGACTCCAAGTAGCTTGAGAATAATCCTTTAAACCTAAGACATATTCTTTAGCAAAAGCATTACCACCGAAAAGAGCGAAAGAACCTGGAGCATTTCTAGCAGCAGTCCAACCCCAACCTCTATACAAACCAAGACCTTCATCTGATAAGATTTTGATGAAACCACGACCTCTGAAAGCTTCTGGGTTTGTTTGTCTTTTAATTTTCAAGACATCTAAAGGTAATAAAACAACTTCACCAATACCGATGATTGAACCAGCAGTGGCAGACATTAAAGCCTTACCTGTTTTTGGACCAAAGTTATCTTCAAATGAAGATTTGAAGTTTTTGTTTAAAAATTCATTAGCGAAAGGTTGACCACCATATTTATAAACTCTTTGTAAAATTTTATAAACAGCAGCATAACCTAAACCTGGAAATAAAGTGAATACTCTTTTACCAAAAGCTTCAGCAGCGTGGTCTCTGAAAATAACTGAGTTCAATTGAGATAAATTTGTAACTTTAGTAGAATTACTCATTAATCTTTTGGAAATGGTATCAACAGGATGGAAGACACCAATTTCACAGATACCTGCACTGGCAGAACCTAAGACTCTTGCGAGACCTGATTGTTTCTTGTCTGTTGTTGAGTGAGCAGCTGGAGACATTTGGGTAGTGAACTTCTAGTTGAGTAATGCCTTTTGAACTGGATGGTTGTTTTCGTTGTTTAGTCATTTTCCAGATTTTTTCAAGGATTTTTTTTTTCCTCTTCGATTTGGCGAAAGGGAAAAATAATCGATAAGGCTTTGGGCTTGAAAATTTTGGGTGTGGAAGGGATTTACCAATTGTATTTCTTAGGAGCTTTTTTATTTGTAATTCTTTTGTCTAATGGTGCTTATTGGGTTATCAATCTAATGGTCCTGAAGTCTCTGTTTCTGATCACTTTGACGGGATCAGTGCCAGATTAATTAATTCTTAATTAATCCACACCATATGGCCATAAAAGCATAGTTCAAATTGGAAATACACTATTCTAGTAATTCATAATCCGTATTCAACATAATCAACACCTTTTTACCGTTTAATTCTCATCTTAACCCTACTATTTTCTGTCTGCACAAGTGCGCTGCCACGGCGTGTGCACCAGAGCTCGAATTCGCGAATTTCCTTTCTGTTCAAAAAAAGTTTTGAAACGAGAATTTGTTTTCTTCTTCCCACAACAACAACGAGTCAAAAAGACATCGACAAACTCATTGAATTGAATCGATATCATTTTGGTCGAGGTTCACAGAATTGGAATCAATAAGTTCTGATACTTGCCCCCTTTTTTTGTTTGTCTTTTGATTATTAGAGAGTTGTTCACATTGTGGCAAATAATAAGACATTATTATACCCATTCTTATAGATATATCCTCTGGGCTTACCCTTTTTAAATTCTATTCTTTTTGTTTTACACTATTCTTAGTTTATTCTATACCTATATAAAAATACTTTTAATACATTGTTCTTTACTCAGAACTTGTTCAAAAGAATAACAACTAAGCTATAAAACAAAAACAAGATACAAAAACAGCTCATTTTCCTTGCTTTTGCTCTTTAATAATGTCCACCCCAGAAGACCTTGAAGCCATTGGTGAAGATTTCTACAGCTCGTTGAACGACCTGACGTTTAATTCTAGACCAATCATATCAACTTTGACCATTATTGCTCAAGAGAATGTTCAAGCTGCACCATACATAACAAGATCTGTAGAAAGAAGAATTGAAAAAGTGAGTATAATAACTAACCAATTGAAAATAGTGAAACTAACTTTTTAGGCTGTTCCAAATCAGAAATTATTTGCATTTTACTTGTTAGATTCAATATCGAAGAACGTTGGAAGTCCTTACACTTTATTATTTGGTCAAAAACTTTATCATACTTTTATCAATGCCTTTTTGTTGGTTGATGATGCCAACAGAAGAAAATTCATAGATTTATTCAAAACTTGGAAATTTGCTAAAACTTCAAGTGGTGCTCCTTTATTTCCTGAAGATCCGATCAATAAGATTGAACATTTTTTAATCAAGGCTAGCTCAATATATCAAAGCTCTGCACCTCAACAAAAACTTCAAAGAAACTCACCAACTCCTCAATTTCAACAACAACAACCTCCACAACAACAACAACCTAATGTCTTATCTTTAATTCCAACAGTTGATCATTTATTAGAACTGACAACTCAAAGACAGAAATTGAATCCAAATGATGAAACAATTACTATGAAACTTCAAATCATCAATCAATTAAAAGTTGTTATCCAATCTGAACAAATGAATCAACAGCAATTTTTACAAGTCAAGAGTCAATTAGATGATATGACCAAATTGGAGGAATCTTTTATCAAGAAAAATTCACCAAAACCTCAAGCTAGTGCATTACAATCATTGTTAAAACCATCACCTAGTCCTATCCCTATATTGACTGATAGCTCAAAGAATCCATTAGGTCTATTAAACAATGTACTCAATTTGAAACCACCGAAAAAGGATCTATCTTCATTGATTTCCAATTTGGAACAAAAAGGTTTAATGAAACAATCCCAATCAGTTAATAAACCATCAATCCCTTCAAACTCTGTACTTCAATCATTATTATCAAAACCTTCATCGAATACATCACCAACTGTACCATCATCAACAACTACACAAGAATCTTCAAATCCTTTCAAATCTTTCAAACTAGATTCAAAACTAACAACAGATACAACAGAAATTTACGTAAAATTCTTCATCACTTCAAAACCAAACAAATGTGGTACTTGTGGTAAAAGATTTTCAGAATCTATCAAAGGCCAAGCAGAACGTCGTGCTCATTTAGATTGGCATTTCCGTATAAACAAACGTTTGAAAGAGTCCAAAATCATTCAATCTAGGGCATGGTATGTTGATGATGATGATTTTTGTAAGTTTAGAGATTGGGAGATTTTCAATGGTGGTGATCAAGATAAACAAGATGTTAAAGTTGAAGAGAAGAAGGAAAGAAAATATGTTGTTGTCCCTGAAGGTAGTAATGATATGAATTGTGTTTGTGGTGTTTGTAAGGAAACTATTAAGGCTGTTTTCAGTGATGATTTAGGTGAATGGATTTGGGATGGTGCTGTGATGAAGCAAGGTCGTGTTTTTCATGAGAATTGTTATGAAGAGAGTTCAAAGAATAGTAATGGTAATGGAAGTTTGATATCTGGATTGATTAAAAGAGAACGTGAAGTTGATTTTGGAATGTTGAAAGATATTGTAAAGAATGTTAAGTTGAATCCTACAACGTGATGAAAGTATTAATGTACTCAACAATAGATGTTTGTATCATTTTTGATTCGTATAATTTGTAGAGTATCTACATCATGTCGTTTTGTTTAATATATACAAATGTGTTTGCATTTCTATAAAAGGAAACATCTCAACAACGTACAAAAGATCCATCAGGTAATCTTCGAAACGAATCAAGTGCAATATCTGGTGGATTAGCTTCTTCCCTAGCTTTCTTTATAGCTTTTCCTTGCACGAGCTTAATTATAAAACAAACACCATAGTAAGCACCTAGAATAAGAAAAACACTTGTAAATCATGTTAGTACACTGAATCTTCCCACACTTTATCCAAAATACTTACTGTATACCTGGAGTATAAGCCAATGTAGCAGCCCCTAAAAACTTGTAGAATCCCTTATGTAAAATTGTAATTTTGAACTTCTCCCTGAAAGAATAGTTCCTACTCAAATCTAATTCATACCATAATGCAATCAAATCATCACTAAACTTGGAAACAAATGGAGTCAATAGCCAGCCAAACATGAATGCAGCATATGAATAAATTGAAACCAAAAAAAATATAACAAGAGGATCTGAAAAAAACTTGATGGAGCAGGATTTTGTGTTTGATCTTTCCTCTATTGTGAAGTTTGAAAGGTTAGATGGGTTTGGAAAAGACCTTTTGTACAATATGGAGATATTTTTTATCTTTTGGGTATGATCAGTATTAGTAGATTCAATAACTACTTTGGATTTAATTGATTCCGGTAAGTTGAGATTGAAATTGATATTGCTTAAACCCATATGTTTTTCAATTATATTTGAGTTTGAAAGAACTGAATCATTAGATGAGGCAAGCAATCCGGTACTTGTTATATTGTCATTACCTCTGCTCGTAATTGTGGATGGTAATGTTGGAATAGGTGCTGCTTCGATTTTGGATATGAAATGAACTGTTAGAGTTTGGAAAATAAACGATGAGAGCTTCATTGTAATAATCGCTTGAGGATAGTGAGCTGAAAGGGAAGTGTATAGCTTTGACATGGAGTTTTGATCACTTATATAGACTTTTCCAATAAACAGAAAACATCTCAAAGGAGCAAATTCTGAACAGAAAACCGAACACTATAGGCATTTAATCACATCAACCACAATCTGATATCAGATCCCTTGATGTGAGTTGATTCAGATAAGAATAACCACAAATTACCCATTGGTTTAGTAGATAATTTGACCCTACCCTTGGAATTATATAGTAGCTTTCATCAGTAACGCTTGACCATCCAAATCATCAAAAACAAAAGCAGCAACAGATAATCATGCTAAGTCATTGTGCATTCATACAGGCCAGTGCACAACCTTTGGCAATGATTGCCCTGTCATCTTTCCCAATAAATCTTTCATTAAACAGGAAAATTGGGTTGTATGAGTATTATTTTTCCAACATCGACTATATTTTTCATCTCGAAGGTCAGCTGACTTTGTAAACGGAACAACTACAACACAGCTATTCATTTCTCCATTAAACTTATATTTAGCAAGAAGCCCTCGCATTCAATAAGTATGCTGTATATTCTAGTATATGAATATTATTTAGGCAGCTAATTTTCATGGAAGTATTGTTCCGTTTAATTTAGTTCCGTGATCTAGTTTCAAACCTTCTTCACAAGGAAAGTTCTCATTATTTCTCGAATTATCATAGACTTGCAGTTCTTTGGATAGTGCAGCCTCACTAAACTCCTGATGTAGATGATGGTGTAACTTCTTACATCCATCGATTAATATGTCTTTGAGACTTGAATCAAAACCTGGAAGTTCATGATTGTGCAAGCCTGATTCAGGTATTAAGTGGCACTGTATATAAATGATCTTGATACATGTTTCCAAATTACCTAGGTCAAATCACTCATTATTACAGTACACCACATCTCTTGGATCCAACCCATTTTCTTTGAAAAACAAATAATGTTGAAGGAGATTCAATCGACACAAAGGACATTGAATATTACCACCAACCCTTTGCCTCATGATATGTCCAGTTGCTGGAAGGAATCTTCGATAAGAACCTGCAAAGTTACCATGCGTCAATAAACATTCAAAATGGAAGTGATGGCCACATGGTAAAAGTATTATTTCTGAGTCTTTCTCAAACTCGTCAATACAAATAGGACACTCCTCTGAAGGGATGAAAGAATTTGAATCTAGTTTGTGTAGGTTTCGAAATATCAAAACTTTATTGAAACTCGATTTTGTTAAGATGAAATCATATTCAAATGAAAATTTTGAATCTGGAGCTGCTTTAAAATTATCAATATCAGTTCTTGTGACTTTTATATTCAAATCTCTTTCCAACAAATCATGAAAAATAATACCAACGCCAATCTTTAATGAATCTTGGCCCATAGTTTCACAAACACGATTGTAAATCAAAATTGTACAAAACAATAAAATCCACCTTCATCAATGTTAGTACATCAATATCACTCAAAACAAAGAAATACTCACGGCATAGACACGACAACACCAATATTAACCAATATGAACTCAAAGGTACACTTATTAAACAGTTTGTAGTAAACTTTAGAAGGTAACCACCAATTTTCCTTATCAATAATTCTCCATCTTGTCAACATCCTTCTATAATTATTCTCCACAATAAATGAATTCAAGAATTTGATAGCAAATATGAATGAAAAAAACAAATAGGAAGTGAAAACAATGACAATCAAATCTGTTTGTTCTTTATTTGATGCTAAAAATCGCACAAGTGATGCAGAATAGTCTGTCCTTACATCACTTAGGGCATCCACTAGTCTTTTGAAATTCATTGCAAGGAGTGTGGCTGCTGTAATTTAATAAATACTATAGACAGCACTGGATATACCATTTTCCAATAGATCTAAATGATAGATCAAGCAGTAATTCTGAATTACAAGTTTTGGAATATGAGTTGTTTTTGACGTGTTCTCTTGACTTGATCAAGACAAAAAAAAGTTCGCGCAGTGCTATTGACCCGTCTTTGATGTCAGTAAGTGAAGCTTTAAAGAATGTAGTGTCAAAAAGGCAGTCGTCATATTAAATAACGATAATTCAAACTTAAAGCAACCCTATGGATTAAACATTACGCGTCCTTATATGAACTGATGGAGATTAAGTTGACAGCAACTTCAAGTTGAGATTGTATATGGCAAAAATAAATAGAATCTAAAACTATTTACTTCAATTATTGTATCCTGTATTGAGATATTCAATCTCGTTTGGATCCAACCCATATTCTTTATAAAACAAAAAATGCCTTAAAAGATTCAATTGACATAGTGGGCATCTAGTATTGAAAACATTGCTATATCTTTGTAAGTGTGAAGTACCCTCAATACGATTTTGTCTTCCAGTCACATATTTCATATCCTCCATACAATCATAGTGACAATAATGCTTACATGGCATCAACAGCACATTAACGTCATCCAGGTACTCTTCAAGACAAACAACACAGAATGGCTCCTTTGAAATTTCTGGATAATTCTCCATCAATTCTTTGAATTTCAAAATCTTGTTGAAACTTAATTCTGGAATGAGATAATCAAACTTCCTAGCATTTGGTGTATTGTAAGCTGGAACAAATGAGTCAACATCTTTTCTTGTAACTCTTGTAAAAGTTTTGTTTCTATCAATACCTTGATTGTTGTAACCATTTACATAAATTACAGCTGGTGCTTCATTTTCTTCATCATTGAATAGCTGTTTCCCAATAATATGTTCAATAGTAACCACAACAAAGAGAGTCAAGAGAAAAATCACAATGGAGCTAAATTGGATGTTAGAAACTCATCAAAACTGACCAAAAAAAAAATTCACAATACTCACGGTAAACCTAACGTTAAAGAGATGATGCAAGATGAAAAAAAGAATAGAGAATCTTTTGAAAAAAACAGGTCATGAAATTTTTGACTCTTGGTAATGTCACCCCTTATCACCAACCTTGTCAACCTTCTATACTTTGCTCTAAATCTTCTGAAACTCAGCGCACATATTTCAAGAAGAGCGACCGCAATGAATAACGAAAAAAACACCACAGAAATACCAACTACCACGAAAGCAAATGTTCTCATCATCCATTTCCCATCATCACCAATCCTTGGTGAATCACAAGGTGATGAACCATTTAAATGTTTAATCTTTTCAACATACGCTATGAATTCAGGGTGATAACTCTCTGGTGGGAGATCCTCAGATGTTAATAAATCCCAATCAATATCACCAAGTTTTCTGTATATTGTACAATCATCCTTTGCAAAAAATTCTTCAATCTCTTGTTGATTTGTAGGTTCTGTCTTATAATTGAAAAACGGGAACGCTGATGGTGCTCCCAAAATGGGATTTAATGTTGTTGATAGAAGTATCCCAGATACTACAATTGTAAGAGTACCGAGCCGCATGTTTGAAGTCTTGTGATTTTGAGTATAGTGTTTATGATATTGGAAATTGATGGTGGTTATAATCATTTTTATAAAAAAAACCCTGATGAACAGAAAAAATGTAATGATGACAGAAAAAACTATGATCTAGTAAAACAACAGCAGAATTGGGTCTTGTGAGATCTTTAGTCATGCAGGTTAGGTAATTACCTACAGCAGTTTTCTTTGCGAAAGATGTTGATGAGCGAAGAGCTTTGATCAGATTGTGACAACCTCAAACCTTCTCTGAACAGCACGATCCCAACCGCTAATGGGTAATTAATTCATGTATTTCCCATGGTATCCTCTAATGATATTCTGATTTATAACTTCCAGGGATCACTATCAATGGTTCATTTCAGAATTAGCAGCTTTGGTGTTTGGCTTCTGTTTGTACTTGATAATCAAAAGAGATGAAGCGTTAACCGTTATTAAGTTTTAACTCACTTTTTTTAGATCTCTGGTTGATTGACCCGATGGAAATGGCAGCAGTGTAAAAGTTCAAAAAACATTGAAAGGAAGATATAAGCGAAGAACCATATCGATCGGGTTGAATTGAATAATAATTGTATAAGATCCAAAGATTAGTATCTAGTACTCTTGAGCTATTTGAACACAAGGCTATCGACTTATAAGGAGTCAAATAAATATCACTAGTTGATGCAGAGCTCATTGTACAACCTTGATTGGAATTGTTAAGGGCTCAGAAGTCTTTTAAAGTACATGTACAATATCGTTATAAGCATCATCTTTAACAAAACCAATCTCAACATCTAATTATCAAACTTCAAATCACCACTAGATCAGCAGAGCTATTAATCCAAGATACCCATCCTCTCTTGCACCACCACATCATTCCTGGTTTTCACCCTTATGGATCCGTATCGGTAATAGAATTAACCCATGAACCTCCACCACTATTCCAACCCAAAATCATAATTAACTCGGACCAGTTTGAACCAATACTAGTGGTGCAAACTCCTCCAAATTTTACAAAATGCTTAAATATCTCAGCCCTTCCAAGGCGCCCCCACCGCCCCGCTCCCTGATTCCCCCACTACCGCCAAAGAGGGACAGCCACGTGATCTGCAAATTAATTATGTAATACATTATGTCATCTACAGTAGTATAACAATGTGAATATACCACTTTATTCAAATATTTGTGTTATATACAACTTATTTTTGACCCAAACATTTCAAGATATCACCCCAGACTTTCTTTGGAGCTTGGCTAGCATCGACACCACTCCAGATACCAGTTTTCTTGTAGTATTCAACAATTGGTTCGGTTTGTTTATGATAAGTAACTAATCTTTTAGTTAAGGCATCAGCGTTATCATCAGATCTTTGGATTAAAGGTTCACCAGTTATATCATCTTTCATTTCAACTTTTGGAGGGTTGAATAATCTATGATATGAACGACCAGAAGATGGATGAACTAATCTACCTGTGATTCTTGCAATTAATAATTCATCATCAATTTTCAATTCAACAGCAGATTCTAAAGGTTTGTTTTTTTCTTTCAACATTGAATCTAATTTCTCAGCTTGTGGGATAGTTCTTGGGAACCCATCCAAGATGAAACCTTTTGAACACTCAGGATTTGAATCTAATTCAGATTTAATCATATTAACCATGATATCATCACTAACTAAACCACCTTGATCCATGATTTTTTTAGCTTCAATACCTAATTCGGTTTTCTTAGCAACTTGAGATCTTAACATATCACCAGTAGCTAAATGACAAGCACAAAATTTTTCTTTTAAATTTGGAGCTTGAGTACCTTTACCAGCACCTGGTGGACCGATTAAAACCATTCTAATTGAGTTTGGAACAACTGGAACTAAGCCAGCTTTTTGTTCCAATGAGACAATACGGTCTTGTAATTTGTGGACAAGGTCTTTTAATTCATCAATTGAGGACATGATGGTTGATTGATTGTTGATGTTGTGAATACAATAGTTACTTGTTTAGTTTTGACGTCGAGATTTTTTTTTCGTTCTTGAAATCCTTGATTTTTTGTTGGTTCAAATCTTGATCGGATCAAAGAGGGTGCAGGGCTTCAAACCGGGGAGTTTGATTGAATGAAGATGTTGATGATGGATTGTGATTGGTGATGGTATGATAGTAAAATGGTTAGTTATGTCCTTCCTTTTCACTCTGACTAAATTGGTTGTTGTATTCAAAAGCCATTTTCAACATCTTCAAAGTCATCGGGATTAAAATGCTTTTGACACAACAAAAAATGAGCAGTACAACGTGAAGATAAAGCCCAATGATCTCAATTATGGGCAAATATACTGTCTTAACTCGCCATTCCTCGATCTATAACTCTCAATACCAAAATAAAATACACCAATTCAACTATTTAGTGTATTTTAACATCTTCGCTTTATTTCGAAATTTACCCTCTCTTTCACTAAACCCAAATTTCATGTCAAAGTTCAGAAGTAAATAAAAAGTGATTTGTAAATGTTCTCACAAGTCAATCAATCTAACCAATAACTAAACTAAATATTCAATCTTTACGAAAATGGGATTTCTGGAAAGAAGACAATCTAAAAGAGTATGTGTGTTTTTAACTTACATCCCATTGTATGGGGTTAACTAAAAAGAGAGGCACTAACAAAAAAATAGAATAAGACTCCAGACTTGTCAAGGTATTCACAATATCAATCGCCTTCATCAAGAAATGGTTCATTATCTACAAATGCAGCAAGTAGTGCTCTCAGAACTTATTCTTTAACAAATAATCCAACTTCAAACCATGGTGGATTCGGTGGTTATGAAAGAAGTAATTCATTAAGTGGATATGATCGATCAAATTCATTTTCAAGTTTTAATTCATTTTCTCAAGGTCGTTCAAATTCAATAAATTCAAGATCAAATTCTTTAATGTCGAATAATCCTAGAATGAACTCGATGGGATCAAATTCATTAAGATCAAATCAAGGAACAAGAACAGGTGAACCTCAAATCATAATTCATACAACAAGGACAATGGATGAACATGGTCGTTTGAAATCAATAACTACGGAGACTATAAGGAAGTATGGAAGTTTTGAACTGGTCAAGACTGAAACAAAACCAATGAATAATAATCAACCTTCTCCAAGAAGATCACTAGGATTATCACCACCTCCTATGATTAAATATGCAAATAGTTTGACTAGTCAAGAGTTGGAGAGTATAGCTGAAGAGGAGGAGATTCATCCATACAAGAGATTGATTATTAGTGATAAGGCTAAAGAAGAGGTAGTTGATGAGAACGATGATGATGATGAAAGTGGTGATAGTATTTATAGTGATGCTCTGGAAGCTTTACCTAAATCAGAATCTCCCAAAAAGTTGAAACCTGCTTTGAAAATCAATAAAGCTGGTAATAATTATAGTGATGGTGAGAAAATCACAGAGAATATTGGATCAGGTGCTAGTAGTGTTAGGAAAAGGGTTAGTATTGAAGATATAAAGAGTCATGATAATCATAGTATCAATACCAATAATGGTGGATATAACGATTGGTTTAGAAAAGATGGGTACCAGTTTGGAGCTGAGCATCATAATAAGAAGAGTGTTAGTGCTGATGAGATGTATGAAAGGGCATATGAAGTTGCGATGAAGAAAGTTTATGGAGATAATAATAATAGAACAACTACCACACCTGTTTTCAAAAGCCATAGTCTAAGAACATCCTCATTACCAACAACAATACCCACCACTCATACTAATGAGCCACCATCCAAACCCAAAACAGGTTTATTCAAGAAGCTCAGCAAAGTGTTTAGGAAAAAACAATAGTTCTATGATGCTGATGAGGTAATCACCACCCTATTGCTTACGTAACTATTGTTACCGTGGTGTCAGACGGTGGAGTCCGACCGTTCGCGGATAAACGATTTTGGCGCCGAGGAGGAGACTCTTCCCCTCTGTTGTGGATTATTTAAAAAGGCTGTTGGAATCCGTTTGAAGAGGAATCTTTTTTTTGGATATTCTGTATAGAAGCCCATTATGCCACCTCAGAGACGCTACATTTGCTCGTTCTGTGCCAGACCCTTCTCGAGATCAGAGCACAAGGCCAGACACGAGAGATCCCACACCAAGGAGAAGCCTTTCCACTGCCATCAATGTGAATCTTCGTTTGTTAGAAGAGATTTGTTGCAACGTCATTTGAGAACGGTCCATGCTAAGGATAAGCTACATCTACAGAAACAGGTTTATCATAAGGAAGAGACTGCTGCTGCTGCTACTACTGTTGCTCAGGTGCCTCAAAGAGAAGTTGTTGCTGAGAATTTCAATTATAAAGATATATTCCATTACAATGATCAAACAAACGTCATATCTCTGTTGACACTTTCAAAGAGATTTGAATCCATACCTTCACCATCCTCAAAATCTTCATCAATCTTTTTAACGTGGGCAACAATATCAAATAATAAACTACCCATTGTTTCAAATGATCAATTGGGTTCAATGTCTAGTGATTCTAATTTATTGTATGCTTTGCTAGCATTTGGATCAATAGATTTGGAGAATAACCTAGATTGTATTCATTTCATTCAAAAATCCTGGGGTTTGATCTTAAAACAACAATTTGATCATGATCAAATCATTCAAGCATTAACAATCATTGCATATATTTACTTAGAACATTACCATTCATTGAAAAACACCCAAGCTGATTTGATCCCAATCGAAATCATAATGGATTATCTTGATCAAAATATTATGAAATGTTTATCTTCCTCGTCTAATTGCTTATTCAACTATTGGTTTGTTTTCAACATTTTATCCAAATTTTCATTTCAGTACAATAAATCACCAGCAAAATGTCACTCTATATTCCTAACCAAGAAAATTTCAAATCATTCAAATTGTTCATTATCTAGTTTTTTGCAAAACTTGTCAATATCTTCAAATTCATTCCCTAAAGCTGAAGCAAATGATTTGGACTCTTTATTATCTCAAGAAATTATCATTTATGCATTGGCTAATGAATTGCAATCAATCAGATTCAACACACCAAATGAATACCATTCAAGAGAAGTTTTGCATAACTCTATCATTATGGTTAATAAGGCTTTTAATTCTTCAAGTCAAACTTCACATTCATCATTGGTGGAAATTTCCAAAAAATCATTATTATTAAACTGTCCATTAAAATTTCAAGATTTATTAACGGATTATATAACACCACCAACATTATCAATCCATTGGTTTTTGCTTCAAATCACCTTGAGGGAATTTAATATGGAGTATAATCCAACTTGTCTTTCACATTTACATCAACTATCATCTCAACAAGCTACAATTACATTAACAAATTATCTAAACAATTTAAGAATTGGTAAGATTGTTAATAATTTAGGTATTACTGGATTTGTTGTATTATTTTTAGGGTTTTTGAAAATTCCAATCAATGATGAATTACAAAATTCAATTGATTTTAAAATTTTCATTGTGGAGAATTTTATGATTTTGATTAAAATTATTGAAGGGTTTGAAATTAATAATGGTTCAAGGGTTAATGAATGGGATAACCCAATAATACAATGTTTGAACTACATCATTTCAGAAATGGGTGTGACAAACTCTTCATCATCATCTTCTTTTGAACAACCAACTATGGAGATGGTTACAAATCTGAAGAAGAATTTAGAATTAAATTTTAAAAATTGGTTACATTTATTGAAATTCAATGAAATTTGGCAAATTGATGATATTTCAAATTCAATATTTGATCATCATTCAATAATATCACCTTTAGGAAGTCATGTTAATTCACCAAATTCAAACAATTATATAATTGATCATCATGATCAATATTCAAAATCATTTTCCCATCAAATGTATAGAGGTGGTTCAATGAGTTCTGTTGGTTCAAATAGTGGTTATAATAATGAAAATATTGGAATGGAGAAGATTAAATTGCCTCCTATTAATGTTTTGAAACAAAATGCTGCAAACGTGGGGAATAATAATGGAAGAATAGTTTCAAGTTTACCTGTTGATAGATTCAATTGGTGATGAACTAGAGGCTGTTGAAGTTGATTTGAAATTATGATGTCTTATTTATTTATTACATTGAAAATTTAATATTCTTTATTGAAATTATATTGTGTCTGTATTTTAGCGTGCGCCTTCTCTATCTTTCATATTGGCAGCTAGCTGCGATTTCTTAAGTTGAATTTTAAGACGAAAAATACTACACCAATAATCTATTCTACCATAGCTATATTATACTAAAATGAGACGCTTTATTGAATTAGCTAACTGAATACTTGGTACTTGATATAAAAAATCAAAAAAATTCGTCAATCAAAGGTTTCAGCTAGAGGTTTCAACTCATGCTTTATTACCTCCAAAGACGTAGTAATATAACAACCATGTAAATGAAGTGATAATGGTAGAGATCATTTCTCTTTGAAACATCTCTAATGGGTCAACCATAGCTGGATAGTTTGATGGTATTTCCCATAATCCAGTTTTCAAAGCTCGTAAACCAAAGCGGATCATGCTTTCGAACAAGAAAACCAGGCCATAGTACCTAGTAGATGGCACTATGGTAAGCACTATTGATACAATGGCAATGGTTGTCGGAATCAATGAATAACTATACCATCTTGGAATTTGAAAACAGTGATGGTCGTTCTGATTTAATTCATCTTCTTGAATAGCAGGTCTGACAAGGTTTTGGATGTATAGTTGGTTGACAAGGTTTGGGATGTATAGTTGTTGGTCGTCACCATTAGCTTCACCACCACCATTAACTTGACCACCAGTAGCTTCAACTTGACCACCAGTAGCTTCACCACCACCATTAACTTGACCACCAGTAGCTTGACCACCATTGGAGGATCTAACATCATTCATGATGTAGTGTTGGTGATTCATCATGCTTAACTAGTTACATATTATAAGCTTGACAAAATAGTACAAACTGGATCAATGAAGTTTAAATATAATTACCATGTACATCTTTGTGTCACAATTTTTTTTACAAAACAAGTGCCGCGAGCACTAGCAGATTGAAAATTACAAATATGAAAGGATGTTGATATTTATATTTAAATATACAAGTGAGTGAGTTTAGCCTTCGGCTTGCAAGATGTGGAGGAAAAGCTATAGACAGCTATATTACACAACTTTTTATATGACAACCTTGTTAACTATGTTGAATGGTGTTATATGAGATGATGAATTTCCGGATATTGTCGGTATTATCGGGGATAACATAATCAACATAGAAGAGTTCGTGCTTAAAGCATTTCTTCCTTGTAGTGCATAATATGTTATTGTATACAAAAAAAAAAGAATCCTAGATGTCGTTTATCTAAAATATACACAGGTATAAAAGAAAGCTGGTTTGTTTTGATAAACTTTTCCATCGATTGACTCGGAACTGACCATTTACCCTCATGACCTGTGATATTACCTGACGCGTCGTCGTCAAGATAGCTTCAGATTGAAAAGTAGATGCACGTAAGAATGTCAGAGAATATATGGTTTAGAATAAGGAAATATGGCAAAGGTGGCCATGTTCATGTTTGCTATATGGAAATAGGGAGCATTCTACCTATGTTGAATCCATGTTGAATCGTGTATAGTTTTGTATAATAGGTGAGAGAGAGAGAGAGACTGTGAGATTAAGAGACTAGATATAGACTCTGTGATACACTTTAAAGTCTGTTATCAGTACTGTTGAATGTTGAATATAGGTTTAATTGTTATACAATTTGATCTTCTGATTATTACACCCTAGTTATTTTATGGTTCTAACAAAGTAAAAGCCAAGCTGCTTTACTCCTGGTTAACGGTAATGATATCGACATATGTACTCAGCAGCTTGGAAACTTGAGTATCCATTTGAAAAGGATAAATTTCCAACATTTGCATTAAAATCTTATTTACATGACAGCCCTGAAACATTGAGATACGAGCTTTTGAGTTGTATGAATCCATTATAATACCCAGCACCATAGCCATCACTTTTTATTTTCTTGGTACGAAAAGATAGCAAAAATCCGCGAATGAAGCTGGCTGTTAGGATACACACATATAGAAGAGCTGAATAAAGGTAATGACCGCGAACATCAAAAGTATATAAACCAAAGGAAAGAATAGGAAATGTATAATCTAGAAATAAACATCATCGAAGCTGACAAGGAATAAAGTGAACAGGTTACTAATTACCTGATACTGGCCGCGATGTAATAATTAATTTTGTAAAAAAATTAAAGAAAAATAAATAAAAAAATTATAAAAAAACAAATACTAGAATGAAGTTGATCATCACAATGAGATGCTTTTAATAGGTCAATCGTTTTTCATGATCATACAGCTGGGACCTTCAAATTGAATTTATGGAGACAGTTGAATGTTTATAAATGAACCAAAGCTGTTGTGATTTAAAGTTCTGAAATGTTAACAAACTCGATGTCCAAAATGGAGCCACCACTCTCATTACTACTTAATCGAAGTATCAAGTTACTTTTCAAATTTATACCCTTAGGGTAGCAGAATTTCACAGATGCTGGATGTTGGAATTTAAAATGCTAAAGAAATGATGTTCTATGATGTTGGGCCATTGCTTCAGAGTTTCACACGCTGAGGTTTGGGAAATGTCAATAAATGACGAAAGTTTTTAAAGGATATTCCACATTCATGCTTCAACAAAATGCTTTAATAGATGAAGCTTCTGCAGCTGTTGTGCAGGGTGTCGGTGTACTGGTGAATTGAGAATACTGAATAAATGTCGACTATGGTGTTGGGTATTATAGGAAGTACTGGTGAATTGATAATGCTTCAATAGATAAGTTCCAGCTTTCAAGAATGGATAAAGTGTTGTGGTGGTGTCGGGTGTGGGCTGTACTAGTGGATTGAGAATGCTGATAAAGAAGTGATGACTATGGTTCTGGGTACTAGAATGGATTCATACAACTCAAAAGCTCATTTCTTAATGTTCCAGGGCTGACACGTAAATATGATATTAATTTTAATGCAAATTTTGTTAGAAGTTTAGGGTTTCTAGATGGAGATGCTCAAGCTTTCAAGCTACTGCGTACAGATGTCGAATATCATTAATGTCAACCAGGAATTATGAAGCAAGTTTTTAGGTTGTAATATAAAAAGTTCAAGTATATATTTGTATATATAGCTGTCTGCTTTTCCTTTGGAATCTCGCCTAGGTCTACACAGACCGAATTAGGCATAACTCACTCGCTTGTATTTATTATATTATAAAAAAATTATGTTTGAATTGGCTGAATTAGCTAATTGATCAGCATGCAGCTAGCTGTAGTACTAATAATTGGTTATATATAATTAAAAGTTTCAAAACAAATTGTCAATCACAAGATATGATTTATCACCTCCCAAAATGAAGTAATATAACAACCATGAAAAACTCACTATGATGATGGAGAGCATTTCATACTGTATCATATCAATTAGGTCATTCGCTGTATAACTCTTAGGAATTCTATAAAGATTCGAGACGCTCGTGGATGATCTAATCTTTTCAAGTCGAGCTCTCATACTCACACCTTCTCCAGACCTTCCAGCAGTGTATTCCACTTCATAAAGGCGTATCCCCAAGAATCTTAACAAGTACTTAATGGTACTTTCAAAAAGAAATACCAGTCCATAACTTCTGGAGTAAGGTATGATGGTCAAAGTCACTGACGTGAACAGAAACGTCAAAGGAATAACGTTATAAAAAACCTGGGCTTTAGAGATTGAAAACAATATCTTTCTGTTCTCGGGTTCACTATCTTTAATATTTGATTCTTCATCACCAATTCTCACAAAGTTTTCACCTTTCATATTATCAATCATAACGTCTTTAACTAATGCCTCAAGGAACTAGAACCACTTTGACAAAATTGTATGATCTGTATCTTCTATATCTATCAAATATAATTACTTGGAGGATATAATATGGGTAATAATTATTAATTAATTGAGTAGTCTCAAAATATTTTGCCAGTCGAGCTGCAGAATTTATAATATAGCTGCTATAATTATAATTAATTAGGCCGGCAATTTATAATATTAATCGTAATGATCATATGATCATGAAAAGTGAGACGACGTTCTCTTATATACTAACTAATTTACTCATATCCATTCAATTGATATTTCCCAATATTTCCAAAAGCTCTCAGCAATATTATAACCTTAATTTATGCTTTGACTGGTAGGAGGACATCTTTGTTAATTGTATAGCTGGCTTGTCTGGCTTGTTTGAATAGCTTTTGGTTCTAGGCTCACAGATGAAACGACTAGTTAGGATGATAACTTCAGCTCCAGGTAGTATATAAGAATGCAGCCTAATTCCATTTCTGAGAACCGAGGTCGTCTGTTGTGAATTAAACTTCTCGGGACACTTAATACATTAAACCTCTCCGCGAACTTGTTTTATGTGTCAGAGCTCTTCGCGAAAGAATGAACATATCAAATTTTGTTTTATGGCACAAATTATTGGGATTCATCTCCTTAAATAGTGTCTGGAAGGTTGAGATTCGGTTAGGTCTTGAAATGAAACTAGTGTAATAATCATTATGTCCATATTGATGAAATTACACCCAAATTACAACAACTTGGAGATCGAATGGGACCAAAAGCTAGTGTATCGTACCATCGAGTACACTTATAAAAAAGTGAAAAAATATAGCTTATTAACGCGTTTTCCACTAGGGGCTTTTGCGATTGGATAGTCTAGCTATATATAAGTTGTGCTTAAATCCCAATTTCTAAGAACTAATCAATCAAAGTGCACCTACTCATTAAAGAGCTTTACTTGCGTTAGAAATGAAAATCTGTCTGTACTCAATCTTACCTCTTTTATTTGTTTTATTCCTTAATATCAAGCTGGGGCTAGCTGTTGAATTGATACCTATCTTGGTTAAATTTGATGAAGAGACAACATTAAATGTCATTGCACAAGTGTGGGAATACGATTCAGGAAATCATCATGGTGTGAAAATTAATTCTACAGAGTTGGGAGATTTGAGCAGGGAAAGAGGATTGAATCCTGGATGGGTTCATAGAAGGCTTGCTAGGGGGTTATCATCTGGAGAGATAACTAGAGAGACATATAGTGAAGATGGTTTTAATGTTGTGATTGGACCACCAAGTGAAAGAGACAATGCTATACCAATAAGAGGATATCTTCGTATAAATGGTGATGAAACTGAATATGAATCATTTACCACAACTACAGGCTAAAAATGAATAAATAAATCAAATAAATAAATCAAAATCTTTTAATCTATTTAAATCTCTTGAATGTCCAAATCGGGCAATTGAAATTAAATTTCCCCTTTCGGCACAAATTGAACGCGTCAGTTTTTTTTTTTTTTTTGTTTCAACACGAAAATTTTTGGTTGTTTTAAAAAAAGGATTTTAAAAGTTGAAGAATGTTGATGTTTTTAAGCCCTAAACAAACAAAGACAAAGGGACAAAGTATGAACATCAGACAAGAGGATATTGCTGCTGAAAACATTCTCAAAAGAGCAGAGTTGAATAGAATTACAAGACAGTTGAAATCTCGTTTATCAAAGACAAACTTGAAATCAAAACTAAAAGAGAAGAAGTCGTTATCAAACATAAGCAACCATCATCATAATACTCTTCATTCTTCACCTGCAATCACTAAATCCAATTTAACAACACCTAAAAGGGTCCACAAGAAGAAATCCATTGAATCTATTGATGCTAACAAGACTGAAGATGAAGCATCCCCTATTAGAAACAATAATAACAATTTACCACCTTCATCCCCATTATATGAAGAATTCCAAATCCCAATAATCCCAAAGACCCCACCACAACAGAAAATCACATTAAACACAGATATTTATAACTCTTCATCAACTAATAAAACTCAAATCAACTATTCATCGCCAGTTGCTAAACAACAAGGTTTATCATCATCAGCTACCCAACCACCACCACAACAACATTTATCCACACCTAAACGTCCAAGAGACGAAGGTGCAGACTTGTTAATGTTTTTAGCAACATCTCCATCACCTGTTCAATACAAGAATTATCCATCAACTCCATCAAGATCGATAACCCAATCAACATCCCAAACAAACATCCCATCCTCCTCCTCACAACAACAACTATTACAACCAAAGAGTAATAATAACGGATCACATAAATTCGCCACACCAGCCACACCTAAAAGAAGTATTAATTTGATGAAGACTCCTGGTTTTAATATGAATGATTATGTTAATCTTTTTTCACCATCTCCTAGAATCTCAAGAACACCTGGGACAATCACCACCACCAACGCAATGGTTAATAATTCTAGTGGATTGAACCAGATCAATGGATTGGAACACCATCATCAACAAATTGAAGAAAGAAATGATATTAAAGATGATGTTTCTGGTAAATTAATTAAATTCTGATTAGGTAATGTTATGGGTGTGCGTGTCCCAATTCCTTTTTTCAAAGGGATTTTCAAGAGGTTAAAATTTTTTTAAAGTGAGATTTGAAATTATAAAAATCTTTATTTTAAAGGGAAAAAAAAGATGGGATTACCAAGGGCTACATTGGAGCAAAAGATTAAAGTATTGGATTGGTATTACCTGAATGGTACGAAATCTCAACAGTATACAGTTAATTATTTCATTGGTCAGAATGAATTCAGTATAACGAAATCAAGTTTTAATAGATGGTTAAAAGATGAAGATGAATTAAGGTCAATGTTTCAAAAAATTAATGTTAATAATAGGGGTGTCTACAAGACACGACCAAATTTGAAGAACTATTTAATTGATAAATGTCTGGAGAAGTGGGTTTATCAAAAATTATTGATGAATGAAAGTGTTAGTGAACGGGTATTGATTTATCAATGGAGGTTGTTTAATGAATTGTTTGGTAATGTTGATAATAATGTTGGGAAATCAAATGGTTGGGTTTATCATTTTAAACAAAAAATCATGACAACTAAAAATTTAATAATTGATTATTTAAAAATGATTGAATCAATGCCTAAAAATTTCCATGATGAAAAGACAAGATTACAAAATTTGTTTGAAAATGTGCCAATTAGTGATATTTATCAATTTGATGAAATTGTATTGAATCCAAGAATAACACCGTTGGAGAATGAATCGTCATCAATGAGATTCATAGTTGGGGTTTGTTGTAATGGTGATGGTTCTGATTGGTTTGAACCGTTGATTATAAATAATCATGATTTGAAAAGAGATGGATATTATCAATCAAATATTAATATGATAACGAATGAAATTTTTTTACAATATTTAACCAAATTGGAGAATTCAATTGAAAAAAAGATTTATCTTTTAATTGATTGTCATTATGAACATTTTATAAATTTGGAAAATTTCAAAAAAATTCATATAGTTTGGTTTAATCCAAATTTCCAAACACGGTATTCAATATTGAGTCCGAGTGCTAAGTTAGTTTCAGATTTTGAAGAATTACAATTTTTAAACCTTGGTGTTGTTCGTCAGTTTAAATTGATTTTTAAAAATATGTGTTTTAAACAATATCTTTATGGATTAATCACATTGAATAAATTGATAAATCTAACACCTGTTCAAGTTTATGAAATAATACAAAGTTCATTCCAAGATTTGAAAATGAATCATAAGGGGTTAGTGCTTCAATGTTTTGAAAATTCAGGTATTTTACCAATCAATCAAGATAGTAAAAAAAAACAAGTTTTCGATAAAATTTTAGAATCAAGTTTCATTAAACTATTAACAGAATTCTCCAAATATGGGATCAATATCTTTACCCATAATTATTCAATTGATCATATATTATTCCCACCAGATGAATTTGTTGTGAATAAATCATATAGTGAAAGTGAGATTGTTGCATTAGTCAAATTAGAGGATAAAAAGTTGGAATCACAATCAGTACATCCATCATTAATACAAAGAGTTGATTCAATGGAGTTATCAAATATGGATAAATTGATTAATGTTGAATTGAGACAGTTCTTCGCCAAGTATGGGGATGCCTTACAGAAGAGTAGTGAAGAGTTTAACAAGTTTCTAAATGTATTTATAAATGAATCTATGGATATAAAGATGAATCAAGATGAGTTGATTTTTCAAGATGAGAATATCCTACCAGATCTGCTTAATAATTGATATGTTATGTTAAATTTGTTCTCTGTAGAGCGTGTCTTGACTCAGCCAATTGGGAATCTTCGCTTCGATGTGGATTGATGCAAGTGAAGAGGATGAAGTGAAACGTACCTTTTCGATGGACGTGTAAGACTTAAGTTTTAGGGCTGTAGAATAATTAGAAGTAGATACATATTATATTACTATTCTCGGTTCAATGAATATTACTATTACTATACTCTATTATATCTATATCTTATTCTATCAATTCTATTCTCTACTCTCTACGCGTATTACCCAAGCCGCGAACGCGTTCTGTGTGTTTACAAAGTGTGGCCCTTTTCAAAACTTTGTTCTGGCCCAAAAAAATTCACTTTTGAAATTCAAAATCAAAACAACCGAAAAAAAGTCAACAACAGGAAAAAACATTTCAACGAAGAAGAAAGAAAGAATCAATTGAAGAGGGAAAGTTAAGAAAGAAGAAAGAGAAGAGAAAGATAGTAAAGAGAAGAGAAAGAAATAAGGAATCCAATTGTCACTCGCTTAGTCCATTCATTCCATTCCATCCCACTCGCTATTAATAGATCCATCCAAATCATGAAGATAACGCGTATATCGTCTCTGCTGAGCACAATATCCACAATCTCAGCTGCCTCTTACAACTCAAAAGGATGCTACTCCCAAAGTGACTTATCCAGCTTCTTGAAATCCAAGGGAGACTATACATGGCAAACTAATAGTTATTGCCAACAACAATGTTCAGGCTATGCCATTGCAGCCACCGGTAATGGTGATGAATGTTATTGTGGGAACAAATTACCTTCAAACATCAAGAGTGCTGGTTCTGGCCAATGCTCAACCAATTGTAATGGGTATCCTAGTGAGAAATGTGGTGGGAATGGCTATTTATCTGTTTATACAAATGGTGAAGAAGATACTGATGATGATGAGGGATCAAGTTCTCAAGGAGGTTCAAGTTCAACAAGCTCAAGTTCAACAAGTACTTCATCAACCTCGACTAGTTCAAGTTCAACATCAACTAGCTCAAGCTCTACATCAACTAGTTCAACTTCCACTAGTTCCTCATCAAGTTCAACATCTTCCAGTTCAACTTCTAAATCATCAAGCTCCACTTCATCTAGTTCAGCCACTTCATCATCCAAACTAACAACCCAAGTGTCGGTCATCACTTCTATAATATCCGCATCAAACACAGTCATCACTTCAACACAAACTTCATCTTCATCTCCATCAGCTGCTCAACCAACTTCTTCATCATCATCTTCTTCAGCAGTGGATCCAAACCAAAACAATCAGGATGTCAATTCCAAATCTAACAACCAAGGATTAAGCAAAGGTGCCATTGCAGGTATCGCCGTCGGTGTCACAGTTGCAGTATTGGCATTGATTGGATTATTAGTCTTTATCTTTATAAGAACTCGTCGTTCCCAGGATGATGACGATGATGAACAACGTGAAAAACCATCAACCCCAATACATAACGATATGAGTTTTTACCAAAGAAACCAACAACATTCATTAGATGGGTTTGATCAACCAACTCCAATCATCAACACTACTGATTTTGGTAGAAAAAGATTGAGTAATGGAAGTTTACCTGATGAAAGACATCAAAAAACATTGAGGGTGACTAATCCGGATGAAACAACGTTGAATGATACGACATTGCATCATGATGGACATTATTCGGATAGTGATGATAGTGATTTTGATAAGTTTAGGTCATGAATAATCAAATAAAACAAATAAAACAAATAAAACAAATCAAACAAATAGTCATATTTTTTCAGAGTTCAATTTTTATTTTTCAGGGAGGTTTTATTGAGGCAAAGAATCCATTAAGGATATATTATACATCATATTGTCAATTGTTATATATTTTTCAACTATTGAGTCATTTTTTTTTTCAACTTCTTTTTATCTTTATATAATATCTTTTACGCGTGTTTAAATGGATGAATTTATTTATGAATTTGTATTACTTCTATAACCGAATAACTCGCCATTTAATTAACGAATTCAAAGATATTTCAAATGTTTATTTGGGCATTAATTTCATACTTTTTTGTTCTTTGATTTAATTTTGGCTTAAATTTTTCAGAGACACGAAAAAAAAAAAGTAAACAAAAAAACATTCAATTAAAAACATTAACATTAACATCAATAACAATATCAAATATTGGTTACTCCCTCAAAATGTCCAAATCAAATGCCCTTAGAAACTCATTCATCCCCAAAAGAAGTCCCATAGTCATCTCAAGAATCCTGCAAAGACTCACAACGGATTCATTAATAAACATTTGCTTATTATGGTGTTCAATGCCATTAACACAACCAAGACCATCTTTGGAAATATTAGAAGAATTGGAAACTGATTTAGACCAATATATCCAGGATTTCAAGGTTTTGTTACAATCATATAAAGATAAAACCAAAAATACCAACAAAAGAAGAATAATTGATAAATTATTAGTTGATATTTATCCAAATGGGTTGAATTTACTACAATATGCACAGATTGATTCACAATTAATAGTGGAGAAATCCCAAGGATTCTTATGGCAAGTTTCCCAACTGGTTAATAGTCAAGATGAACCACACGTTTTAAACCTACATGATCCTCAATTGTTTTTGGAAAGACTAGTTCTTGGATTATCAAATTATTTCATGAATCATATTTATATATCACATCATCCTCATTACCCTTTAACAATCATCAGAATCCAATTATTTGACCTATTACACACCTCCACCACTTCAAACTCCATAAACAACTCACTCGTGTCAAGGAAACCGTTCCTGATCTCACTACCTCACAACTCATCAAACATTATACATTCACCCATAACAAATGATCAAACATCTTCAATAATACTACAATCAATATCATTCGCTCTGTCTTCCCCAACAAAACAACTAAGAATCATATCTAACCCTTCCTCAACACTATTGAAAAGCTTGGAAAGTCTACACATCATCCATGGTAATTCAAGATTCTCATCATCTTTAGGCATATGGACGCCCTACGCAGATGGGGCCATTGATATTTCCCCCTTTGATGATCCTGAGACTCATCAAACTTTACAAAAAGAGGAGACTCCGATGGATCTGGATGAGAAGAGGTGTAAGGTTGCACAGTTGAGGTTTAAAGGATCCCTTGATGGGTTGCAAAGTGATGTGTTGTATGAAGATAATAAACCATTCAAGAAGAGGAAAGTTAATGAAGAGTTGAGAAATATCGATAAGAATGAATACAGTTCAATCACACCTATACAGACTGCCCAATTTGAATTGATTAGTGATTTCAATAATGAGAGACCTAGGTTGAAATTGAGATTTAATGGGAATGACGTATTTGCAGGATTACATGAACTATGTGCAGATGGGTTAATAAATCCAGAGACCATTCCAGGTTTCCTAACGGGGGAAGAAGGTTTACAAAATGGGGTTGTTGAGGATGGTGTGTTTATTCCCAAACAAGCAGGGGCACAATATATAAATGGTGGGTTGATTTAAAAAAACCTTGTTGTGGAAGTGGTGGTGGCAGAGGAGGTTTGTTGTAATGAGTTTTGATACTCGTTGCATAATTCTTTTAATCTTGGTGTGGAAATCATTGGTTCTATCTTGTCTAGTGTGGATAAATCCTTTTTATGATATGCTTCTTCAATAACAGTTTTGAAATCTTTTAATTTTATTAGATATTCAATCTTGTCAGAATATGATAGGTTTGCTTTTGATAAAAATTTTGAAGCCATTGAGTTTTCATTTTGGGAGATTAGTTTTTGGATGAATGGTTCATATCCAATTATTGGTTTTTTCAATGACATGCCCCATTCAAATAGTTCATCAAATTTTTTCTCCTTGATTAAGAAATTTAATTTAATATATTGAAATTTTTTATCATTGATTTTGAAATCTTTTAAAAATTGATTAATTTTATTATTTTGATTCAACAAGATTAATTTTTCTAATGTTTCCACTATTGATAAGTTATTGAATTCAATATTAAAATCATTTGTATAAATTTCTTGTAATTTCACCAATTTCAATTGTTTTTCAATTTGTTTTGAATCATTTGAATTCTTTCTCATTAAATTATATGTATCAAATGAGTTTTGTAACACTGTTAATTTCTTGGAATAATCTTCCTGATCACCATGGATGATATATTGATCAATTTCAAAATTGGCAATATCTATTAATCTATCAGCTTGATTAATATAGTCATGAATTAATTTAATATCATCATGATGGAAATATTCAAAACAATTTGATGCAATCTTGGAATTATTTAAAATTTTGAAAAAATTTGGTAATGATAATGTTTCTTTTAATTTTAATATTGTTTCCAATATTAAATCAACATCTTGAGATTCCACTGATTTCTTCAATGCTAATTCATGTTCCTCCATTGTTAATAATAATGGGATTTGCTTTGTAAATAATGATTCAAAATTGATTAAAATTTTCGCTAAATTTAATCGACCTTCTTGAAATGCAATTGTGGAAATTTTTTCAAATGAAATGTATGAATTATTATTAATATTTTGGAATTTTGTTATTATTAATTGTGATAATTCTTCATCATTTAAATTTGGATTATATTTAATCTTGCAACATGCCCAATCTATAAATATTAAATCAATTGGTAATTTTAAAAATTTGGAAATTTGGAAACTTTGATAAAATTCTTGTCTTTTAACTAATAACTTGATCAATTTTTCAATACCAATTTGTTGGAATTGTGTAAATGTTAGGAAAATCCCAATCTCATTAGACCTTATATTATTAATGATTCTTAATTGATCACAAGCTTCCACAAATTTAATTGAATTTTTAAAAGATGAATTCAATTCTAATGAAGATTTCCCAAACGATGCAGCTTTTAATAATTTTTTTTGCCAATATGGATCAAATTCTTCAAAAGCTGCACGGATACAAGTTTGAACAGCTTGATTTAAAAAAATATCTGATCCAATGATTTTTAAATTTTCATTTGCCTTGGGGGAATGTTTATTTAATTTATCAATTGAATCAATAAGGATCGATGATTTTGAAGTTGAACCAATCTTGAAACAATCCACCGTGTCATTATTAACTTTTGATAAGAATTCTAATGAAACATTTGTCAAGATTGTTAATCCATCAATTTCTGAGGAAATTTTAAAATCATCATTTATGAAAAAATTCAAAGACCCACCAGGGGCTATTAATTTAACATAATCATCATATGCCACTGCCACTGCATCTGAGCCACACCATTTTATTTGTCTTGGTGGTGGTGCTGAATCTAATTTGAAATCAAAAAGTGCCTTATTGAAATTTGCAGTGACAATATAAATTTTTTTAGAACCTTCTTGATATAATGCAATAAATTCATGATTTTCTGAAACATGAACACCTTGGAATGGACCATCTATAGATTTTTGAATGATTTTCCCATATTTGGGGATTGCATAGATTGCTTTATTAATACTTATCAAGATTTGAAATGATGATGAAGAAGGTAAAACATCCCAATTCCAAAAATGTATTGATTCTTCAGGTAATTCAATTTTTAAATCTTTGAAAAGTTTAGAATTGACTGAGATTGTATTATCAAGATCAATGTAAACAATTTTGAAATCATTAAGGAGTATTATTAAAACGTTACCATGGACTAGGAAACTCTTGATTCCAACTAATTGTGAATCATAACCAATTTCATATTCATTGAAATTCCCTTCAAAGTCATAATACACTCTAATTAACCCATTCTGTAACAATACACATAGCTTCTCATCAATTGTCCATTTCATATCAATGATCCGGCCATTAACATGATTATTCCAATTGATTGAAGTGATGAAATTCCCACTTCCTGAATAGATTTCAATATCCTGGGTGTTTTGATCTTTTAGTTCATTGACATCATTCTGGAATTTATAGGATGCTATTGCTTTTGTGTACTTGGAAATGGCAATGATGTAGTTGTTGATGTTTTTGATGTTCCAAGTTATGGAGTAGAGTTCTCTGTTTCTGTAATAGACGTCTCTGAGACGTTCCCAGCCTTTAGAAGTTAGTGACTAGATTATAACCAGTTGAAACTATCCATACTCACCTAAACTAGGATTCGACATTTGAATTCCTTCTGTTTTCCCTCTTTAAAATGATAAATTTTGTTTATTTGAATTTGAATTTGACCTTTTCCAAAAAAACAAAACGAGTTCGCGAAACATTTTGGCGAATTTGATCTTTTTTCAAAAAAAACACGTTAAAGCTCAGAAAAACCATTTAATACTCAGCAATTTGTTACCAAAAAACAACACTTTTAGCCAATTATTTGCTCTTTATCATGCCTCCTGAATACATCACTTTAGTCTCATCCGATGGGTTCGAATTCATCATCCGCAAAAAGGCAGCAATGGCTTCTGGAACGTTGAAAAACATGCTGAGCTCCACATTTAGAGAAACTGAAGAACGAAAGATCAAATTACAAGAAATGGATGGCCGTTTATTAGGTAAAGTTGTTGAATATTTATACTACAATCTCAAATATAGAGGCGATGACGATATCCCAGAGTTCAACATACCCACAGAAATGGCCTTGGAGTTGCTTGTTGCCTCCGATTTCCTTGACGTTTGAAAACGCGTAACATTTACAATAGAGTTTGGAAAATTAGGTATCATCAATTTCATTAGCTATAGGTGTCATCATTATATATTTCCAAAGTGTACTTGTTTTGCCTTTGAAGGAATAGATGATGTTGGACAATATGGACATTTGAAACTTCCCCCATTTCTACTTAATTTGTTCAAACTTTGTTTAGATATGATATGATGACATGGTAATGCCATTGGAGGATTCTCCATTGTAGTTTCCTCTTTTGAAACTGGACATATGAAGATTGGATGGAATTTTTTCAAAAAATCTGGTAAATTGATTTCAAATGGTAATTCATTATGACTTGTCCAATCTAATTTATTATTTAAATTTTTAATCTTGACAAATTTTAAAAAAGTTGGAAATGAAATGTATCCACATAATAAAATCATGAAAATTGAAGATTCAAATGAAAATCCAATAACTGAACAAAATTTCTTGGAGAATAATATACCAATCTCTTGGAAATTTGAATTTGATAATTGATTTTCTTTATAATATGGTGATGATTCATCTTTCGAATCAAATAATATCGATGAAATCAATTTTGAAACACTTTGCAAATTCTCACTATTTGTATTAATAAACTTTGGGAACCATTGTTTACCATATTGATAAGCTTTAAAAATCTCACCCGAATTATAATATTCCAAAAATTGTAATTTATGTAAATTAAACTCCAAATCAGATCCCATTTGTGTTAATAGCACAGCTTCATTCTTAATAGCCCATTGTATAGCATCTCCTAAATCCCTTTCATTCAGCATTTTCTTCAAAATATGATTCATCTCTGTAAATTTACTCAATAGATTCAAATCAATTCTTGGATCATCACCTTTCTCAACATCATCATCTTTATATTCATCTTGATCAATTATATTCAAATCTCCATTCCGTATCAAATGTAATTTTATAGCATTATCAATCAATTTCAAATTTGTTGAAGTCTTATCAATCTTATAAATATAAACATCATTCAATTCAAATTCATAAATTTTATCCAATATATTTTTACTAAACTTGTTTAGATTTGAATTTGTTGTTTTAAGATTCTGTCTCAATTTCTCCTCCCATGAAATATGATGATTATTTGCCTTCGTTATCAATTGATTGTAAATTTCTTCATCATCATCTTCATCCTCCAGTTGTTCCAATTGCTTTTCAATTGCCTCCAAATCAGTGATGAAGCTCCTTGTTTCCTTCAACGTTTGGGAAATATGACCTTCATTCTTTTTGAACTTGACTATTTCTTGGTTGAATAAATCCAATAACTCAGTCATTCTTTGATTATGGTTTATTTCTAATTGATTCTCTTGTTTATTTGTTTGTTTGTTTTAAAATTGGTGTCAAAATTGTCTCTTTTCCTGAGTTTTTTTGATAGATAATGATGGCACGTATCGGAATGGCAGATAATCACGACCAGGGCATTTAACCACAAATACAAATTATGGAGAATTTTAGATTTATAAAAGAGAAATACTTGATAAGTTGTTCTGAAGAGAGAAATAATGTATTTAAAAACAAGATTGTATGGATAAATTCATATTCCATGAGAAAATCCCCGTCTTTATAGCTGAAATATTGACATAGAAATGCCAATAGTAGTCACAATGACACAGGTTATTTGATTTGATGAAAGTATATCACTGGTTCAATATGAGTAATGATAATCAAAATATCCCAGATAATGATCAATATATTCTACAACATCTTCCCACCTCTGTTCAATATGCAAAACATCAATATTCATTTCACTCTCGAACGTCCTCCTAAACATCTATCAATGTGAGCAGCAAACCTATTCCCAGCTATCTTTCTAGAGCAATTATCGCATGTGAAATACCGACTACTATCACTTTGTTTCTCGTTCCCAAATATATCTCTCCCCATAACATTATAATACTCAATCCTGGTCAACAGCTCAGGATTGGGCGAAGGGTTCCGACTATTATTATTTGTATTATTAACACTATTACTAGCACTCAGTAACAGTGATCCATTGCCATTGATTGTGCTGTGGTTCATTATGGGCGTTTCTATTGGTTGTGGAGTGTTTCCTGCTTCAAGTTTCCCATATCGTAATCTTGTGATTTGTTCTCTCATTATCGTTTCAACAAAGATTTCTCGAGTGATTGTTTCCATAATGTCTCTATAGATGGACAGCGACATTGACGATAGTGTCAATGGGGGCTCATTATTTGAATTTTCTGACATGGTGACGGTGTTGCATCTACACTGACTTGATTAATACCTTTGGAAAGTTCCTGCCGATTTTTGAGTAATTTGAAAAAATGATTTGATCTTTTAATTATCGGATTGAATAATAATAAGCAATAGCCTGAGATCACCTTTTGAACTCCCTTTTCTTATGACTTTTTCCCTTGTTTAATTCATTTGGTCATTGAAATTCTCGATCCAAAGATTTTCTCTCTCTTGAAAATCAAAAATCTGCCATTTGTTCAGCGTGTCAATAAACAAACATAAAAAAAAATTGTTCCAAAAAGGTGATAAAGATTCACAACTTTGAGTAAAAATATAAAGACATAAACTCAAGAGATGGAGGATGAAGAAGTGCTGTTACAAGGAGGATCAATAAACCCAGACGTCCAAGTGGAAATCGAAGATGAGATCCAGGATTGGAGAAACTTGTCAAAAGTAAAAGATACATCATTACCAAAGCGTGGTGAAAAAGATTATGAACCAGATGGAACAGACATCCAACTGAAGATCCTACAAGATAGTCGAGACTCGATGTTTGCCGCACTTGCTGGAAATAGAGGACATGTTTTGAAGCAACATGTCAAAGCTGTTTGGATCCCATCAGTGAGGAAGGCATTGATTGAAAAACCAAAAGGTTCTTTTTTACAAACTTGTGGTGTTGTGGATTCTAATAATAAATGTTGGCTGAGTGCTGAAGAGTTTTGTTATTTGGCCGAGAGAGGTACAGTGGAACCTTGGTTCGAATCTAAAGATGTTCCTATGAGTATACAGGCTGTTTATGCTTGTTGTTTTGAGAATGAAGATGAAATTGATGAATATCACGTTTATTCATATTTGAAGAGACATGGGTTTATAGTGATGAGAAATGATCCAACAAGATATGAAAGCAAGATTGAAAACATAAAAGTGAATCCACTGGTGGATCTATCAATTTTCAAAAACTTGTACAATAGAATAATCACACTTTGGACAAATTCACCAATAATCAACAAGATCAACACTTTTTTACAAAATTGGGGCATCCAATCATTCCCATCATTTCACCCTTCCCATTTCACATCATCAAAATATATAAACTATACTCAGATATACAATTCGATCAAACTCATACCATTTCATAAAGTGAAAGATCAACAACAACAAGAAACCCCATCACCATCATCAAAAATCTCATTAACATTTGATATATGGAAACCAGACCCAAAATTCAGTAAAAAAACACCACCACCACCAGATTTCCAAGTCATTGTGAAGAATACAAACAAGTATAACTTCCCAACATTATCCCAATTACGAGAAATTTTCTCAAATACTCAATATAAAGATAAAAATAAAAATTTTGATGAACAACAACAACAAAAAAGATTGAAAAATGGATATAGATACATTTTAATAGCCATGATAGATTACGGGATCATCAATTTTGTTAAAGTCTCTGAAGCTGATTTTGGGTCTGAAGATGTTTGGTATATACCATCTGCTAAAGATTTCAAACCAAAGCAAAGAAAAAAATTTAATAAATGAAAAACTACATCACTCGTTTAAAACATTGTAGACTTTTTATTATAACCAATCATTGGTACGGTTTGTTAGGATCATAGGGATATGAATACCTCGGTGGTTGTTGTGGTGGTTGTTGAGTTGGTGCACCGAATGTTTTATACATTGATTGGTCAAACGCAGACGGTGTGTTATAAAATGGAACACGGTTCGAATTATCTGAAGGTTGTGGTTGTAGTGATGATAATCCAGATGGTGGACCACTATGGTGAGGTTGTTGTTGCTGTTCGAATTTTGGAGGTAATGGGGGTGGTGCTGACCTGTCTGAATATCCAGATGGTGATGCAGTGTATCCATATTGTGGTGGAGTTGGTTGACTATACTGTGGTGGAGTTGGTTGTGTGTATTGATATTGCTGTTGAGGTTGCTGAGGCTTTGGTGGTAGTTGTGGTGATGATTGATAATATGAATTAGATGGTGTTGGTTGGTCATATGCATGATGGCTTGAGATTGAAGAATTATATGATTGCTGTCTCACTGGTTGTAATGGAGCATCTCCAAATGATGGTTGTCTTGGAGGTTGAGATGGAATTTCATGACTATATGAAGATCTTGGACTTTGATTACTTCCTATACTCAATTTGTTGAACCTGTCACGTAACGCATCATTTGGTTGAGGTGGTCTTGATGAATTGATGATTCTATCTCTTTGTGAATATCTATCACTAACAAATTGTTCAATATTTGATTTAACATCATTAACGAAATTGATCAGATTATCATAAAATGTGACACTTTTTTGGAAATTTGTTTCATATTCTCTAAATGATCTATAAGTTTTTTCAAATTCTTTAGTTTTCAAAGTTTCCTCAGAAATTTGTGAATTTGATGATAATATTTCATCATATGAAATCTTAATTTCTTTAATAATTTGAGGTTGTTTGAAAATTATTGAATCCAATCTATTTGTATATGGTTCAAATTTTGTTAATTCTTGATCAAATAATGCCTTTTCATCTTTCCCACTTAATTTTTTATTATTCAAAACAAGTATATTTGAAATATCATCCTCGTGAATAACAGTTTTCAAGTCTTCAATTATTTTTGATCTTTCTAATTTCAGATTATTCAAAAGTTTCAAACTTGTTTCAATTCTAGTGATATGTTTTGAAATTTGATCATTTGAAGAGTCATCAATATCCAACAAGTTTTGTTCTTGCTGGTTGTTACTAAAGAAAACAGCTTCAAGTTGTTGTGTTGATTTCAATTGATTCAACCTTGTTGTTTCACCTTCAATAGTATGATTTAATTGTTGATCTAATTTGGTAGCACTTAATAATGATTGTTTTGCATTTGTTAATTCATCTCTCAAATTAATAGACGCTGATTGTGAAGGTTCCTGGGATGTACCAATCTGTGGCTTCTTTTGATTATAATCATTTTCTTCATCTTGTAACTTTGCTTCCAATTCTTTGATGGTGCTTAAAACTATTGACTTTTTATCACTAATCAATGATTTATTTGCCTCTATATCTTTGTATTGAGAATCATTAACTTCGTTCGACCAGCCAACTAATTTTGAATCCAATTTATTCTTAACATTATTCTTGAAATTATCTAGAGATGAAGGTAAATTTAAATATTCTAAGAATGAGCTCAACTCAGCATCTGCAGTTTCATTTTTCTCAATTTCACCTCTTAGGATTTTAGCTTTTTCCTCACTATAAAGACTTAATTTTTCATGAACAGCCATTGGGATAACTTTTTCAAAGATATCTTCACCGACAATTTCAGTTATATTTGCATGATCATTAAGGCTTATAGCTTTAGCAGCACCTAATGGCTTTATGATAACTGCTGGTTCAAGTGAATCTTTTGAAGGTATTAAATCATGATAAATAAAATCATTATCTCTTGACAAAGATTTCAATTTTTCTTCAGTTTGAGATTGATAAGTTTTATAATCAATATTGGTTTGATTATCAATTTTTTTCAAAGAATCAAACCCAGTCAATGCTAATTTTAAAAATGCAATGGCTTCACCAATTTTTTTCTCTTCAATAGATAATGAATAGTTTAAATATGCAATATTTTGATAAAAGCTTGTTTTGAATTTCAAATTATTTGTCCACTTGTACTCTTCACCAAATTCATTTTCCAATTTTTCAAAAGCTGATAAAGTTTGTTCATAATGAATAGAGGTTGACATTGCCAATTTGGCAATCAATGATTTTTTAGAAGAATCTTCACTAATCAATTTCAACAAAAACACTTCTTGAGCTTGACTTAGCTGTAAATTTTGTAAAAAAGCAACAGTTTTACCATCAAGATCTTGAGAAGGAGCATGTAGGAAATTTTCACCAATAAATTTATATATACCTGCAGAATATTGAAAAAATTGATAACTTGATTTGAAATCACCATTTTCAAAATCATCAGAAGCAATTGTAGATAGCAGCGATGCTAAATTGAACAAGATTGATGCCTTTTCAAAGGCTAATGAATATTGAGTATGATGAGTTGAAGGATCATAAGCATCATACCAACGAAATTTAACACGTACACCATCTTCTTGAACTGGTAACCTCAAGTCTAGTAGCTCCAATTGCCCATAGTATTTGTAGTATAAGTCTTTCAAAAAAGATCTATTTGATGAATCATTTGTAGAAGCATTCAAATCTAATCTCAACTTGTTGATAATCTTGACCTCATTAGTGAAATCTGTGAAAGAACCGTAAATTCTGGCTAGGTAGTTCTTGAGCGCTGTGGCCCAGTCAACATTGTCTGTGTTTCTGAGTTTTGTAGAAATAAAAACAGACTTCATTTTGATCAATTGACCTTTAAATTGTTGATATTGTTGTTGTTTTAGATCTTGATGTTATTATCATTTGGCCTCCTTTTCAGTTGCCTTTGAGTTCGCGAATTCAATAGGCCATAATGCTTATTAATCACCATCGCTTATCTTATCTAATCACAATGTCACGTGTATTTACCCTCGAAATCAACACCCTCGGATTTAAACGGGGCTAATCGGCATGGCACAAGTTTAGAGATGGATTAATTAGTGCAAAGCTGATCCGTTTCTTTTCCTCAGAAGAGTAGCTTCAATCAGGATCCACTCAGTTATTCCTTCATCCATTCCATATACAAGCCTTCTTGTCATAGTTCTCATTTGTTGTTCCTTATAGATCACCAAGTTCGTTTCCATATTCATTGCGTTAAAGGCTACGCCGTCATACAGCAATCTACAGCTCATCATCATCATCAGTAACCATGTATCAATTACCATTTGCTCAACCTTATCCTGCAGTTCCTGATGGAGGTTATTGGGATAAAGTCACCTCAACAATTGATTGGTGTGAAGAAAACTATGTTGTAACTCCATATATTGCAGAAGCAATGAACACTTTATCAAACTCGGTCTTTATAATATTAGCAGGTTATGCAATGTATTCAGCTTTTAAAAACCATTTGGAAGTTAGATTCATATTGATAAGTTTTGGATTTGCACTAGTTGGTGTTGGTAGTTGGTTATTCCATATGACTTTGAAATATGAATTCCAATTATTGGATGAATTGCCAATGATTTATGCAACTTGTATTCCAATGTGGTCAGTTTTCAGTGAAGGTGTCACTACAAAGAAATCAATCACAATTGGTACTAGTGTCTTATTTGGTGCTAATCTATTAACTGCAGTGTATCTTTATTTCAAAGATCCAACTATTCATCAAGTTGCTTATGCATTATTAAATGTCTTCATTGTGGGTAGATCTCATTATTTAACATTGAAATTTGTTAAGGATCCAGTTGACCGTGCCAAATTGTTCAGAACCATGATCAGAGGTGTTGTAACCTTTTTAACAGGTTATGCACTTTGGAATATGGATGTTCATTTTTGTAATAGTTGGATCAAATTAAGAAGAAATATTGGTATGCCATATGGATTCTTTTTCGAATTACACAGTTGGTGGCATGTTCTCACAGGTACTGGTGTTTATTTCTACGTTGTCTATCTGGAATATCTCAGAGTTCTCTTGTTGAAACAGGAGGATCACTATGTTTTAGTTGAGCATTTGGGGTTTTTACCAGAAGTTCAAAGATTGGAAAAACCAATTAGCAAGAAGCAATGAGGATTCTTCTAGCCAACCAACCATCTATACCCATACAATCATATACGATATATATAAATATGCCTTTTTCTTTGAATATAAGTTGATTTCATTTGCAATTGTTCTGATTGGCTAAATTGAACTCTTCAGTGTATTCTAGTCTACACCGAGAGCCTAAAACAATGGAAAGTCCACCAATTTGAGCCAGATTTGCACCAAAAGAAAGCCATTTAAGAGCCCATTACTAATATAAGCCACTCCCAAGCCATTTAAAGCTTTTAGTCCTTTGGAAACCCCCATCTTCTATAATCCCAAATTCCGCTCCTCTAATAGAAGGAAATTCCGATCACGAAAAAAAATCAGCTCCACGATAAGAAACGTATAAATCCAATGCAAAAGAGCCAGAAAACACACCCACAACATGGCTCAAACTATCCAGTAAAGATGACAGACGGTATTATCATTACACTCTATAGAGCCAGTCCAATCACATTCATCACCACCCTCGTGTTATCAGCCCTCACTTTTAGAATAATCATATACCCATTCTTTTTAAACCCACTCCACAAGATCCCTGGTCCAACATTATACAAAATATCATCATTATTCACATTAAACGACCATAGAGTTGAGAAAAGGATAGTCAAAGTAGACACACTACACCAGAAATATGGATCTGTGGTACAGGTTGCACCAAATGAAGTTTCATTATCCCATGTATCAAGTTTGAAGAAGATTTATATTGATAGAAATTTACCAAAGAGTCAATTTTATGGACAATTTCAAAATTTTGATGAGTTGAACTCTTTTTCAATGTTGGATAGTGGTGTGCATATCAAGAGGAAGAGATTGATGGCCAAGTTATATTCCAAAACATCTGTTTTTATGAATTCTTCACAAGTTCATATTAATGATAGGGTTAATAATGTTTTGGAATTTGTGGGATCTCATGTCGGTGATGGGATTGATGTTTATGAATTGTTTAATTCTTTGGCTATGGATGTTGTCACTTTTTTCGAATTTGGCTCAAAGTTCAGTACGAACCTGATATTAGATCTTGATCAAAGAGAAATCATAAAATCATTTAGAGCATCTTCTTCAATGTGGTTTTATACAACTTTTTTCCCTTCACTTTGGGACTATGCTGCAACCAAAGAAACAAAAACCCTCAGTGATGGCTGTAGAGAATGGATAAGGGCTAAATTTTTGGAAGCCTATGATGATTTCTTGGAGAATGGTTCAAATGATGATATAAACATGATCAAATCATTGTATGATTCTCAAATGGTTAACAAGTTTGGGATTGGAAGTGAGTTATTTGATCATACAGCTGCTGGGCATGAAACTACTGGTACTAGTCTGACTTATTGCTGTTGGGAATTATCAAGACCTGCTAATCAATATATTCAAGAAAGAATAGCTCAAGAGATGAATGAACATTTTATTAAGGATGATGATGTAATTGAGTTGGAGAAGTTGGATAAATTACCATACTTGGATGCTGTTATTATGGAGACTATTAGATTACATGCAGCCATTCCAGGGTTTGAACCAAGAGTTGTAGATTCAAGAGAATTTAAAGTTGAATTAAGTGATGGAACTCAAGTGGAACTACCTGGTGGAACAATAGTATCTGTTCAGCCATATACAATTCATCGTGATCCTAAGATTTTCTTGGAACCAAACCAATTCATTCCAGAGAGATGGTTACCTGGAAAGGGTGAATCAGATGATGAATACAAATCACGTATTAAATTAATGAGGTCGATGATTTTCACATTTGGACAAGGAAACAGAATGTGTCTTGGTATGAATCTTGCTATGATGGAGATGAAGCTATGTATTGGACAACTGTATTGGAAATTCAACTCTTGTATAAGCGGTGATTGGTGCAAGGACATCTTGACGACTAAGGCGGATGCAATTATGGGATACTCATCATTCCACGGAAAGTCCAAGGCAGAATTGAATGATGTTGAATTGATGAGTATGGCGGACAGCTATACAAGTCGTCCTATATTCGATGAGTGTTGGTTGGTTTGGAACAAGAGAAGTTGATCAAATCATAAGACAAAAAAACTGGATAAATAGAATGGTTGTTCCGAGAAAGGGACATTTTAGTCTAATGGAATTCCTTCAGCATAATAATGACGATTATTGTAGTTTCTCCAGACGGAAAAAGCCTTTGTCATTGGCTGTTTTAAGAGTCTCCAGATCGTCTTGCGTCAGTGATGATGGCAGATCCAAGAAACAGGTTATACGACCCCCACAGGCAGCCAAAAGGACAAAAAAAGGAGAGCAAACACACAGCAATAAAGACATTATTTGGAGAAGAATCAATAGACTAGTAAGCGTCCATTTAATCACTTTATTTTCAGTTTATTCACGTTTTTTATGTTTGACACATTCTTTTCGTCTCATGGTTTCACCGATTATTTATCCGATGATCGAAAACTCGAATTTCAGTTTCTCGAAGCAAAAGCTCTAAAAACAGCATAGACTAATGATCAGATCAAACCCACAATTTGGACAAGCACGCGCGTGTACACAAATGGACAAATACCCCTTGTCTAATACTCATCATCATCATCATCAAAAAACCTTGAGTTGGCATTTCCACTGGACATAAATCCCCCAAGATTCATACTTATAAATACCCTTGAAAAGAACCAAAGAACCATCCATCAAGAATGAAGATTACAGGCTATAAATACATAGACATCATGATCCAACTATCCCCATTGTTGCTACTCCCATTATTCTCAGTATTCAACTCCATTGCTGATGCTTCAACTGAATACCTTAGACCTCAAATCCATTTAACCCCAGATCAAGGTTGGATGAATGATCCGAATGGGATGTTTTATGATAGGAAAGACAAGTTATGGCATGTTTATTTCCAACATAATCCAGATAAGAAATCAATTTGGGCTACACCTGTCACTTGGGGTCATTCCACTTCAAAAGATTTATTAACTTGGGATTATCACGGTAATGCATTAGAACCTGAAAATGATGATGAAGGTATCTTTTCAGGCTCAGTTGTTGTTGATAGAAACAATACCTCAGGTTTTTTCAACGATTCTACGGATCCAGAACAAAGAATCGTGGCCATTTATACAAATAATGCTCAATTACAAACTCAAGAAATCGCATACTCATTAGATAAAGGTTATTCATTCATCAAATATGACCAAAATCCAGTTATCAATGTTAATTCATCTCAACAACGTGATCCAAAAGTTTTATGGCATGATGAATCAAATCAATGGATTATGGTTGTTGCCAAAACACAAGAATTTAAAGTTCAAATTTACGGTTCCCCAGATTTGAAAAAATGGGATCTAAAATCAAATTTCACTTCAAATGGTTATTTAGGATTCCAATATGAATGTCCTGGTTTGTTCAAATTACCAATTGAAAACCCATTAAATGATACTGTCACTTCGAAATGGGTCTTGTTATTAGCAATTAACCCGGGCTCTCCATTAGGTGGTTCGATTAATGAATATTTCATTGGTGATTTTGATGGTACTACATTCCATCCAGATGATGGTGCTACAAGATTCATGGACATTGGTAAAGATTTCTATGCATTTCAATCTTTTGATAACACTGAACCGGAAGATGGTGCTTTAGGTTTAGCATGGGCTTCTAATTGGCAATATGCAAATACTGTACCAACTGAAAATTGGAGAAGTTCAATGTCTTTGGTTAGAAATTATACTTTGAAGTATGTTGATGTTAATCCTGAAAATTATGGGTTGACCTTGATTCAAAAACCAGTTTATGATACAAAAGAGACTAGATTGAATGAAACTTTGAAAACTTATAAGCTGCTCGAAATTTTTCGACAACTGATCCTGAACTTGAAATAGGATTTTCTTCAAGATCTACAAATATTCTCCTAACGTCTAGGAAAAAGGGATAAAAAAAAAATACGATATTAGCGGCTAAGTAATTTACATAGCAAATGAGCCCTGAAAATCTTAATATCTGATCACACGAAGGAAATTCTTTATAGCCTTTGAAGGTCTCACACCATCCCAGCACAGCATAAACCAAGACTTTATTCATCTGTTAATATTTGTGACCTAGATCTTGCTCCCACCTTGAGAGTGGAAAGTTAAGATTCAACTAGTAATCACCTTGTCAGCAGCTTAATCTTGGTATCATACGAATAGGTGTTGTAACTAGACATGGTGTGCAAGAGAAGAACCTATTGAAATTCCATCCACTACGAATCAAACCAATCATTATATTATATCATTAATCTAATAACACAACTATTACACATTATTTTATTCATTTACGAGCCAATTCTCTAACACTCAACTCGTCAATAGTGATGAATGATTTTTCAGAATCACAAACAACTTCAAAACTAGTTGGAATTTTACCTTCTCTGAAAAAGAAAGTATTAGTCATAGCAATGGACCCATCATTAAAGTACAATTCCAAAATATTTCTATCCACAACACCATATAATGTATAAACATTACCTTGATCAGTTGTATCTATTTTTTCCACATAAGTTGATATTCTTTCAGTGAATACTGGACTGTTTCTTTGGAAAGAATGTTGAGTAGTACGATCAATGTACCAAGTTGTACTCAAGGTATCAAATACCAATTGTAGAGTTTCTTGAGAGCCTTTGACGGTTTGTGAATGAATATATAATCCAAACTGGGTAGTCATGTTGGAATAACCCATTTTCAAATCAGTTTGAGTAAATTTCAAATCAAACTCAAAAACACCAGTTGCATTTCTTTCAGTGTTGAAATCTGTTGCAACAAATGATGATTTATCCAATTTTAAATCATTGACTTCATATTCATTAATAGTTTCCAACTCATGGTTGATCGAAACATATTGAGTTTCTGGATCTTTCTCATGTCACTTCTCAAGTAAAAAAGAGAAACCCTCACTACCTTTGAACCTCTAGCGTTTCCCTCGTTATCCTTCCCACCTGTCAACTTTAAACCTTCTGAAAAGCATTCTTTCAAGCTTTTTTCTTATTGGACCGAGCCGCAAAGCTGCAAGGAACATTCCAAAAAAGGTTTTTCCGTTGAGCGGTGTTAAAAAAAAGTTTATCCGAGACCCTGGAAAAAAACACTTCAACGGCGAAATGACGATGAAAGTGCTTCTAAATTTACACCAAAAAGTGAACCAATGCACACACTTAATGTACCTAATTACATGATTCACAAACAAAAAACGGCTAACGTCTTGAGCAACCAATGAAAGAGGCTTTGAACCCGTGGTACTCTTGGCCCTTACTCAAAGTGGCGTCAAACTACTCTTTGAATCTCAGATTTGTGTCTATATGTGCAACAATTAGCAGAAAACTCTGTTAGCAATTTGGGCTAGATCACTGGAATGTTTGGCATTGATATATCTGAGATACTTCAGGTATATATATAAAGGGGTCTAAATCTCATTCTTGAAGAGTGTTGTTGTTCTCCCAAATCATCACAAATAATGATACAGTTGCTGACACTTTTGATACCCTTATTGGCTTTATTCAAACAAGCACAAGCTTCTTCGGAATACCTTAGACCTCAAATACATTTAACTCCAGAACATGGTTGGTTGAATGATCCAAATGGGTTGTTCTATGATAGAAAGGAAAAATTATGGCATGCTTATTATCAACATAATCCAGACCATTCAGCTGTTTGGACAAATCAATTAGTATGGGGCCATTCCACTTCAAAAGATTTACTAGCTTGGAAATATGAAAAACCTGCAATTGAACCAGAACATAAAGATGAAGGTATCTTCTCAGGTTCGATTGTTATTGATAAAAAAAACACATCAGGTTTTTTCAATGATTCAGTTGATCCTGAACATAGAATAGTTGCTATTTATACCAATAGTGTTCCAAAATATCAAGCCCAGCATGTTGCTTATTCGGTTGATGGTGGTTATAGTTTTACGAAATATGATCAAAATCCTGTCATCAATGTCACATCACCAAATCAACGTGATCCAAAAGTTTTCTGGCATGACGAATCTAAGAAATGGATTATGGTTGTTGCAAAGACTCAAGAGTATAAAATTCAAATTTATTCTTCCAAAGATTTGAAAAAATGGGAATGGAAATCTGATTTCAAATCTGGTGGTTATTTAGGATTCCAATACGAATGTCCAGGTTTGTTCAAATTACCAATTGAAAACCCAACCAAAAAGACAAACACTCATAAATGGGTCTTGATTTTCGCTATCAACCCAGGCTCACCATTAGGAGGTTCAATTAACGAATATTTTATCGGTGATTTTGATGGTGAAAAGTTTTCCTCAGATGATGCTGCTAATCGTTTCATGGATATTGGTAAAGATTTCTATGCGTTCCAAACTTTTGAAAACACAGACCCTGAAGATGGTGTGCTTGGTTTGGCATGGGCTACTAATTGGCAATATGCTAATCATGTTCCAACTGAAACTTGGAGAGGATCAATGTCTATGGTTAGAAATTACACTTTACGTTATGTTGATGTTAACCCTGAAAACTATGCACTAACTTTGATTCAAAAGCCTGTTTTCGATACCAAAGAGACAAGAAAGAATGATACCTTAAAATCAATTGATACAGTCAACGAATATGAAGTCACTGATTTGAAGTTGGATAAATATTCGAATGTTGCAACTGATTTCAACAGTTGGAGAAACTCAACAGGTATTCTTGAGTTCACTTTAAAATTCACTCAAACAAAATTTGGGTTCAGCTATTCAAATGATACAACATTTGGTATCTTCATCAACTCTCAAACTGTCAGAGGTACTCAAGAAACATTAAAAGTTGCATTTGATGCCCTAAGTTCAAGTTGGTACGTTGATCGTTCAACACAACATCCTTTCCAAAGAGAAACTTCAATGTTTACTGAAAGGTTATCAACTTATGTTGAAAAAATGGATGAAAGTGACGATGGTATTGAGTTCTCATTACACGGTGTTGTTGATAGAGATATTTTAGAGTTGTACTTCAATGACGGTTCAATTGCAATGACAAGTACATTCTTTTTCAGTCAAGGTAAGATTCCAACCAGTTTAGCAATTGTAACTGATGCTGAAGAATCGTTCATCACTATTAATGAGTTCGTTGTCAAAGAGTTGGGATTTAAATAGAATTACTTTGCTTAGTTAAATTGATTTGATTTGTATTGAAGTCATTAAATAAATCGTAGCGAATGTTCCCCAAACCTCCAGTCCCTTAAAAAGCCAGCAAATTGAATACGTATGGATTATGAATATATAGCATGAAGCAGCCTATTCCTGTTGTACGAGCTTAGATTTTTCTGACATCTATATCCTCATGATTCTTCACCTTCAGTCTTAGTGAGTCCAGCCTTTTCAATAATTTATCGGTTTTGATTCTTCTTTCTTCGGGTGAAAGCCCAATATGCGTTGCTTGTGGCTCTTTAGCAGCATTATTTGGTATGTGTATTGGCTGTGACATTCTCTTATACTTTATGAGTAACACTCTAGTGAACAAAAAAGGGATGTTTTAGGATGTTTGTTCAAGTTTATATGTCAATCTTTAGGTCGCGCTGATAAGCAAAACACAGAATAGATTCGCGGATTCGCGGATTCGCGCATTAGAGACACTTATACGTGAATAAATTAATATTAAAACAAATAAGTATACAAAGTTTTTAAGGGAGGTTAGAACAAAGATGAAAAGATTTTGAATAAGAAAGGAACTTCAACAAGGTTTGCACCAGCATCAAAAGTTGAGATTGCAACCGAAGAAACATTATAGAGGGAAGATGTTGATTGTTGAGAAACTGTGACATATGTTTGGAAAGTGACTGTTGTGTCTTCGTCTGAGCTTATGGATTGCACTAATGAAGATGATGGGATCGGGGTTGATGTAATAGATTGTGTTATTGAGGATGGGGCGTTGGTAGTTGTGGACTCAGCTGATGGGATTGGGATTGATGACGAAACGACAGTCGTTTCAGATGAAGTTGTTGAGGGTTGAGAATCAAGGGTCGTGACAGAAGAAGATGCTGGGATCAATTCAGTTTGGGAAGTTCCATCAGAAGTGTAGTTAGCAGTAGCAGAGCTGGTAGTGGAAACAATTTCGAGTTCAGATGATTGTGATGGTTGTTTTGCTTCAATGGTTGATGGTTTTGAGATTGTGGTTTCAGCAGATGAGGTTTGAACAGTTGATAAAGATGGTGTTTCCAATGAGCTTTGAATAGTTTCTGTTTTTGAAGCAGATTCTTGAGTTGAAGATGGAACAAAAACACTGGTGGTTGTAATCTTGGAGCATGCATTATCAGAACATGATGTGATGGTCTTGATGATGGTTGAGTTTTGCTGTTGATAATATGTTGATACACTTGCGGAAACAGGTTCACTTGAAACTGATGAGACAGATGAAGCTGTGGCTGATGAAACCGAAGTTAATTCACCAGAGGTTGAAACACTAGATGGCAAGACAACTGAACTTGAAGAACTTGAGCTCACAACAGCACATGAAAAGCAAGTTGGTGAAGAAACTGTTGAGTAGGTTGAGCTGTAAATTGTTGAAGATCCATTAGAACTCACTGAACATTGAAGACAAGTAGCTGATGAAACTGTTGAATAAGCTGAAGAGTAAATTGTAGAAGAAAATTTACTTGATGAACTAGCGGATAAAGATGAAGATGTTGAGCTTAATGAAGAAGTGGTTGTTGAGCTAGAACTCGCACTTGAGCTAGATGAAGCTTTGGTGCAGGCAGCGGTTTGGAAAGAACCAGAATAATAACCAGAGGTTAAAATGGTGGTGACAGACAAACTTTCAGTGCTTGGTGAAGGGTAGTAAGTATCAGTAGTAGCACTGTTAGGAGAGTTGTAATCTTTTGCAGCAACAGCTTTTGGAACATCACCAGTAATCTCAACCAAATCTTCACTTCCAGAGGAAGCACCTTGAGCAATAGAAACTTCGGCATTATCAACATCCCAAACAACTAACAAATTTCTTAGGAATTGTGCACCAAGAATAAATTGACTTTGATCACTACTTTTACCTCCATTGAAGAAGTTAGTTGTACATAAAGTATCACCATCTGAATCAGTCAAAGGAGAATCACCATTATAAAGTGAGATCAAGTAGTGTTGAGGTGGATATGAAACTTGTTTACCACTGAAATCAAATTGGACAGGTTTAGCATCAGCACATTTCAATACATAATTCGAGTCAATTGAGCCAGTTGGACCTTCAGCATAACTTTGAATTGGAACTTTGGTTACTTTACCACCAATAGCTTGATGTAGTTGGTGATAAAGTTCATCTGGAATAACATTACCATCAGAACCTGTATCTAAAATCACAGGATAACCATTTTTGTTAACAACACCGCAATCTGTTGAAACACCAGTCAAATACACGATATACATGTTGTAAGCCAAGACAGGGATTTTTTCCAAAGTACCAGAGTATTTAGATTGATCAAGACCACCAAACACAACAGCACCAGAATTCTCTGAGTAATAGGTTGAAAAGACTTTTCTTGAGGTAAATCCATTATGAGCCAAAAAGTTATAAAGAACCGGAGCTTTATCATCACCTGCAATCAAAGCCATACCAACAATGTTTGAGTCACTGTTTGTGTCCTCGAGTAGACCAAATTTGTAATCATCTATAGTAAATCCAGCTATCTCAAGAGTATCATTGAAATAATGACCACCGCCTGATGACCCATCAAGATATGATGCAGTATATGGATCTGTTGTGTTGACAGAGCTTGAAGATTTTGAAGGATCATAAGAGCCATATTGGGAACAGCCATTTTGCTTGCAAAATTCACTATCTTTATAATTTAATGCAAAAGTATATGACCCAGTATCAAATAAGACGGTAACTTCTTGACCAGGTGTACCAACTTCTAATTTACCTTCAAAAATATGTTTACCAGTGATAGGCTCAACGCTACTTTGGTTGAAACCTCTTTTGACAAGTTTATCACCACCCAAGTTAACTTTCAGTATATCAGCACTAGCATTTCCTAATAGTGTAGCAGTGATCAACACCACTAATTGGTTATAACCTAACTTCATATTGATATTATTTTAGGGGAAAAAATAGGTTATAACGAACGTTGGGAAAACAATTTGGGATATTGTGCCATCTTTATATGAGTTTGAGGCTCGGTAGTTCAAAACCACTCTTCAATGTACATCAATAACTAGAGATGCATAATGGGTTGAAAAGAAATTACACCAATTTTTCCATCATGAAGCGAAGGCCTTAAAAAGTTGATTTTTCATCAAAACAAACACAACAATTTCCTCAACATCAACACCTCTTAACCACCATAATAACCTATAAAAGAGCTTGATATCCAATTAATTGACCACATTAATACACCACAATCCCTAGAAACCTCTTTGGATTCCATTGACCATGTTTCTTTGAACGTTGAAAGTGTTGAAAGGTTTTGCATCATCGCTGTGGGATATGCCATTGTCGCGTCCCTTTTAGGAAAGTCTGCGATGAGCCAAAGAAAACCTCAAACCATCACCAACAACTCGCTGGATTATAAAACGTAAACAACCAGAATACCAATTGGGTAAGAATAATTCATTTCAAGTAGAAATCATGGTCTCAATTCCCAAAACAGTGCCCTCTCACTCTTGTTTTGGATGAAATACAGAATGATTTGTACTGGCTTCGCGGAAATGTCGCTTTACGCTTTCTAGGCATAAAACAGGTAAACAATAGGAAACTACAAGTAAATTGTTGTAGAAAAACAGAGTGGACTTGTAAGGAGCATATTGGTAAACTCTAGTGATAACATTCATGTTGATAGCTTGTATTTAGCCTAAGGGTTGGATATACAGAAAAGTTTCTTCGAACGAGTTTAAAATTATGAGAAGCCCAGTGAAGCTCTAGGCTGATCTCTGCCCGGACTCTAGAGGGACTTCTGCCCGTGTCTGTACCATCTCTTGAACACCGGGTAACCTTTTAGACTTTGATTTTTAGACGCGTAAAGGCAAAACATAACAAAAGATACAACCCTGGGGCCTTATCCAGTGTGATTCAGCTGATCCTAAAGTATCATTAGATAAGATGCCTACTACAGCTAGTAGCACACCTGTGCGTCGTTCACAGCGTATCAAGGAGATTGTCTCTTCACAACCCGTTGTTGATGATGAAACAATTGAAGGTGACGGATATGAAGATGAAGATGAAGACGAAGATGAAGATGAGGATGAAACCCCAAGAAAGAGAAGAAAAACTGGGCCAGCTGGTAAAGCGATAAAAGAAGCTCCCTCAAAGAAAGGTAGAAAAAGCGCTGCTGATACATTCAATGAGCTGAAAGAGAATTTTGAAGAGAATTACATATTTCAGGCTTTGAATGATGCTGAAGTTTCTATCTCTGAATTAGCTAATGACTGGGTTCAAACATATAAAGCTCATAAAGATTTGGCTAAAAAGGATTTGATCAATTTGATTTTGAATGCTGTTGGGTGTTTCACCAAAATTGAAGAGCATGATGTTTCTAACAATGAAAGTGCTTCAGAAACTGTGTCAGAAATTCAAACATTCTTTAAACGTCAAAAAAATCATGAATTCTACCTTGCATCCAAAAAACCAGCATATAAGCATTTGAAAAAGAATTTCATTAATTTCATGAATGAAATCATCTCAATCAGTGATGAAAATGGGCTATTGTATGAAAACATTGTTATCAGTGAAGAAGATGATGAAGATGTCGAAGAACCGGAAGATTCAAACCTTATGGAAGATTTACTTATATGGCTGTCTTCCTTCTCCGTCTCATACATCAGAGCACTGAGATACATTTCCACTTTATCATTATTGAATATTGAAACAACACTATGCCGTATTATTGTTAAAGTCAATTCATCATTGGAGAAATTCAAACATCAATTAGAAGTTGAACAGAAAAAGGCTACATCCACTTCAAAGGCTGCAAAGAAAAGAATTGCCCAAATAGAATCTAACGTGACCCAATACAGTAATCAATCCTTGATTTTGGAAAATACAATTCAAGATATTCTCAATACTACATTTATTCATAGATTCAAAGATATTGATTATCAAATCAGAGTTGAAGCAATGGGTGCCTTAGGTGAATGGATGGATACTTATCCTGAACTTTTCTTTAAAGTTACTTATTTGAAATATCTTGGGTGGGTTTTGTCAGATGAAAATGCAAGTGTTAGATCCCAGGTTATCAAAACATTGATCAAATTATTGAAGAAAAATATCATTGTTACAGGATTAAGACAGTTTTTTGAAAGATTCAAAACAAGAGTTATTGAAATTGCCTTCCATGATGTGGATCATCATGTTAGAACTAGTGCTATCAACCTACTTATTGAAATTAATAAAGTTGGATTTTTGGAAGATGAAGAAATAGGGAAAGTTAGTTCATTAATTTTCAGTTCAAAAGATTCTAAAATTATTCAACTCGTTTCAAAGTTCATTCAAACAGTGGAGTCTGAAAATACTAAAGCTACATTGGAAGCCTTATCTGTGAATATCAAGAGTAGTGAAAAATTATTCCCAATCAACTTGAGAGACTTGATCAAAATCCATAACTTGATTGAAATTTTAACAGTTGCCAATGAAGTTTATAGTGAAAATCAACCAAAACAAAGCCTCGTGAAATCAAATGACCTGAAACCCTCATTATTTGCTATTGCTGGTAAGGAGCTTTTCGCTCTATCTGCTTATTCAGAGTATTGGGAATTCTTGATTAGATACTATTTATTAGATATAAGTTCTATTGAGGTTGCAGATGATGAATTAATTAAAGCTATCCAATTAACTGCGGAACAAGAAACCATATTGTTTGGTATCATTCATGGAAGTTTGATCCATTTGAAACAAGTTGAAGATGAATTAAAGAAAAAAAAGAAAGATGATGTTGATGATGCTTCAAGTCAAAGACTAATCTCTCATTTACCTTTAATTTTGAAAAAAGTTGAAAATAACGATACAAATTTATCCACATTTATTCAAATTCTTTCAATTTATAATATTGAATTTTTTGAAAATTTCAACCAAGCAAATGTTTATAAATCCATATTCCAAGAATTAACCAAACATTTCAAAAACAATTCAATTGAAACATTAAAGAATGAATATATTCATTTATTCAAGATTTTATCAGATTCATCAGGTTCAACCACAATTGGTGAAATTAATGTCCTTTTCAAGGACACAATCACTGAATTAATCATTGAATTTGAAAACTTGTTGAAAGATTCAGATTTTGAACTTTCAAGCTCAACCATACGAACCATCCATGAAGACTACTCATTCAAATTATTAGTCCTTGGGTTACAATATGATATCAGTGAAGTTTTCAAAACTTTTGAAATGGTTAAAGATAAGATTTTCACATTTTTACCAGATTTTGAAATTGAAGATGAAGATGTTGAACCTTTATCATCATTATTGAAAATATACTTATCATCAACTTCATGGAAGTTAAATTTCTTGCTACACACAAATGAACCATTAAACGTTGAAACTGAACTATCACAAATCCCTGTTTTCATTCAAGAAATTCAATATTTATTAACAAAGACCAATGTTATAAAGTTTCAAACTGAGGTTGCCTCTGTTTTGATCGATTTATCCACATTACTCAAGAATTTCTTCAATGAACCAAACACAAACTTGACAAATCTTAATAGATTTTATGATATTGATCTTTCTTCACTTTCATTATCTCAAGACACAATAGACTCATTGCTTTATCTGTTCTTATACAAGGAGGCAATTTTTGCAAATTTGAATGAAGTGCATCTAGATAGAGAAGATGATGAAGATGTTAATTTGAATTCTGTCAAATTGGATGTTTCTGAATTGGATACTGAAGAGTTAACTAGTGTTAATTGGGATGCTGAAAAGGATATGGTAGTTTACGGTGTGAAACTGTTAGGATTGTACAAGGTTGGTATTTTAAGTTCCAAAATTGTGAAGAGAATCGAGTTGAATAAAGAAGAGTTGGGCGATTTGTTTAAAAGTGTTTTCGAAGGTGTTAATATTAATGATTCAACTCCTGTTGCTAGTGCTGCAAATATTACCCAATCAAAAGAGGAGGAACAAGATGATGAGATTCCAGAGATAGCTATGGATGATTAATGTACTAATGAGAAGGGAAGTATGCTAAATATGTAATACTATGTTTGATAATATGAGAGTGTAGTACAATATTAATGTATCAGAAAAAAAAAATCACATATACTAAAACAAAATTAAATTTACTCTATAAAATTAATTCTAAAATTCTAAAGGAAATAATATCAATCTAGAAAAATCTAATCAACTTCTTCAACAGTTGGACCTTCATTTTCTGGAGCTGGAGGAGCACCACCTGGGAAACCACCTGGAGCAGCACCACCTGGGGCACCACCGTTTTCTTGGTAGAATTTGGTCAAGATTGGGTTAGCAACTGATTCCAATTCTTTTTGTTTATCAGTGTATTCATCAGTAGCAGCAGATTGGTTTTCATCTAACCATGAGATGGTTGAGTCAATAGCTTCAGTTAATTGTTTCTTTTCATCTTCAGAAACTTTTGAAGTGAAAGCTTCTTCACCAGTGGTGTTTTTCAATGAGAAAGCATAAGATTCCAAACCGTTCTTAGCACCGATTCTGGCAGCTTCTTTTTCATCTTCTTCTTTGTATTTTTCAGCTTCTGAAACCATACGTTCAATATCTTCTTTTGATAATCTACCTTTATCGTTGGTGATGGTAATTTTGTTTGATTTACCAGTACCTTTTTCAACAGCAGAAACGTTCAAGATACCATTAGCATCAACATCGAAGGTAACTTCGATTTGTGGAACACCTCTTGGAGCTGGTGGGATACCTGATAATTCGAATTTACCCAACAAGTTGTTATCTTTTGTTCTAGCTCTTTCACCTTCAAAGACTTGAATCAAGACACCTGGTTGGTTATCAGCATAAGTTGAGAAGGTTTCAGATTTTTTGGTTGGAATGGTGGAGTTTCTTGGAATTAATTTAGTCATAACACCACCAGCGGTTTCAATACCCATAGATAATGGAGCAACATCCAATAATAATAAATCTTGGGTTTTTGATGATTGATCACCAGTCAAGATAGCAGCTTGGACAGCAGCACCGTAAGCAACAGCTTCATCTGGGTTAATTGATCTGTTTGGTTCTTTACCGTTGAAGAATTCAGAAACTAATTTTTGAACTTTTGGAATACGAGTAGAACCACCAACTAAGACGATTTCATCAACTTGTGATTTATCTAAAGCAGCATCTCTTAAGACTTTTTCAACTGGGTCTAAAGTAGATCTGAATAATGAAGCACATAATTCTTCAAATCTAGCTCTGGTGATTGAAGTGTAGAAATCAATACCTTCAAATAAGGAATCAATTTCAATTGAAGTTTGAGCTGATGATGACAAAGTACGTTTAGCACGTTCACAAGCAGTTCTTAATCTTCTTAATGATCTTTGGTTACCAGAGATATCTTTTTTGTTTTTACGTTTGAATTCAGCAACGAAATGTTCAACCAATTTATGATCGAAATCTTCACCACCTAAATGAGTATCACCAGCAGTAGCTTTAACTTCAAAGATACCATCTTCAATGGCTAATAATGAAACATCAAAAGTACCACCACCTAAATCGAAAATTAAAACATTTTTTTCACCTTCATCTTTTTTATCTAAACCATAAGCAATGGCAGCAGCAGTTGGTTCGTTAATGATACGTAAAACGTTTAAACCAGCAATTAAACCGGCATCTTTAGTAGCTTGTCTTTGAGAATCGTTGAAATAAGCTGGGACAGTAACAACAGCATCGTTAACTTTGGTACCCAAGAAAGATTCAGCAGTTTCTTTCATTTTAGTTAAAATCATTGATGAGATTTCTTCTGGAGTAAAAGTTTTAGATTCACCTTTGAATTCAACTTGAATTTTTGGTTTAGTAGCATCGTTAACAACTTTGAATGGGAAATGTTTGATATCATTTTGAACTTCTGAATCATCAAATTTTCTACCAATTAAACGTTTAGCATCGAAAACGGTGTTAGCTGGGTTCATAGCAGCTTGATTCTTAGCAGCATCACCGATTAATCTTTCGGTATCAGTGAAGGCAACGAAAGATGGGGTGGTTCTGTTACCTTGATCATTGGCGATAATTTCGACACGATCGTTGGAAAAGTGTGCAACACAAGAGTAGGTAGTACCTAAATCAATACTAGAAGTTTGTTAGTAAATAAGGTCTTTGATATTGAAATAGGGAGGAGAAACTTGATTCAAAGCTGGTTTCTTCGTTCGAAGAGATGCGAAGTTCCTCAATTGAACCCAATAAACAGGTGGCCAAAAGAACCAATTTTCTTCAACGTCGAAGCCAATCCAGATCTTGCCCCAACAACCCTAATGAAACCGCTTCAATTGAAACCATTTTCTCCTCTCTTTCCTCAATGGTGACATACCCAACAGCTTTACTCATTTTTGTAATATGTTCTAGTTGATGTTTTAAAACAAGAATTGAAATGGAAAGAAGAGAAAAGAGAAAGTGGACGTCATGGCTTTTGTATATGATTTTTTTTTCAAAAAAACGTCGAGGTTTCAGTTTTTTTTTCTTCTAGAAAATTCCATTGAGATGGCGACCGGGGCTGCCTAACCGCGGGCTAGGCAGAGAGAAGCGTAGAAGGAGCCAGAAGGAGGGCTAGGCAGAGGTCTGTGTAAATGCTAGACGGAGAGAGATGATACAATATTCAAAAGGTATTTCACAATTAATTAATGATCTGTATATAGTATAAAAAAGAGAGGTGTATGGAATATTCAGTTCACTTGGTCTTTTCCTCAGCTTCTCTGACCAAACTGAACGAGCCAATGCTCTTCAATCCACGTTTAAAAGAGCCCCATTGTGCCTTGACAACTGGTGGGACATTTTGAGCACTAACCAATCCATCAATTCTAACTTCCCAGTTCTTCAAGGTACTTCTTGTAAAGACTGATCTTTCAGTTTTGATCTTGATGAATAAAGAGTACAAAATCAATGAGATCCATGAACCTTTTCTCCAAAACAATGCTCTGAATATCAATTGAATCAATAATAACAATTCAAAATTGGCAGCTAATCTTCTTGAACGTTCATGATGGATTTTAGCAAAATTTGAAACTTTTGCATTTAAAGCACTTGAAACATTCAAAGCTGGTAAAATCTCAGTAGCACTGAAACTTAAAACATGGAATATTGAAAAGAATAAAAAAGGTGCAGTTGCTAAAGTTCTTCTTGGTAAAATCAACCAAATTAATCCATCATACAAGTAATGAACATTATCATCTTGTAATAACAAACCATAAGATAATGAACCTGTTGTAGTTTTATATTTCGATAAATTTTCATACAAAACAATACCAAAAGTGTCCAATGCGCCGATAAATACAAATTTATACCATGTCAAGTTTAACCAACCACCAGATTTGTATGATAATAAATACAAAATAGTGTTGAAAACAACAACAACATTTCCAACAAACCATGCAGTTCTAGGATATGAGGCCTTTTTAAAATAAGTTAGTGACTTCTCTTTTCAATTGAATAACATAATGCACTTACATTTACAACTTGTAACAAGTTTTCAATTGGTGATGATTTCTTTAAAGGTGTACTTGATCCAGTGGAACCGGTTGTTGAGGTAGCTTCACCACCACGGATTGGTTTTTCCTCTTGTCTTGGAATGGTTTGTGCCATATTCAGCCTATTTCACAACGAATTGAATTATAATGATTCAAATGTGAGTTAAGGGGATGGTGGTGTATAAATAAGTGCTTGAAATTGATCTTGTGATGCTGTTGTTGCGATTGCTTTTCAAAATGACACAAATATTTCGCACCGCCTCGAAACGGAAGTGGTTACGGGCGATGGTGGACTTTGTAATGGATGGATTCAAATATTCAAATTGTACTGATACAATTGAATTGAAGGCTATCAGGTTATAAGTGGACCGCCAAACACACGACCAAGATACATTCTTCTTCAAACATGCTTCATTTGATACAACCCGAACTTTCCAATTTTATTTCTTCGAATGTATTGTTAAGCCAAAGGTGGTCAAACTGTTTATTTTGGTGATTTAGGTAAAAATTGTCAAAGTTTGATTGATTATTTTTGCTACAAAATGTCCTCCAGATGCTAATCCAGCTGATTCGATGCTACACGTTATTGGTGCTGCTCCTGGCTCTCACGCTAATCAATAAGCTTGACTACAATCTTCAATACATCAAGAAGTTTTACAAGAGTTGGATAAATTTGTATTTAATGATCTTCAATCCACTTCTTGAACAAGGACTACCAACATTTGTTGAACAAAGAGGTCTTTATGAGACTAGGGAACGTCCTTCAAAAACGTTTTCATGGAAGGCATTTATTGCTGCTCAAATCACTGCTGAAATTCCATGGAATGCATTAGTCGGTACTGCTGCTTTTTTCTGTTTTTACTATCCTGTTGGCTTCTACAACAATGCTTCTCCAAGTGGTACTGCAGCTGTTAACCAAAGAGGTGCTTATGCTTGGTTCTTTAATGTTTTGTTTTATATTTATATTGGTACTACTTCTCATCTTGTCATGGCACCATTGGAGTTGACAGAATCTGCTGGTAATGTTGGTTATTTGATCTTTACTTTAGGTTTAACTTTCTGTGGGGTATTGGTTAGTTTGGATAAACTTCCTGGATTTTGGAAATTTATGTATCAGGTTTCACCATTCACTTATATTGTTGATGGGTTTTTATCAAATGGTCTTGCAAATAATAGAGTGCAATGTTCTTCCACTGAATTAGTTCGTTTCAGTCCATCAACAGGTTATAATTGTGCACAGTATATGGAATCATACATTACAAAAGCAGGTGCAGGTTACTTAGCGGACCCATTTGCTACTGAGAACTGTGAATTTTGTGCTATTTCATCCACTAATGATTTCTTGAGAGTTGTTGGGGTTAGCTATGATAGAAGATGGAGAAACGTTGGTATTTTCATTGCATTCATCTTTTTCAATATTATTGGTGCTACTTTCTTGTATTGGTTAGCTAGAGTTCCAAAGAAAGCAGATAGAGTGAAATGTGTCAAAAAAGAAGGTGAAGTGAATGTTCCACAATCTGAATATTCCAAGTCAATGATTGATAAAGAAGATTCTACAATTGTCTAACAGTACCATTATCACGCATGTATAAATAAATTATAATATATAGTAATATCAAGATAAATAGCAGCACCAAAAATATAACATTGGATTGTTGAAACATCATATAATATTAACGGTCAAATTAATTGATAGAAACTCTTCATTATCAGGTGCCAATGCAAAATTAATTGAAGTTTAATTGGAAGTGTTATTGTTTTCATTCAATATTTTGCTGTAAAACCTAATGAGTTCTCTGGTCAGATTTCTGTGGTCTTGTCTACCAACAGATCTATGTATCTTGGAACAAACGTCTTTCCCTTTTATACTGTTTCTCAAGTTCTTCAATGTCCATTTGGGCTTGTTTTGAAATATCACCTCTTGAAGCTCCGTTACCAAGTTTTTGAATCAAAAATGTTTTTGTTTGAAGATATGTATCTTTGTTTTTTTCTTTGACAAAGGCAAGAAATGAAGGGGTGGACATCTTAATATTATATTTGAATGAATTGGTGGATGTTTGGATTGAAGCAGTACCTAAAGGCCTGTAGGAGGATACACTAACAGAAAGTAATAAATAAGCGCTTTCCTATGAATAATGCTTTTGAAATTAAGAAAAATGGTTAAATTTTGTTGACACAAAACCAACTTTCATCACGTGCAAGTCACGTGAACGCCATCTCGAATCGGAGGTCGGAAGCACAAAAACACCAACTTTGAACAGCAATAACTCGAGTTACAAATAATCAGTAGCAATCACACTACAGCACGTTCATATTGACGTCGAACCGATTCGTTCCATGTAGGTCACATGTTCGAAATAAGTTTTTGCCCCTCCTTCAAGAATTTTTATAATAATATTTAGATATAATTAGATATATTAATAATATTGTTTAGATAGTAATATTTGTTTAGATTAGATTATGCAGTTTAGCTGTAGATAATTAGCTGATCATTAAGATTATAATTAAGATATTTAGAATTAATTATATTAGATTAATATTAAGATCATGTTCGATCATGATATAAATCTAAAACAGAAACGTTACATGAGTACAGCTAGCTGGATTTTGTCCCTTTGTAGGAAAGTACACTAGCATGAATAAACAAAAATATATAGAAGAGCTGATTAATTAATGCTGCAATACGAATAAAAGATAGGATCACAAAATGATATAAAGAGATATTTAACACTGTATTAGTGTAAGTCCGAACTATAACCATCAGGGGAATGAAGCAGTGAAAATAACTTACCTCACTGCGTTCTAAAACTTCAAAGCGGGCTTTTTCACCACAATCATCTTTGTCTTCATTATTTCAAAATCGTCTCTTCTCATAATACTGTCAGTCTTGGGACTGAAAGTGATCAAAGAAGTATCGATATGATCCGATGAATTGATAGTCATTGCCTTCATCAACACATCAACCAAATGTTCCACTTCATTTTTGGTTAATAATTCTTTAGCAACTTGTATATACCCTTTCATATACGTCTCTTCAACCTCACCTTCACGTTCTTGTGTTACTGAAAGCTCTTCTTGAAGCTTTCCAGCAACTTCATTAACTATTTTAGCACATAAGTTGATACAATTGAATTGTTGGATATCAGAATCATGAATCGGCCATGGGTCTGGAATCATAATAACATCGACCCCAAATAAACGATCGAAATTTATTTTTCTTTGAACATGATTCATTTGATACAACCCAAAATTTTCAATCATTTCTTCAAATGAATTTTTTATTTCTTTTCTTGAATTCTTTACAATATTGGACCTAGTTCCATCCAGAAAATACTTTATGAACAAAGAACTAAGTAACAACTGCTCTAAAATTTCATGATTTTGTTCTTGTGCTTCACAAACAAAATCCTCAAACGATCTCACCGTCTGGAAAAAATAAATGGTATCATATTTCAACTTCAACGGATTAGAACATGCAGGTACATTATCTGAAGCTTGGAGTACTTCTAAATGTTTTGATAATACATCATCAATATATGGTGTTAAAAAATTACCACCAAGTTTGAACGGTTTAGGTCTTATTGAGAGATAGTTTGTCTTGTCAATCTTTGTATACTTCTCTAGCTTAGATCCAAATAGTGTATTCTTTGAAGTTCTAGATGTTTGAATTTCATCAAGAAAGAGCAAGTCAACGTCAAATACTTTGACGTATTTTTTCATAATCGAATTCTCATTATTCATTATCCTTTCACAAAATGATAAAACAGACTCAACACTTGAAAATACATGAGTATCATAATTTTTTGAATACTGTTCCATATCTTTCATTTTCTTTTGAAAATCAAAATTTAAAACTTGATAATCTGTACAAAGAGCTCTTTCATAGAATCCTTGCACTTTTTTAATCGCTTTTTGTTCACGACAAATATAGCGTTTCTGTTCTTCATCAACTCCTTCAAGTTGTATTTCTTTAATATAACGTTCAAACTCATCAGTCTCCAACATCAACATCTTTACCATAACCCCTTTTCTACCAAAATCATCTATAATGGGACTGTTATCCCCTTCTGTAGCACGGAGATGACTTAAATAGGAGAGGTTAACAATACTGAAAAGATTTTGTAAATAGTGCTCTGAAGAGTCAAAACTTTTGATATATTTTGTAGAACTTAATGGAATAAGTGCATAGAATTTTGAAGGTATATCCACTTTCCCAACAAGTAATTCAAGGAATTTTTTATTCAATGTCAACACTTTAAGGAAATTTTTATCTCTAATTTTCACATTTTGATCAAATCTATCAAATTTAGCCAAATAGATAAAGATTTCAACCAAAATCTCATCAGGTAATTTCTGATTCGATGGCTCTTGCCTTTTAGTTATTGGTCTTGATGGCATCGTTTACTTGGAAATTTGATTTTTGAGATGATGGATGAAGCAAAAGACAGCTGTGGGATGTGTAATTCAGACTTATACTTATTTAAGTTCTCATGTATCTGTTGTTGGTTTGATGAGATGTTTTCATCAAAGCACTCTAGTTTTGCAAAAACAGTTGGAAAAGGTGGTAGAGGTGATAAGCTGGTTGGTAGACTCTCCCATGATGTGTGAAAGCATCGCTTTGAACTCTTGAACTGATAGCCATTTATTACCTATATCCAGAAGACAGTTTGAAAGTTTTCTCTCCATATACAAAACAAATTCGCGAATTAAGAAAAGGTATACGAATCACAAGCCCATAAGAAACGATGAGAACGAGACAATTTAGTAATATTCATACAAAGAGTAACAGTTGTACTCTATTTATTCAAGTAACCAAATAAAACTATTCTAGCATACACCTTCCAGAATGAGAAGCTTCATTGCCTCACTGTTAATCTATCTCGGGGTTAGTCGGTCTTGGGCTAAGTGATGTTTGGCAACGGGTGCATCCATTAATTTCCGAGTAAAAGAGGTTTGAATTGTTTGATCGTTGGCATAATATCAATATCAGAGTCCAGCTATCCTGTTAATTAGTAGCTAGGATCTTAACCTTTGATGGGCTTACCATTTGCTGGCCATCTGTTGAAGGAGCGTACTATAATTGAATAATGTACTTACTACTGATCCTAAACTCCATAGTGAACAATGTGTAGCATATTTACACTATGACAAATCGCCATTAATCATCATGCCAAGCTGTTCTTAATATTCGTACATGTTCTAAACTTGTGTTAGTTCTGCAGAGTTTCACTTGTACGAGCTAGAAGTGCTCGTGCTCAGAAATTCGGCCGAATATTTGTAGGTGGATGTTGAGCCTAACACAGCTCATTTGTTCTTGACTCAGTGATGTTTTGCTGTGTAGAAAATAATCAGCATGAACCTATTTCAAAGAGCATCTATGTATAAATAAGACCCTGTGTTTCCTTGATGTTTGAGATTGGTTAAAATGCTTTGGGAGGCGTTAAAGAAGAAAAACTTCAAAAATGTCAGATCACAACAAAGAAAACAATCTTCACAACAATTCACAACAAAACACACTCAATGATTATAATGGATTTGACTCCAATGTTGACCAAAGTATACATGAACTCGCCAGAAGATTAACAAACGCTTCACAAAAATATCCAGAACTGGGTGTTGATGGTGATGATGTCTTGTCAACAACCTCTTCAATAGCGCCTGGTGTCGTGACAGTCAACAATTCAGATGTTGATCCTCGTCTAGACCCAAGCTCAGATGATTTCAACTCTCGTTATTGGATAAAGAATTTCAAAAGAGTCATGGATAAGGATCCAGATCATTTCAAGCATTATTCATTAGGAATTGTTTACAAAAACTTGAGGGCTTTAGGTGATGCTACTGATGCTGATTATCAAACAACTGTTTTAAACGCCCCATTAAAATATGTTCAGAAATCTTTGAAATCGGTCTTTTCATCTAAAGAATCTAAACATACCCAACAATTTGATATTTTGAAACCAATGGATGCTAATGTCAAGCCTGGTGAAGTTGTTGTTGTCCTTGGTAGACCAGGCTCTGGTTGTTCAACTCTTTTGAAAACAATAGCTGCAAATACACATGGGTTCCAAGTCGGTGAAGAGTCACAGATTAGTTATGAAGGTGTTAAGCCTCAAGATATTAAAAAACACTATAGAGGTGAAGTTATTTATAATGCTGAAACTGATATTCATTTCCCGCATTTAACAGTTTGGCAAACTTTATCATTGGCTGCAAAATTTAGAACTCCTCAAAATAGAATTCCTGGTATCTCTAGAGAGGATTATGCAAACCATTTAACTGAAGTTTATATGGCAACTTATGGGTTATCACATACTAGAAACACAAAAGTTGGTAATGAAGTTGTTCGTGGTGTTTCAGGTGGTGAACGTAAAAGAGTTTCAATTGCCGAAGTTTCATTATCTGGTGCTAGATTACAATGTTGGGATAATGCCACTAGAGGTTTAGATGCTGCTACTGCCTTGGAATTCATTAGAGCTTTAAGAACTCAAGCTGATATATTGGATACTACAGCTTTTGTTGCCATTTATCAATGTTCTCAAGATGCTTATGATTTATTTGATAAAGTTTCACTCTTGTATGAAGGTTATCAAATTTATTTTGGTAGAGCTGATGAAGCTAAGGGTTATTTTGTGAAAATGGGGTACCATTGTCCCGCTCGTCAAACTACTGCTGATTTTTTAACTTCAATCACTTCACCAAGAGAAAGGGTTGCCTCAAAAGGGTATGAACAAAGAGTCCCCAAAACTCCAAAGGAATTTGAGCAATACTGGAAAGAATCACCAGAATATGCCCAATTGATTAAAGATATTGACTCAACTTTGATCAAGCAAAAACAAGAAAATTCCCAAGATGTTATCAAATCTTCACACAATCAAAAGCAGTCAAAACATTTGAGACCTGGTTCTTCATATACAGTTTCATTTTGGATGCAAGTTAGGTATTTATTAATTCGTGATTTCCAAAGAATTTTAAATGATTTAGGGTTCAACCTTTTCCAAGTCTTTGCCAATTCTTTAATTGCACTTGTTTTATCTTCAATTTTTTACAATATGCAAAAAACTACTGGATCATTTTTTTATCGTGGTGGTGCTATGTTTTTTGCCCTTGTGTTTAATGGGTTTCAATCCTTTATTGAAATCATGACTCTTTTCGAAGCCAGACCAATCATTGAAAAACATAAACAATATTCATTATACCATCCATCAGCAAGTGCATTGTCATCAATCATATCACAACTCCCTTCCAAAATGATCATTTCAGTTGCCTTCAATTTAATTTTTTACTTTATGGTGAATTTTAGAAGAGATCCTGGTCGGTTCTTTTTCTATTACTTGATGAATATAACTGCAACTTTTTCAATGTCACATTTATTCCGTCTTGTCGGTTCAGCTTCATCTACACTACCTGCCTCGCTTGTCCCTGCACATTTCCTTTTGTTAGCTTTAATGATCTTTACAGGGTTTGTTATCCCAGTCAATTATATGCTTGGTTGGTCACGCTGGATAAATTATTTGAATCCTTTGGCTTATGCATTCGAGGCTTTGATGGTTAATGAATTTAGTGGTAGAGAATTCGAATGCTCTTCATTCATACCCGGTGATCCAAGAACTACTCCAGGGATCCCTTCAAATGGGTTCGTTTGTGACTCTGTTGGTGCTGAAGTTGGTTCTTTTACTGTTTCTGGTTCAACATATTTGGAGACAGCTTATAAATACAGAGCTTCTCATAAATGGAGAAATTGGGCAATTAACTTGGGTTTCACGTTGTTTTTCCTAGCTGTTTATATGATCTTCAGTGAATATAATGAAAGTGCTATGCAAAAGGGGGAAGTTTTATTGTTCCAAAGATCAACTTTGAAAAAATTAAAGAAACAACATGGTGATATTAAAAATGATCTTGAAGCTGGTTCTGAGAAGCAAATCACTGAACAAGATGAAGAAGAAGGTGAACAAAATGTTGATGTTATCCATGCAGGTACTGATATTTTCCATTGGAGAGATGTTCATTACTCCGTCAAGATTAAGAAGGAGACTCGTGAAATTTTGAATGGTGTTGATGGTTGGGTTAAACCAGGTACTTTAACTGCCTTGATGGGTGCTTCAGGTGCTGGTAAAACTACATTATTGGATGTTTTAGCTAATAGAGTCACCATGGGTGTTGTTACTGGTAATATGTTTGTTAATGGTCATTTGAGAGATAATTCATTCCAAAGATCAACTGGTTATGTTCAACAACAAGATTTACATTTGAAAACTGCAACTGTTCGTGAAGCTTTACAATTTTCTGCTGATTTGAGACAACCAAAAGACGTTTCCAAGGCTGAAAAGGATGCTTATGTTGAAGAAGTTATCAAGATCTTGGATATGGAAAAATATGCTGATGCCGTTGTTGGTGTTGCAGGTGAAGGTTTGAATGTTGAACAAAGAAAAAGATTAACCATTGGTGTTGAATTAGCTGCTAAACCGAAATTGTTATTATTCTTGGATGAACCTACTTCTGGTTTAGATTCTCAAACTGCTTGGTCTATTTGTCAATTGATGAGAAAATTAGCTAATCATGGTCAAGCTATTTTATGCACTATTCATCAACCTTCAGCTATTTTGATGCAAGAATTTGATAGGTTATTGTTTTTAGCCAAAGGTGGTCAAACTGTTTATTTTGGTGATTTAGGTAAAAATTGTCAAAGTTTGATTAATTATTTTGAAAACCATGGTGCTCAAAAATGTCCTCCAGATGCTAATCCTGCTGAATGGATGTTACATGTCATTGGTGCTGCTCCTGGATCTCATGCAAATCAAGATTATCATCAAGTTTGGTTGCAATCTTCAGAACGTCAAGAAGTCTTGCAAGAATTGGATAGATTGGAAACTGAATTAGTCAAATTACCTCGTGATACTTCAGTTGGTCAAGAAGAATATGCAGCTCCATTATGGAAACAATATGTGATTGTTACAAAGAGAATATTTCAACAACATTGGAGATCTCCTATTTATATCTGGTCCAAAATGGTGTTGGCTGTTGTTTCTTCATTGTTTATTGGGTTCTCATTTTTCAAGGCTAAAAACACAAGACAAGGTTTACAAAATCAAATGTTTGGGTTCTTTATGTATTTAATGATCTTCAATCCACTTCTTGAACAAGGACTACCAACATTCGTTGAACAAAGAGGTCTTTATGAGACTAGAGAACGTCCTTCAAAAACTTTTTCATGGAAGGCATTTATTGCTGCTCAAATCACTGCTGAGATTCCATGGAATGCATTAGTCGGTACTGCTGCTTTTTTCTGTTTTTACTATCCTGTTGGCTTCTACAACAATGCTTCTCCAAGTGGTACTGCAGCTGTTAATCAAAGAGGTGCTTATGCTTGGTTCTTTAATGTTTTGTTTTATATTTATATTGGTACTACCTCTCATCTTGTCATGGCACCATTGGAGTTGACTGAATCGGCTGGTAATGTTGGTTATTTGATTTTCACTTTAGGTTTAACTTTCTGTGGGGTGTTGGTTAGTTTGAACAAGCTTCCTGGATTTTGGAAATTCATGTATCGGGTTTCGCCATTCACTTATATTGTTGATGGGTTTTTATCGAATGGTCTTGCAAATAATAGAGTTCAATGTTCTTCTACTGAGTTGGTTCGTTTCAGTCCACCATCAGGTTATAATTGTGCACAATATATGGAATCTTACATTACAAAAGCAGGTACAGGTTATTTGGCTGATCCATTAGCTACTGAAAACTGTGAATTTTGTGCTATTTCATCCACTAATGATTTCTTGAGAGTTGTTGGGGTCAGCTACGATAGAAGATGGAGAAACGTTGGTATTTTCATTGCATTTATCATTTTCAATATTGTTGGTGCTACTTTCTTGTATTGGTTAGCTAGAGTTCCAAAGAAAGCAGATAGAGTGAAATGTGTGAAGAAAGAAGGTGAAGTGAATGTTCCACAATCTGAATATTCCAAGTCAACGATTGAAAAAGAAGATTCTACAATTGCCTAACAAGAATCTGATCTCACATGTACATATGCAATTAATACAAGTAGATTTAACTAATTAATAATAGCCTATTTAGCTTAAACGAGCACTTTTCATCTTGATTATTCTCACAAAAAGCCTATAATATAGTTTCGTTTCGCGAATTTTCTAATTTCGAATCGCCATTTTGCTGAAATCAGTTTTTTAGGCCATAATTGTAATCAACGTTTTATTTTGTAATTTTTCCATAGGCATATTTAATGAGTATGCTTCATATAAATAGCTTATTTTCCATTAATATTAGCTTTTTTTTCTACTACTTAAGTCTACTTAAAGATTGATGTCTTAGTCAGCATGTTAGTTTAGATTATGTAATTAGTATAATTTCTTACGTAACATTCTGCATCTCACCCCCTACGCCAGGTTTTGTGAGATGCCTGTCACAAATTATGGCTCTTCGATGTGTGAGACGCCAAAAATCGTGGACGCATACCTCTCGGAAATGCCTCTCAATAAAATCACAACAAAACATAAATAAAAGAACAAATAGCGGTGCTTTTGGCTGTTGATTGATTAGATCATGTGTTTGGGCTTTTCAGGCTTTCCATTTTTGTTTGGTTTTGCATTGTTTTGATGTTTTTCTTCTACAGCTCAGCGGCTAGCAAAAAGAGAGATGTGTTGGTCTGATTTCTTCTTCTTGAACAACTTCATCCTGTAAAGTTATACTCGAGCTCTAGTTACTGGTTATGAGACTGATCTGGTGCTTATTCTGGGTTCAAGCTGCTCTTTGTCAGTCTTCATATGAAGACATCTTTTATGATATTCTTCCCAAAAGACTACAGACTACAAATGTTGCAATAGCTGCTAGCACAAGATTATATGCCAACAGATATGTTGATGTCAAAGACTTGGTTGAAGACTTGATTGGTGATCCTCATTATGTGAACAGTTTTGATTTCAGCAAGCCGTATGACTATGCTCATCAAGATTATAACGCAAGTGCAAGTAAATCAACTTCAGAGTTGTCAAATGAAATTGAAAAGGGTCTTTACACCAAGTTGTTGGAAATATATCAAAGTTTCCAAAGAATATATTCCATACTTGGAGATATGACCATTGATGACTTTGTTGCTATATATGATTATATTTATGGGGATATACCACCAGATGAAGTCATAACTACTCTGGGTGATGTCGATAAAGAGCCCGATGAACTATTTGAAAACATGTTTGAGTTTAACAATGGGTTTGAACCTAAATTTGAACAAATTTATCCGCTGATTCCATTTGTTGATGTTGATGATTATCAAGAACTGAGCCCTGGATCAACTACTGGTGATGATGAGGTTCAAGCACAGTTATTGTTGACGTTGATAAAGATTCCATTGCTTATCATCAAGATTATTCTAAAGATCATTTGGTTACTCATTGAATTGAAGAAATATATTGAATTGATAGAGACGAAAATCATCCTATACATTATCAAAATCATCCAAAAGATTTGCAAAATCATTATGAGAATCAAAAAAAAGATATCAAAAATCGTCAAAGACTTTAAAAACTTATACATTCCTTATCTTATTGCTAAAAAGATTAAGGCAATCATTTTACTCATAATCAAAAAGTTGAGAATTTTGTGTTGGGAATTACAAGATATTCTTTATAGATATAAATGGAAGACAATTTTCTTGATCAAGCATGCAGAGAAGAAATTCCTTTTGTATGCAATCTTCTTCAAAGAATGCATCTATGGGAAGTTGGACAAACCTGAAAAGAAGGATAAAATGCTTGAAGATTTTGTGAACTATGATGACGATTACTATGATTGGGATGATTATGATTATTTCAAAGAATTTGCACATTATGTTTATAGGCCATTGTACAAAACAAAAGATCGAGAGATTAAAAAAGTCATTGAAAGAATGGAAGAAGCTGAGGAAAATGATGATTTTGATGATGATTACGATGAAATAGATGATTATGATGAAGGATTTCATCATGGCGATGATCTCCCATTTGATTTGAAAGAAGAATATGGTTTCGATACTGTTAGGCTACATATCGGTAATGATGATGTTAAAATCATGTCAGTCCCAAAAAGCAAAAAGTTGTATTAGTAAAAACACTACATTGTTTTATTGCTTGGTTTTTTTTGCAGAGTCATTAGGTTGTTTAGCTTTTCTCTTTTTGACAATTGAGGTTAAATCATTAACAGGTTGTGCACTTGTACTTGGTCTTGGAGTTTGCTTATCGCTAGATGTAACTTCTCCCAAGATCCCTTTGATTATATCATTTTTTTGTTCATCAAAAGCTTGATTTGGATCTTTTTGTAAATCTTCTAATCTCGAATCTAGTTCTTTGATCAAATCAATATCTTTATCTTCATCTTTTTGATCTTTTTGTTTTAATTTAATACTTTCAATAGCTTTTTTCAAATGTTCGATTGCTTTCTTTTTTGATTCTTCATCTGCAAAATTGAATTCTAGAGCTAATGATAATTTGTAATGTGCTTCACTTATTAAATTTGATTCAAATGGGAACAATTCTTCTCTGATCTTTAATAATGATTGGAAATCTTCAGATGCTTGTTTGAAATTTTCAGTCTCTAATGAAATTTCACCTAATAAGTCATGAATATCTGATAATTTGATTTTAGTAACCACTATTGGATCTTTAGAATTTTCAGCATCTCCTGGTATTTTATCTAGTGGGGTTTCTGGTAATGATTGTTCATATAAAGAACGTGCAAGATCCAAAATTTCCCATGCTATTTCAAAATCTGATTGTTCTTCTTCCTTTTCTTCTTCATCTTTATCTTCCTCTTTATCATCATCATTGGCAGACTCTTCCTGTTGTTTTGCCTCTATTTCCTTTTGGTTCTCTTCTTCTTCATCATCATCCTCCTCTTCAGCTAAAGGAACTTCTTCACTAAATTGAAACATCCTATTTGAAGCATCCTCGGTTTTTTCCTCTTTATTACTAGCCAATGCAGCAGCTTCATCTGGATTACCACCAAAGATACCATTTTTGGAAACAGCTACTTGGAACAAGGCCTTCCCATAAAGAAACAGCAATTCTGGGGATTCTTTACCTTCATTGTCACTTGAATATACCTGACACGCTTCACCATAATGATTGACGGCTTCCTCGTACTCCTTAGCCGCATAGGATTTAGCACCTGATTCCAATAGCTTGGAGACTTCCTCGGAGTATTCAGCCATTATGCTCCAGTAATCTCTATAATTCAGTGAAAGATCCCCAAAGAACAGTTCAATATTTTATTTTCACGCGTTTCTGCTTATATCAAAATAATTTTCGCGAAACACGTAACCCGGCTGTGGCCAGATCGAGATTTTTAACGATTTTGTGTTTCAAACGCGTATTTTCATTTCGAATTTGTTGATTTCTTTAAAAAGAATTCAGAACAAGAAGCAATTCAGATTTCACCGTAAGCAAGAAGAGTACAATTGAACTGAAAGATGTCTTCAATGATCGATAGTGTCACCCCAAAGACAAACAGCATGGTCGAATCCACCAACACTCATAATCCGGCACACGCTGACGCTGTGGATGAAGCTCCTATCAAAGAAAGTGAATCTGCCACAAACGTTCAAATCCCATCTGAACCTCACACTACCTCTGCTGAATCCAATGGTAATGGCTCTGCTGGTGCTGGTGGTCTAGAGCCTCCAACTGATGAAGCTCCAAATTTAAAATCAAATGGTCCAACTGTCACCACAACTCCTGAAATCAAAATCATTAGAAGAAAATTGAATGGTTATGTTGGTTTTGCAAATTTACCAAAGCAATGGCATAGAAAATCTATTAGAAGAGGCTTCAATTTGAATCTTTTAAGTGTTGGTGAATCTGGTTTGGGTAAATCAACTTTAATCAATACATTGTTTAATAAAGAATTATATCAACCAAAAGAACCAAGAGATCCAGCTGTGGAGAGACCAACAGGTGTTTCCATTGATACAATTAGTTCAGAGATTGAAGAAAATGGTGTTAAATTGAACTTGACAGTGATAGATACTCCAGGTTTTGGTGATCAAGTTAATAACACTGATTCATGGCAACCAATTGTTGATGAAATTAATTCAAGATTCGATTCTTATTTGGAATTTGAAAACAAGATAAATAGAACAACAGTTGCTGATACAAGAATCCATGCTTGTTTGTATTTCATTGAACCAACTGGACATTCATTAAAACCTTTAGATATTGAATTTTTAAAACAAGTACACAAGAAAGTTAACGTCATACCAGTTGTTGCCAAATCAGACACTTTAACTGAAGAAGAAATTTTAGAATTCAAACAAAGAGTCTTGGATGATATTAAAACTCAAGGTATTGAAATCTTTGAACCAAAAATTTATGAAAATGATGATGAAGAAACTATTTTAGCCACAAAGGAAATTTTATCAAAAGTTCCATTTGCAATTGTTGGTTCCACAACAGAAATCCAAACTGCTGATGGTAGAACTGTTAGAGGTCGTCAATATCCATGGGGTGTTATTGAAGTTGATAATGAAGACCATAATGATTTTGTTAGATTACGTCAACTTTTGATTAGAAACTTTTTGGAAGAATTGAGAGAAAAGACAGCAAATGTTTTATATGAAGCTTATAGAAGTGAAAAATTAGAGAAATTAGGTATTCCACAAGATCATAGTGTATTCAGAGAATTTGATCCATCTATTAAACAACAAGAAGAGAAAGCATTACATGAAGCTAAATTGGCCAAATTAGAAGCTGAAATGAAGCAAATATTCCAACAAAAAGTTAGTGAAAAAGAAAAGAAATTACAAAAATCTGAAGCTGAATTATTTTCAAGACATAAAGAAGTTAAAGAAAAACTTTTGAAACAAATCAAGTCATTAGAAGAAAAGAAAAAACAATTAGAAAACGCACGTCTGAATGCATATGAACCAGCTCCAGCTCCAGCTCCAAAGGCTAAAAAAGGTTTCTTACGTTAGGAAGCCACGACATAGTCTTTATGTATTTCCATAAATTTTAATATTTTAGACACTTGAAGTTTTATTGTTTTAGCCCTTATTTTTTATGACATATCTCAAAATGGATTGTCACACTATCTATCTGGAAGAAAATGTATGTTAGTTTTGTTGATTTTGTTGTATAATGTAAATTATCCTCAGTAAAGTAATTGCTGGATCTTGATTTCGCGAAAAAAAAAGGTGTTGTGTAATTATTTTGGGATTTTTATAATGAGCTTAAGTAATCGACAACTAGAACATACCCGAGTAGGAACCTCCTGATTAGTGAATGGTTCCAGAGATGACATTGTCTTTTCTTAAACCAATGTTGGAATATCTCCAGTGGAAGACGTTATAACAGTGAACAAGTAATTATAGTAACAATGGAACGAGATGATCTCTGGTGAACCGACAATAGGTAAAGAATACGCAAGACATTAGAGACGATGGATGCATTGCATCTATCAATGTCGAATTAACGAACACTAATGTAAGTACAAGTACTTTTAATGTATCCCCCCTTTCTATAAAATATATAAAAGGAAAAGTTTTCATGATCAATCCGTACCTGTGGTATAAACGTTACGACGTGTTGTCGTACTTGTTCTGGTGCCATTGATGATATAATCAATGGGCCATTCAACTCTTACATGTTGATGGAGTGCGCAAACCATTTCAAGCGGTATTAATGCTGTCAGAAAAATCTTTGCGTCTTTTGTGCTGAAAACATTGAAAAAAGTATAAAAGAAGACGATTTCAGCCTCATGGACTGCTGCTGTGGATTTCGATAAAAGCATTACGATCATAAGAAAGAAATGGAAGTCTTCAATGTCACCGTGTCAAACATCCATTGTGAAGACTGCAGACAGTCAATCATCACGTCCTTATCAGATATTTTCCAGATCTCTGACCATGTTCCAGAGCTCAACGCTCCTGGTGACAACCCATTCGCCATAGTTAGAATCATAGATGATGCTGAACTAAACATCTTAGCTGCTAAAGGTTCAATCAACTCACAACTTCAGAAAATTGTTTTGGCAAAACTGGAAGGTTTGGGGTTCATCATCAAGGATTATTCACTACATGATGTTCAAGAAACTCAATATCTCCATACAAAGTACAAGACCCATCAGAAGTTATTATCCAAGTATATTCCCTGGCTGTGTCATACAGTGGAGAGGAAACACTTGGAACATTGTACAAAATGTCGTGATGAAAAGAAAACAACTTCAGATGCTGATTCAGAATTAACAAAAGTCGTCACTATGAGCCCATTAGAATATAGAGCTGTCTTCACCATTGGTGGTATGACTTGCTCTGCATGTGCACAAACCGTTTCACAGGCATTTAGTGAATCATTAGTTAAAACTCAAAATAATGAAGATGATGAAGCTAAATTCTCTGTTGATCCTGTTTCAAACACTGCTATTGCCATCATACCAAATAAACAAATTGCTAATAACATTATTGCGAATGTCAGGGAATCTGGATATTCAGCTACATTAGTCGAGCTATTACCAGTGGAAAGGGAAACAAAATATAGAGTTAATGCTGCTATTGGTGGTATAAGTTGTGCTGCTTGTGCAAGTTCTATTACTAATGCTGTTTCTAATTTGTCGTTTGTTGTGGAATCTGCAATTTCTATTGTTTCCAAATCTGGTATTTTCATCTTGGATACCGATGAAGAATCAAAATTAAATGAATTGAAAGATGCTATTGAAAATTGTGGATTTGATTTTGAATTGGTGGAAATTAAAAAAGTTAATCATGCAACAACAAAAAAACAAAGTAGAACTGTCAATTTGAAAGTCTCTGGTATGTTTTGTGAGCATTGTCCTGAAGAAATTAATGAAATCTTGAATAGTCATGGTAATGCGATTGTTATTGATGATCCAATCACATTAGACCATCCATATGTCAAATTCACTTATATTCCATCACCTCCTAATCTCACAATAAGGTCAGTCTTGCAAGAAATTAAAGATGCTGGTAAATTTGAAGTGGAAATCATAGAAGCTGTTAGTCTTGATGAACATTTGCGTCGGATTGCAAGATTAGAAACTCTAAAGATTGCTTATAGATTAGCGATAACTACAGTTTTAGCTATTCCGACATTTGTATTTGGAATTGTTGGTATGTCATTCTTGAAGAAGAGTAATGGGTTTAGACAATGGTTAGATGAAGCATTATGGACTGGTAATGTTTCAAGAATGACTTGGATCTTGTTTTTTTTATCAACGCCTGTTTACTTCTTCGCTGCTGATATTTTCCATATCAAAGCTATAAAAGAAATAAGAACTTTATGGAAGAAACACGTTCCTTGGAAAAGAAGATTATTTAGATTCGGAAGTATGAACTTATTAATGTCATTAGGTACTTCAGTTGCATATTTTGCTAGTATAGCATTGCTAGGGTTAGCTGCACATTCTCAGAAAATGGGACATGCGTTCACCACTACATATTTTGATTCAGTTGTGTTTTTGACTTTTTTCTTATTGATTGGAAGATTATTAGAAGCTTTTTCCAAAAGTAAAACTGCAGAAGCAATTACAAATCTGGGAAGTTTGAAACCAAGTTCAGCTACATTATTAGCAAAATTAGGAGAAAATGAATATGGTGATGATGTTAAAACTGATTTGAAATTATTAGAAGTGGGTGATTTCATAAGAATAGTTCCAGGTGAATCACCTCCAGTGGATTGTATCATCGTTCAGGGGAAGACGGATTTTGATGAAAGTGCATTAACAGGTGAATCAATCCCTGTGGAACATACTGTTGGTGAACAGATATTTGCTGGTACTGTGAACAAAGGTCCACAGTCAATAATTGCTAAATTATCTGCATTAGATGGTACTTCATTATTAGATCATATTGTTAACACTGTGCGTGATGGACAAATGCGTAGAGCACCGATTGAAAGGGCTGCAGATGTTTTAACTGGTTATTTTGTTCCTTTAATTACTTTACTGGCTATTATTACTTGGATTGTTTGGCTATCATTGGGTTATAGTGGAGCTCTACCTGATAGTTATCTAGATATCGATATTGGCGGTTGGGCTATTTGGTCATTAGAATTTGCTATTTCCGTGTTTGTTATCGCATGTCCTTGTGGTATTGGGTTAGCTGCTCCAACTGCTTTATTTGTTGGTGCTGGTCTTGCTGCCAAAAATGGTATATTAGCAAGAGGTGGTGGTTCTGCATTTCAGGAAGGTTCAAGAGTTAATGTTGTTTGCTTTGATAAAACTGGTACTTTAACAATGGGTGGTGAACCTAAGGTTACCAATTATGCTATTTATCAAGATAAAGTTATTAAACAATTTGCCCTACAAGTTGCTAAAGATTTAGAAATCACATCAAGTCATCCATTGGCGATTGCTGTTAAGGCATTTATTGAAGAAGTTTCTATTGATCAAAATGTTAAATTAGGTAGAGTTAAAGTCCCTGAAGTTGAAGAGATCCCTGGGAAAGGTTTGAAAGGTGATATAATAATTGATCAAGATGATTCAGATGCTAAAAATTGGAATAAATTCAAGCCATCAAAAGTCTTGCTTGGTAATGAATCATTAATGACTGAAAGTAAAGCACAGTTCACTTCTCAACAAAAACGTTTATTGAATGAATGGAAAATCCAAGGTAAAAGTGTTGTTATTGTTGGTCTACAATGTTTTGAATTCTTCAAAACTGATAATTTCATCCCAGTTTTATTGATGGCTGCAAGAGACGAGATACGTCCAGAAGCTAAAAATGTTATAAAATTACTGAAAAATGAAGGAATTACAACATGGATGATTTCAGGTGATAATTCAATCACAGCAAATGCAATTGCAAAAGAACTAGGTATTGATAATGTTGTTGCAGAAGTTTTACCAGAAGAGAAAGCTGAAAAGATTAAATGGATCAAGAGAACAAATTATGATAATAAGAAAGAACCAATTGTTGCAATGGTTGGTGATGGTATTAATGATGCTCCTGCTTTGTCTACTGCTGATGTTGGTATTGCTTTAGCCTCAGGTTCTGATCTTGCATTAACTTCATCTGATTTTGTCTTGTTGGCACCAAAACATCCATTGATTACTTTGCTAACGTTGCTGAAATTGTCAAAAACAGTGTTCAACAGAGTTCGTTTCAATTTTGTTTGGGCTATAGTTTATAATTGTATTGGTATCCCTATAGCAGCAGGTGTTATTTATCCCTACAAGAATTCAAGGCTATCACCGGTTTGGGCGAGTGCAGCTATGGCTGCTTCGTCAATTAGTGTTGTGTTGAGTAGTTTGGCATTGAGATTGTTTAAAAAGCCAAAAGTTGTTTCTGAACAGTCTAAGAATGCAGAGCTAAACCAAAAGGCGTTGGAAGAGAAATTTTAACAATTGTTCATTAATGAAGATAAATAATGAATGCATTTCTCGGTTTTCAGTATGTTTCTGAAGATTTGTGTAGTTGAGCCTTCCATGCCACATCTGGCATGTTTCTTCTTTTATTTTACCCATGTTGCATTAGGCTGGCCTATTGTTTTGACTAATTTCCTGGTGAGATTGGCTATTGAAGCTGCAACGGATTTTTATGGGCTCTGGAGTAACATATACGAATTTAGATCATGATTCACGGCAAAAAATCTTAAAGACCAAAAGCTCAAAATAGACAATGAAAGCTTGGTAATTTTTATGATGTAAATTAACAGCCCATCGATTTGGATCTGACAAGCCGACAAGACTCAAGAGTCACAAGACTGTAAGCCAAACCCTCTTAAGCCTTCAAATAATCACTGTTGTATACATTACCTCAAGTTTAAGAAGCATCGTCATTGATCGGGCTTAATCATAGACACCTCTTTTCTCATTACTGCAAACACTCATCAACATCGGGTATACACATCATCGCTATGGCGTGACTCTATACTCTTTATTTATTATAATCCCGTTGTGAAACTTGATCCCCTGACTATAATTAAGTCATGTGGAGCTTCTTCAATTGATTGAAGACCCTTTGGTTTCTAGCCGGTGTAACTGCTTTAGGGTATGAAAATGTATCAAGGATTGAAAGAGGATATGGGTATAAATTAAAGCAGTTTTCCATTGTATCCTGGATATCTTTCATCTTTTCGACTATAGAAGAAACAATCCAAATCATAGCTCAACATGATTCCACAACAATTCTTAATCACCATAATTTTAACATTAACTGCAATCGCAAATGCCAATTTCATTGCCTTCACTGGAAACAAATGTGATGGTACTGGTGGTGCAATTGTTTCATTTAAAGGATGTACCAACTTGAAAAACAGACATTCATTTAAGTTTGTTGACAAGTTACCATTTTCTCCAACAACTTATATCTCATTTTGGGCTAAGTCAAAATGTACTGGTAATGAAAATGGTTATAAAAATCCAAAATTAAATCAATGTTACAACATCCACACTGGTGGTAAAGTCCTAACTGGTCATGCTTATGATAACTGCCATGTTGCTACTCATAGTTTCCCAATCAAGTCTTGTCCAGATGTCAATGATAAACATGCTGTTAAAAGAGATAACGAGGCTGAAACTTCAAACGATGATGTTATAATTACCCCAGTTGATGATAGTGACTCCAACCCAGTTTATATCTTTGATAACTATGAGTACAGTTTTGATGAAACAGTCGCTCGATTAGAAGCAGCAAATGTGTTCCAAGTTTATAAGCAGCCTTTCAATGAATCCTCATCTGATAATGAAGCAACCAGTGTTCCTAAATGGTTATTTAGCCAATTGATTGATTTAGCCACAGCCTGATCCAAGAAGGCAGCAAAACACAAACCAGACATTATAACTTATGATTAATTTTAAATGGACACTAACTTATTTATCGCTCAAATAGCAATAAAGCATGTTTAAAACTTTTGATCCTAATGTAGACCAACGCCTTCAAATAATTTTAAAAGGCAGTCATTGAGTTATCGAATCATGACAATTTAATATATTCAACATTCAACACCAAATTTCCAGCTCCGCAAACCATAAATCAACTTTACTGTCTTCTTTAATCTCTTTGACGTAAACTAAAACTAAAACTAAAACAAATCAAATTGTTTTTTTGATGTTAGTTTATATTTCCGACTTCTTTTCACGTGACTCATTGTTGCCCTCGGATTTTCCCTCTCAAAATCTCGATGGTTTTTGTTTTTGGTGGCAAGTGAATCAATTTAACCAACGGTTTTAAACCCATTTCAAGGTCAAATACAATCATAATCATGCCTTCTTTAGAAGATCTCACAAAGCAATTGAAATCAGCGTTTGAAGCTAAGCAATACTCTAAAACAGAAGAGTTATTATCACCAATCAAGATACTTTTAATTCAAAATGATCTGTTGATTCCAAATTATCAAAAAATAAATAAAGATCCACATTATGTTGAAGATTTAGTTATATCAAGATCCATATTAGAAATTGGTGCATTATCTTCCATCAATTCACAAGATTTTGATAGATTTGAAAACTATCTACAACAATTGAAAGTTTTCTATTTCAATACAGTTAGTAATGAACAATTATCTAAATCAGTCAACAAGAGTAAATTAATAAGTTTATATTTGTTGTTATTATTATCAAAGGGTGACGTTGTGAAATTTCACACTGAATTGGAATTTTTGGGTAATCATCTGAAAAATATTGAGAATGATTTGTATTTGAGTTATCCAATCAAGATTGAGAATTGGTTATTAGAAGGTTATTATGATAAAGCTTGGGAATTAATATCTAGTAAGAATTCTGAGGAAAAAATTAAATTAAAAGAATTCAACATTTTCAATGATACATTATTACAAGCAATTAGATTTGAAATATCAAGATCAATAGAGAAGACTTATAAAAAATTACCATTTTCAAATGCCAAATATTTATTATTTTTAAACAGTGAAAAAGAAGTTGAAGCATTTGCCAAGGAACAAAATTGGGAATATTCAAACGGTGAATTACTATTCAACCTAAGTGCTAAAGAGGATAAATTTGGATTCACTCAAGATGAAGAAGATTCACAATTAAACAATAGTGAGAAATTGGTGAAGAATACATTAAACTTTGCTAGAGAAATTGATTCAATTATTTAATCTGTATACGAAAATTCAATCATTCTAACATTGTATAAAACCCTTTGTAAGCATTATCAAGATCAAATAACAATTGTCTTGTATCTTCCTCTGATAACTCCTCATTAATATTCATCTTATTAATCTTTATCAGCCATTCCACTAATTTCCCTCTACCATCAAACTCTTTATTCGAACTAACTTTATTAACAGATGTCATCAAATCCGATAATAAAGGATGTAATTGATCTTTTGCCTTATAATTCAATTTCAAAGCATCCATACAAGTGATGAAATTACCTGTAGCTTCAGCAACAGCTCTAGCTGAAGCACCACCTGATCCATTACTCGCTGGTCCTCCACCACCACTTAGTCCACTTGAGCTTGGAACGTTTATGGCATGCTCCACTGTGGCAGGGACGCCAATTTCGATTCTTGAAGTTGCTGAAGGACAATTCAGATTATAATTTTTTTTGAATGTATCAAGTGAACCAAATTCTTTGTTGACTTCTGGATTTTTCAAAATGGTGTTATATTGTGCTAATAGCCTTAGCACTGTGGGTGTATATTGGTCTTGACCATCTTTGTTCAGTGTATCTTTAACGTATGACTTCTCTATAAAGTCGAGTACTGTTATTATTGAGTATAGTTCTGCTAATGATTCGTAAACTTCACGTTGTTGTACTGTGTTGAATAGGGAGACTTCTTGGTCGAGATTAATCGATGAGTTTCTGATTTTGTTGTATGAAGGGTTTTTCTGGGTGGCTGTAGGGGCATAAGCTGGGATTGACATGGCTTTAGGGGATTTGGTTTGGTGATTTGGGTTTTAGTTGATGTAATTTCAATCTTCATCATTTTCATTCCTGATAAAGAGGTTTGAAGCCCTGCTGCTGACCATATATAAGCCAATATTTAACTACATCAATAATAAGTCATTAGTCATATATTTCAGTTGGAAATACGTAAATATCATTAAATAAAATTGGTTTTATCATAAATCACTCCTTCAAGCTATTCAATCCCTTATTGAAATCTTTCACGATCGTCTTTAGATCTCATTTTGGACATCTTTCTCTGAGGATAAACCAATGTATCAAAATTATTATCATAAGATATCTTGCCTAATTCTTTTTCAATCTTTCTCAAGAATTCACTAGCCATTTCAGATTCTTTCAAGATCCATTTCAATAAATGTATAGATTTAACACGATCAAAAGGTGCTATAGTGATTGGTTGTTGGATCTCCACATCTTTAGCATGAGAAAATTTGCACTTAACGCGAAGTTCATAATAAGTGCTAAAATAATTTGATCTTTTAGTTAATGGTTGATGATGAGTTAATGGGATTGGATTCTGTTGACGTTCAATTATTAGTGGTTTTAGATCATTCGTTGGATGGGTTTGTTGAACTTTGGTTAATAGTTTAGGATCTTGATGTTTTAAAAATAATGAATATTTGTTGTTTCTATTAGGGTTGAACGTTATACTGAATTGATTTGAAAATCCTTTAACACCAAGATAAAGACCATCATAATCTTGAGATTTTTGAGCTATCAAAGCTTCTTTAATGAAAGATCTATCACATCGACAATCAAAAATTTCCACAATTTCCATTGTTATTTTTTTCAATTTCACTCTATCAGCAAGTTTTTTACTTGTTGGATTTGTTGAAATTTTGGTATTAATCACTAAATCCTCACCAGGTCCAATAGCTGAAGATGGTAAAGAATACTCAACCATGACATGGGTATCTTTTGAATCGACAACTCTTGAAATTGGTTCGTTAAATTGTCTGTAAAGTGGTAATGTGTCATATGTGGTGATCACAACTGGGAATTCAAAAGTTTTAACGTTATTTTTAGTACCTGTTGAAATTGCCGTAGCTTCTAATTTATGAGTAGTGGAGCCAAACTTTGCACTTTCAGCAGTGGGGCCAATATCATTCTTGATACCAATGGTGAATGGGATATCAACTGAAATCACACGATCATTAATGGGGTATTTAGTTTCATAATTGACTTTTCTTAGTGATACTGGGATTTCACGATGTGGTTTGTTCTTTAGAGTATCTACTGTCACAAACCTCAGTTCAATAGATTCTAAAGGGACAGGTAATCCAGTTCCTGATCTTATTTCTAACGTTCCAACTAAAACGGGCTATTAAAAGACATTAGTGATTATTCTCTGATATAATTACATAATACTTACATAGGTTTTGGGTACACCGGGACATCCTTGGACCATAGATTTGTTTGAAGGCTTGAGATTGATATCAAATGAGTCTGGTAAAACCATTTTGTATGGGTTTTTGTATAAGTTTGAGCTTTAGTTATAATGATGAACAAGTTGTTTAATTACGTTTTGTTTTTTTTCTTTGAGCTTGTTTTGGTATTTCCTATTTCCGGTAATTTCCCTTTTGGGATGTTTTCGTTCATTCGAAAAATGGTTTTTTGGTGAAGTTTGGGGAGTAAGCTTTTTTCTAGTCCATTTTTCGCGTCTATATCTAAAATTTGTTAACTATGGTGAAAAACTCGTGCCCTGACCGAAAAAATGGCAGCGGCTGCTATTTTTGTATGGCGAAAAAAAAAATAGACTCAGCTTCGGATCTATTTTGCAAAATGGCTTCTATTTCGCCCTTCCAAAAAAATAGACTGAGCAAGAATGAAAATAGCATCGACACATAAAAACAACAATAAACACTCTTAAAAAGTACCAGTAAGAGTCGATAATACTGTATTAGGCCATGCTGATCAATAGTCCTATGGTTTTAATACACATTCGCTATATATATTTGGTGTTATTGGTCGATTCTCTATTTTGTAGGAAAATAGCATCCTTCTAAAATTATTGGCTTGTGCCCTGGCCATCCAGCTTTTGGCGGGATACTGACACGATTTTCTGCCAAAACTGCCATTTTGTAGCACCCAAATCTATTTTTTAGAGAACGCCCAAAAAATGGCTTACGGGAAGTGCCCCTGGCACAATTTAAAACAACAACAACAAAACAGAGAAAGTGTTTTGAATGAGGCGGTTGATGGATCATTGGCTGTGATGGTGGTTAGGCTACAATTTTGATCATTTATGAAAAAAGCGCTATAAATCCTGTTATTCTAGAGTTGTGGAGTGCTACAATTTAGTATTTGAGAGTTGAATGAAGGTATTGTTGAGGTGATGAGTTGGAGGTCTTATCAATCAGGTTCAAATGAACTATGCTTATGTCTTTCAACTGAATCGCTATTGGTGTTCTCGTTGCTGTGGTTTAAACACATTTCAGTTTTGTGGTTGGAATTGGAAAGACATTTCAAAAACCTATGACAACAAAAATTGTGAAAACCATCACCAAAGATCTTGAAATCAATCTTCAACACGAGTCGAATCAGCTACTGAAATGCTTTTGACAGCAACACCAGATCCTTTAAGCGTTAGTGGGTTCCATTATGATCCTAATTGGGGTTACAAAAAGTTGTTAAAACAACTTGAGGATAAAGATGTATTTGACCTTCAAAAACTTAAAGTGTTTCATCTTGACCAAATTGAATTTGAACCACTAGATTTATCCAATTTGGTGCTTAGTGACTCAGAAGATGAAGAGCCGGGCTTAACTGATGATAATACTAAAAATCTGGTCAATTCCCCTGAAGGTGTCAAGACACCTCAGCAAGTTGATTCACCTCCAATTCAATATATACCACTTGATCAATCTGTTAAATCATATAGTGATGGGATTGTTGTGAATGACTCCAAGCCAGAGTTGGAATTACCTCCAAGAGGAACTAAAAGTATTCCAAATTCACCAGTTTATCCGCCAAATGAAAAATTAGTGGTTGATCCACCATGGAAGTTTTTTTATGATTTTAACTATGATAATGATGTTAATGATGATATTTGTCATTTTTATCTCATGAATATTAGAAGACAAATTAGTTATGAGTTGGGTGCTGATGAAGAATATTTTAAAGAGAGGAAAATGGTTGATCTTCGTTTGGTGCTAAGAGTCTTTAGTTTGTTCAAGACTTCGTTCAATAAATCGGTTTATCAAACTTCAACTGGTGAAGTTATTCAATTTTTTGAAGGTGGTGCTAAAACTTTCAAAAGTAAAGATTTTTTCCCTGGAATTATTGATGAAATTTTCAAAAATATAGGTATCAATGTTGAAAAACTTTTAGATCGATCAAGAATTTATCATCCTTCAATAGGTGCACTTTATAAAAGAGATATTAAATTAGATACTGAGGAAAGTATCTCAATAGATGAAGATTTAAAAGGTTATGTTGCAGCTAAATATGAAGATTTGAAGATTGGTGAACTTTTCCAAGATATTTGGGAAGAATGGTGCTTAGGTTTCAAAGGGCAACCACCTGTTTGGATTATTGAAAAAAGAAGGTATGAAATTCATGTATCATTGTCTAAAATTTATAAGGAAAGGGATCAAAGTTCAAATGAATGTACAACAATGGGTGATTTCACGTTCAGATGTAATGATAGGTTTAAAATTCTTCAATTCATTATTTATGGGATGGATAAATGTGGATACAGAGCACAAATAATGGTTGATTTATTGCAAGCTTATACTCTTTTCAATGGGGAAAATGCCCAATGGGTTCTTGCAAATTTGAATTCAATTATTAAATATGTTTTCCATGTGGACTCTTTGGATAGTTTAGAGATTGGAACAATGTTCAAGTATCATGAGATTGATAGTTAGGGATAACAAACATTAATGGTGTTGAAAAGACGTTTATTGTAGGTACTTGGGTCGTCAAATGGTTGAATTCTAAAATGTTTAGCCGTTCTTGTTCACTAGAATTGTAACATCAAACGATTTAACCATTCCATATTTACAAACTTGAACTGATCTCTTTTTAAGTTTCATATCATCGTATAGATTTGAACAGCTCATCTTTTTCTCTTCATATAGAAATGTACGAGTAATAGTAAATTTGGTACTCCACAAATCTGGGGTGTAATTAGTTTTTTCTTTGCTTTCACTTCATGTACTTCGTCTGTCTATCAAAACTCAATTGCTTCAAGATTTGGTACACAATTCTATACGAATCAATTAATTTGATTCTCGCCAGAATCCATATCGATTTGTAGTATGTCAACTTGAGCCTTGTAACTTGGCTATACTATAATAGTTCAAAACTGGGTGTTTAAAACTGCAACATCTATCAAGTTTGCTTTGTGTGCCATGTTTGTTTACAAAACATTTGTAACCGTGCATTTTTCGTGTCCCATGAACGACGTGTAACGTGTATCTCTATTCCATATTTCCTCTATTCGTGTTTCGTGTATACCATTTCCAGGTTGTTTATTGTTTACATTTGAACGAATTCAGATTGTGTCAAGAAATCGGGGTGTTTATGTTTACTTTTTCGCTCTTGTTTACAGGACAAAAGACAGAGGACACGCGTGAGGGTACGCGTCCATCACAACACGAAAAGGCGTTTGTCACGTGCGTGTCACGTTTTAGCCGCGAATTGTTCGTTCAAGTCGTTTAGTTTTCCTTGTTGAGGCATATCACACTGTGGCTATTTGATAAGGAAGGGAGTATGGTACGATGATGGTTTGAAAGGGTGGTATGGTGGAAGTGAGGTCTGTGATTGTGAATATGGGGTTAGAATGGTGGTTATGTGAGTGCTATATGGTGATATCTGTGTATCCATGCTGTCCTGTTATCGTTGAACTGAGCCTTGAAAGGGAATAAAAACCCTTCTGCACCCGAATTTCAATCAGCTTATCTCAGCTGCCACTGGACACCGTGCCACTAAGCACCCAACAGCCAAATTTTGATCTTACGATTTTTTTTTTGGGATCCACAAACGTTTGAAATGGCATAGGGAATATGGAACATGGACATATATAAACCATCTCCAATCCTCGAGACTTGTAGAACATCTTTTTTCTCTGTAAAGTAATCACACTCGCTTCAACACAATGCTCGCCTCAAGAATAGCCTCTTCAAACTTTAGATACAACATGCACAAATCTCCAGTCTCCTCCAGTAAGAGAATACACTCTCTTTTGATGCTTTCATACATCTCCATTGGCTTCACTGCTCCTTTCATACTCCCTCTAAGATCCCATTTCAAGAAAGAGGATAATGCAATCGGTGTCATTAGTCTATCATCTTTTGTCAAAATATGATTAAGTTATGCCCTTATAAGTGGGTTTTGGGTTTTGATGTTTTATGAGTTTATGGTTTTCAAGGTGATATAATATTTAATAATGAGTGGATTGTTTATCAAAGAAACTCAAGGAGTTGGTTAATAATATTGTGGGTTTTATTTCTGGTTTTGATCAATGATAAACATAGCTTTTGGTTTTCAATTCTTTACCATCATGTGGTCACTTTGTGTTTTCAAGAAAAAGTTTTGAATGAATTTTTCTGTATTATTAGGCTGATCCCATCATGGTTATCCCTGTGTTGCTTCATTTGGTATTATGACGTATATGATGGGTATTCTGTCCTGGTTTTAAAAGGTTTAGTTTTAATATGATATGGTATCTTGTGTTGTGAAGTCATTTTATGTAGTTTGAGACAAAATTGGATCAACTAATTAGTTGATTGATCAACGGTGAAGGATCAAGAATATATACTAAAAAGAGCTGAAGTGGGTATAGATATTAAAACTACATCATACTCTTTGTGACACTGTATTGTATTACAAAATCTGACTTCCTGAACATTGTTCCTAGCCTATCAATCAATCATGTATCCTGCCACATTTTTACCAATTTTTTAATCCTGTACAGCAGCTTATTTGCTCGGTGAATTAACAAAAACACCACCATTCACAACAATTCAAAGTTTTCCTGGAAACCATGTGCTCAGCTTCAATACTTCTGAACACTCCACGTTCTTGATGAAATGTGTTTAAAAGGTTGAACCGTCTCTATACTATTTGATACTTCGCGAACTTGTTTTGGGTTCTTCTAAAAACTTTTCATTTCAAAACAGAGAGGTCACTTACAGCAATTTAATGAAAGTAGAGTCTTTGAATTGAGTTGTCCTATCTGATCAAGAATTAGTTGAGTCTTTCAGAATTGAAAAGTCAAATTTGGGGAATGGATTGACTCCGCTGAAGTTGGTTATGAATTAGAAGTTTGACAGCTGTAGTGTTTCTTGAACACTGGAATGAGGTATACATTGCAATATTGCAATGAGAGCAGAGTTGAGCTGTGTATTGTGTAAAGATATTTGGTCAGCGTGGTGTATAAGTACCATCAAGTCTCCTTCTATTGGTGTTGCTATCATAAATCAACCACTAACCAGAAATCATGTGGATCCCAAAATTATTCAGATATTCAACAGTCCTCTTTGCAGCTCAGAACTTTCAAGCATTAGACTACTTCACTCAATACGATGATAGTTCATCAATAACAACTGAATTATCCAATTTTGGTTTAAAATCTGAATATTCATGGTCAAGTTTCCTAACCCAATTAAACTCATCAAAATATAAATTAATATTCCTCGCACGCCATGGTGAAGGCTGGCATAACGTCTTGGATAAAAGATCAGACTGGGACTACATTTCAAGGTTTGATACATTTGAAAATTATACCCTCTTTGATGCAGACCTAACACCAAAGGGTGAAGATCAAATTGAACAAGTTTCTGAATATTGGACCAAGGAATTAAAGAATGATTCACCATACCCTGATTTATTCTATATCTCGCCATTGAGAAGAACTCTACACACTTATCACATCACATGGTCACAGAACGATGATGGAATCATACCAATTGTTGATGAGGACCTAAGAGAAAGATATGGTATTCAAACCCCAGAGAAACGTCACACCAAGGATTGGATTGCCCATTATTGCCCAACATGTGTCTTTGAAAATGGATTCACTGAACAGGATGAATTATGGCAACCTGATGTGGAGGAAACTAAACAACATGTTGCGGAAAGAGCGACTGCTTGGTTAAAGACCGTTTTCGAAAAAGATGAACAGATAGTCAGTGTCACTACTCATTCGGGATTGATTGCACAGTTGTTGAAAGTTATTGGGCATCCGAAACATCCTCTTTACCCTGGTCAGTTGATTCCTGTTGTTGTTAAGGCTGATAGCTGATGTTTAAAGAAATATAATGTACAAGTTCGAGAAAATGAAAAGTGTAAACCATTTTTGATCTTTCAACTTCTACAAACTGCTGAGAACCTATATATTGTATTGATGATAATCTTTAAGATCCACTGCTTCTTTTGGCTATTGGCTATTTAAGCACTTCTTCTTAAAAGATCACAAGCTAAATGTCCTCATGGATATGTCAATTATTAACTCATCATAAAAATTCTCAACCATATAAAAAGATGGATTGTAATTCCTAATTGGTCAAAACTACCATAATAAGTTTTCTACAAGGACTACTCTACCCATCCTATGAGGGTTGAGTTACAATTGTCTAGGAACTAACCATGTAAGTTATCAACGAGCTTTCAAAACAGTGATAAAACAAGAGAGAAAGAGCATGAAATTGAATCATTCTGCTAGTCAACTTGTGTTGACTCAGTCATGGTGGGTTCACTCATAGTCTGGAGCCTCTTCAGATTCTAAACCCCAAGAACAGAATATAGTAGTGTGTGGTTCTCATCATTATATATATGAGTAATATATTCAGTAAACCATGGTGGGCCAGCCTGGGACCCTTAATCATCTTCTAGAACTTGGTAGGCTAAAGAACTCTAAATAAAAGAGGTGATGGATTTGTGAGTGGAGTGGCTGACTATATTGAATATGGGTGGTTCCAATTCATTATAAATTGGTTCGATTGTTGATTGGGAGTACCTCTTAGTTGATGCCAGTGTGATGAATAGAAGAGAACTTGCTTAGTGAAATGTCATTTTTACTAGCTTCTTCTACAGGTTGATAGTTTATACATTAAATTTATATATTTCTAAACGCTGATAGCATCTTTGTTGTAGACAAGTGACTAGTATTATAATGTATGTTGTCTGATTTCTAATTCTCTCGTAAACAACCAGAATACTCATTTTGCATTTCAAAAAACAATACAACGGAAAACACCATCCTGAGGATGTGTGACAAACCCTTCATTATCTTTTGGAATACTTTTGTTCAAGTTCACAACATCACAAGTTTGAATTGAGTCTCTTTTACCAGTTTTTTTCTCTTCTTTTCCTCTGGTGATTACCACAAGCTTTGAGAGTGCTTTCTCGCTCTCTTTTTCAACATTATCCAAATATTGATCATCATAATTCCCCTAGTATTCCAAATGTTTCGTAGTCAAACTGTCATTTTAGTGATGTTGCAACAAGCAATGAAATTTTAATCAACGGGGACACCACAATTGCAAATCAAGAGTTTGGACCCAAATGAAGCATCCTTTTGTCTAATGAATAATAAATCACAGTCCACTCACATCTAAGCTATTGATCTTTTTGAAAACTCAGATCTCAATTTGTTTGGATAATCACTGTCTAGTCTTGAGTCTAAAGATACAAAGAACTTTTCAAGTAATGGATTTAAAGTCTCAAAAGATTCTAAAATGAAATTATGACCAGCATTCTCCAATATCTGATATTGTGAAATATTGTTACCTAACAAATCATGATATGATGCACCACCGTCATGTGTAACTTTATCATCTGACCCATCCACAATTAGAATTGAACCATTATTGTTTGAAATTGTTTGAGATGCGTCAATAACTTCACTAATAGTAAGTGGTATCCAACTTTTCGCATGGTTTAAAAAATTGGTTGAATTTGTTAATAAATTGAATCTAAACTGTTTCAATCTTAGAAATTCTGGAGTTTCAGGATTTGAAAATAATCTCTTCATTGATAATGATTGAATATTGTTAAACCTATCCAATTTTCTGAAAAATTCAAAAAGCCATGGAATTTTCAGAAATAACCCTAAGAAGAAGTTCTCCTTCCATGTTCTTTTCAATGGAATCTTGGGTGGTGCTAATAAAACCAACCCTTTCAAATTGATTTCATTTATTTCTGCCAATTTAAGGGCAACTTGAGTCCCATAAGAATGAGCAACAATAATGATCTCTCTTCCAATGAACCCATTAGTATCTAATGACTCTTTAACAAAATTTGTGAAATTTTCAAGAGTTAATTTTAAACCTTGTTTAGCTTTTGATTTCCCAGATCCAGGTAAATCCACTGCAAAGATATCAGTTAACCCTGCAAATTTCCTAACAACTTCATCAAATTGTTGTAAATTACCACCAAGACCATGAATGAATACAATCACTGGGATTTCATTGATTTTAGATTCTAATTCATTAACAACTTCTTTGGAAATAGCACTATTGTTCAATTGGGTACGTAATGGATGTGGGATTTTCAAACAAAATATTTCTCCATATTGTTCATAATGTTGAGTAAAGCCATAAGTCTGAGTTAAATCTGAAGCGAAAGTTGATTCATCATTGATTAATAGGGTTTCTAATTCTGTATGTTTTGAATTGAAAAGGAAATGGCCCAGTAATTTTAAATTATGAATCACTTTGGGGATTAATGATTTTGGAATTTCATCTTGTTCTTGTTTTGCAAGTTGTTGATATTGTTCAAGGGACATCTTGATTGAAGGGGAATGAGTTAGGGAAAGATCAATCCAGTTGATTATAAAGTCAATATGACTCCCTTTTCTTTGATGTTTATTCCTTTCAATTGTGGCATTTATTCCCCATAATCTTGTATATCTTATTTCTTTACTAAATTTCAACCGAGCTAAGACTAAATTCCGGGTAACGCTTATTTCCCAATTGGGAAGTAACAAACTTGACTCATGCAGAGATGCAGGTTATTTCCCAAACGGGAAGTCAACCATCCTTTTTGAAAAGAAAAACGTCAGCTGTAGGAAAATTTTTAATGCGAGGGACAAACTGTTTAAAAATTGAAAACCATGATCAACATAAAAATCAACATTCTTTTTAGGGCTTTGAAGCTTTGGAATGTGAATAAGCTACAATTCTTTTAATATATAATCTAAAGTATTACAAATTAAATAAACAAAATAATTAAACTAAAACGTGAAACCCAATTAAAAATTAATCAACAACCGTGTGTAATGAATGTCATTTAAACATTATCATCACCTTTTTTAACAAATAACCCACTGTGGTTGTTGTTATTTTCTTGAGAATCTGGGGTATCAGTACCTGAAGTACCTTCTTTTTCAGCATCAGGAATTGAAGCAGAGGCTTTATCATCGAAACCGTCGTTTTGGAATTCAATTTCATCAAATAATCCAAGTTCAACAGCAGCTCTTTCAACTTCTCTATGATTCATCTTTGGCATAGTTTGAGCAACTCTCCAAACTGGTTTCTTTTCAACATGAGCTTTAGCAAACATGATATCCATTTCTTCTAATGAACGACCTGCAGTTTCTGGGTAGAAAAAGAAGATAATTGGAACGAAAATGAAGTTCATAACAGCAAAGAATAAATAACAACCCCATCTAGCATTGGCAATGAAAACTGGAGTAAACATAACAACAGCGAAATTTGTTAACCAATTGGTACATGTTGAAATAGCTGAGGCAACAGTTCTTGTTCTTAATGGATTGATTTCTGGTGGATAAACCCATGGTAATGGTAAAATAGTGAATGCAAAGAAAACAATAAACAAGAATAAACCAACAGCAGCACCTTTAGCATTTTGAGTAGTATCTTTAACTAAACAGCCAAAAGTAATAATGAATGAACAACCTTGACCAGTAGCACCAATCAAAAACAAGTTTCTTCTACCCAATTTTTCAATTAAAAAGAATGATGGAATAGTGGATAAAGCATAAATGGTTGCAAAAACACCACCTAAAATCAATGGTAATTTACCAGTTAAACCAATAGTTTGTTCAAATAAAACAGTTGAATAATAAATAGCAGCATTACAACCAGTAAATTGTTGGAAAAATTGAGTTGAAGAACCAATCAACATTCTTCTAAAATGTTGAGTTTTACCACCAGTGAAAACTTCTTTCATACTAATTTGTTTTTTAGAAACTTTTTCAACAGCATCTTGAATAGCAGTGGCTTCTTCATCAACACCTTCATCATCAATTGGAACGTCATTTAAAGCAGCAAGAACGAAAACAGCTTCTTCTCTTCTACCTTTTGATAATAACCATCTTGGAGATTCTGGCAATTGTAAGGCACCAATCATAACAAAGAAGGCAAAGAAAATTTGGAATGCAACTGGGAATCTCCATTGAGAAGAATTGTTAACATAAGACATACCAAAATCAACCCAGTAAGCGACAAAAGTACCAATGGCAACAACTGAACCTTCCAAGTTGACCAACATACCTCTTTTTTCTGGTTTAGACATTTCTGATTGCCAAACTGGGATAGTGGCGGTATTCATACCATTACCAATACCTGTAATAACTCTACCAACAACAAATTGACCAGTACCCCAAGCATCTCTATAAGCAGTGACTGAGATTAAAGTACCAAGGATAATAATAAAAGCACCCAAGATGATTAATGGTCTTCTACCAATTCTTTCACCTCTAAACATGGCAAATAAAGCACCAAAGAAACAACCAATTTCATAACAAGCTGTAACAGCACCTTGGTTAACAGAGTTACCTTTAGTAGCTGGGAATTCATAGTTAAATTCATGACCAGTAATTAAACCAGACATTAAACCTTGATCATAACCGAATAATGAGAAACCTAATGTGGCAGTTAATGTGACTGAGACTCTAAGGGCTCTACCACTTAGCCCTGCAGTGTTTGTTCTTGATTTCCAATCAAAACCCATAATGAAATGTTTGATAATTGTAAGTAGTTAATAGGAAAACAAATTACAAGTTACAAGTTTACAAAACTGGGGGAAATGGTGTGGTATTTATAATCTCAAAAGTTTTAGCATCTGTTTTAGGAAAGTTGATGTTTTCATGTTTTTTTTTCAACTTGTTGAAGATTCTTCGCTATGGCAAGAGTATTGAAATGATGTAATTGTAAATAAATTTTATTCCGGTGTGTGCCCCGGACCACAGCCATTTCCTGCGGGCTTATGTCAGCGGTGCATCCCGGATAAAAGAGAACCGGTTCGCGCAGACTTCGTGTCTTGGTTTTTTTTCATTTAGGCTTTTGAGCAAGAAAAAAGCAATGAAGATGACTGAGAGGATTGGAATCTGGAATCTCTGGTGGGTTGTGTTTCTTTTGCTGTGTTTCTTTTGTACTTGTGAGTCTATAGAGCCAGCCTAGTAGTGGTCGTCTGTGTGTAGCTGGTTGGTGGTTTTCCTGTGCTGCTCTTACGATGTTTTCCTCTCGTTCTCTGTAGTTGTAGTTGTTGTTCATGTAACACGATGAAACGTCATGTAGCTCTGGAAAGGACTTGATTTACGGTGGTGTTTCCAGCCTGGTGATCGTCAGAAAATCAGAATCATTCACAAAAAACATAGGGCCTTCGGGTACCTGTATACAAATAACATACAAAACTCACGCTGGAAAACCTTTTTTTAGGACCTTGAATCAACCAATTAGTGTAGACCATCAACACGGTTCGCTCTCCATTGGTTCTGCAATCTTGAATGATCTTTCATCGGGAGAAAGAGGCAGGTTTATGGGGTCATTACGAGCTTCATAATGGTGAATCTTTGGAGCAGAACAACTTTAAATCACCATCAACATAAAGACGAGAATGGGTTCTACAGCCCAAGGTTGATGGATATAAGATATAACCGTGATATAGACTATTAAGTATCTTCTATCCCAAGTTATCCAAGATACAGATCTATATCGTAGCTCAATGAAGAATACAAAGACCATCAACTTTGGGGTAGCAGCTACTACAACATGAAACCAGCCAAGAAGGATCCAGCCTCCAGGCTTCAGCAGCTTGTAGGAAATTGCCAAAGCCAATTGTTTAATTCAAATTCAATTGATGAACAGTACTTTGAGCTACTTTTCTCACAAGCTTAACCCACAACCAATTGTACAATAACCCACCAGCATATTTAACATTTGAAACCTTTTGAAAGTACAAACTACAAATTGTAGTACGTTCTACATTCGTATTACAAGACACTAGACACTACCCCAGTGCTTCCAATTGAATGCCTTTGTTTGCCTCAGCGTATCGGTGATCAAGAGAAGCATTTCCTTGGGATACCAAGCGTGCCATACAAGCATTCTTGGTGTTCTTGTAATTGCTAATTACTCCGGGAAGGGCATTTTGGCTCGTCCTGTCTAGCTTTTAGGCTACCAGCCTCCAGGCAGGAACAGTAGCCTATGGGAAGTGCTCTGGGCTTAGCGGCTAGCCTATTCTTAAAACCTTAAAGTGTGTCTTGTATGAAAAACATCATCATGAACTGATTGAACAACTTCATGACTTTTCAGAATTTTGTGGAGTAGGAAATGACTACAACATTTTCTGACTCCAACCACGGATTTCTGTGCTCAGGTCGCTAGCGTGTATGTAGCTCTGGCTAGACGAAGCCTGGGAAACTGGTTGTTGTAAAATCGACTCAGTGGTTTTTTTTGAAGATCTCAAGAAAACAATTGATACGCGTTGGCTTGAATCTCATAGCAAATTGTTATGTAAAGCAGTCGGAATTCGTTCCACTAGTTTTTAGTGGGCTTTAATCTCAAGAGTATCTTCTCTGTGCTGTTTTATAAGACAAGTTACCAGCTTTGTTGGTTCTCAAAAGTGTACCTTTGGATGTGTGAGTTTATGTTGAATGGGATATCAAAGAGAGCCAGCTTAAACAGGATTTACAACGTATAATCCATTGTGATTGGTCAAAGGCTGTTGACTCTGCAAAGAGTCTTTAATTTAGTAGTGTGGGGGACTTAACACTACACACAAGTGTATGCCTCTACTTCTTCAACTTCATCAACTTCATCAACTTCATCAACATCAAACAATTCTATAAAGCCCTAAGCACAAGTCAACTACACAGCTCAAACTCATGATGATGATATTTCTGTCACAAACATGATTACTTGCAGTCATAGAAGGCAGATGAATCGTAGATATGAACAACAATAGGCAGACCCGTATTGATGCTAGTACCTTCTATGACGTTATGAGTCAAAGAAAAAATATAAAGGGCCCAAAAAGAAACTTTCCCAAAACTGACATATAAAACCTAAAACCTCATGATTACTTCCAAGATGGCAATACTAAAGCTTAAATCAACGGTGTTGTACGTGTACAACTAATTATTAATTATTAATAGCCTACTCATAAAGTCTTTTCTATTTGTAGGGCTCAAAAAGAAATGAAATGAGGCAAACTTTGGCCGGCCTTGACCTAAAAGCCGCAGGCCTAAATTTTAAAGTATGGTAGTCTCGTTTCTTTTGGACGGGTATCTTGGAAAGAAGGTCTAGGCTGCATAATTGGGTCTGTGGCAAATAGGTATTGAGCCTAGACTTCAGGCTGCTATTAAAACAATACTACTAATCATATAGAACTGAGATGAGCATAGGATTTAGTACAATACACTGTATATTGATAAAAGTTATCATAAAGAAGATGTACAATGTGGACTACGAGATTTTCTACCAACTTCACGTTTTAAAAATTGGAGCATTTCGCCCTCTGGTGCTTAAGCTAAGAAGAATCCAGTTCTTCATTCTTGAGTACAGACCTAAGTACACGTCCAAAATCAATAGAAGTTCGACTCAAAGCTCCAAAAGGACAGCTTGTTCCTTTCCTTCACAGACCTAATACTCTAGCTTGGGCCAATAATTTTCGTTTCAATCCTGGTAAAATAAAACAAAACTTGGTTTTCCCTGACATGAAGAAGGAAAAGGCACAAATCCAATACCTGAACTGATCCTGGTATCACGACTAAACACTAACAAACCCCATGATTAAACACATTATAATATGATAATCAATACCATAGAATCCAATAATCACATAAAAACCACACCTTCCCATACAAAAAAATCCTGATTTATAAACTTTTATGTAAATTTCAAGTCAAAAGCTGATGGCTCGTGTGCTGGGCAAACCGTGAAAAAAAAAATCTAAAAAAAAAATCACGACGTGTTCAAGAGAAAAAAATGCGACACGATCATTTTGAAAAGAACAATATTAAATACTCATCATCAACTCAAAAGTTTCATCAGCTCCGTTGTTGCTATTGTTATCCAATTCTTTTGCTGCTATAAATATTCCTTTTTTAGTTGCTGGTCACAATGGCTCGTTCTGATGCTCGTTTAATTAGGTTTGCTGCCATAGCTGCTGCCCTTTTGTTAACAATCTTTATCTTATCCAAGGGTTCAACAACTACTTATGTTGCATCAACAAATCAAGCACCATCAACTGGATCTTCCTCATCCACTTCTGCAGCAAGTGCGAACGTCAAGGCTAATACTACTCCAGAAAAACCAAAAACTCCAGTTTCAAGTAATCCAAAGGATAAAGTTAGTGCAACTTTTGTTTCATTAGCTAGAAATCGTGATTTATGGTCATTAATCGGTTCAATTAGATCTATTGAAGATCGTTTCAACAAACAATTCAAATATGATTGGGTCTTTTTAAATGATGAACCTTTTACTGAAGAATTTAAAAGAACTACAACTGCTTTAGTCTCTGGTACTACTAAATTTGGTTTAATTCCAAAAGAACATTGGTCATTCCCTGAATGGATTGATTTAGAAAAAGCTGCAAAGACAAGAGAAGATATGAAACAAAAAAATATCATCTATGGTGATTCAATCTCATATAGACATATGTGTAGATTTGAATCTGGGTTTTTCTATAGACATGAATTATTACAAGATTATGAATATTATTGGAGAGTGGAACCTGATACTAAAGTTTATTGTGATATTGAATATGATATTTTCAAATTCATGAAGGATAATAATAAACAATATGGTTTTACAATTTCATTGCATGAATATGCTGCAACTATTGAAACTTTATGGCAAACTACTAGAGAATTCATTAAAGAAAATCCTCAATATTTACCAAAAGATAACATGATGGATTTCATTTCAGATGATGGTGGGTTCTCTTATAACTTGTGTCATTTCTGGTCCAATTTTGAAATTGGTAATTTGAATTTTTGGAGAGGTGAAGCTTATTCAAAATATTTTGAATATTTGGATAAAGCTGGTGGGTTCTTTTATGAAAGATGGGGTGATGCTCCAGTTCATTCCATTGCTGCTGCATTATTCTTACCAAGAGATCAAATCCATTATTTCAACGATGTTGGTTATTACCATGTTCCTTTCCATAATTGTCCTATTGATGATAAACTTAGATTGGAACGTAAATGTATGTGTAATCCAAAAGATGATTTCACTTTCAAAGGTTATTCTTGTGGTGAAAAATTTCATACTGTTAATCAATTGGAAAAACCTGCAAACTGGCAAGATTATTCATAGAGTGAATATGACTTTGGAAAGAAAAAATAATTAAATGAAATTAATATCAAGAAGTTGTTTATTGTTTTAAAAAAGGAAGTTGAGATTTTTAAGCATTCATTCATTATTTACTTCCATGTTTTCAATTCATTCACATCATCATCATTGAACGAATCTTTGATTTATATTATTATTTAAATTATGTTTTAAAAAGCTCATTTGTAGTATTGTTGAACGTTAGATATTGCCAATATCAATATAAATATTGGAACTTTATATATTTGTTTGATCTAGTTATACAGCTATATAATTAGCGGTACTGCTCCAGCACTTTTTTTTATCTAGTTATAATAATGTGTATTCATAATTAAATGCTGAATTAATAATGTACAAAATCACCGACGACTAGTACTAACTTTTGTCGATACATAAGAATTTGGAAAATAGCCACCAAACTCATCCATCATCGTACATTTGACCAAATATATATATAGATAGTTTTCAGCTTGCAGTTTGTTTGTTTTTTTTTTAGTTGATGTATTTAACTTGGATGAGGAATGCAATTAAGCACGAACCGCTTGGATTGTAGGCTTCTCGCTGTGTTGGAATTCAGGCTTCCTTATAATATCCTTCTCGGCCAACTGAGAAACCTACTCTCCACCACGAATTAATGTATCTGATGTGTATTTAAATTAAAAATGCTAAAATAATGTACAAAATCACTGGAGACTCAGTCTAGTATGACTTATGATCTATAAACATAAATTAAGGGATAAATCAGAATAAAAACAGGTAAATTAAGAATTAACTAAGAAATCTCATGACTGAATAATAATATTATAATATAGACGACGTCTCGGCGGCCTGCAGTGATTTTGTACATTATTTTAGCATTTTATAAGTGCACATGATCTGAAGTTTGAACGTAGAATATACTGCATCACAATTACAAAAAAAAAAAAATATCGGCATAAATTATATATATTATCGTCGACGCACTCTAAAATAATGATATTTTACCCTTTACAACTGCAAATAATTAAGATTGTAATTTTGCAATTAAATTCTAAGAGTTACTAGCTGCTATTGGCTAATTAGTTGATAGTTTATTACTATAATTACGTAATAAACTACATAAGAAAACGTACCACCAGTTACTTCAAAAGATTTTTTTTTCAAAAACAGCTTCTATGGCCAAGTTGGTAAGGCGCTACACTAGTAATGTAGCGATCCTCAGTTCGACTCTGAGTGGAAGCAATTTTTTTGCATATAGTCGGGGCACACATCCGAACACCACCTTAATTTTTAATAGGTACTAAAGCTACAATTTGAATCCTTATCACTTATTCAAGTATTTATTTTTTCAATATTCAGATCCTATTGGGTCATTGCTTAATAAATGTGCTGGAATGTATGTAGTTTTATTGGCAATTTTTTGACGAGCTTGCAAAAATTTGTATTTTTTCAATAATCTCTTTCTTTGGAATTTGATTGGAATCCAAGGATAATAGCCATTTGCCTCTTCAAATTTCAAATTCTTGATGGAAAATATAATAACAGCCCAATAAGCGATGTAACTTATAACTGAACCATAAGTTGCACTGTTTGTCCATCCAAAAATAGCTGTGAAAAGCATCCATAATCCATCCATTTCACCATTACAGCAATTAACATGCCATATTGAATTTGTAACATCATATGAACCTGGTCCTGAACCAACTTCAGACATATCTTGTCCATGACAAAGATTGATATACCTTTGTAATTCAAATTGCCAAACACCTTTTGAAAATAAACCAGCTGCAATTAAATATAATAAACATGTTGTGGAAATTAAAAAGATTTTCAATGAAAATGATTCTGTTCTCTTGTAAAGGAAAACACCGACGACTGAGCTGACAAGAATACCTAGTGCTGTAGATAAGGGTAAAGTTGTTAAAGGCTGTCCAACACCAACACCTCCAATGAAGACAAATGCTTCTAATGATTCTCTTAGACATGTAATAAAAGGAAGAAAGAATAAAGCATATTTTTCAGCATATATCTTAAATTTTGATCTCTTATCACTTGAGATCTCTTCTGGGCTTTTGTTTATCAAGATATTTGCTAGTTTAACTCTGAATTTTTCCTTCAATTTGGATAATCTAAGGAAAAACATACCCATTATTGAAATTACCACTGAAGCTAATAAACTCAAACTTCCTTCATAATAATGCTCACTTAAAGACCAAAGATCTGTTCCAATTAAATAAAAGATTGTAATGAAAATACCACCAATAATTAAAGACACAAATAGTCCCAATAAACTCCCTGTCCAAATTTGTAATCTGAATTGTTTATACAATTTATCACCAGCTTCTGTTAAACCTTCAGGGTTATTATTGACATCATATTCAGGACTCACATCTTCCGAAGTGGTAGCTAATAGATCCAATTCTTCATTGTTTATTGATGTGGTTGAAGTTGAATCCCTTGAATGATGGAGTATTAATGATTGTTTTACAAAAGCCAACAGGATGGAAACAATGATGATGATTTCTAGAGATTCTCTAAGTATGATGAAGAAAATCTCAAAAGAGAAGATGTCCTCGAATTCAACCATCTTAAATGTTAATCTTTTGCAATGATATAATTTGCTCGTTTGATTCAAAAGATCATTTGATGATTTTTTCAACTTCTTTGATGGAAAAGATAAAAAACACCCATTGATTACATAACAATTTTTGTGTCAAAATTTTTTTAATATAAAGTCATAAATTCATTACTTCTATAAATATCAAAAGACCTGGTCCTTCATCTTCTGCCTGTAGTGGTCTCCGATTGTGATTTTTTGAAGCTTGTTCAAATGCTTCAAACTATATACAAATAAAACCACAATGGAGATCATCGACACCGCGATAACAGCTCCTAATCCATAATCTTGTTCCTCTATAAAATTTTCCAAGTTCATACCATAGGCAGCTGCAATAAATAAGCCAGCACCCATACTCAATAATCCAATGGAAAATCTCAAACTTAACAACATGAGTTGATTTCTATTGGAATCTAAAATGATGTTAATAATCTCTTCAGTGGTTCTAACATTTGAAATTGTATTATTTATTGTTTGAACAATTTCATCACAATGTTTATAATATGATTCTAGCAACATTTCCACTTCTGCATGATCATCAACATCTCTTGGTGTCCCGTTCATCTTTTCAGTTAAATAAATTCCAGCTAAATCATCATCATTATCCAAAATTTCATCAATAACATCTCTAACTAATGTTGCCTTTTGTGAAAATGTTGAAATTTTCTTGTTTTGAATCAATAAATATCGTAGTTTTTCCCTTGTGATGTCATCTTCCAATTCGTGTAAGATTCCTTGTGTAACAGTGGTTTGTACCTTCATTTCTGCATCAAGATTTGTCATTGCTGAAACTAATACAGCCTCTAAAGCTCTTATTTCATAGGGCAAATCAACATTTTTAGCCTTCAACTTTGATTCCAAATCCATAATGAATTGTGATTGAGCATGAGAATTTCTTGAACCTAAATCATCAAATATGATTACAGTATCTGCCTTAATCAAAGCACGTATATGAAGTAATGTGATGACAACTGAATCTTTACGAACAGAGATAGATGGTGCAATCTCTGTATTATAACCGATTTTCTCAATCTTTCTCAAATCTCTAGGGAATAAACCATGTTTTGATATTAGATCTGATCTTTTCAAATCTGCTGATACAGCTTCTAAATTACCATCCCCATCAAACACAGTACATCTCAACACTGTTGCCTCTGTTGGATTCAAATGATTTCTATGGACCAAGTTCTTCTCCAATAATAGAGAAGTGTACTCTGCATTTCTCCTGCTTGTGATGCTATTGTTTAAACAAAGATGGCTAGTATTTGAGATTGATCTCTTGATTATGGGCCGTGCCACTGAAGGGAAAACCGAGCTCTTTGTAAACGCCTTCAGCACCAGATTTGTCCTCAGATAGCTCATTTGCACACTCCTTAATTCTCTTTACCTGAAAGAAACCAGTTGATCTTTTCTTCAAAATCATCTCTTTTAATTGAAAACTTCTCTAAAGCCCATTTCCAAAATCACCAAAAAAAAAGTACCGGATTTCCCGTTTGGGTAAGTACCGAGGGCATTTTTGTTTTGACAGAAAAAATGAAGCATAATATTGAGAAAACATCTTACAATTTACAAAACTAAAATGGAATAAATTATCTGTCTGCGAAATGGTGTATAAAAGAAGGTCATTGTGACCTCAATTCCACTCGAACAGTTCCCACTTTTAATTCCTCTCATCATTGAACTTTTTCGAGAAAAGCACCATGATTGTTCCAACAGGTCCATCCAAATCCATCAAGATTAACATCTTTGACAAACTTCCACGTGAATCAACCGTCTTTATTGCTTCTCAGTTGAACCAAACTGACAAGTATAACTTGCTTAGATCCAGTGGGTATTTATATACCACATTGTTGCCAACCCTTTATGAAAAAGTTGTTGTCATTTCAACTTCAACTTCAATTAATGTTCGTGAAATTGGGAATGGTCGTCGTGAATTCCATTATCCAAATGATAAATCAATCGTTTCTGATAAACGTGCTATTAAGAAGTTTTTCAAGACTATTAATAAAACCGTTTATAACCATGATGGGAAAATTAGAATCTCCACATTGATGAATTTATTCCATTGTTATTATTCTTTAATTCCTGAAGGTTTTAAAACTTTTAATGATGATAGTGATAAATATTATACCCTTGATGATTTAGAGGATACTTTTTTTGATTGTTTCCATGAGGCTTTTGATTTTGAAAAAACTGAAATTCCAATCTCTGAATTTTTCTGTTTGAATGTTTTCAAATGTTTGGTTAAATTAACTTATTGTAAAGATATTTGTGTTCCATCAATGGTTTATTCCAAGTTGATTTATAACCTTGATCATTATGATTATATTAGGGATAGGAAAGTTGAACGTGGTGTTGATCAAACTTTTAAAAATTATTACAAGAAATTTCTTAAAGGTGAATTATTTTTGGATTTTTTCAGAATTAGTAACGGATTAAAATTAAGTCTTTCAAATTTAACCAATATAAGAGTTTCATTTGCTGATCCATTCCTGGCTAGAAGTATTTTGGGATCTTGTGATTCTTCAAAATTGAAAAAATTAACTTTGGATCATATGTGTTGTGGTCATGATTGTGAATCTGATCATTTGAAAACATTAACTCATGATCAATTGAATAGGAAATTCTTGTTGATTGATGAGTTTTTCAAATTGAGCCATATTAAATGTATTTTCAATAGATTGCAAGATTTGGAATTGGTTTTCCATAATGGGTATAATAGAGCAGTTTTCAGAAAATTTTTGTTTGGTATTTGTCATTTCATTGTTACTCCTAATAAGAAGTTTTCTATAATTGGTGGGAAATTAAAATTGAAATCATTAGTTATTAGAGAGACAACTTCAAATTTCACAAAGATTAGAGAATATAATCATAAGATATCTGATCATGTTTCCCAAATTCATAGAAGAGAGGTGCAAAAATCATGTACTTTATTACTTTTCTTGGATTTGGTTAGTATTTCAAATTATTTCACAATATTTGATTTGATTGATTTTACAAAGATTGAAAAAGTTGATATTTTAACCAAGTATTTCCCTAAAGGTACAGAATTGGATGCCTTTTTAGATAAATATTTCAAGAGTTTTTATAAAAATCTTATAGTCAATATGAAAAACCCATTAGCACCAAATATGGTTACAATTGGTATTGAACAATATGATAAATCAGTTATGGTTGCCAAAGCTGTTATTCATGATGATGAGAGTGAAAAAGATGAAAATAAAGTTGCTGTTGTTGAAGTTGAGAATTGAGAAACAACAACACAGACAACTATGACTCTTGTACATACATGATAACAGCTTGGAGATACAAATTTTGAATAGACTTTTACCTTTTTTTCATTCTTTTCATACTTCTTTTTACTTTGATTAAATATACACAGATAACAAAACATTTCATCTCTATTCTTCTTCTTCGCTTTCAGATTCTTCAGATTCTGCAGCTTCTAATTCCTTACGTTCTAACAAAGCTTGTAATTCAGCATCTTCAGTAGCAGTAACAGCTTTTGGAGCCATTGTAATAGTTGCAGAACCACCAGATGATGTAATTTTTTCTTCAATAACTTCCAAAGCCTTGTGTAATAAATCAATACCTTGTTGTTTTTCTAAAGCTTGAGTGGTGACAACATAAAGAGGAGCAGCAACTAATTTAACTTTGACTTGTAATTGTTCAGTTGATAAATCTTCAGCAGCTCTTAGGGCATCTTTAATAGCATCGATACCTTCATAACTAAAACATGAAACTTCAACATCAGCACGGATCTTGATAGCTTGAGGAGTCAAACGACGTGAAATGTATGAACGTAATTCTTTTAAAACTTCTTCATTTGGAACTTCAACATTTTCAAAAACTGAATCATCAGTGATTGAAATTTTAAAAGCATCATAAACATGACCATATTTTCGACTTAATGGCCATCCAATGGTTTGATACAATGATTCTAATGGGATACCGAATTTTTCAGCACAATGACGCAAAATAGAATGGGCAGCTTTTGATTTATTGTATCTTTCTTCACATTTTATAACATCTTCTGAAGAAACACGACGTTTTGATAAATCAATATAACCTTTTTCTTTATCAACTCTTAAAACAACAACAACTTCATTCTTACCAACACGGATCAATTTTTGAATACTACGAATACGTCTTCTTGATAATTCACTAAGTAAAACCATACCTTCAATGTTATCATATTCTAATAATTTAACATAAGCACCCATTTCAGCAATTTGTTGAACATTCACCATGACAACATCATCAACTTCTGGGTATTTGTTCTCATAGAATCTGCAGCTTGAAGTACTCATCTTGTTCTATATATTGTTAGTATTTCATTAATTCAAATTAAATGTAGTTTTCATTGGAAAAGATTTTTCATATATGAGTGAAAAGGGCAAAAACTATCAAATCCTGCTCTTTCACAAAAATGATCCCACTAATCCCTCTCCATGAAAACAGATAAATCCCAAAACAACATACTCTTAATAAACTCTATAATAAACAATCAAAAACAGTTTAAAGAATTCCTTTCCAAAAGGATTTTTCTATTATTACGCTCTTTTTTTTTTGTTCATCGAATCGAAAAAATGAAAAAATTCAGAAAAGTTACGTAATCGAGAGAAAGAAAATCGGTAATGGGGACACACCATAATAAAGAATTGTAAAATGAACTATATTAGATTGAATGTTATATTTATGATTGATTTTGTTTGAATTTCTCTAATAATTCCATTGATTTCGTTAGTTCAGCCATTGCAGTATCTATATCCTCGTAATTTATAGCTGAAATTGCGAATTTTGCACATTTGGTAGCACGTTCTAATAATTCACCATCTTTTAAAAAAATCTGAATATCTTGTTTATTCAATTGTTTTGGGATTGGTTTATTAGGTGTTGTGGATTTGGTATGGTGTTGGGAAATGTATTCTGGTGTGTCTGGATCTTGTTCTTGAGCATCTGATGGTTCTTCGTCTTTGGTATCATCCTGAGGTACACCTGGTGCTGTTTGAGGTAGTTCTGGGAATGCTATATCTCCATTATCAGATGGTTCATCCATTGCAAGTTTGATTGTTTGGGCAATCTCTTCTTCTGTTATTGGGGTTGAATCGATTGAATCTAATTTTTGAGGGTTTTCACCTTTTTTAACTGCAGTTATTATTCTTTGAGCGTTTTTTCTGCAATATGTTATCCTTTCATCTAATTCTTCATCATCTATCTTACTTAGGTCTTTTTGTATTATCTTATTAATGATTTCATCCTCTTTGGGGATCTCTTCATCTTCATTGTCATTAGTTAGATTTTTAATACTCTTTGTGATATGATTTTCAAGGTCAATATCATCTTGTGATTCCACCATGTTGGCCAATGAATCTGAAAGATCTTGTGAACCATTTAATCCAACTTCTTCTTTATTCTTTCCCTCATCTTCAACTTCTGTACTTTTTTCAACAATACTCTCCATTTTCGAACCATTATCCTCAGGAATCTCTTCATTAGTATAAGGGAACAACCACCTTGCTATTTCATAAATCGTAGCACACGTTAAAAGATCCGTAACAGTTTTCCTATACTCATTCAATTAGTACACACCACTAAACATATCACAACAATACCACTACTCACCCAGACGCCTGACCAGTCTCTATCAAAGTCGAAGCAGTTTCAAACACCTCCTGCACAAACTCTATCAAATACTCTCTTGATCTGATATGTGATTTTAAAATTTCTTTAAATTGATCACGGTGTTGTAATTTCTCATGTTCGATCTCTAGAAAAGTGACTAAATGAGTAGTTATATCTTGATCATCTTGGATCAATGGGGTTTGGGTGATTGAGTCCCTTGTTGATATTGTGTCTATGAGTATTTGAACTGTGTAAAGACCAGCTATATATTGGGTCAGTTAGTTGAATGAGGGATTGTGTGGGATGGACATACCAAAATAGGAGATTAAAGGGTTTGGGGAATGGTATTCTTTGAATATTTGGAAAGTTGCATTGGCTTGGTTGAAGTAATTTGGGAGTCTTTTTAAGGATTTTATGAGTTTTAAAGAGGGTTTGGACATGGCTTTTGTGATTAGGAGGGTTTACTGTAGTTGTTTTTGAATTGTTTTGGTTTTATAGATGTTCTCGATATCAGAAAGGGGAATGGTTATGGTTATGGGCGATGGGTAATGGTGTAATGAGTAACATTTTGATTAAAAAGTGTTGAAGTGGTTTAGATCAGAAGATTTCTTTGATTCAATATATTCATATTCCTCGAGTACGTGGTCAAGTGATGGAGATTTGAGTCTATGAATTAATAACAGAGATCGATGGTGCAATATCGAATACTGAATGCTTAGGATAAAGACATTAGCTGTTTGAAAAGGAGTATAACTTTGGGACCTTAAATCAAAGAATTACATGATCTCATGATGATGTGGGATCAGTTTATTCCAGAGGTACACAACTTCACGGTTCAGCCTCACTTATAAGCGATCTGGGGTGCTCAAACTGGATTGTGTTAATGAATAACGTCTATTGGTTTAATGTTCCTCTTATAGGCCTCAGAGGTTGTACTAAAAGTGGATCTGGCACTAATAAAGCTTCCAAAGACAACTCTTCATTTCGATGAACAACACCCCTTCTGAAAACCGTTTGATTATAACCTAAACCTTGATATGAGTCATGATTGGTCCTGTCTATTGATTCCGAAGCACTACATGCTAAAGATCTGGATTAATTCACTTCAACAAGCTAGTATGGACCGATTAATTCATAGGTAAAGTATCTTCATCTCCTCCGTAAATAGGCTTAAATAAGATCCATAACAATACAGACTTGAACCCTTTCCCCCACGAAGGATGTAGTGTGATTATAAGCTCACTGTAGATGAACATTCGATGCTCGTATTCATACGTCTGTGGATCTCTATTGAACCAAACGGCATACTCAACATGGTCATACAAAGTTACAAAGCGATCAAGAGTGTGATGTTGGTGAGTCAAGTTTGAGCGAGCATTTGCAACTGATCGGTATACTCAATTTTTATAAGCCGTATACAGCAAAACGCCGTCATGAGTGGGAAAGTGAAATTGCACAGAGTCCATGAATTCCCGTTATAATGAATTCAAGCTTATCATCATAGAGCTATCTCTGATTGAATAGCTATGATCAAGACAAACCCATTAAACAAGCTTGATTAAACCAGTTCTTCAGAGCCAAGCGTTTTTGTGGCAACGGTTTTCACATTCTCGAGACTTTGGCGATGCGATGAGATGAGGTTGAATTGAATCAGTTGAATCAAGAGTGTGCAACCGACGGAGTTTTATTTCATCAAGCAGCCAACGATGATGCCATTCCACCAAACACCGATCAGAGAAGAAGATTACACTTACAATAAGCTAATACATAGTATTTACGTAGAACAGATACCACAGCTTATAGCTCCTCTCTTTACCTTCTCTTCCCTTCCCTTCCCTCTTCTTTTCGTCGACGTCTAGCGGTTACTTTCATCACTTGTGACTGCCTGAGATCTGATAGGCACTACGATAAGATTCTGAATATCCCGACTGTTCCCACCACAGATCGGTAAAGAATCATGTCAAACGTATAAGCTTTTTCGCCTTTTTCTTGCACACTTTGGTCTCGAGTTTGAACCAATGAAACCACATCCATCGACATGATCCCGTAATCAGTGTTTGGAATTATGTCAAATGACTAACTCATAGTGTTATCAGAAGCCATATCGTACCGTATCACCCCCCTTCAATCACAACCTCTCTTTTGGGTAGAGTTGTATAAATACATCTCAAATGCCATGGTTTGGTCAGAACAGAGAATAGAGAATAGATACTTCAAAGCTCATCCAAAATGAGTAGTTCCAAAAAACTTTATGATCCATCAAAGGAAGAATATGAATTACAAAAGGGAACAGTTGGTACTGTCCAACTAGAAAAAGTTAATTCCCATGATGAAATATCAATAGATAATTCCACTGACTTGGATAAAACAACTTTAAGCTTAGCAGGTTCCCCTTCATTTGATGAAGAACAAATCAAAGAATTCTTTAGCAAATTAAGTGATGAAAGTGTTCAATTATTCTTAAAAGAAACTGGTCATGGTAATGATATCCATAATGATAATAAAGATGATTTAACATTTGATTTGAAATTCATCCTTGATAAAATCATCAATATGAATGATGAAAAAGTTTTAAAGATTTATCAAGCTTCAAGTGAAAATCATCAAAATGATCCAAATTTCCCAAATGCTGATTGGACTTATCTACATCAAGTTTTAAATGGTGAAATCAACTATACTGAAAATTTTGAAGAAAATTTCAAGGCAAAATTATTAGCTTCTTTGATCTATTACCATTCTCCATACCCTGAAGTTCGTGCTGTCACTGATTTATACAATGATCCAAATGAACCAGTGGAAACCATCAGATCCTACACAATCGCAATCATTTGGTTAATCATCTCCACAGGTATCAGAGAATTCTTTTATCATAGACAACCTGCCATTGCTCTTAGTGTCGGTGTTGTTTCCATCTTGATGTATCCATGTGGTAAAGCTTGGGAATACATTATGCCAAACATCAAAATCGGGAAATTACCATTGAATCCAGGTCCTTACTCTTACAAAGAACAAATGTTTGCCACTACCATTGTCACTGTTGGTTCTCAAAGTGTTTATGTCTCTTCAAATATCGTTACTCAAATCAAATTTTATCACCAGGATTGGGTCACTTTTGGGTATCAAGTCCTATTAACTCTATCTACCCAGACTATGGGGTTTGCATTTGCTGGTATTTTGAGAAAATTTGTTATTTATCCTGAACGTGCATTATGGCCAACTAATTTACCTTCATTAGCTTTGAATCGTGCCTTATTGAAACCTGAAAGAAAAGAAATCATTAATGGTTGGAAAATTACCAAATATAAATTCTTTTGGATTTGCTTCTGTGGTATGTTTGTTTATAATTGGATCCCAACTTATTTGTTCAATGCTTTATCCACATTCAGTTGGTTGACTTGGATCTCTCCAAATAATTTCAATTTGGATGTTGTTACAGGTTTTAATGGTGGGTTAGGTTTAAACCCAATCCCAACTTTTGATTGGAACGTTGTCAGTTACTTAATTTCTCCATTAGTCTTGCCATTCTATGTCAGTATGAATGTCTTTGCAGGTATGGTTTTGTCATTTTTCGTTATTTTGGCAATCTATTATACAAATACAAAATGGTCAGCTTATTTACCAATCAATTCAAATTCTGTCTTTACAAACACTGGTGAATCTTTTGAAGTGCAAGAAATCTTGACTAATGGGTTATTAGATCTTGAAAAATATCAAAACTATTCTCCTCCTTTTTACACTGCTGGTAATTTGGTTGTTTATGCTGTTTTTTTCTTGTTCTATCCATTATCTTTTGTTTACAACACTTGGAAAGAATGGGATACTATTAAATTTGCATTGAAATTTATGTATAATGATACAAAGGAACAATTCCAAAATTTCAGTGTGAAGAAAATGTTCAAATATGATGACAATAAAAGAATCCCAGCCGTGGGGAAATTTGATGATCCACATTCAAGAATGATGGCAAGATATAAAGAAACCCCTGATTGGTGTTATTGGTGTATCCTTATTGTTTCCTTGGTGCTTGCAATCTTATGTGTCAAGATTTATCCAGAAACTAAAACTCCTGTTTGGGGTATTTTCTTTGCTATTGGTATCAATTTTGTGTTTTTAATTCCTTTATGTTTGCTTTATGCCGTGACTGGTATTCAAATGGGGTTGAACGTCTTGGTGGAATTGATTGTTGGTTATGCCCTACCAGGTAATGGTGTTGCACTAATGACTATTAAAGCTCTTGGTTATAACATTGATGGTCAAGCTGATAATTTTGTCTCTTCTCAAAAAATGGCACATTATGCTAAAATCCCAGCAAGAGCTCTATTCAGAGGTCAATTGATTGGTGTTATTATTCAATGTTTTGTGTTTTTAGGTGTTGTTAATTGGTCATTATCAAATATTGAAGGATTATGTGAAGTTCATCAAAAGCAAAAATTCACTTGTCCACAAGAGAGAACTTTCTATAGTGCTTCTGTTTTATGGGGTGTTATTGGTCCTAAAAGAGTGTTTGATGGGTTATATCCAATCCTAAGATGGGCTTTCTTAATTGGATTCTTACTTGCCCTATTATTAATTGTGGTGAAGAAATATTTCCCTAAATACTTCCCATCTTTCATTGAACCTCAAGTTTTCGCCTATGGTATGATTTCTTATGCTCCATATAACTTGTCCTATATCGTTTCTGGTGTTTACACTTCATTTGCATTCATGTACATTATCAGAAGAAGATATTTGGCTTGGTTTGAGAAATACAACTATGTGTTATCTTCAGCTTTTGATGCTGGTGTGGCTTTTTCAGCTGTGATTATCTTCTTTGCAGTGCAATACCATGCAAAGAACTTGAGCTGGTGGGGAAATAATGTTGTTTATGAAGGTATTGAAGGTGGTGAAGGTCAACAGTCTTTGAAAGATATCACTGAGAGTGTTAGAGGTTATTTCGGTCCTTCAAAAGGTTCTTTCCCATAAGCGAGGGAGAGATATTAATAGTGTGATTGTTTGATTTAATTAATTTAGTTTAATTTATATGTCTAATTTTGTGTTACATGTTGTAGATACTAATTATTAGTCTGGTGGAGGTGTGTCATCACATTATCAGGTTTTTGGAATGCAACATCATCGACAAGTAATTGATAATTTGTTAATTGATAATTTTTTCAGTAATTCATTTTGCTCTACACAACAAAAACTTATTCAAAGGAAAATTGGTATTATTTTGAAAACTATTATACACTGTGGGAACTCCTTTATAAATAACCTAAACCACCCACAAACACTTTTATCAAAAATCAATAATGATAAAGCTAAGAAAAAAAACATTCACAATATTAAAAAAATTATCAGTCATAACAAATTCATCACAAGTTTTAAAAAACTTTCTTTAAAAATCTTCATCAAAAGCAAAAGCATCTGAAGATGTTTCAGCTTTAGTAGTACTTGCCATAACACCTGCCTTTTGATAATCTGAAACTCTTTTTTCAAAGAAATTAGTTTTACCAGCTAATGAAATGTTTTCCATGAAATCAAATGGATTTGAAACATTGTAAAATTTCTTATTACCCAATGCAATAAGTAATCTATCAGCACAAAATTCAACATATTGACACATCAATTTAGAATTCATACCTAATAATGAAGCTGGTAAAGCCTCGGTGAAATATTCAGATTCAATGGCAACAGCTTCAGTAATGATTTTTTCAACAATTTCTGGAGATGGTTTATGTTTCAAATGGGCAAATAATAAACATGCGAAATCAGTATGTAAACCTTCATCACGACAAATCAATTCATTTGAAAAAGTTAAACCAGGCATTAAACCTCTTTTCTTTAACCAGAAAATAGATGCGAATGAACCAGAAAAGAAAATACCTTCAACAGCGGCAAAAGCGACTAATCTTTCACCAAATAAGGCTTCATCATCAGCAATCCATCTTAAAGCCCAATCAGCTTTTTCTTTAATACATGGAATTGTTTCAATAGCATTGAATAAGAATTCAGCTTGTTTTGGATCTTTGATATAAGTATCAATCAATAATGAATAAGTTTCTGAATGAATGTTTTCCATCATGATTTGGAAACCGTAAAAACATTTAGCTTCTGGAATTTGAACTTCAGCAGAGAAATTTTCAACTAAATTTTCATTGACAATACCATCTGAAGCTGCAAAGAATGCTAAAACTCTTGAAATGAAAAAACGTTCATTATCATTCAAACGTTCATTCCAATCGTGTAAATCTTTGGATAAATCAATTTCTTCAGCTGTCCAAAATGAAGCTTCAGCTTTTTTATAAGCTTGCCAGATTTCATGATATTTAATTGGGAATAAAACAAAACGACGCTTGTTTTCCACTAATAAAGGTTCATCTTTTTCAGCTTCTTTCAATTGATGACGATGAGATTTGTGTTTAGCTAAGAATTCTTTATGACTTTCTTCAGTTCTTTTTGGTTTAGAAGTTTCTTCAACAGTGGATTCAGTTGGTTTATTACAAGTGGCCAAAGCTTCTTTTCTGGCAGCAGCAGCACTTAATTCGGCTCTCAAATCTTTTTTGGAGTCATCGAGGTCTAAACCTGAGAGGACTTTAGCAGTAGCTTTTGATGGTGTTTCTTGGGTGGACATTGTTAATTATTAAGATTATCACAATTGATGATGATATTTGAATTCTTTGATGAGATTTGAAAACAGGCTGAAGACGCTCTTTATATAGACAGACGCGTAAAATGAGAATTTCTTCTTATATGCACCAGAGTTGATCGAGTTTCGGGTCTGTTTACTTTTCACCAAATCTGATCAAAGGCCAGTCCAAAAGCGTGTTTATTCGTGGCAAACGCGTTCCAAAATTCAACTTTTATACGCTCAAAATTTTTTCTTTGACACGGGCCACGACCGCAACACGAGGGTAACACCAGTGTTAAAACAGAGAGGGAAAGGGTATAGAGACTGGGAAAAAGAGGATTATGTGTTGATTAGTAGATTTAACTGTATTGGTTTAGTTATTTCATAGTTATTCGCTTTTAAAACCACTTCTTTAAGCGTGTTTTAGGCGGGTTTTGGGAAATCAGTAACGCGTCACGTAATCATGTGACCGACGCGTTTTTGTGTTTTGAAACACGCGTACGAGCCAAAACTTTGAAAAAGACTTTCCCGAAACGGCAGCTGTCCACTATTCAAATAGGCAAAAAATAAACTTACAAGCAAACGCGTCTTAAATTCATGTTGATGCTCTGCCAATGTTTACTAAAAGAACCCCCAAAAACAATGAAATTAGAAGCACATCAAAGAATTTTAATCTGCGATATCAGCTCTTGATTAGTGCCCTTCTTTGACATATTCACCCATTTTTAACAAGTGTAGATACTTGGAAATTCACCTGGAAAGTAAACAAACTGTGGAGTTAAAACTTCAAAGCACACCTTGATGATTTGACAAGAGTTCATAAGGCTGTTGATTTAATCAGTACAAGCACATCTTTCATGACACAACTACACCCAATTATGAGCAATTGGTTGACTGGTTTATTAGGGGTTGAATTGACCAAGGACTCGACTTGATCAATCATCAGATTATCCAGTTTTCTTTTTTATTTGGATCTTGATATGTTTCAATTCATGCTCTTCTCATGTTTAAACCTCAACTGATGGACCAAATCAATCGAGATGTTGACAATGAGTAGTTAGCAACGGTTTCTGAATTATCACTGTCAACTGATTATAATTTATTTGGTACCCATAGACAATAAGAAATAACAAGGCTATCTAAATCTCGGTATAGCCAGATGATTTATTCAATACTTTAAATGACCTTTCAGTTGTGGATTAGCTTGCTGTTAGAATTGAAGGATCAATTCAAGGCCAATTCCAATGAAAACAAGATTTAAAATTAATTTGGTATCTCTACTATCCATACAAACCATTCTTATTCTATTCAGCCATCTACAATTCCAGAGCAAGACGGTTTTAATAGGTTTCAAACAAGCTTGGTTATATTTACGAGGGCTAATTCACGTGACCCACATACATTCCACAACCGAGGGCTTATTTTTTCGCTGAAATTCGAAAATGTGTTCAGTTTTTTTACTGGCACAGCAGCTGAGTACAGTGTCCATGTGCTGAGAGTGCAAGAGCAATTAGTCAATTGAGATGTCACAAGGCTCAGGTTCACCTCCTAATAACGGCTCGTCATTGCTGAGAACAGCCTCTCTGTCCAACCTGTTTGGAAGAAGAAAAAGATCTTTGGATTCCGATGTTGAGAGCAGTCATAATGATGATAGTCACAATAATGATAGCTCAAGTGAAGATGAAGTAGCTCATAAAAGACGTAAAACTGATAGCATTGAAGCCAAGAAAAGATTTGCTGAACAAGAGAAACGCTATACTGAGGAATTGCCTGAAGAATATCGTAAATTCAGACCTGTTGGGTTTAGATTCAATTTACCTCCAAAAAATCGTCCTGTTCGAATTTATGCCGATGGTGTTTTTGATTTATTCCATCTTGGTCATATGAGACAATTAGAACAAGCCAAGAAGGCCTTGCCAAATGCTCAATTGATTTGTGGTATTCCTTCAGATGTTGAAACCCACAAGAGAAAAGGTTTAACTGTCTTGTCAGATTATCAACGTTGTGAAACACTAAAACATTGTAAATGGGTTGATGAAGTTATCCCAGATGCTCCATGGTGTGTTACTCCAGACTTCTTAGAGAAACACAAGATTGATTATGTTGCTCATGATGATTTACCTTATGCATCTTCTGATTCTGATGATATTTATAAACCAATTAAGGAAAAAGGTATGTTTTTAACAACACAAAGAACCGAAGGTATTTCCACTTCTGATATCATTACAAAGATTATTAGAGATTATGACAAGTATTTGATGAGAAATTTCGCTAGAGGTGCAACAAGACAAGAATTGAATGTTTCTTGGTTAAAGAAAAATGAATTGGAATTTAAAAAACATATTGGTGATTTTAGATCATATTGGAAAAAGACAAATGAAAATTTAAACATTGCTTCAAAAGATTTATATTTTGAAGTTCGTGAATATTTATTGAAAAAATCAATTTTGAAACATAATAATAATCATGATGATGATGACAATAGCTTGATGAGATCAGGTAGTCCAGCTACTGAATTTGCTCAAAATTTCACTGGTGAAAAAAATGATGCTTCAAGATCAAGAGATAGAAAATCTCCATCTTTTATTGAAAATTTTAAAGACTGGATGGCTAAAAATGATAATGAAATTTCGGATAGAGAAACAATTTCAAAACAAGACACAAGTGATATTGAAAGTCATAATGATGATGAATCCAAGTCTCAACCTAAACAGAAAAAGGTTAGAAAAAGCACAAGAAGTAATAAAGGTAAAAAATCACATCATGACGATGATGAATCAGAAGATGATAACAAAACTTTGACTTCACAAAGCTGATTAACAAGATTATTATGCGTTTTATGATTATATCCCCATACTTTTTTTTGGTTTTTATGTCCTGCTATCGATTAGCATCTTTATTTAATGATACCTTCCTTTTTGACCGTTGCTAATTGTAGATTTCGCGAAACCAAAATCACAGTCAAAATTTGACGTTTTGAACTTTTAGTACCTCATCATCATCATCATCATCATCAACTTTAGCAAAGGTCAAAGAATGTCATATTCAGTCTCTAATCTAAGGTACATTGACCCACAAGTGCTAAGAACCTGGTTTTCGAAAGGGTCACCAACAGGAAATGGGAAATTCTCCATAGTGGATGTCCGTGATCATGATTACGTTGGAGTATGTTCAGTCCTCTTTAGCAGGTACAAAAGTTGAACTAGTACTAACCATCATTTAAAGGGCCATATTAAAAACTGTTTACATTATCCATCAACTAATCTTTCAGAGACAATGCAAGAAGTCATTGAAAAAGTGAAGCAATCAGATGATATAGTGTTCCACTGCGCACTAAGTCAACAAAGAGGTCCTTCAGCTGCTATGAAATTTTTGAGGTCTGTTCAAGATGGTGATTTGGATGGGAAATCTGTATGGATCTTAAGAGGTGGTTTTACAAGATGGCAGGAATTGTATGGTGAGGATAATGAGGTCACTGAAGGTTATCAGAAAGATATTTGGAAGTTTGGATATTAGGTTGAGTTCAATCAGGTAAAGAAAGTAGTGGTTCATCTCAGAAATACATTCCAAAATCTAGCCCATGATACAATCGCTAGCCATGAAGCTCTTATAACAAATTGCTATGGGTGCTTGGTTTTCCTAGGAGGTAAGTCTAGGATCTAATATTTGTGATCATCAACCAAGAATCATGCTACAAGTGAAATTACCTATGGATAAACTACATCTTTCTCTTATAATATTTATAATTACTGTATTATAAAATCTCTAAAAAACCCAAATATTAAAATTAAATTGATATGAGGTAAAAAAAAAATAGGAACTAAAATTATTAAAAAATGAATGAATAACATAAAAAAAACAGGGATATTGACAAATTAATTAAATATCACCAACTAATTAGTAGATGATTCTTCTTTTTCATTAAAAGAATTAGTTTCTTGTTTTTGAGCAGCACGTTCAGCACATCTTTCTTTTGCTTGACCTTTAACTCTATCAGCCTTCTTTGGAACTCTAGCTAACCAGAAGAAGAAGGTAGCACCAATAATATTAATAAAGATAAATGCAATGAAAATACCAACATTTCTCCATCTTCTAGAATAATCCAAACTAACAAATTTCAAAAATGCATTAGTAGTTGACATGGCACAAAAGTTACAATCAGTTGTAGCATCAGGATCACTCAAATAACCAGTACCAGCTTTCTCAATATAGCTTTGCATATATTGACCACAAGTATAACCAGATGGAGGATTGAAATGAACATATTCTTGAGTTGAACATTGAACTCTGTTATTAGCTAAAGCATTTGATAAGAACCCATCAATGAAATAAGTGAAAGGATTAGCACGATACATGAAAATCCAGAAACCTGGTAATGCCTTTGGACCAACTAAAACACCACAGAATGTTAAACATAAAGTGAAAGCCAAAGAAGCAATATTACCAGCAGCATCAGCCAATTCTAAACCAGCAATACAAAGATGAGCCATTGTACCAATGTAAACATAAAACAAAACGTTAAAGAACCAAGCATAAGCACCTCTTTTATCAACAGCATTAGTTGGTGAAGCATTGTTATAGAACCCAACTGGATAATAGAAACATAAAAAGGCAATAGTACCAACAAGTGCATTCCATGGGATTTCAGATGTAATTTGAGCAGCAATAAAAGCCTTCCAAGAAAAGGTTTTAGATGGACGTTCTCTTGTTTCATAAAGAGCTCTTTGTTCCACAAAAGCTGGTAAAGTTTGTTGCACTAATGGATTGAAAATAATCAAATACATGAAAATACCAAACATTTGATTTTGTAAACCTTGTTGAGTGTTTTTAGCCTTGAAGAATGCAAACCCAATGAATAATGAGGAACTGACAGCTAAAAACAATTTAGACCAAATATAAACAGGAGATCTCCAATGTTGTTGTAAAATTCTCTTTGTAACAATTAAATATTGTTTCCATAATGGAGCAGCAAATTCTTCTTGACCAATTGAATCATCACGAGGCAATTTGACCAATTCAGTTTCCAATCTATCCAATTCATTTAAAACATCTTGACGTTCAGAAGATTCTAACCAAACTTGATGATAATCTTGATTAGCATGAGATCCAGGAGCAGCACCAATAACGTGTAACATCCATTCAGCTGGATTAGCTTGTGGAGGACATTTTGGAGCACCATATTTTTCAAAATAATCAATCAAACTTTGACAATTTTCACCTAAATCACCAAAGTAAACAGTTCTACCACCTTTAGCTAAAAACAATAATCTATCAAACTCTTGCATCAAAATAGCTGAAGGTTGATGAATAGTACATAAAATAGCTTGACCATGGTTAGCTAATTTTCTCATCAATTGACAAATAGACCAAGCAGTTTGAGAATCTAAACCTGAAGTAGGTTCATCCAAGAATAATAACAATTTTGGCTTAGCAGCTAATTCAACACCAATGGTTAATCTTTTTCTTTGTTCAACATTTAAACCTTCACCTGCAACACCAACAACGGCATCAGCATATTTTTCCATATCCAAGATTTTGATAACTTCTTCAACATAAGCATCTTTTTCAGCCTTGGAAACTTCTTTAGGTTGTCTTAAATCAGCAGAAAATTGTAAAGCTTCACGAACAGTTGCAGTTTTCAAATGTAAATCTTGTTGTTGAACATAACCAGTTGATCTTTGGAATGAATTATCTCTCAAATGGCCATTAACAAACATATTACCAGTAACAACACCCATGGTGACTCTATTAGCTAAAACATCCAATAATGTAGTTTTACCAGCACCTGAAGCACCCATCAAGGCAGTTAAAGTACCTGGTTTAACCCAACCATCAACACCATTCAAAATTTCACGAGTTTCCTTCTTGATCTTGACGGAATAATGAACATCTCTCCAATGGAAAATATCAGTACCTGCATGGATAACATCAACATTTTGTTCACCTTCTTCTTCATCTTGTTCAGTGACATCTCTTTCAGAACCAGCTTCAAGATCATTTTTGATATCACCATGTTGTTTCTTCAATTTTCTTAAAGTAGATCTTTGGAACAATAAAACTTCACCTTTTTGCATAGCACTTTCATTATATTCACTGAAGACCAAATAGACAAACAAAAAGAATAAAGTGAAGGCTAAAGTGATACCCCAATTTCTCCATTTATGAGAGTTCTTATACTTGTAATTAACTTCCAAATATCTTGAACCATCAACAACAAATGAACCTGGTACTGAACTGACAACACTACAGATGAATCCATCATCTGGGATACCTGGAGTAGTTCTTGGATCACCTGGGATAAATTGAGAACATTCAAATTCTCTACCAGCAAATTCATTAGCCATCAAAGCTTCAAAAGCATAAGCCAAAGGATCCAAATAGTTGATCCAACGAGACCAACCAAGCATATAATTAACTGGAATAACAAACCCGGTAAAGATAGTCAAAGCCAATAAAATGATATGAGCAGGAACCAAAGCTTCAGGTAATGAAGATGCAGCAGAACCAACAAGACGGAAGAAATGAGACATTGAAAAAGTTGCAGTTAAATTCATCAAGTAGTAGAAGAAGAAACGACCTGGATTTCTTCTAAAGTTAACCATGAAATAGAAAACTAAATTGAAAGCAACCGAGGTAACCATTTTAGATGGAACTTGTGAAAAAACTGAAGATAAGGCATTTGCAGATGGATGATATAATGAATATTGTTTATGCTTTTCAATAATTGGTCTAGCTTCAAAAAGAGTCATAATTTCTAAAAATGATGAAAACCCATTAAACAAGACAGCGAAAAACATGGCAGCACCTCTATAGTAAAAAGAACCGGTATTTGATTGCATATTGTAAAAAATTGAAGATAAAATCAAAGCCATTAAGGAATTGGCCCAAACTTGGAAAAGATTGAAACCTAAATCATTCCGTATTCTTTGGAAATCACGAGTCAATAAATAACGAACTTGCATCCAGAATGAAACGGTATATGGAGATGTATGTCTCATATGTTTTGCTTGTTTTTGATTATGAGCAGATTTGATAATAGCTTTTGAATTGTCATCATGATTTTGTAAAGTTGCATCAATTTCTTGAACTAATTTAGCATATTCAGGTGAAGCCTTCCAATAAGTTTCAAATTCCTTTGGAGTTTTTGGAACTTTATTTTCAAAACCTTTAGAAGCAACTCTTTCTCTTGGTGAAGTGATTGAAGTTAAATAATCAGCAGTAGTTTGACGAGCAGGACAATGATACCCCATTCTAACAAAATAATCTTTAGCTTCATCAGCTCTACCGAAATAAATTTGATAACCTTCATACAAGACAGAAACTTTATCAAATAAATCATAAGCATCTTGAGAACATTGATAAATGGCAACAAAAGCAGTAGTATCCAAGATATCAGCTTGAGTTCTTAAAGCTCTAATGAATTCCAAGGCAGTGGCAGCATCTAAACCTCTAGTGGCATTATCCCAACATTGTAATCTAGCACCAGATAATGAAACCTCGGCAATTGAAACTCTCTTACGTTCACCACCTGAAACACCACGAACATTTTCATTACCAACTTTAGTGTTTTTAGTATGAGATAACCCATAAGTTGCCATGTAAACTTCAGTTAAATGGTTTGCATAATCTTCTCTAGAGATACCAGGGATTCTATTTTGAGGAGTTCTGAATTTTGCAGCTAATGATAAAGTTTGCCAAACAGTTAAATGTGGGAAATGAATATCAGTTTCAGCATTGTAAATAACTTCACCTCTATAATGTCTCTTGATATCCTTTTGAGTTAAACCTTCATAAGAAATTTCAGATTCTTCACCAATATGGAAACCATGAGTATTTGAAGCAATTGTTTTCAAAAGAGTTGAACAACCAGAACCAGGTCTACCAAGAACAACAACAACTTCACCAGGTTTAATCAAAGCATCCATTGGTTTCAAGATATCAAATTGTTTGGCTTTTTTGGCAGATCTTGAACTTAGAGCATATTTCAAAGCTTTACCAGCATATTTTAAAGGCATATTTAAAACAGTTGTTTGATAATCAGCATCAGTAGCTTCACCAAAAGCTCTTAGGTTCTTGTAAACGATACCAAGAGAATAATTAGCATAATGATCAGGATCTTTATCCATTAAATTTTTGAAATTTTTGATCCAATAACGAGATTCAAAATTATCAGAGTTTGGGTCAAGACGGGGATCAACATCAGGGTTGTTGATGGCAACGACACCTGGGGCAATAGATGAGACTCTTGAAAGGGAAGTGTCTGGGTTATAACCGATTTCAGGGTCTGGTTGAGCAGCGAATTGTTGATTTTGTTCTTTGGCAAGACTGGCTTGGGAAGCATTTGTAATTTGTCTTGCTAAATTTTGGATGTGAACATCAACGTTTTGATCAAACCCCTTATATTCTTCAGGGACGTCTGGCACCGAATGGTCAGAGTCGTCCTGATGATGATTAGGAGTATTATTCAACGACATGATTGGAACAAACGATGAAGTAACAGGAGAAACAAGTTCAACCAAGAAGTCTGGAAAGAGGCCAACGATGTTTATTTATATTTTCAATTATTCATTCGTACTGTAAAGAAAAATTCTTTGTTTTGGCTTCGGGAGGCGGAGGACCCTGTTGCTGTTCCGAGCCGCTGGTGCTGTTCGGAAGAAAACAGTGTGCAAAATAGTGTTCCGAGGCTCCGATGGGTGGTTGGCGGAGTTAGTGGACGGCCGAGAACGAAGAAAGCGAGGATCGTAGAAATTATGATAAGGCCATGGAATAAGAGTTAGAAGAGTAATAAGGAATAAGTGATGAGAGTAGTAAGTTGATGAGAGTATTGTGGTTGCTGGATTCTCTCTTACTATGGTCTGATTGGCTCATAAACTAGGGTCTTTGCAGACGTGTGGCAATAGATTAATCCCAGACGTATCAATTGACCTAAATTAAACCAATTCCCAACAACATTCCACGCCAGTAATTTGCTCTTAATCCCCTTGATCTTCATAGCCATCTTCTCTCCTTCTACGTCGCAAATTGCAATTTACAAACGGAACGGAAGTTGGAATCTTCACTGGGCACTGGGGCACTTCCTAATCCAGACAGCCGATTATGTCATCGACTGTCTGGGAATAACGCGATCTAACTGGCTGGCATTAATATAGTATTACTAATACATTATGTAAGTATCAATCGTATAGAATATTATGTAATCATTCTAACGATACATCACGTGACTAATTTGATCACGTGCTTATCTTTTTCCCAATTTGACCCTGTTTATTTTTCCCGTTTCCAATCGTTCCAGAGTCAAACGCGATTGGATTTGATTTCAACATATGAAAAAAATCAGTCACCTCTACAATTCCTTGATACTACCTCAAACTACAACCACCAATCCCCCATCATGTCTGCCCAATTGATCGATGGGAAACTCATCGCTAAACAGATACGTGAACGTATACATTCGGAAATCGCTGAATTTCAATCAAAAGATGCCTCTTTCAAACCAACTTTATACATCATCCAAGTTGGTTCAAGACCTGATTCTTCAACTTATGTCAAGATGAAATTGAAAGCTGCCACTGAGGCAAACATCTCTTGTGTCGCTAAAGTCGTCCCTGATAATGTCTCTGAACAAGAATTGTTGAAAACTATCCAAGATTTAAACAATGATGATTCTATCCATGGGATCTTGATTCAATTACCTTTACCAAACCATTTAGATGAAACTAAAATCACCAATGCAGTCTCTGCTGATAAAGATGTTGATGGATTTGGGTCTTTCAACGTTGGTGAACTATACAAGAAAGGTGGTGTTCCAAATTTCATCCCATGTACTCCAAAGGGGATTTTGGAATTATTACATCAATCAAATGTTAAAATTGAAGGTTCAAATTCTGTTGTCTTGGGGAGATCTGAAATTGTTGGTGCTCCTGTTGCAAATTTATTGAAAAGTGAAAATTCAACAGTTACAACTTTACATTCAAAATCTTCAAATATTGAATTTTATTTGAAAAATGCAGATATCGTGGTTAGCGCTATTGGTAAACCAAATTTTGTTAAAGGTGAATGGTTAAAACCTGGCTCTGTTGTTATTGACGTTGGTACTAACTACATTGACGATGCTACTAAAAAATCAGGTTCAAGATTAGTTGGTGATGTTGATTTTGAAAGTGCATTACCAGTAGTTTCTAAAATCACTCCTGTCCCAGGTGGTGTTGGTCCAATGACTGTTGCAATGTTGTTAGATAATGTTATAATCTCTGCAAAGAAATTCTATGCCGATTTACAAAAAGGTGATAATTTTTTCAATAATCCATTAATTTTAAAGTTACAAAAACCTGTCCCATCAGATTATGAAATTTCAAGAGAACAAACTCCAAAACATATCACTGAAATTGCAAATGAATCAGGTATCTTACCACAAGAATTAGAACCTTATGGTTCTTATAAGGCTAAAGTTAAATTAGATTTATTAGACCGTTTATCTAACAAGAAAAATGGTAAATATATCTTGGTTACAGGTATCACACCAACCCCATTAGGTGAAGGTAAATCCACAACAACTGTTGGTTTAGCTCAAGCTTTAGGTGCCCATTTAAACAAACGTGCTTTTGCAAATGTTAGACAACCTTCAATGGGGCCAACTTTTGGTATTAAAGGTGGTGCTGCAGGTGGTGGTTATTCTCAAGTTATCCCAATGGACGAGTTCAACATGCATGTCACTGGTGATATCCATGCTATTTCAATGGCTAATAATTTGTTGGCTGCTGCTATTGATACTAGAATGTTTCATGAATCTACTCAAAAAGATGCTGCATTATATAAAAGATTGGTCCCTGTTAAAAAAGGTGAACGTCATTTTACAAAATCAATGTTGGCAAGATTGGAAAAATTAGGTATTAACAAGACTAATCCTGATGATTTAACACCTGAAGAAATTACAAACTTCGCAAGATTAGATATTGATCCTGAAACTATTACATGGCGTCGTGTTGTTGATTGTAATGATAGATTTTTACGTGGGATTACAATCGGTCAAGCACCAACTGAAAGAGGATTCACCCGTGAAACTGGGTTTGATATCTCTGTTGCCTCAGAATGTATGGCTGTTTTAGCATTAGCAAACTCTTTACAAGATTTAAGAGAACGTTTAGGTCGTATTGTTATTGGTGCTTCAAAAGCTGGTGTTCCAATCACTTGTGAAGATATTGGTGCTGCTGGTGCTTTAACTGCCCTATTGAAAGATGCTATCAAGCCAAATATTATGCAAACTTTAGAAGGTACTCCAGTCTTTATTCATGCAGGTCCTTTTGCAAATATTTCTATTGGTGCTAATTCTGTCTTGGCTGATAAAATGGCCTTAAAATTAGCTGGTACTGATGAAGGTTCTACAAATCAACAAGAAGGTTATGTTGTCACTGAAGCTGGGTTCGATTTCACAATGGGTGGTGAAAGATTCATTAATATTAAAGCTCGTTCATCTGGGTTAATTCCAGATGTTGTTGTTATTGTCGCTACAGTTCGTGCATTAAAAGTTCATGGTGGTGGTGCAGAAGTTAAAGCTGGTGCTCCTTTACCAAATGAATATTTAACTGAAAATTTGGAATTATTAGAAAAAGGTTGTGAAAATTTACAAAAACATATTTCAAATGCAAAAGAATATGGGTTACCTGTTGTTGTTGCAATTAATGCAATGAGTTCAGATACTTCAGCTGAACATGAAATCATCAAGAAACAATCCATTAAAGCCGGTGCAATTGATGCTATTGTTTCAAACCATTGGGAAGAAGGTGGTAAAGGTGCTGTTGATTTAGCAAAAGGTGTTATTGCTGCATCTAATGAATCTAAAGATTTCAAATTTTTATATGAATTGGAAGGTTCAGTGGAAAATAAAATTGAATCAATTGCTAAAACCATGTATGGTGCAGGGGAAGTTGAATATTTACCACAAGCTGCTAAAAAAATTGAATTATATACAAAGCAAGGTTTTAACAATTTACCAATTTGTATTGCTAAAACACAATATTCATTATCTCATGATGCTAATTTGAAAGGTGTTCCAACTGGGTTTAAATTCCCAATCAGAGATGTTAGAGCAAGTATTGGTGCTGGTTATTTATATGCTCTTGCTGCTGAAATTCAAACTATTCCTGGTTTACCAACTCATTGTGGGTTTATGAATGTTGAAGTTAATGATGATGGTGAAATTGAAGGTTTGTTTTGAGAAAAAAAGTCTACAGTGTGTAATAGAATATATTAGTTTTTAATCGTATTTCATTTCTATAGATTCGATTTCAATAATCCATCATTAATAACAACTAAACCTTCTTGTACTATACTTGCAACCATTTCTTCATCTTTATTATAAACGTGACCCAACATTAATTGTCGATTATTCCCAGATTTTGGATGTTCCACTGAAAAATGTGTCCAATCATTCATATTTGTTGGTTTATGGAAATAAACTGAATGATCTAAACTAACACTGAAAACTGAACTATATAAAGGTCTATGATGAAATTTCATAACTGTAACCAATATATAAGCATCTGAAAGATATGCTAGGGCAACATAATTAAATAATTCTTCAGTAATTGGTTCACGAACCCTTAGATAAAAATCCACAGTGATTTCATGAGGTTTTTTACCTTTATCAGGATTTGTTGGTTCATTACCAATACCCCAAAATTCTTTCGTAAATAAATATTCAGTTGGTCCTTCATAAAATCTTCTCATAAAATTATCTAGTGCAGCTTTTGCATCTGATTTAACAATACCTGTATCGATAGCACCTTTTTGGAAAGATTCGGCAGCTGGTAAATAATCATCAAATGATCTATTAGAAGGAGCTGGTTTATGATGTTTCAATTCTTGTTTAGGTTTTGTTTTACCCAAATCTTTTAAAGTGAATGAAACGGTTTGTGTAAATATTAATTGATCTCTTTGATATGCTTTAACCTCTCTAGTTCCTGATTTATTACCATCTCTTAATCTTGAAACATGATAATAAATTGGAGTTTTACCATCAGCACCAACAAGGAAATAAGAGTGGAATGAAGTTGGAATGAAATCTTCACTAACAGTCTTTATGGCTGCAAATAAAGCTTGAGCAACTAAAGTACCACCAAATACACCTCTTGCACCTGGGGGAACAAATAATCTTTCAGCATTTTGATAAACATCTTCACGAACTTTTGATATTTGAAGGATCTTTTCTAGATTTGATCTGTAAGTGTATTCATCCATTGTTTTCTTGAATGATTGATAAGACATTTGGAGGCAACAAATAAAACGAATTCACAGGATTAAATATCAATTTGTTGGTACTGAGGCTTATTTTTGTGGGAAATATCAAGAGTTTATAAATTTACTTTGAGTCTCGGTGGAACAGCAGACGGGGTTAGGCGGCCTGTCTGGGGAGCGGAGGAGCCGAGGCTGCGCGACTCCACCGAGGCGCTAGGCGGGAAGGCCCCTGGGAGCTGGACGGAGCGCTGGGCAGAGAGGCCCTGCCTACAAGGGGAAACTCCCTCATCGGATTTCTACCCAGAGCTGCTACGTTTAGAATGGTCACTTTAATCAAATCGAATTAGCTCTGCCTTTTCATCCTGTTCTCTCAATCAAATGGACTCCACTGTCCGTTTCCACAATGTCACTGATTTGCCCAATCTCAAGATCAAAAGTAGCCTTCTCGAACGGTGGTTGCATAGCACCTCTTTCGAAAAAGCCTAAATCACCTCCACGCTTATGGGAGGAACAATCACTTTCAGTCTGTGCAATCTCTCCAAGTGTCTTTTCACCGTTTTTAATAGCTTGTTGATGTTTTTGAAGAATCTCAATGGCTTCCTCTTTTGATCTTGTAATGTTTTCAGATTTCCATGAAGCTGGACGTCTTGATCCGCTATGTTTGATTAGAAGATGACTGGCTCTGACTTTTGATGGTTGATTCATATATTTCTTCAATTGTTCAAGATCAGTACCTGCTGGAGGATCCCATACTGATTCTTTTGTAGCTTCTTTGAAAAAATACTCTCTATTGTGGGAACGACTCTTTCTGATAGTCCAGCCTTCTGGTAACCCGGTAGCAACCTAACAATTAGTTAGAATCGCACTTCAGCCATTGAGTAAGAGAACATACCATTTTTGTTTCTTTGTGGATTGGATATGGTTACTAATTAATACCTGTTGGACTCTTTTCTTTACAAGTCATCAAAAACATCGTCAGATTCGCGGGAAGTGTCCTAGTCTTATATATGAGGCCTAGTCAACGTTAGATAGCATCCTAGTCCACTATTATATATACTTCCAGGTCTAGCCCCTGCCAGGGTAAACACCGCGAATTCATTCTGTGTAATTTTCAGCTATCGACCCGTGAAAAAAAACTCGAGCAGCCTAAACATCAAACAACTCTTGAGCCCACACTCCCTCTAACGCACCAAAGACCCATTGAAATCCCACAGCGACGATCCGCTACGAACAGGCCTATCACAGCACTCCCTGCCCACTCGCAACACCATCCTCTCTGCACGGCACTAGCCACCATGTCGGCTCTAACCCAGAAGCTGGCTTCACCGATCTCTTCTGCCATTTCAAGAAGGTCACTCAAAAAGTTGTTGGATTTGAAAAGGTTCGCATCCACATTTGTTATCAAGAATCCAAATTCATATAGCAGCAACTACAATTCCTTCAATCTCAACTCAATTGTGAGAAATCAAGCCAGATTACCTCAAGGAATCAACTACACCCACACACGTTTCCATTCTTATCATTCCCATTCAAGAATGTGTCAATCCGCCGGTGGTGTTGCCACAAAGTGAGTACGATAATACCCTAGTCAAAAGACCCTCTTCAATTCAATCAAAAGAAGATATTAATTCAACTTCAATTGATTATTATGTTTCATGCTCTTATTAAAGACCCTTTTTGGTTCAATGTTTGATTTATACCTCTTTTAACTAGTTATGGCCCCCCCTCAAAGACTTTACTAACGGAAAATCTTTAGCATCCCTTCTGATCGTGAGGTTTTACCAACTAATGTCAAACCAATCAAATACGATTTAACTTTTGATCCAAATTTCGAAACTTTCAAATTCGATGGTAATGCTAAAATTGATCTTGATGTTTTAGAAGAATCAAACACTATAACTTTACACACTTTAGATATTGAAATCCATTCCACAAAAGTTGGTGAAATAAAACCAACTGGTACTAAATTCGATGAAGCAAAACAATCAGTTACTTTCACTTTTAAAGATAACTTCACGAAAGGTTCTAAAATCACAATTGATATTGATTTCACTGGTGTTTTAAATAATAATATGGCTGGGTTTTATAAATCAAGTTATAAAGAAAATGGTGAAACTAAATATTTAGCAACCACTCAAATGGAACCTACTGACTGTCGTCGTGCTTTCCCTTCATTTGATGAACCTGCCTTGAAAGCCATTTTTGACATTACTTTGGTTTGTGATAATCACTTGACTGCTTTATCAAATATGGATGTTAAAGAAGTCAAACAACTTGATAATGGTAGAAAAGCCACTGTTTTCAACTCTACTCCATTAATGTCAACTTATTTAGTCGCCTTCATTGTTGGTGAATTGAAATATGTTGAATCTAATGATTTCAGAGTCCCTGTTAGATGTTATGCATCCCCAGGTTTAGAAAAACAATGTCAATATTCTGCAGATTTAACTGCTAAAACTTTAGCCTTTTTCGAAAAAGCTTTTGACATTAAATATCCATTACCAAAGCTCGATAACGTTGCAATTGCTGATTTCTCTGCTGGTGCAATGGAAAATTTTGGTTTAGTTACTTATCGTGTTGCTGAATTAGTTTATGATGAAGAAAATTCAACCTTGGCTACAAAGCAAAGAATTTCAGAAGTTGTTCAACATGAATTGGCCCATCAATGGTTTGGTAATTTAGTCACTATGGAATGGTGGGAAGGTTTATGGTTAAATGAAGGTTTTGCCACTTGGATGTCTTGGTATTCATGTAATGAATTTTATCCAGATTGGAAAGTTTGGGAATCTTATGTTTCTGATAGTTTACAACAAGCTTTGAATTTGGATGCTTTAAGATCTTCACATCCTGTTGAAGTCACCGTTAAAAGAGCTGATGAAATTAATCAAATCTTTGATGCTATTTCTTATGCAAAAGGTTCCTCTTTATTGAAAATGATTTCTGGTTGGTTAGGTGAAGATGTTTTCATTAAAGGTGTCTCAAACTATTTGAAAAAACATCAATTTGGTAATACTCAAACTGAAGATTTATGGGAAGCTTTATCTGAAGCTTCTGGTAAAGATGTTGTGAAAGTTATGGGTATTTGGACTCAAAAAACTGGTTACCCAATCATTTCTGTTGAAGAAGATGCTGAAAATGGAACTATCAAAGTTAAACAAAATCGTTATTTATCAACCGGTGATGTTAAACCTGAAGAAGATGAAGTTATTTTCCCAGTTTTCCTTGCATTAAGAACTCAAGATGGTATTGATAAATCTGTTGTTTTAGACTCAAGAGAGAAAACTTTGAAATTGGAAAAAGGTTTAGATTTTTATAAATTGAATGGTGATCAATTTGGTTATTACAGAACTTCATACCCACCAGAACGTTGGGCAAAATTAGGTAAAGCCGGTTCTGAAGGCTTATTATCTGTTGAAGATCGTACAGGTTTAGTTGCTGATGCAGGTGCCTTGGCCACTTCAGGTTATCAATCAACTTCAAACTTGTTGAGTTTAGTTCACAGCTGGAAAAATGAAACAAATTATGTTGTTTGGACTGAAATTATTACAAGAGTTGCTGCGGTTAAAAACGCTTGGATTTTTGAAGATCAAGCTGTTACAGATGCATTAAAACAATTTTCAAAATCACTTGTTGCCCCAACAATCCATTCATTGGGTTGGGAATTTAAAAAATCTGATTCATTCAAGGATCAAAATTTGAAAACTGTCTTGTATGGTTCTGCTTCTGCTTCTGGTGATGAAATTATTACAAAACATTCTCTCGAAATTTTCAAAAAATATGTTGAAGGTGATAAAAAGGCTATTCATCCAAATATTAAACCTTCAGTCTTTGCAACAGTGGCTCGTAATGGTTCCACTAAAGAATATGAACAAATTTTGGATATTTATAATAATCCAATATCTCCAGATGAAAAAATTATGGCTTTAAGAACATTGGGTAGATTTGAAGAACCTGAATTAATTCAAAGAACTTTAGGTTTATTATTTGATGAAAATACCATTAAAAACCAAGATATCTATGTCCCAATGCAAGGTTTACGTACTCATAAAGCTGGTATTGAAGCATTATGGAAATGGGTTCAATTGAATTGGGATGATATTATTAAAGTTTTACCACCAGGATTTTCATTATTAGGTTCAGTTGTTAAAATTTCAACTTCAGCTTTCTCAAGTGATGAAAAAATTGAAGAAATCCAAAAATTCTTTGCAACAAAAGATACTAAAGGTTTCGATCAAGGTTTAGCTCAATCTCTAGATACTATTAGATCTAAAAGTCAATGGATTAAAAGAGATAGTGAAGATGTTAACGCTTGGTTAACTGAACAAGGATTTTTGAAAAAATAACTATCCAGCCATGAACCAAAGTCGTAAAATACAGATCAATTATGAATTATTTATACGTTTATTTTGAAATGATTTGTATTCGTAGACATTAAAAAATCTCTGTCTACATTAACTCAAGATGTAGACTTGAAAGTTGAGGAAGAGATCAAATTTTTGGAGAAGCCATATACACGAAAAGAAAGAGCTTACTATTGATTTGGATATGGAGACGCTAAAAAGTACTCCATTGAATTTCAATTGGTAACTCACATCATTGATGACCTTACAAAACAGCTTTCTGATTTGTTGAATTATGAACTTCTAACGAATCACGATTCTAGTACTGCGGATTTAAAGGCTATAAAGCTTGTTTCTCCTCCAACACCCGAAGCAACTGATTCGTCAATTTGCCAGAAGTGATGGTGCAAATAACGGAAATAAATGTTCGTGTGGTATGTTTATTGGTACTTGTGAAAGGCACCAGATGAGCGTATAAATACTAGCACTTGTGCTCCAAGTTTTGAAATCAATTGACTTCGAGAAACTTATCAGTTCACTCAATAATATATTATGTCTACTTCAACTCAAACTTCAGAACCAAAATTAGTTCCTTGGAAGAACTTGGGGAAATCAGGTTTAAAGATTTCCAATATAGTCATTGGATGTATGGGTTATGGTTCCAAGAACTGGGATCCATGGTTAATTGAAGATAAACAAGAGGTCTTCAAGATTTTAAAGAAAGCTTATGATCATGGGATTAGAACTTATGACACTGCTGATAATTACAGTAATGGACTATCAGAAAACATTTTGGGTGAATTTCTCAAAGAGTTCAACATCAAAAGAGACAAGGTTGTCATCATGACCAAGGTTTGGGGTCCAGTCGATAATGAATACCCAGAAGGTTACAGGGGTGTTATGGTTGATCATCAAGGTTCTGAGTTGGATAAAGTCAACTTCATGAATAATAGAGGGCTATCCAGAAAGCACATCATCGATGCTGCAAAAAACTCAGTTGAAAGACTTGGAACTTATATCGATCTTTATCAAATTCATAGATATGATGAGTCTGTTCCAATCGAAGAAACTATGAGAGCATTGAATGATGTTGTTGAGGCTGGTTATACAAGATACATTGGAGCTTCAACCATGAGAGCCGTGGAATTTGTTGAATTGCAACACGTTGCTGAAAAGCATGGATGGCATAAGTTTATTGCTATGCAAAGTTTTTACAATTTATTGCAAAGAGAGGATGAGAATGAGTTGAATTATTATTGTGACAAGACTGGTGTTGGTCTCATTCCATGGTCTCCTTTAGCGTTTGGTATTCTTGCCAGACCAGTTCCAAAAGATGAATCGGAAAAGACAGAGAGAGCTAAAACTTCGATGTTTAAAGGAGCTTTTGGAACAGACATTTCAATCAATACAAAAGGTCAAGATGCAGACATTGAGACTATCAACAGAGTTAATGAAATTTCAAAGAAGAAAGGTACATCAATGGCTGCTGTTTCAACTGCTTGGGTCATTAGTAGGGGTGCTGCGCCAATTTTGAGTTTCAGTTCTTTGAAAAGAGTTGATGATGGTATCGAAGGTGCTAATCTAAAACTCACTGATGAGGAGATTAAGTATTTAGAGGAGCCATATCTTCCAAAGGTTAGAGTTTTCAGATAATAAGTCCATCGACATTCTGTCACTTTAGCTCGTGTCAATATGTATTAATTCAATTTAGTTCAAAGCTGTTTTAGCTGTGTGGGAGGACCTTTTGAAGCTGTAATTAATTGAAAATATTGTTTCAATTGACACCATATAGTATTACAATTACTAGTCGTTTAATGGTCATCACTAGTTCATTCTAGCTGTTACCGGTACTTGAAATTTTTATCATGATAATTTTATATTTTAGTGCTACAATACTATAATTTAACATAATTTCATAAAAAATATCATGAATGTAAACATTAAACTATTAAAGTATAATTTATACAGCTAAATAATTGTATATAATACAGATATAATGTATAATAGAATCCAAGTTATAAGTTGATCTAGTACTTTGTATCAGTATCCTTTATAAGTACCGCGACCGGTAAATTAGTCGATGTAAATAAATTAAATACTATATCGAATTAATGACTTTGAAGCTTGAGATTTAAGATTTAAACCCTAAAATTATTGGAGCGTACTAGTCATGGCTCATGGGTTTTCAAAGTGAGCATCTTTTCTCAACACGCCGTATTGATAGCGAGTCTGCCTGTGCTGATCATTTTGTTTCTTACACATCAGTCGAAAAAAGACGAACCGTTTGAATATCAAGGATTCACCTACACAACCAGCATCAGTAAAAGCTACGATAGTACGATCCACCGTAAAATAACCTTAGCTGAAAGGAGTTTATAAATTTTTTGTGGTTGCTCAATTGCACAAAAACAGTGAAGTGTACAAGAGAGCCTTTTTGATGTTACACAAAAGTCAATTAGCGTTAAAGTTGAAATGTTGGATACAAATTTCAAGCTTGCAACTTCCAAGTTCCAGCCTCCAGCTTCCAAAGCTTTGAAATCCCTTTAATTTACAAGATTTGGAATGTTTTGATACGCGAGAGATGAGGATGAGATATAACTTTTAGTGAGGACCCAAAGTTGCAGACTTTCAACGTTTGAGTTGATCAAAGCTACAATTTTAGCGGGATTACAAGCGAAACGTAGATCGGATCTAAAATTTTAAGAGGAATCGACTCATCGAGTGATCTTCATCAAGTCCTACAACGGCGCATGTAGGAATCTGAAATCTTGAACTAATCAAGATCAGGTGAACACAGTGAGACAGCGAGACGGCAGAGAGTAAGCCCTGCTTTGAGATTTTGAGGCTTGACGCGTGAAAAGTGTTTAATCTGACGTTCGCCCTTGTAACAATCCTGGGTAGGTTCCCGGAAGTATACTCATTCGATAGCTGAGAATTTATGGTTTAAATTGACAAGTCGAAGAGCCTCAAAATACATCAGTGCTCACTGCTGTATACAAATCTTTCCAACCAAACATATTTTCAGGCTTCAACCGTGTGCTGTATGCGAAAACCACCTGAAAAACAATGGTTACCAAACTGAGTAAAATCTTTTGAAAATCATGTGTAGTGCGTGGACTCTTAGGCTTCTGTCTTTTGAGGGAAAGTCCACTCTGTACTTACTCGATTAGTGTAGAACATTTCCCTTTTTGATCTCAGGTAGATATGTCGATTGCAGATTCCTGGTTGTAACGTAAACTTCGAGTACTGAAGTCTGAAGTCTGAGGCACAAGGGGTTTTTGCAAAGCATTCCGTCACAGGTGTACATGGCTTTAAAAGTTCAAAAATCATTGGAAATTGGGAAATATAGATGTACACCTTGAGCTTTGGAAAGCATATAAGTGCACCAGTGTGAAACGATTCAATTGGATGAAAGACTTGAAAGAGTAAATTCATGGGCCCAGGGATCTCGATTCTCAACGTCTTTGCCCTGCGTTAAACTGCATAAAAAGAACGCCAAAAAAGCTAGAGGGTCCACTTTCAAGATGAAACCGTGGTACCTTAACGTCATTTGAACATGAAGGAAATGTCAAAGTAGATCCATAGAAGCTAGCCAGCTGGTGATCTTATAGAAACAAACAAAACGCAAACCTCGTGCTGTATTTGATCGTGTATATTTTGAACATCCCAGAAAAGAACGGATGTTCCCTCATGAGAAGTTCGACTATGAATTCAGCTATCATGTTAATTTCACAACCTAGAAAGCAGCTACATGGCTAATTGAGTCCATTGCTTTGAAGTTTATTTGGCTCAGGTACAACATGCGCAGCACAAAGACAAGCAAGTGTCAACGGAAAAACTCAAACGGCGACCAGATCTTGAATCTCCGTTGGCAGAAACCTAAAATTTTATCGTGTCGAAGTTTTTCCGGCGCGCATCTTGAAATTCCTTTTGCGTTGTGCAGAAGATCTTTAACCGTTACAGATCTCGTGCTAAAAGGTAAACATTCCTCGAGAAAAGTAAACAAACACACCAGCATGTTTTAGTGGTTGGTAGCTTCGACAAATGCTCAAAGATTTGTCGAAAATGCTCCAAATTTTTAATATAAAAAGGTGTCTATTCTCTCTCTTTTTTCATTTATTTTCAACTATTTTTTTTCATCATCAAACCAAGCAGAACAACCATGGTCCAACTCCAAGTCACTCTTTTATTAACTGTTCTAACTACATTCACTCGTTTGGTTGCTGCTAAGGCTGGTGAAATCGGTAAACCTTCCAACAAGCAAGATGATGATAAATTGAGACCTCAATTTCATTTAACTCCTGGTAAAGGTTGGATGAATGATCCAAATGGTTTATGGTATGATAGAAAAGATAAGATCTGGCATGCTTATTATCAACACAACAAAGATCACAATGTTTGGAACTCTCCAATTTCATGGGGTCACTCCACTTCAAAAGATTTAGTTTCTTGGGATTACTACGGTAATGCTTTATCACCAAAAGATCCTGGTGAAGGTTACTTTTCTGGTTCTATTGTTGTTGATAGAGAGAACACTTCAGGTTTTTTCAATGAATCCACTCCAAAAGAACAAAGAGCTGTTGCTATGTACACTCATAATACCAACAAAGAAGTTCAAAGTCTTGCTTACACTTTGGATGGTGGTTACTCTTGGACTGAATATGATAGAAACCCAGTTATTGACATGAATACCGCTCAACAACGTGATCCAAAGATCTTCTGGCATCAAGATACTAAGAAATGGGTTATGTTGATTGCAAGAACTCAAAAGTACAAAGTTCAATTCTTCACCTCCAAAAACTTGAAAGATTGGGAACATGTCTCTGATTTTGAAATGGAAGGTATTTTAGGTTGGTAAAACGAAATGCCTGGTTTATTAAGATTACCAGTTGAAAATCCATCAAAAGGTGATGGTTCTTCTCATAAATGGGTTTTGACTTTAGCTTTACATCCAGGTTCTCCATTAGGTGGTCCATTAAATCAATATTTTATTGGTGAATTTGACGGTAAACGATTTACTCCAGATGATCATGCCACTAGATTGATGGATTATGGTAAAGATTTCTATTCATTCACTACTTTTGATTCTGCTGATGAAGAAGATGGTCCAAATCTTGGTTTAGCTTGGGCTACTAACTGGCAATACGCTACTGTTGTTCCAACTGAAAACTTCAGATCTTTTGAGTTGATACTTGAACGTGAGTCTAATTTCACATTTTGGACGTTATATTCTTGAGTTTTTTCCCATGATTTGATTGATGAGTTCTTTCTGGTTTCTTTTTGCGAAGAACTGCCAGAAACCTCTTGACCCTGAGATTCTTCAGCAGCAGCCACATTAGCAGCATCAGCAGCAGAAGTAGTAGAAGCGACAGCCGTGTCCTGTTGACGTGGATGATTGATGTCTGACATAGCTGATGTAGTACCAGCTCTTCTTGAATTAGATGTACTTCTGGTTGACATATTGTATAGTTAACTTCTTACAGATATTTTGTGTATCTCTGGTCCTTCTGACTATTGCAAGATAGTTCACAACAGACGACCTCAGTTCTCAGAACTGGAATTAGCCTGTATTCTTATACACTTCCTGGAGCTGAAATTATCATCTTAACTAATCATTTCATCTGTGAACCTAGAACTAAAAGCTAACCAAACCTAAAACCAATAGCTGTTCAATCAAGTCAGACAAGCCAGCTATATACATGAGTCCAGACTTCATATAGATGTTCTCTTTAGCCGCTAAAGCATCAAACAAGCTCATGGAGTAGTTCTCCTATCAACCAACTTATATACCAACAGCGATGTTCTCATATCAGTCAAAGCACCTTTGTTTCTAAGACAGGAGTTTGAATCAAAGTTAAACCGGTATGTTCTGGGTTGTAATCAACATTTCTTAAAGTATAGTTTCTAACCATTGTCATTGACTTCAACATCTACAACAATGCTTCTGGTGTTCTTGATTTCAACATGACTTTCGTTCAAACTAAAGGTACTGGTTGGTCAGATGGTTTACATCCATTCACTATCAATATTGAATCAAACATGGTTAACGGTAAAAAAGATAACATTTCAGTTACTTTTGATAATTCTGGTACTACTTGGATGGTTGATCGTACTACTCAATCCAATTTCCAAAGAAACTCTCATGAATTCACTGAAAGACTTGGTCAATTCGTCAATCCAAGAGGCCAAACTAATGAAGTTTCTTATTTCACAATCTATGGTTTCGTCGATAGAGATATCTTGGAAGTTTACTTGAATGATGGTGAAATTACAATGACAAACACTTTCTTCTTTGGTGATGGAAGAGTTCCAGCTGATATTTCAGTTCATTCAGGTTTTGATGAATCATTTGTCACCATCAAAGATTTAACTGTCAAAGCTTATGGTTTGAAAGATTAATCATAATGAACAATTTTTTTTTATAAATAACTCTTAATGAATGATACCCCTTTTTTTTTCTTTCAAATAGCTTTTGTAGAGCTTATTTCTGGTGAACTTGACCTAATCTTATGAACAAAGAGGTTCCAAGAAGGGGCTCGAGTACTTGGTGTTTATTATGATGAGATTTCATATCATTCAAAATACAAGTATTGAACGATTTCTTTACCAGTCAACACATTAATCTTACGCCTTTTCTCTCTTGTATCATCTTTAAATTTGAAAAGCTTTTGTAAACTTCGAAACATTTGGAAATTCCCCGTTACCGTGACAACGATATATTTGAAGCGGGACACAAATATTCTTGAAAGGTAAACAAAAAAAACGCCATACTAATAGCTACACCAGATTCAAGTTTAACAAAACAATAAAATCATACATTGCTAGCACAAACAAAAAAATGGAAATAATTGACTTTGAGTCAATAGAGCAGCAAAAGGAGAATATCGAACCTCTGAACGAGGGTCGTTCTGCTGCGGCATTGAAAGGTTTATTTTCCGTTCCCCTTGGTGACTTGAAAAAACAACAGCTTGATGAAAGATCAAAAATTGAAGCGGAACTTGAAAGTTTAGAGGAGCTAGATGACCCAATACAACCATACTTGGACTATATACAGTGGATCAAAACGAATTACCCAACCGGGAAGTCAGTTGAAAGTGGTTTGATTCAAGTGCTAGAAAGATGTACATCTCAATTTAGAGATTACGATTTTTATAAAAATGACCCAAGATATTTGAAGGTTTGGCTGACTTATGCTAAATACTCAGATAATCCTCGTGATATTTTTGTCTACCTTGCTAGAAAAGAAATTGGAACTTCATTAGCGCTATACTATGAGGAGTATGCAAATTTTTTGGAAACCAACGGCAGATTTGCTCAAGCTGAACAGGTTTATCAAGAAGGTTTATCTGTCAAAGCTAGACCTCTAGCAAGGTTTCAAAGAAGATTCGATGAGTTCAAAATAAGGTTTCAACATAGACCAGTATCAGAGAATATAGAACCAAGCTCACCAGTTTTCCCAGTTAGATCTGCCTTATCCCTGAAAAGTGGTACACTATTTGCTTCTCATGATACGGCTCGGCCACAAAAGAAAAGACTTGAGATATTCAATGATACGGAAGCTGATAATGGAATAAGGCAAGATGGATGGGATATTTTGGGATCAAACAAGTTTAGAAACAAGGAAAATATACTTGAAGCAAAACCCTGGGCTGGTGAAGTTTTAAGACAAGATAATGTGAAAAAGACAAACTGCAACAAAGTTTCAGTGTTTCAAGATGGTAATGACTACCCTAGTGGTCCAGTATACAAAATAATAGAGATACCGGGGAAAAAGCCTGAAAAAATTGATTTGAATTTTGATTTGATATACCAAGAAGGAGAAGAATTATGTATTCAAGAAGTTTTGGCACGTTTGAGAGGCCTGAACAAACAAAATGAGACAAACTTTTCAACAGCATTATCAACACCTGTTATGACATCTCTTATAGACGAGAAGAAAGCAACTACTGTTGATTCCACCATTCACTTAAGTATGTATATTTGAAAATCATGACAGTTTTCACATTACTAACATTGAAAAAAAAATAGATAAAAATGATCTGAAAAGACCATCCTCACCAACAGCTACCTTTTTCACCAATGCTGCTAAAAATGAGGTTTATTCAATGTTCAATCAAAATCCAGTCAAAGAAAAACAATCACAAAAGGAAGAAGACGAAGAAGAACTTATATATGATGATTATACTGAACAGCTAACACGCCCAAATATGAACGACTTGACTGAGAGAATGGTGGATGTTGGATTACAACAGAACGATGATTTAAACAACACAGAAGGAAGGAATGATACTGAAATTTCAAATGATGCTCATGCTATTGATTTTCCAACAGTTGACCCTGCTGATGAATCCCTCAAAGCTGCCTTGCTAAAAGAGATAATGCCACCTCTCAGCTCTTATTTCGGACTTTTTGAGTATAATGAAACTTTAGAGATGTGTTCAACTTTGAAAAAGTCGCTCAACAATAAGCTGTCAAAACATGTGTTTTTGAATCTCAAAGGCTCAGAAAGTACATTCAACCTGAGATCCCTTTTGGGAGAAGGTGGATTTGCCTCAGTTTATTTGGCTGAAAGTATGAATGGCCAATTGAAAGCAATCAAAGCGCAAAAACCATCAAGTGCTTGGGAGTTTTACATATTAAAACAAATAGAACAAAGATTGAAAGGAAAAGATATCCTTGACTCCATAATAATGAGTGAAGAGATCCATTTGTTTCGCGATGAAAGTTATTTGGTTTTAGAATATGAAAAACAAGGTACAATACTTGATATTGTCAATCTGTACAGGTCTACAGGTAGAAATGTTGATGAAGTGTTGGCTATATTTCTGACAATTGAGCTATTGAAGGTAATTGAAGCAATTCATAACATAGGTATCATGCATGGTGATTTGAAACCAGATAATTGTATGTTAAGGTTAGAAAATTGCGAAGTTGGTACATATAAAAGAAACGGTGGCAATAGTTGGTCAAAGAAAGGTATTAAACTAATTGACTTCGGGAGATCCATAGATATGTCTCTATTTCCTCCAAATATTAGATTTAAATCACATTGGAAGACTGATAACCAAGATTGCCCAGAAATGAGAAATGACCAACTTTGGACGTACCAAGCAGATTACTATGGTGTTGCCGGGATAATTCATTCAATGCTTTACGGGAGCTTCATTGAAACAGTTCTTGTAAATGGAAAGTACAAGATCTCAAATCCTATGAAGAGATACTGGCACCATGAGCTTTGGAATCCATTGTTTGATATATTGATTAATTCTGCCGATTACGGGAATCTTCCAATAACTAATAAATTGAAAGAGGAGAGAGAGCGTCTCGAAAGCTGGCTTGAAGTAAATGGATCTTCATTGAATGGGATAATAAGAGACATCGAAACCGGGCTTAAGTGAAGAATTATGAAAATTATAGCGATGTGTAGAAATTGAAAAGATAAAATGTAACTATACAACAAGTTTTGTATATTTTAGTTATCCAATTGATCTGAGGGGCTTTTTGATTTCAAAGATAAACGAATTCTTTGTTTGAACTTTTGAATTACAGCCTTTGGTCCCGTTTCCTCTATTATTAACTCTGCTTCTTTTTCTGTAACCACTCTCTTCACCAATAAATTAAATAAAGTACCAAACGCCAATGCCATGATGGTGGATGTGAGTATAATAACATTATATGGCATACTAAAGTCAGGAGTTGGAAGCGTTAAAAGTGCAGAAGATGTTCTCAATGAGTAAATGGTTGGTTCTAAAACATTGACCACACCAGGTTCAACTGAAAACCCGTGATTTGCATCTGGGGGATACTCCGAGTATAAAAGAAGTGATTTATCAAATGCATAAGACAAGGCTATGTTAGAATTCGGTGGAATCAGTAATTCAAACTCAATTTGAGATGGCCTTTCACGGTCAACCTCTGGCGAATAATAAATAGACTTGATAACCTCTTTCATTTCCGCTCCATTTACCGACAAAGTGTGGAGATAAACTTTCATAAACCATGGTAAAGATTCAAAATAAACCAAAAGAACAGTTGAATCTGAAGGGTTCTTGAATACAGTACGTGAACCACCTTTATCTTGACCATAACCTGTTAGTGATCTTGAAACAAAAATCGGAGCATTTTGGGTTTGTAAAACATCCGTACTATCATCTGTGTGAAAATAGATATCATAATCTCTTGAATCATTGATATCAAAGCAGTTTGATGGTGTCCCGAAATGCTGTCCATCAACCTTTAAAAAGGTTTTCCACTTATCTGACACATGAGTGCAAACTTTTGATGAGGTGGATGATAAAAGATTTCCCCCAGAGATTTGACGATTGAACAAATCTGACAAAGTAAACGTTAGATCAGTCGGATCACCCAGAGGAAAACACTGGAATGCATCATACGGCTTTGATAAATCACAGCGAAGGTCATCTCCAGAAGCTGGTTTTGGAATTGGGTTCTTTTTTCTTCTAAGTGCTCTTGAAACATCAACAACTGCATCTATTTTTTGAGTCATGGTGTACTTGCATAAATCACCCTCACATTCAGTTTCAATATCAATTGACATCTTGTGCCATTCAGATTCAAAGACCCTATGTCCATCTAATAATGATGATAAACCTGATTTCCCTCTAGTTGGAAGAAATTTAACAAACGGCGTCAAATTTTCTGTACAAACAGGTTCTGACGCAAGAGCAGCACGTAAAAGATGCAACTCATTTTTTTCATTGAGCAGCGTGACAGGGCCTTTTGGCTTGAAAGATTGAATAGGAAATGTAGTTTTTGAGCTATCAATGAAGTTGAGTGAAGCACAGAATAGACCAGATAGAGAATTGACCAGATATTTCCAACTTTCGAAACTTTCCTTTCTGTCAGCTGCCTCTATCACCGACCACACTTCCACACCAACACCCCCAGAGTATTGTCCAGATAATGGAAGTTCACCCCATTCTTCTGAATCCCACCAACCTTGACCAAATCTCAAGTGTAACTCTCTAGTGTTTGTTTTTTCTAAGATTGGTGCAATTGATCTTGGGAACGTTGTATAATGAAGATGCCCTGGAGTCTTCGAAACATTGACATAATTAGACTCTAATTCAAAATTAAATGATACGAGCAAGTTGTTTCTTGGTAATGGTGTTATATCTAGACTTTCACGATATGGATAGGTAGTCTCGTTGATTGATTCAACCTTGTCATTAACTTTATCCTTCACCTCTTCATTAGGATCTTCTGCAGCATTGGATAAAGCTGCTGCAAACAGCAACCAAATGAAGGATACAAAGCTCCTCATTTTCTCTCTCTGGTTGCAAAATGTTGCTGTTTAGACATTTCAAATTCGTTCAAATTCAAATGTTTAATAATTGACACGATCAAATCTTGTTTACCCTCGAAATTCAAAAGGGTCGGAAGTCTTTCGCGAACCTGTAGAAAAAATTGAAGAATACTAACACTTTTGTGGCTAACAAGTTAATGGTTTACCACAAAGACTAAACAATTGCCATTTTTTTTTGAAGATGTCAAGTAAGTAATCTGAAGAAACCGAAGGAAAAGCGACAAATACTAACTTCAGAGAAAATGGAAAGTTGGTTTTTCACCGTGCAACAGATCAGTCTAATGGCGATAATGGTTATAATTTAGCTGGTCAATACTCTGCTCCAAAAAACATTGAGGATTCAATAGGGGCTGATCAAGATGTTGATCCTTTGAAAGATCGCATTACTAGAACTTCGAAGTTTGAAAGGGAAAGCTCGTACCATCAACGAAGATACCAACGTGAATTATCTCCAGAAAGAGACCCTAACATCACTGATGAACAACTTCTTGAGATCAGAGAACAAGAGCGAAAGCAAGAGGCGAATAAGAAAATAGAAGATAATGAGGGTTCAAAGAAGGATGATGAAGATGATGGCAGTAAAACACCTCCCAGAAGAGCTCGTAAAAGAAGATGGGATGTTGGAGGAGATGATGCGAAAGAAATATCATCTGAAGTCATCAAAAAAAGTCGGTGGGATGTTGAGCCAGTGAACCAAAATGATAATACTGAAGGGAAAGATAACCTGTATGTTATACCCACTGAAAATAAGCTCACAACTGATGTCATACGGGATTCGTTGATCACTGAAATCCCAGGGGTAAAGGAACTGCAATTTTTCAAAGAACAAGATGCCAAATATTTTGGAAAGTTACTAGACAACAAATCGGAAAAAGATTTGTCTTTAGAGGAGCTTAAGGAACGTAAAATTATGAGGTTATTGTTGAAAGTGAAAAATGGAACACCACCCATGAGAAAAGTTGCTTTGAGAAGCATCACTGATAATGCCAGATCTTTTGGAGCAAAGGCTTTGTTCAATCAAATTTTGCCGTTGCTTTTGGAAAAAACTTTAGATGATCAAGAGAGACATTTGTTAGTGAAAGTTGTTGATAGGGTTTTGTACAAGCTAGATGATATGATACGTCCTTACACACACAAAATATTGGTTGTTATTTCGCCGTTGCTCATTGATGAAGACTATATAACAAGGGCTGAAGGACGTGAAATTATATCAAACCTGTCAAAAGCTGCTGGTCTCTCTCATATGATATCGACTATGAGGCCTGATATTGACCACGAGGATGAGTACATTAGAAACGTAACAGCCAGATCATTGGCAGTAGTCGCAAGTGCTTTAGGGATCCCAGCTTTGCTTCCATTTTTAAAAGCTGTATGCCACTCAAAAAAGTCATGGCAAGCTCGCCATACAGGTATCAAAGTTGTACAACAAATTTCAATACTCATAGGCTGTGGTGTTTTACCTCATTTGCATGGACTTGTTGACTGCATAGCAAAAGGTTTAACTGATGAACAGCTATCTGTGAGAACAATGACTGCTAATGCATTATCTGCACTTGCTGAAGCATCTTCCCCATACGGGATTGAATCATTTGAGAATATTTTGGAGCCACTATGGAATGGTATCAAAAGACATCGAGGTAGAGGCTTAACTGCCTTTTTGAAATGTATCGGGTTTATAATACCTTTGATGAACCCTGAATATGCTAGTTATTATACCAAGGAAATCATGTACATTCTTTTGCGTGAGTTCAGCTCCCCCGATGAGGAAATGAAGAAAGTCGTTCTCAGAGTGGTACAGCAGTGTGCTTCAACAGACGGGGTTGAACCAAAGTATCTGAAAACTGAAGTGTTACCACCCTTCTTCAAGCACTTCTGGGTTAGAAGAATGGCACTTGATCGTCGGTCATACAAGGCAGTTGTTGAAACATCACTTGTTTTATCAGAGAAGGTTGGTGTCAGTGAAATAATTGAGAGGCTTTTGAATATCTTGAAAGATGAATCTGAACCATTTCGGAAGATGGCTGTTGAGACGGCGTACAAGGTTGTTCTCAAATTAGGATCCGCTGGCCTTTCAGAAAGAACAGAAACCAGGCTCATAGATGGTTTATTAGTCGCTTTCCAGGAGCAAACAGAGAATGATTTTATCATATTAAAAGGGTTCACAACTATTATTCAATCATTAGATAACAGAAGCAAGCCTTTCATTGGTCCAATAATAACTACGATACTTCATAGACTGAAAAATAAGACACCAGAAATTCGTCAACAAGCAGCAGACTTCATTTCTCAAATTGCCTCGGTTCTCAAATCTTGCTCAGAAGAAGACATTTTGAATAAGCTATCGGTTATATTGTATGAATCCTTAGGTGAAGTTTATCCTGAAGTATTAGGATCAATTTTAGGAGCTTTAAAGAGTATCGCAACTGTTGTTGGTATTTCTTCAATGCAACCACCAGTCAACCAAATATTACCAACTCTCACACCTATATTGAGAAACAGACATGAGAAAGTTCAAGAAAATGCCATAGATTTGGTGGGAAGAATTGCTGATAGAGGTGCTGAATATGTCTCACCAAAAGAATGGATGCGTATCTGCTTTGAGCTTCTTGATATGTTGAAAAGCACTAAAAAGGGGATCAGAAGAGCCGCCAATAACACATTTGGCTATATTGCCAAAGCTGTTGGACCTCAGGAAGTGTTGGTGACTTTGCTGAATAATTTGAGAGTTCAAGAGCGTCAACTTAGGGTTTGTACTGCTGTGGCAATTGGTATTGTTGCTGAATCGTGCTCACCATTCACTGTTCTTCCAGCACTTATGAATGAGTACAGGACCCCTGAAGTTAATGTGCAAAATGGTGTCTTGAAGGCAATGTCTTTTATGTTTGAATATATTGGAGATATGTCTACAGATTACATCTATGCAGTAACTCCTTTATTAGAAGATTCATTGACAGATCGAGATCAAGTCCATAGGCAAACCGCAGCAAGTGTTGTTAGACATATCACATTGGGATGTATTGGTCTAGGCAAGGAAGATGCTTTCATTCATTTCTTGAATTTACTCATCCCAAATATTTTTGAAACATCACCTCATGTTATCAACAGAATTTTAGAAGGGATTGAAGGTATTAGAAACGCTGTTGGTCCTGGGCTAGTATTGAATTACACATGGAATGGTCTGTTCCACCCAGCTAGAAAAGTTAGAAAACCATATTGGAAGATTTACAATAGTGCTTACGTCCAACAACTCGACGCTTTGGTTCCGTATTATCCAAAAATTGAGGAGTCAAACTACAGTTTAGATCTCTTTGATATAGTTTTGTAATGAATTCTTTGTTGATATTAGCAGTGAACGTTTTTAATTTATAACAATGGCTTTTTAATGTAGTCTTCGTTATTGTCATGCTCATCTTCCTCATCACTGACTTCTTCTTCTTCACTGCTCTCTTCCTCTCCACTGCTTGAGTCTTCTTCATCACTAGACTCTCCATCCTCACTGGATGACCCACTTTCTTCTTGTATCACCACTTTTTTCTTCGTGACAGTAGAATTTCTGAGTGGTTTGCTGTTATCTTCAGCAAAAAAATCATCCAGACTTTGAAGTTTGTATTTTTTCTCTCTAACTGGAGGTTGAAAAGAAGTCAATGGATCCTTAAATGAATTTGATTTCTGATTAGGAAAAGTTTGTTGTGAAAAATTCTTTGGTGCTTCCACAACCTCTATAGCATTTCTAATTGAGCTGTCAGGAAGATCCTTACTAGACCATGGTGGTAACAAATTATAGTTCTTCACAAGATCATCAATACATAGCGATCTCCAGTCATCATCTTTGAACTCTATAAAATCTGGGGAAACATCTGAAACATTTCTTAAAGTTACCAGAGGAACAGGCTTAGGTGCCTGCAAAATTAATGTTGCTAAGTGTGTTGTTGTGGAGCTCAAAAGGGAATGTAGCATTCTGGATCTATCTCTTATATCATAGACATCATCATATTTACCCAAGTTTATTACATGGGAAAATAATTTTGGGATTATTCCATCAAATCCATATTTTTCCAAATCAAGATCACCACTTGAGTTCTTGTAGTTCTCCAGGTCATAAGAGTAAATTTTAGCAGCCAATAAAATTATTTGATATCTAACATTAGGTTCTTCGTACGCAAAGCCTTTAACCAGTTTTCTGAGAACATCTGGACCAATTTTTGGTTCAATTCCTGAAAATTCACCAACTAGCCAGATAACACTCTCTTTGGCACTCGATTCAAGGAGCGAATCGCCATCAAGAAGGTAAGCTAATTTTACCACTGTTTTGATATTATTTTCAGGATTTTGTTGCACCAAGTACCTAATCACAGTCAAAAACTCAGCAGTGACAGTTCTATCTTGTCCCAGAGTGGTAATTTGTGATAAGAGCCATTTCAAGGTTTTTGCACTCCAGAATTGACTAATTTGGGAACAAACACCAAGAGCTTTCACACTCTCAACCGCAATTCTTGGATCAGATGAATTTAAAGCATAATATTGTAGTTCAGTTGTTATTGACTTTATGTTATTCTCATTGCAAATGATCGATAAAATTTTAAGCTTATATTGTGCACTTAAAATTTCATCATTAGGAAACAAAAAAAATCTTTTTTCATATTGAACAAACAGCGTTGGTTCATGAGCAGCCATATAAAGAATACTTTGTAAAATGAACACTTGGGTCTCCGGAATACTAGTTTGTAAAATTCTGACAAGTGACGCTGAAATTTGTGATTCTTTGAACGTTTTTGGGGGACTCAAGTGGAAAAATGCTCTACCAACCGCTAATACCACTGCTTCATTTCTGCTATAAGTCAAGTACTTTATAGAGTCTAAAAACAGTTTCAAATCAGAGTCAAATTCAACATCATAAACAGGATATGGGATCTCATTGTAATTATCAGGCAGGTTAATGAATTCAGATTCATTTGTAGCCTTGTTGAAAATTCTAGGTTTTGGTAGAAAGACTCTTGAATAATTGGTCAACAATTCAACGAGATAAATTTGAGCCCATTCATCTAGTTCCGTAATTATAGAGCAAAACCGACGGAAGTGTCCATGTATTAGATCAAAATTTTCAGGGCATATGATTCTAAAGGAAAGAATGGCAGAACTTAGCACATTGACATCTCTATCTTTTAGTAAAGTTTTTAAATGCTCTGTCAGCTCTTGAACGGATGAATGTCCATGATTTGTGTACACTTTTACAAGTGATATAGCAGCTGCTTTTCTGACATTTGGTGATGGATCTGAAGCGCATTTTTTGATTCCCAACTGAACAATGTGATAAATCGAGGATATCCTGATCTCTGACATGACTCGGATAGCTAGAGCTCTAACCTGATCGTTTTTATCTCCCAAAGACTTCTGTATAGCATTAATTGAAAGCAAAGCAACATCATTTTCTTTATCCGCATACCTTAAAAGATATGTGTACACAAGCTTTCTAATCTTTAAACTTGAGGAAGTGACATTTTTGACAACATCTGTGAAATATTGTGAGGCATCTTCACCACTTGAAATCAATGATATGACATACTTCAAACCTTTCAGAACATCTCTTTCAGATCTTGAATTCAAGAGAGTTGACACTTCTTTGGGTCTTATGTGATCAGGAGTTTCAGCCAGTTTAGCAGAAGCAGCAGCAGCAGCTTCCAAAGTCAAATCCCTTGCGGATTCAAGCATTGACGTTATTCTTGAAATGGAATCAGACATTGTTGAATAGATGGTATATCATGGGCTGAAATGGGTTAATATTCCATGTAGTTGAGTTTGATTGAGTTTCGAAACTTGTTGTTTTGTGGTCCTCAGCTTCTTTCGAATTCGTTGGTTTTAATTATTTTCGATGGGCGCGAATTCCACTTACATAATCACGCTCATCTTTCTACGCGCAATACATTAACAATGAATCAATTGGCTACACAAAGACAAAAAATTAAAAAAAACACTAACTTATTAATAATGCTGTAGAATATACATGGGATGTGGTGTATTATTTGTAATTACTTGGATATTTGTAGTCTGAGATTTCATAAAAGTTTTCTTTTATGTTTCTAACAGAAACGAATCTTGAAAGGATATTACCTGAACCAGCTTTATCATTTGTACCACTGGCTCTAGCACCACCAAACCATTGTTGTCCAACAACAGCACCGGTAGATTTATCATTGATATAGAAGTTACCAGCTGAGTAACGTAATTTTTCTTCGGCTAATCTGATTGCATCACGGTCTTTAGCGAAAACAGCACCAGTTAAACCATAGGTTGTTGTTGTATCGATTTTCTCAAGGATTGATTCATATTCAGCATCTTTGTAAACATAAGTTGTTAATAAAGGACCGAAAAATTCAGTTTTCAAAAATGGATGGTTTGGATTTGTTGTTTGAACAATAGTTGGTTCAATGAATAAACCTCTAGATTTATCATATTTACCACCTGTAACAATTGATAATTCTGGATCTTTTTTGGCACTTTCAATAGCAGCAGAGATTTTATCAAAACTTTGTTCATGAATAACTGGACCCATAAAACCGTTTAATCCTTCATGGGAAGAAGTGTTTAATGGTTCAACACCTTTCAAGTATTCGACAAGGACGGTTTTGAAATCATCCCAAACAGAGCTGGCGATATAAGCTCTTGAAGTAGCAGAACATTTTTGACCTTGATATTCAAAAGCACCACGGATAGTTGATAGTGCTGAATGGACAACAGAAGCTGAAGGATGAACCAAATGGAAATTTTTACCACCTGTTTCACCAACAATTCTTGGGAAATCTCTATACTTGTCTAATGCAACGTTATCGGAAATCTTTTTGTACAAATCTTTGAAAACTCTTGTTGAACCGGTGAAATGTAAAGCAGAGAATTCAGAATCATTCAAGACAACATCAGTGACTAAATTTGGTTCACCAGGAACAAAATTAACAACACCACTTGGCAAACCGGCTTCTTCCAAAATTGTGAGTAATAAATAGTTAGATAAAGCAGCAGTTTTTGAAGGTTTCCACACAACAGTGTTACCAACTAAAGCTGGAGCACCAACCAAATTAGCAGCGATGGCAGTGAAATTGAAAGGAGTAACAGCGTAGACGAAACCTTCTAAAGGTCTATATTCTGCTCTGTTCCAAACACCTGGACTTGATTCTGATGGCTGAGTGGCATATAATTCTTGGGCGTATTTAACATTGAATTTGAAAAAATCAATCAACTCAGCAACACTGTCAATTTCAGCTTGATAAACGTTCTTACCTTGACCTAAAATAGTAGCAGCGAGCATATCATAACGGTATTTTGTACTAATCAAATCTGCAGCCTTAAGGAAAATAGCTGATCTGTCAACAAATGAGGTATTGAGCCATTTTTGTTTGGCATCTTTAGCAGCTTTAATGGCATCTTCAACATCTTCTTTGGTAGCTTGAGTAATATTTGCTAGCTCTTGTGAAATTTTGGCTGGGTTAATTTGTGGAACGATTTCTCTTTGAGTACCTTTACCATAAATTCTTTTACCATTGATAACTAATGGAATATCTAAGGAACCATTGTCAGTGAATTTAAGTATTGATGCTCTTAATAAATCCCAATCAACGGTGTCAGTTTTACCAAACGGTTTGACTGGTTCATTTTTAATAGGTGGAACTTGAGGAGTAGCTAATTGACCAATGCTTCTTTTGCTTTGAGCAAAACCTTTGCAGTTCAATCTAGAAGCTAAAGATAATGTCTTTGTGGCATTCAAGAAATTACTCTTAGCAACACTCATGTTGTTTGTGTTGGGTAAACTGGTGAGTAACAGTGGAAAAGAGAGTTCGAAAAGTTTTGTGTCTTTTCGTCCTGTTTAAATAATTGCAACACCCACAGAGATCACAATCAGCTTCAAGGGCATCGCTCGTCAAAAGCTTCCCTTGGTTTGGGGCCGGTCGCGAAAAAATGGTTTTGTGGTCTTCGTAAGCGACATTCTCGGATACGGCTTCTGCTCGCTTCAGAAGCCAATCTGTCAACTCAAAAAGCACTTTTTAGATCGTACATCAGCTCATCTCATAACGTTCGTTCTTAATTTATACATGTATATATACCGTTGCTCATATGATGGGTGGTTTGGTTAGTCAAACGTCCATTTGGCTAAATATTTCACGTTCTTCTTTCTCTAACTGTTCATTAGTCTTCACCTTTATGCTGAGGAATAACGCACCTATTGTGGCTAGCCCTCCAAATCTGAACACCCAACCCAAGCTATCATCATATTGAGAACCATTACCCCCTGACGATAACAGTTTAAATAAGAAGCTGCTCAATAAAGAACTGATCACTTGTGGTGCTGCAACAAAAAAATTGTGGATTCCCAAAATGACTCCGGCCTCATGCTCAAAGTTTTCATACCGTTCTGCAGCTTGATTGTTAACAATTGTTGAAGTCTCATTGTTATCTTGTTTGACTTGTTGAAGTTTAGCCTTTATCTCTTTGATTCGAGATATTTCCTCTGAAATTAGAACAAAAGGAGCCCACAAAGCATGGCCCCAAGTGATCCCAAGAATTGCAAACAGACATATAGCAGCAGTGGAAGATCTAATAAAAAACGTCAGAAGCATACACATGATGAAAATGATGTGTGAAATATACCATGCACGTCTGACAGTTAACCAGCTGCAAAACTTTAAACGAAACCTTTCAATAGAGTCTGATATTATATTTCCCGAAAACAGCGATGCTTCATTAACACCAATGCTCTCCGCAGCTCTACTTTCAACTGGTTGAACAAGAAGCGGTAACAACAAATCAATAGCAAAAGAGGTGATTGAATGTAGCAGTAGAGCCAATGACCCTCTTCTAGTACTTTCATCTTGTAGTTCCTGTAGCTGCCCTGGTGTTAATGGAGGGAGATCAGGGCCTCTATTCTTGTAAAACTCATATTTATAAAGTTCACCAACATACGTTGTTGTATAAAAAAGCATAGGAAAGTATCCAATCCAAGCAAAAAATTCAGCCAGACAAACAATTTTAACTTGAGGTGGAAGCCTTCTAATACTATGGCTTGTTTGCTTAAAAAGCGATAAAAGAACACCCCATCCAGTTGTCGGATTTTCAATACCTAATTCCTTGAGTCTCTTCTGGTTTTTCTTCCGCTCTGCTTTGATAACAACGTCATGGGTTGGATCTCTTTCTTTGATATAGGTCAATGATATGATACTTGAGATTATCAAAACTATACTGGCAAATGCTGCCAATACTTTGAATTGGGTATTCCCTAAAAACGGAAGCACTTTTGTCAACTTTATAGATCCCAAAAAGTAACCTATAATGTTAAATCCCCCAATCATAATAGCAGCCATAGCGTTCGCTATTTGTTGCTGATGAGTTGCAACATTATCAACAATAAATGCTCTTGCCGCAGCTTGAATTGCACTAATTGAAAAATCCAAGAGGTAAACACCAAACGCAGCAAATGGAATTGTTGTACGTTTTACAATCTTTTCATCTGTCCCCCTTGGATAAAATAATTTTATCAAATCAACTGAATTACTCAAATAAAGTAAGGATAAAGAGGTTGCTATGCATCCCCCAATTATGAAAGGTTTTCTTCTTCCTGATTTATATTGACAATTATCACTGAAAATTCCTATGATTGGTTGACCGAGAGAACCACTCAATGGACCAGCTATCCAAACTAGTGCTAATGTATGCTTTGAAATCCCCAACGACAACAAAAACGGTGTTCCCTCAGTAAATTCTGTGCACCATGATAATTGTAATCCACCGATTATTATAGTTAACATGATAATGTAAAAAAAAGATCTGTGAGGATTGATAGCATCTTGGATCTCTGATAAGCCTGCAAATGATACCATACTGCCAGTAGAACTTGATTGGTGAATATCCTGCGATATGCCTTCAGTATTGTTGCTGTCGTCTTGATGCTCTGAATCCCTTGTATCACTTTCTTGATGATCTCCGTTATCAATTAGCAGGGAACTTTCTTCTTGCGAAGCCATTGAAAATAGTGTATTGTAGCCCTTCGAGCTTGGATTTGAAAGCACTTCAACTTTCACAACGATGTGGTTTGTTTTAAACCCATCAACCCCAACATAACAATACTTTATTGTACAGGGGATTTCTAAAAATTGATAAATACACGACTTTCTCTTTGTGTCCCAAAAATATCAATACACAAACACGACGCGTCTTTTACAACATTCTTAATTGAACTTTTATTCTCTATCCTGTTTCATTTTTATAATCAATTTGAACTAATAGAAAGAGGCCACTGAAGATGTTGGTGAATGGCTCTGCTGGTTTAAAGCGATCTTTTGGATTGGAAGACGAAGCACCAAATGGCTTCTTATCAAATCAAAAAAGACACCAAGAGGGAAGAATCACAAGCTCAATTCATCGTGAGTATTAATACAATTTGTTTCTACAACCACATGGAATACATATTAACTAATCATAAAAAGAACAGACCGTTCAAATGATGATGAAGGCTCAACTCCACATCCAAAACAATACCCAGGATAATTTTCAAGCTCAAGAGGAATGGTCTTCCAACGAAGAAGCTGTTGGAAAAGAAAAATCACCACAAAAGCCTTACTGGCCCCAGATAATTAAAAGATGTGAAAGAAAATGATTTAAAGGGCATGATATTTTGAAGGCCAACCAACAGATTAAACTCAGACTGGTGGGAATCACACTCTGGTTAGATTTGAAAACTGAAAGTGGACTGTCTATGAAGCTGAACTTGAGGATTTGTCCTTGCTTATAAAGAAAGCATTACTAGCAGTTAGAACGTCGTTTTTTTATCTGAAACGCAACATGGAAGACTCAAATAAACAAATATTTCGGGAATCATAAAAACTCTATAGGATAAAAAGAACTTCTCAAGTATGTCTAATATATAGTCAAAAAAACCCCAAAACTCAAGTGGTTCATGGTGCACCACACAAAAAGCATTCATTGATTAGGGAAAGTCTAATAAATGAATAGCGAAACTCTTCCTGAGCCCGTAACGATTACAACACTCTTATAATTTCTCAATTACTTCACCAATACGAATAAACCAGCCACAGAAGACCCACATAGTTATAAAAGCAACTAAACAAGCTAATCACAAAACAATAAAGATATTTCGAACAATTTCAAGTCAATAAACTGCCATAAAGGCTATTTGTTTCACAAAACATGCGCTTTTTCTAAAAAATAGCCTAAATAGCTGAACAAAGGCTGAAATTCAACATCACCACACAAAACGCCAGAAATTTTCTTCAAGCCACTGCATAGAGGTCATCGTATAAGTAGCAAACACCAATTATTGTTTTAACAGCTAACAAAACCACAAACTTTCGTGGGAACAAACATCGAGCTACCAGATCAACGCTTCAATGATATCCCTGGGCTTAGTAAAAAAGCACACGATTCAACAAAGCAGGGGGAAACATGTTTAAACCCTTTCCCACCAAGTATGCATACATATAACTATTCTACTTAACTTGAATGCACCAACTGGCTCAGGGCTGCATCGGCAGGTCCTCAAAAGTTTGGCTGAGCCTTTGGATTGCCTGACAGCCTTTCCCGGGGCGTATTTGAGCATTAACCAGTAACTTAACTTGTGCTCGTACTAACTAGCTGCAACTACCGTTTACGAAACTCTATGCGCCCTCACCAGAGAAACAATTAACGAAACAGTTGTTAGTGTTACAACTGGAGTAACCTATTGTCACAGATATCACTTGAGAAACCATCTTTCCCCCGATATAACTGAGGAAACAGATTGGCATATTTATAGCTTAAGAAACCGTATTGTCAGAGTTATAACTGAAGAAACACATTGCCACAGATATATCTCTAGAAACTGATTGCCCAGGCTATAACTCAGGGGACCCATATTTGCTCAAGTTACGGCACTAAACATCAATTAATGAGGTTAGCCTCGCGTGCAATGACCCCTTCTAAAATAAACGCCGAATCGACCAAACCCCAAATTAGGCTCAGCATCAAAGACAAAAGATTAAATCCCAAATCTTCACATCTTGACACTGATATGCTCTGATATGCCGATTTATCCAGAGTACGATGTACTATATGAGATTTTCGCAGCTCTCCAACATATGTAAACGGTTCTCGTGAGATTATAGCCAAAAAAAAAAAGTTCCCTTTGCAACCGATTCTAACAAGCTAACGCGTAACTTGCAAAAAATGCTGGTTTGTTTCTCAGGTTATAGAGCGGACAACCTACTGCTTGCATCATTACTAGAGAGACTGGTAGTTTGGGAAATATTTTGATTACTGTAGATACTGAATGCATATATACGAGGCATATACGAATCTTATACGAGAAGGGTCACTTGGGCAATAGTACAAGCAACAACCGAGATCACTTGGTGTTTATCTGCTTGGTTGGGCATTTGTCCTATTGATTTGCGGTAAGATTCTGGTCTGATGTAAGCTTGTTCCCCTATATTTCAGGTATCTGGTAAAGCAAATCACAGCCGAACAAGTATAACTATGGTTAATAGCAGTGGTGCATCAGGAGTACGAGAATATACCAATCATTTTAGGTGATACAACAATGATATAGCGCTTAGCTTCTGTTAAACTTTCACATTGTGTAACAGTAACCTAAGGTGGAGAAACCACTTGAACAAGTCACCGTGATTTTGTAGTGTTGCAGTCGATACATGGTGTGTGCTTCGGTTGGTTTGGGCCGATTCCCAGACAATTTCTACAGCAACGAGTTTCCCAAGTATTTGGCTGGCTCCAGAGTTACCTCCCGGGAAACTGTTGCAGGAGTAACAGCTCAGACAACAAGTTACCATGGGCTCCAGAGTGTCGTCCTGAGAAACTGTTGCAGAAGCAACAGCTCAGACAACAAGTTACGACGGATACGAGGCATAAACATCTTCCAGAAGTTAATTTGCCTAAACTGAAACAAATTAGGGTTACAACCTTGATTTACCGAAGCACTTGCTATCAGAATTGCTTTATTTAATATCTGAAGCTCCTATTGTAAGTCATATAGCGGATAGGTTTCAGTGCAGGAAAAAAAGAAGCTTGTTTTGTTTTCAAGCACATTCCTGTAGAATTTTGGGAATTGTAGCACTATAAAATACTTTGATAGTAATTTTGCTATCCTCAGAGTATGCTGGGTTGCGCTATGCTGTCCTTTTTGTTTCTTACTATCAAATTTGCTTTTTTTTGTTATAGTGGAATATTACAGCTATATTACAGCTATATCACGAGCACTATTTGCCGATGCCCTCATGCTTTTTTGCTGTTCCTTTCACGATTTAGTGTGCCTGCGTGGTTTCCTAGCGTTATTAGAGTTTCTATATATAGGGTTGTCAATTCATGGCCTGTTTGGGCTTTTTTTAATGATCTCGAGATTAGCGGTGTTTTTAAATCATGTAGCTCGATTTCCATTTGATGAAGCTCATTTATTTTACTAGATCTAGCATTAAGCCACATTTTTTCAGCTTTATATTGAACATTTACTTATTTCGTTGTTTTGTAGTGTTTTTGTTTCCATAAACTGTTTTTTCATGTTGAATATTGAGATTGTATCAGTTCAATCAGTCAAAACAGGTGATATTATTAAGATAATTGCTGTTTTGATTATGCTCTAACCTTTTTGGTGTAATTAAAAAGCCTTTTTCTTTGATTCCAATCGTTTATCTGTGTTCTAATCTGATAGTTGGCCCGTTTTTACTTAGTTTCTGAATATTCCGGAGCTCTTACACCAATGTAAACAGAATAAGTTTTTTGAAGTGGATGTCTTTGTAGCTTTGAGTGTTCTAGACATTGAACAATGTAAATGAACTTTTTTGAAGGTTTTTGATTTAGTGTTTGACTGTGTGGTATCACTGAACTTGTGAGCAAACGGTGGATGGACGATGTGATGATGTATCCTGTGGTAGCTTAATTACCTGATAAAAAAAGTGATGGGTTTGAAAATTGTTGAGAGGTCTTAACTTCTTTGATATCTCATTTGTGTAGCCTTCCTATCTGTGGCGCACGATTGATTTATGACTTTACTCTTTTTGCTGGGTACTTGATGTGCCTCGAAGTTTTGGATTTTAATAAACCATAAAGTAGTTGGACAGCTGGTAATATGTAGTCTCTGTCTGATTAGGAGGCAGTAAGCACCGAGGGAGTTATTTTCTATTGTCTTTCAAACTTTGATATGAGAGCATCTGAACTCTGGACCTCCAACCACTGTGGTGTAAAAGACAGCTTCTATGACCCATGTAAATTGAAATCAGTTGTAGTATATTTATCCCGTGAATCAAATGGTTATTGAGTTTAGCTGAATAATTGGATAAGTGTTCAAAATTCCTGGTTGGAAATAGTAAGGTTTGAAATATAGAACTTTCAATCTTTGCATGTGAATCTTCAAAACTTTTGAGGTGTAAAGGGATAATATTTGACTAATGATTCTATTTGAAAGATGGGAGAAAACAAATCAAATCCTCAAAGATACTAGTTTTCTTGTCCTATTAACAAATTTATTTTTTTCTATTTCATAGTTTAAACAAGACACAAAAACCCCCAGACACAAAAACCAGCATGTCGCATTATATAATTTTGTTGTGCCAAAAAACACCAAAACAGTACATCACGCTAGCGTGGCAATCTGTAATAGCATACATAGATATTGATGGGCCTGCTAATGTCTATCATTACTTGTTGTCTCATTGGCTTCAAAGTACTCTGATTTACCTTGACACACTCAAGTGCTTCCAAAATTAAATTGAAAATTTTTGATTCCAGGTGAAAACACAGCTCTTTTCAGATTATGGGTACACTTTATTGGCTCCAAATTCAATACTATAGGCACCAAGTATTCTGCTTGTCGTTTTTAGTGAGTATTCGGATTGAAATGATCTTGAAAGACTTTAATTGCAGAACAGAAATGTACGTTATCTAATATCTATTAAGTTCACGATATTATGTAATCATAAACTTATAGTACCCGGCTTTCTATTCAAATTCGCGGACCAGCCTAGGCTTGTTTTTTTCGCGAATTTTATTTATCGCGAAGTTGAAAAAAAAAATCGACACTTAAAGTAAAGAACCGTTAACACAGCTTTTTGAGAACTTGAAGAACTTGAGTGTTTACGGACAGAATGTTGTACGAACTTATCGCTATTGCTCGTGTTGTGAATCCAATAGAACATACCAGGGAAGCCAAAGAGTATGTCCTCCTTTATATTCTTCCAAGGTGATTGCAAAAGTTACTAACTTTAATGAAAAGAGTCGCTACTACCCTAGGTAGATTAATTATACAAAATAGAGGTGTTGTGAGAAAAATACAATCCATGGGAAATGAAACTTTGCCTAAGATAATGAGAAAGGATCAAGAACGTCATTTTCAAGGTCATAGATTCCTTATGTTATTCGATTCAAGTGCGCCTGTTCAGTCTGAAATTCTACGGACATTAAAAGCTGATCCACGTATTATTAGATCTTATATGCAAAAGGTTAGTGATAAAAACCTTGATCCTGGTTCTTCGTTGGATAGAGCTGGACGCTAAGCATTGAAGTTAATGGGTTGTAAAGAAGTTTTTATGAATAAAAGTTTGTATATAGATAATTGATAAAATGTAGTCGTTGATTTTGCATTACTTTACGAACTAGAAGTTATACATAACCACAAATTGAAATTGTATATTATTTTGTTGAAAGCCACTGAAGGAAAGACTAAAAAAAAAGCAGAAAGTATTTCTCAAAACAAACAATCTATATCAAATACTAGCATAAAATAACTGTATTGATTTCTCGTAACAAAAAAAAAATTCAACCTCAAATTTACCCAAAAACAAAAACAGAGAAATATCACAAAATATTGAACATCAAACACCAAACCCGGTTTTGTATTTTTTATCTTCAGCAGGATCAATTGAAACAGTTTTTGTCACTGCTACTGACCTATCAGTATGAAAGAAAGGAAGGCTATACTTGAAGCTTCCTCTAACAATTAAATCAAATGGATAATTAATTATAGTTTTCCATTTATCAGAATCATTTTCAGTCTTGTGATTAGGAGCAGAATGTTCATCTCCATTATCAGTGGAATTTTTACCAGGCTGAAGTAACTTTATTTCACCTTTTGATAAAGAATGGTTTCTATTGAAAAATCCACCACTGAATTCTAATGGGGTTTCAAATTTTGTGACGCTTCCTAACAATATTGTTTGAAGAGTTTTGGAGTCGTCTAAGTAATCTGGAGCAAAATATTCATTTCCAAGATGTGAAGATTTTGCAAATATATCAAGTTCAACATCACTAACTTCAACAGTAACAAAACCGGGGTTGAAGGCTCTAACACTCAAGTCAAACACCAATTCATCATAAGAAACAAGTATATCATCAATTGATAAGATATTAACATCTTGAAGGTCTTTTGTTGTGGCTAGTAAGAAACCTGCAATGAAACCAAACACTAACAAAAGAAGAACGAGAACAAAAAAGTAGAGAAAATTTTTGAACAGTTGAAGCTTTGAATTTTTTTTTGAGTTGTAAAAATTATGTGGAGAATATTGTCTTTGATTATACTGAGATCTGTTTTTGTTCTTTTTATTATTTTTCAGTATTCTTGAATTTGAATGTCTCAGTGAATTTTTATCCTTCAAATCTCCAAAATTTTGTGTATAGTCACCACTATCAGTAGATCTAAAATTTGGAAATCTTTTCTTTGTATGGTAGTTCCTTGAATTGTTTAAGCGAAGATTTCCATTAGCAGCGTTGACATTTAGTGGGGTTAATTCATCTTCATCTTCATAATCATCATATTCGTAGGTATCAGCATAATCACCACCATCAATCTCCTGCTCTTCGTCATATTGATCAATGTAGTCTTCAATATTAACATCATCCGGTACACCTGAATATCTTCTAAGGGAACTCCCCTTGACTTCAAATAGTTTTGAGGTTGTTGTTCTTAATTGGTTCTGTCTATCACCATTCCCAGCTCTCAGAAGACTTGTATTGCTTGGTTTTCTTGAGTTATTCCCATTATACTTGGTAAAGATCTTTGTCTTATTGTTATTATTGTTGTTGATCAGATTCCCACTTTCAGTGAAACTCGACTGAGTATTAGTGTCTGCTTTCAACGAACCTTCAATAGCGCTCGACTTGTCACCTTGTAAATCTGATACATTATCAGATGAATTGTGTTGATATTGATCTTTTTGAAGTGTCTGGATGTTTGTTATAGTTGTGTTATTACTATTATTAAGGTCAGACTCTTCCTCTGTCTCAAAAGTTCTTCCATTATTTTGACCATTGTTTTGATCTTTAGATTCATCATTAGTTAACACAATATGAGAAGCCGTAGTTGGTGAGTATGGTTGAGAAGATGAAGAAGTCACAGGCATACTAATGTTTCTTTGGGAAAGTTTTCTTAAAGCCATTGGATTTCCTGAGCCATTTACAGCAGATATACTTGAATTCTTGTTTAGTGGTAATGTGTTGGCTGTATTCAAGGCATCAGGTGCACTTTCATAAACAAATGTCTCTTCCGAATCAGAATCAGAAGCATCACCTACTGCATTTGCGATTCTTGCAGCAAACAAATCAGCTTTAGTAGCACCTGGTTTGGATAAATTCAAGTGACTTTCGGTGGCATTTGGTCTTTTGTTTCTTATTGATCCATTTATACTGATGGTGTCATTGTCATCTGTTGATAATGCCTGAACATTATTATTTGCAATCTGATTATTTTGATTATTCTGGTCAACAAACAATGTACTTTTCTTACTTCTCAAAGACGAAAGATTGTTAGCTATGCTTGAGTTATTTGACATTAACTCATTACTAATAACATTTGATGATGAAGCAATAGGTAAAGTCACAGATGGAACTTTTGATGCATCAACTGTTTCTGTCTCCACAATCATGTTTTTGGTGGTATTTGGATTCTTTGAAACTTTCTCATTGGTACTTGATCTAGAGAACAAGGGCCTCGATAGTTCTTTCTTCTTGCTTGGGGGTATCTGGGGAAGGTTTTTAGGGATATTTGGTATTATTTCATCATTGTTGACAGGTTTTGTAGGTTCATTGTTATTGATGCTTCCTTCTTGACTGGCGATCGTGGAGGCGTTAAGATTCGATTTTGTCACTGAAGCTTCATCTTTCTCATTAACAGTGCTGTGTTTCACAGATTCATTATCACTCATCTTCCTCTTCTTTTAAAGATCGTCCTGTGCTAGCAAAACCAAACAAAACGCTTCAGTTGATGTTTCGTTCTGGTTTAAAGTTGTGAATTTTGATTGACAAGGGCAAATACGAAATCTGGTGAATTATGCAAAAACCAAACAAAACGAGATTGATGGAAAGATGGTTCCTTGAAACAAGAGCTCAACGATGGTGAAGTTTTATGTTGTGGAATGGTGTAAATTGTCAGCAAGAGCTAGTTGGAGCTTGCCTATCTTATTCCTGGGTTGACGTAGTTGCTAAAGTAGAGCGTTTTCAAGCATTGGAAATGTTGCGTACGGTCTTTTTTTTCCCTGTGTACAAATGAAAATTCCAGACCACACAATCACATGGTCTAGGCTCGCTCAGTGTTCTGTCTAGGCTTAGAGTTGATGGTCTAGTGGTGTCTGGAGTTTCGCGAAGTTTTGTATGGGGTGAAAGATTCATCGTGAAGACGTGCAAAAACGATAACCTTGAAGTTGAAGTCGACACAAAAACATCAAGCACCCACCGGAGGAGACCACCATTGGCTGGCTATTTAAATTAAAGCAACTTATAGTTGTACTACCCAAATGCTAAGTTTTCAACCACCTCCTAGTAACAACAACAAAAGCCAAAGTCAAGGTCAAAATCAAAATCAAAACAACAAATTTGGTGCTCAATCTCATAATAATACCAATAAGTTCGGCTCAAACTTTAGTAATAAGAATATTTTCCAAAAACGAAAAGGACCAAGTCATAAGGCTGATCATGGGAATAGCTCATTCGGAGCAATGAACACTACGAACTCTACAAACCCTGCAATTGGACGTCCAAGCTCTTCAAACTTGAGTGAAGAAGATTTGAAATTCGATCAACACATTGGTGGATTTGATACCAACTTCAACATATTTCAGCACTTCAATCACAATCAGAGGCCAATACCTAAATTTTTGATTTATCAAAGTCCTGCCCTCAAAGCTGCACCAATAAAACAAGATGAATGGGACAAGTCCAATCAACAAGAGATGTTCAGATTAGAGCAAAATACATCTGATGTTTCAACACTTTATGAAGATTTTCAAAAAATGAGGGAGAATGAGAGAAAAGTTATGGAACAAAAAGGTTTGGTTGATAAAGAAGATACAAGAAAAACTTTAGAAGATGCCATATCATTTCAAGGTTCATGTCTTGAAATGTGTCCAGTCTATGAAAGAATAAGGAGATCTATTGAAAACGATGTTAGAAAATATGAAAAGGATTCTAATGGTAAAATTTCAAAAGATAAAGCAATCAAGGCTTTTTCAAGGCCTGCAGCTGGTCAACCACCTCCATTACCATCTGATGTTAGACCGCCTCAGATATTATTTAAAACATTAAACTACATTGTTGATAATATTCTTCCGGACCTACCAGAATCACAGTCATTTATATGGGACCGTACTAGATCAATCCGTCAAGATTTCACCTATCAAAATTATTTTGGTCCAGAAGCTATGGATTGTAATGAAAGAACTGTTAGAATTCATATATTGACCCTTCATGTTATGGCAAAGACAAGATCTGAGTTCTCTCAACAACAAGAACTTGAACAGATGAATAAAGCTTTGAAAACTTTATCGGAAATGTATGCTGAATATAGATCGAGGGGTATACAGGCTCCAAATGAAGCTGAATTTAGAGCATATTATCTCATAAGTCAGTTGAGGGATCCCGAATTAGATAGAGAGATTCAATCATTTCCCGATGGCATCATCAATGATAAAAGGGTTCAACTAGCTTTAAATTTAAGAAATTTAGTTCGAACAAACATTATTGAAAGAGGATTTCAACCAACAGAAGATGTTTTAAATTTTTATAAAAATTTTTTTCAAAACTTTTCTCAAGGTCAGATACCAATTCTTTTGTCTTATCTTTTGGAGATTCATTTAAATGAAATTAGATTTTATGCTATAAAGTCATTGAAAAGGTCTTTACATGCCAAGTCAAAACCATACCCTTCAGATTATATGATTAACTTACTGGCATTCAATGATTTTGTTGACCTTTCAAATTATGCAAATTATTATGGTCTCAAAATTACCAAAGAAGGTGGTCAAAGTTTTGTTGATTTACTTTCATTAGCTCATCCATCACATTTATTGCCAGATCAAAAACCTTTAGTGCAAGCTTTTTTTGATAAACATGATGCTAAAGTTACTTCTTATAAAGAATTAATTGAAAGTGGTGTTTCCAATATTGAAGTTTTAAATATACCATCCTCTATTAGTGAGCCAATTCCGTTAGCGGTACCTACTAATAACTTTAATCAACAGCCAAAGGCTCCAAGTTTCAATTTTTCATTCCCACAAAATAATACAATTCAACCTAATAGTGTTGATGAAGAACAAGCTAAACTTGAAGAGCTGAAAAAATCACAAGAAAAGGAAGCCTTACTGAAAAAGAAACTAGAAGAGGAAAAGGCTAAACGAGATCAACAAAGGGCATTAGAAGAACAAAGAAGGAAAGAAGAACAAGAACAGAAAAGATTACAACAGCTTGAAAATGAAAAAATTGCAAAAGAACAAGAAAGACAAAAGAAGATTCAGTTGGTTAGTTCTTTATCAGAAACTTTGACTCAAAATTTGATCAAATCCACTATTGGAAAAGAACTAACTAGTGCTTTAAAACCATTAGTTGAATCTGAAATATCTAGGAAGCAAAAGAAGAAAACAATTCTGAACTCTTTCAGTGAAGGTTTATTTGAAGCTTTTGTTGGTGAATTGATTTACATTGAATCATTGGAGATATTGGCTGATAATTTTAGAAAGTTTAAATTGAAAAAGTTATTAATTAAAAAAGTTAGTCACCTAGCTAAAGAATCTAGAGAAAAAGTTGAACTCAAAAAAAGAAAAAGAGAGGAATTTTTAGAAGCTTCCAAAACTTTTGGTATACCAAAGATAATAGCAAAGAGAAAGAAATTAAATCATCACAAGAAGAAGAATACTAGCGTTGCTTCACAAGATGAATATGATACTAAAGTTCATAAAGATACTAAAAATGAGAATGTTGATCTGAATCCATTAAATTTTGAGCAATTGACTGAAAACTTGAAGAACAATATGATTGATAAATATGAGATTTTAATGTTTTTCCAAGATTTAAATACAACAAGATCAATTTTTTTAAGAAGAAAGTTTTCAATTGATAAGACATTAGATTTTACAATTGGAAATCATTTAAAGATAATGGGAACGAGTGAAATAAATCCATCCAAGTTTAATAATGTTAATTTGTTGATATTCAATTGTGATGGAATTGAAAGCATAAGAGAACAAAGAGTTTTATTGAAAGAATTAATTAATGGTATTTCATTAAATTCAAATTTTAAATTTGAAGTTTTGATAGTTTTTTGGGAATTGAAAGGATTAATCAAGTTATCAAAGAATGAGATTTTAAAAGAGTTGAATTTTAGAAGTAATGATACTATATTGAATGTTGATGTTTTGAAGATAGATGGTGATTTAAAGATTGAATCTTTACAACGGAAAGTTGATGAATTAGGTACCAAATTTGGTTATACAGCTAAAGGTGAATATAATTTAAAACATAACAAGGGTAAATTTAAAACCAATGTTGGTTTAAAATCAAATGATCAATTGAAAATTTTTAAAGATGGTGAAAGTTCCTTTGAACATGATTTTATTGGTGATGATAATAAATTTTATAAACATTTACAAAAACATATTGAAGCGTCACCAAAAAGAGTTGCATTACCAAAATTATTGTCAAATTTCAATAAATCTAATGAATTTTTAAATGTTGGTAAAAAAAAACAGGCAAAGATTGAAGTTTATAGTACACCTAGACCAAAATCAAGTGAATTATTACAAACCCCATCATTTTATAATGATAGTACTGGGAGTTCAATATCTAATTTATCCAATATTACATTTGCAAATCAATCAAGTTCCACACCAATTAATATTATTAATAAACCTTCATATGCACAAGTTGTTAAGAATTCAATCAAACAGGAGGTACGGGAAGAGGAAGAAGATAAACCAGTCCCAAAAAGTATATTGGAGCTAAGAAAATTAGCTGCAAGTGTTCGTGAGAGACATGGTAAAAAGAAGGAGTAATTTGCATCATTTGTTTTTTTATGTATAAGTTTGCATTAGCATTACATGTTTAACGTTTAAAAACTACTGTTTTGTAAATATCATAAGGTGTTTAATTGAAATGCAGATATGAATTATAAAATGCATTGATCAACAATGGCGTTAGTATAATTCAAGCACAAAGACCAACATCAATAAAGAACTGAATCATAAAAAGAAGGGTTGGAAGCCCTGGTGATGGATCACAAACATTGAAAGATAATCATCAAAACAAAATGGAAATAAACAGAATGGGAATGATGTGTGTTGAATATATTTTTTGTTTTAATCATGGGAAGTAATGATTAATCATTAGTTCAATAGTTCAATTCTTTTTCCAATGACATGTCCATGAACCAACATCTAATTTAAAGATGAATATTTATTAATTATGATTGTAAATTGTAAAGATTAGAAACCAGCCCAATATAAACCATCTTGATATTTATCAGAATTTAAAACATGAGCACCATTATGTTCTAAATTTTCCAATTTTTTAACTTGCCAATTCATAACACCAACAGATTTTTTCAAAAATTTCAACTCTTTTTGATCTTTAAAATTTTGTGATGGAATTAAATAAAAATTTAAAAACATTATTGGAACTATTGAACCAGCTAAAAACCCAAAAGTACCTGTACGAAATGAAGTATTGTGCATTAATGAATTTAATAAATTGATTGGCATAGTTGAGTAATCAATTGAAGGAATTATAAGATTATGAATTAAGGATCATAAGTGAAAATTACAGGGGTATTTATATTATTGTACCTTATAATATAAAATTGAGGGCAAGTAAGATTTCATAATTATTTCTCCTCAGATTTGACACAATTAATTAATTTTACATCATTTGATTACAAAATCATTTGATCATGATTAAGAATTTTAATCAATTTGACATGTTTTTGTCACCTTCTCCACACATTGGGAAGGGGACACAATCTATGATTGGATTGCTTTGATTGATTAAAGGTCATTTCCAATGACTTTGATTAAAAGTAAACACAAGAAACTCAATTGATCAGATCTTCAAACGATTTTGTTGAGTTGCTACAAATTGAATTAGTCATAAAAAGACACATTGATTATTAAATTATTAGAAAATAGGGGGCATAATATCATAAATCATTAAAATTTACTCATTAAATAATTATTCATGACTTTTTCTTGAAACCAAATTTTGAGAAAAAGCCACTTTTTTTTATACTACCTTCATCAATTGATTTTGATTTTTTAACAACATTTGATGGTAATTTTTTTTCAGAATTTGAAACATTACTAATAGTATTTGTAATTGGAGTTGAATTATAAGATTTTGATCTTTGAATATTATTTGGAATTGGGTCATCTAATAATGATTTAACTTTATAGATACCACTTGAATTATTTGAATTTCTTCTTGAAGAGAAAGGAGATGAAGAATTTGATGGATTTGAATTGTTATATTTGGGAATTGATAAATTATCACTAAATTTAATCTTTGGATAATAATTGGTTGGAGTATCAGCATATTCTTGATTGTTAGCTTGATTTGTAGATCTTGAATCTGATCTTGAATTTGAATTTGAATTTGAAGTTGAAGATAATGAAATATCAGATTTTAATTGATTCAATTCAATACTTTTATAAGCATCTGAAATTTGATTTAATGTATGTAAAAAATAACTTGTTGTAATATAATCATCATCATCAGTTTCAATATTAATTTCTGGTATATTTTGATCTAATGATATTAAATTTTTTTCAATCAATAAATCTGGAATAATAATTGTTGATAAATTTAAATTCTTCATTAAATAATATGGTAATTTAACATGATTATTTTCAAATCTAATTGATAATCTATTTGAAATTAAACTTGAAATTATGAAAAAATTGGGGTTATAAAGATTAATTGAATTTTTAATTAAATTTTTAACTGAAGAATCTTTAATAAATTCAATTGTAATGGAAATTTTCAAATCTTGTTTGTTTAATAATTCAATAGCTTTGAAAATATATGAACTTAGAGCATCAGCTTTTGATTTTATAAAATCACAATCAATTAATTCATCTTTGTAATCAACATTTGAATTATTTTCTGGAGGTAATTGACTTATAATAACTAAATGATCACCATCAACCAAGAAGTTTTTCAAAACCCAATTTATTGAATCCCAAGTATGTCTTCGACCACTGATATAAACAATCAATTCACGTAAACTTTCAGGACGTTCATCATCTTCCTCCTCATCTTCTTCTTCATCTGTCTCAAAACTTTCATAAGTTTGATCAATAAATTTTGTCATTAATCTATGTCTAAAGCTAACAGTGTAAGAATTGAAATTGATTGAATTTGTCTTTAATAGTTTTCTATTATTAACAGTAACGATATTACCAACCAACTTATCAATATTTGGTAATCCATTTTTAGGTTTTTTAGAATCTATTGAACTGAGGTTATGGAAAGGTAGATAATTATCACCATCAAATTTGAATTCATCAAGATTAACACCAGTTCTAAATTGAGCATCCATAGCTAATAGTTCTTCAGCAGTCATTTCCACTAATGATTTCTTACGTTGTTGAGATGGTAATACTGAGGCAAATGAGTTTTGTTGATCATTTTCATTAAAGCTTTTCGGTATAGCAGCACCTTGATCTTGTACATCATCAACACTTCTTTTCAGAATTGACTTGTTTGGAGGAGGAGGCAGTTTAGGGATTTTTCTTCTTGTTGTGCTGAGATTTGATTTGTAGCCCTTGTTGTTGATTTCCTGGAACGAATCAAACACTTTGTAAAGGTCCTGGTGCTTTGAAGAGGGCTCGTAGCCAAAGTTGAGGTCCAGGGTTCGCTTGCTGGAGGTTGTCTTTGCCCTGGAGCTGTACTGGGGAGGGATGTGGATGGGCTCGTCAGGCTCGACCTGGATGCTTGGGTTCAGGCTGTCGAAGGAGACACGGCGGGTGTAAGCAGTGGACATTGAGGGTCTTTGACACAATGAGGAATAGGCAATAAACAGTAATGAATAGATCAATAAACAGTAAGGAATAGTCAATGAATAATCAGTAATAGATCAATGAATAATGAATAGATCAATGATAGAATAGCAATATAATGATAGAATAGAATATCAGAATAACTAATATTTCATAAATATCACCATCCTCGTTTCCCTTCGCCTTCGCCAAGGCCTCAACCGGCCACACCCCTACAATTTCTCAATCCAGTCAAAAACACGCTTAAAACTAAACACAACTAAAAACAAAAACTACTCGGCATTAGTGAATGGGTTCAACGCATGAACCGTCAAACAAGGCAAAGCCATCCCAATCTCAGCCCTCAACAAAATAGGAATGTCACTGAGCTCCTTAATTTCTTGGATATAATCTCCTCCTTCCACTCTTAACGTCAACTTATCCAAATATGAATCTAATGCATGGAGCTTCTTTTCTCTAGAAGAACCTTGTCCAGTCTCAATCTTGGAACTTGAACTAGTACGACCAACAACACTCTTCACACTATCAACTGGTGTCGTTGGTAATGATTGACTAACTGGATCTTCAAATGTTGATGATCTTGTTGTTGTTCCTGATGATGGTGACAATTGTGGTGTAGGAGTACTTGGTGATGGAATTTTAAAACTTGGTGGTGATAATTTTAATCTCTCCAATTCTTGATTCAAATCATGATCTTGTTTATTAAAATCTTGTTGATATTGTGCAATCTCATTAGCACTTGTTTTAAATTTATTCTTTATAGAATTTCTATAACTTAATGGTTCACGTTCATCTTCTGGAATAAATGTACCACTATCAACTCCCTTTTCCCAATATAATTCTAAAACTCCATGTTTTTTATCAAATTCAGCCTTTTTCAAAGGTAATTGATCTCCATGAACTCTTTTTTCAATCCCAAATTCTGGTAAAAAAACATCAAATGCACTTTCATAAACTTGTAAAACTTTACCAATAACAATCAATTGTCCAGTTTTTTTACTCATCTCATTAATAGTTTGACTTAATAATAAATGAATTGATTGATCTTGTGATGCCTTGGCACAATCTTTTTTAAAATTACAATATTCTGCAGTCATCTTTAATGATTCCAATTCTTCATTATCTCCATTCAATTTCAAATCCTGGTCAAATGTTTGCTTCAATTGTCTATGAACAATTAAATCTGCATATCTTCTTAATGGTGATGTAAAATGGGTATATAATGGTAAATTAAAATAAAATGCTCCATAATTTTCTGCTTCAACTTTACCTGCAACAAAATATTTAGATCTTGATAAACTTTTATAAAATAAAATTTCAACACCTTGTCTTATAGTTTCATCTTTAATTGATAATATGGAATTAATTAATTTAGCACTTGATGATGTATCAATTTCAATTCCTAAATTTAAAATTTTCTTTTTAAAACTTTCCAATTTTGTTAATGTTGGAATTGTTTGTCTTCTTAAAAATGCAACATCTCCTAAAATTGAATAATTTCTTTGAGCTATTGTACCATTAACTTTATAAAAAATTTCATTTAAAATTGATGAACTTAATGAACTTTTAAATAAATTTAAATGTAAACGAACTTTTTCATCATCAATTTGATCAATTAAAGTTAAATTAACTTCATTATTTAATTGATCATTTTCTAATCTTTGACGTCTAAATTCTCTGGAAATTAATGATATTGTACGAATATAATCTTTTGAGGCACTTGAAACATATTCATTTGATTCATCTCCATCATCCAAGATTGAATCAATTTGATCAAATGTTAATCTATTCTTTGGTTGAATAAAACTTTCACCAATCCAAACATTATCAACTTCAAATTTTAATGTATCAATTTCAAAAACAACACTTAATGCTAAAGATTTTTCATTCTTAACAAAACTTAATAATTCATTAATTGATTTAGGTAATAAATCAACAACTTTTTGAGCCAAAAAGACTGAACTTGATCTTTTTCTTGCCTTTTTATCCAATAATGAACCTTCTTTAATAAAAGCACAAACATCTGAGACATGAACACCCAATTCAATCTTATCATTTGAAATTCTTTTAACGTGTAATGCATTATCACTATTAACACCAGTTTCACTAATAGCTAAAACATATTCATTGGTAAAATCTCTTCTTTTATTAAATTCTTGTTCAAAATCAACATCATTAATTTCAAAATCTTCACGTTCTTCACCAGTTTCAACATCTAAATACTCTTCACATAGGAAATTATTATCTCTTAGTATAGCATCAACTTCTGTATTTGAATCATTCATTGGTCCCAATTCTGAAACTAATGTACCAAATGGATGTAATGAAGTAATTGGCCAACGTTTAATTGATGCAACAAATAATTTATCTGAATATTTTTCATGATTTTCTACAAAATCCTTTGGTGCTTGTTCTGTTGGGATTGCAATTAATGGAACTTTTTTATCTGTTGGTTTAAACCAAACAATTTTTGGTCTTGAAGAAGATTGTTGATCTTTAGCTTGTTGTGAAGGTCTTAATAAACCTAAAGTACCTGCAAATAATTGACCAGGAATACGATCAATAACTGCAACAACATGTCCAGCGTATAATGGTTTATATTCATCATTAATTTCCTCTTCTTCAACTAATAATAATGATTGACCTTCAACTTCAACATCATCATTTTTTTTCAAAGTTGGACGTTGTTTTAAAGAACCTTTTCTTTTTAAACTCCCACCAACACTAGTTGATTCATCTTTATCATCTTCACCTGATGTTGTAGTTGTAGTTGTTGTTGTGGAATGAGTGCTTGCATCATTATGAACATCATCAATAATTTCTGAAGAATTATTTGAATTATTATTTGAACTTGAAGTTTGAGTATTATCTTTTCTTCTTTTTTTCTCCTCTTTTTCACGTTTACTACTCCAAACTTCATCAACAGCTAATAATTCCACTGCAACTAAATCACCTTCCAATGCTCTATTACGATCTTTTGAACCACAAATGAAAATATCAGCATCTAATAATCCATCAGTGGAAACATAAGCATCTGAACGGTTTTTTTTATTAACTCTAAGAGTACCAACAACTAAACGACCTTCTGCAACTAAATCAGGAATTGATGATTGAGGTAAATATGGGGCAAATAATGATTTTCTACCACCAACTTGACCAGGTAATTGGAAACCACTTAATGAAGAAATTGAATTGTTATTATTATTATGAGAACCACGAATACGATGACCAGGTGTGAATTGTGGTTGAGGTGGTTCCAAGAATGATGAAGACCCTTCAGTAAATGAATTTCTTGAAGGTGATAATTGTCTTTGTTGTTGTTGTTGATTACTTTGTTGAGATCTCCAATTCATATTTATATTTTGTTGAGTATTTGGATCAAAATTACGTGAATTTGAACGTTGATGACCAGATTGACGACGTTCATGATAGGAAAAGTTTTGAGGAGGTGGAGCTAATGAATCAAAACCACCACTAGAAGATTGTTGTGGAGATTTTGGTGGGAATTGATAACTTCTTTGAGGTGAATGTCCAACAGAGGATCTTGAACGACCATGGCCACCACCATTTGAAGGACGACGTGAAACTGAAGCATATGATTGAGTTTGAGGTGGAGGAGATGGAGCATCAATAACAGTTGAAGGGAATTTAAAACCTGATGGAGGAGGCATTGAACTTGATGATTCTTCAACATCTGTAGTACTAGGTTCTTTACCAGATCTTTGAGCTTGGACTTGAGCAGCAGCCTTTTTAGCTTCATTTAAACCTAAAGAATGTCTTCTATTATGACCAAGAGCTGAGCCACCAGTATTTTGTGGAGAAGTGGTTGAACCTCCCAATTTAGGAGCAGGAGCTAAAGTTTGATTAGGCATTGCAAATGAACCCATTGCACCAGTCATTGAAGATTGTGATCTTCTATGGGTATTTGAACCGGTACGTCTATGAGAATTTGGAGGTTGAAATTGGTTTCCGCTAGAGCCAGCAGAATAGCCACTAGAACCACCAGAACCACCTTGTTGAGCTAGAATTTGTTGTTGTTGCTGTTGGACGAGTTCCAATTGACGTTGTAAAGTGATTTGTTCAACTAGATAAGGGATGTTAGTATATAAACTTGTTGTAGTTGTAAATATATGAACTTACTCATTAAACTTGTCAATTCACTTGGAGATCTTCTATGTGCAATATGAATTTGTCTTGGATTTTTGCCACCAGTTGTAGTGGTGTATGAAGGTTGGTTGTAACCATTGTTACCACTTCTATTTTGATTATTTGCCATTTTTGATGTTTTTTCGTTTGTTGTTTAAACTTGACGGCAATTGTGCCACTTGAAATGATATAATCAACACCAATGAATACAAAAAAATGCAAAAAAAAAGGGGGAAAAGGTATTGAAATGGCAATTGGATTAACCTCTATACTCTAATGAATTGAAATGGATTAATAGATTGATGATTGTGATTGACTCTCTTTATAACTTGGGGATGAATTTTAGCCAGGGGTATAAAAAAGCTAAATATAGCCACCAGGACAGTTTCAGGGCTGTTTGATGAGCTGGAATTGAAGGGCGCAAGAGGGCGACGATGCTGGCAGGATACAATTGGAGGGTATCCGATTGACAGAGTGCAAGAGAGCGGTGAGGATGGAAACAGTTGGTTATGGAGTTGGTTATGGTGATGATGTTTTTGTTGTTGGTGAAGAAGAAGTTTTTTTGTTTGTTGATGACGAAGTGAAACGGGTTTTGGGCAGGCGCACAGGCGAGAGGGTTGCTTTCGGGCGCAGGCTGGTGAGCCTAGAGGGCGAGCGTAGGCTGGAGGAGGTCTGCCTGGACTCTAACAATCAACAAAGCTGATTCTGATTAAACAATAACAAGAACAACAACATACGAGATAGATGCAAATACGAGATAAATACAAAATACAAAATATAATTAAATAGATACGATACAACTAAATCAATTCCAGCACAGTTCCAAATCAATTTCAACTAAATCAACCAAATCTTCATCAACACTTCCGCGAATTCTCATTCCATTTTCTCAATCCTTGACTTTAAGGAGCACAAGATACTAAACAAACCCATCAACAAAGCCTAAGCCAAAGCAAACCATCATGGGCCAGTTCTTATCCCAGCCACTCACAGACAAAACAGTCCAATACGAAGAACTGGACAAGTTCTCCTACTGCCTGGGCTCAATGCAAGGCTATAGGCTCACTCAAGAAGATGCCCATTCAATAACCCATTATCCAAATGTCAACTTTATAGATGTCCATAATAATCAATCTCAAATGGATATGAAAATATATGGCGTGTTCGATGGTCATGGTGGATCTCAATCTTCAAACTATCTAAGTGAACATTTACCAAATTCAATATATGAGGAATTCAATAATAACAATAATTCCAAAATAAGGCAAATTATGACAAATCAAGGTTTAATCATTTCAAAATTCAAAGATTCATTCTTAAAAACTGATTATAATCTATATAAACATTATCAACATCGTCATCATCATTCAAATTCAGGTTCAACTGCAATCTTGGGGATAATACTAAACAATAATGAACTATACACTTTAAACACTGGAGATTCAAGATTAATAACATCTATAAATGGTGTCCCGAAAAATTTATCATTCGATCATAAACCTAATCATATCGGTGAACTAATCAGAATCAATGACGCTGGTGGTTCTGTTTCATATAATAGAGTTGGTGGTGTATTGGCATTATCAAGAGCATTTGGAGATTTTAATTTTAAATTGAGAAATTTTAGAAGTTTTAATGATGGCAACAATAAATTAGTTAGTGAAGAGACTCAAGTCACTGTGGAGCCTGAAATAATCCATCACAAGATTTCTATAAATGATGAATTTATAATAATTGCATGTGATGGAATATGGGATGTTTTCACTAATCAAGATTTAATCAAATATATTAGAAATAAATTGGTTTTAGGCGCAAAATTAGATGAAATAGTGGCCAATTTATTAGATCATACATTAACACTGGCAAATCAAACCACTGGGGTAGGGTTTGATAACATGAGCATTATAATAATAGCATGTCAATATGACCAAGAATCATTGGAACAATGGTACCAACGGATGAAGCTTAAAATTGAGATTGAGAAGCAAATAATATAGTGGGAATGAGTTTGGAATTCCATGTCATACAAGTCCTTCGTTGAGCAATATAGATAATAAATTATTTTGTTACAAAAATTCGTAATTTGGAACCCATTGAAATCATACAAATATGAAAGATTGGTGATTTTCAGATGTTAGCAGGAGTTCCCAGACAATCTTTTCACTATTGGATCTTACATTATTGGGTGGTTTGGTGGTTCATAATCTAGATCAAAATCATTGATTAGATACACTTTGAGCTTCCACTAAGGCTTTCATCTTGTCGCTTATTGAATTTCCCATTGAACACAGCTTGAAATGTGAGCTCTAGATGCCATATTGAATACTTTCTGGTGATTATTTGATTGGAATAACCTATCTTGATGCAATTTATGGTATTGAATACGTTCTTATTTGACCGTCAACTGCAATCACTACTAAAATTCTCAGAACGAATGATTGCAACACTCAACTAAGTTGATCTACCCATCCAATCCCTACCCACTATATAATTTATAACCCATCACACTCTTTAGAATATAAAAAGATCATAATAATATGAATTTGTATTACTTTTACTTCTTTAATTATATAATCAATACTAATATAATTACATAATCCAGATCTCGGTTCGCGCACAAAAACCTTCTGACAAAAAATTGTAAACAGCCCATAATTAAAAAAATCGAAAACATCAACACGAATTTCACAAAGCAAAAAGACTCGATTGTCCAATTAACCACATTCTTTTTTCTGGCTAATCAATCCTATTTGCTCCTACTGCTGCAATGGAATCATTAACTGTGTCTGAATATGTTGATCCGGTACTATCAGTTGTTGGGAAAGAGGAAAAGATTAATCCACAAACTATTCAATCATTAACCTCGAATTTCCCATCTTATTATTCCAAAATCACATCTTTTTGTTCATCTGCTTTGAAAATTTATAAAAATTTATTAAATTTAGAATATGAGTTGAATTCATGGGAATTTATGACTTTGAAAGCTTCAATAAATATAAATTTTAATCATAATTTTTCCACAACAACAAGAAATTTTGATATTAAAATTGCTAAAAAAGTTATCGATAGATGTAATTTCATTGATGATGAAATAAATAAACTATTGAATTATAAATTGAAAATTATAAACAATTTTATAAGTTCATTGACAATTCAAGAATATTTATCAGATCCTGGATGTTTATTACTCAAGATTTATTTTAAAATTATAAATTTGAAAAACTCAATTGTGGAGAAAATTTCAATATCATATACAAAATCAAAACTTTTAATAATAAGTTTTGAATTGAAACAAATCACTGATATGATTGAAAAAGAAGAAAACCCAATTGTGGAGGATAATACTGATTTCCAATCAACTTTAGAAGGTTATAAAGATTTTGTTACAGTTTTAATCAATCAATTAGATCAAGCTGTCCAAGAGAAAGATTCTGATCAAATTCAAGAATGTCTTGAAGTGTTGAATGATGTGGAAAAAATGTATGAATCTGTTCGTTTGAATTTCTTTATAAATGAAGAATATGCTGAATGGGAACAAGATAATTATTATATTCAATCTAATCGTGAACGTGAATTGGAACAAGAATTGGCAAAAGAAAGAGAATTATCAAGATCAAGATCAATTTCTCCTTCACCTTCATCTCAAACTTCATTAAATGAAGAATTATTATCATCATCAACTTCACCACCTTCTAATTCATCATCAAAATTTTTAAATTTACATTCTTCACAAGAATTACCAGGACATCATCATTTATCAAGAAGAGGTTCAATAAGCTCGACAACATCTTCAGTTGCTACATTGAATAGACAACCAACTACAATTTCAGAGGAATTACCATATTTATTACAAGCTTTTGATGAAGCTAAACAATTGGAACAAGAATTATCAACTTATCAAACACCAAGAACTCCAACTTCAAGTCAACAACAACAACAACAGCAAGCAATGAAGAAATTACAACCTATTCATAACCAAGATAAGAGAAGATCCAATTTACAAACTTTTAATATACCAAATGTTGGGTTTAATAATAATTTATTGAATAGTATTTATGGACTGACACCAAAATCTTCAACACCTTCAACACCATCACATTTAAATCATCATCACCATAATGAAGTTGATTAGGAATAGTTGCCCCTTTTATGAATCATCATCACTCTTTTATGACTTTTGCATTTTAAACACACAGTACACGTCTTTTATGAAAAACACAACATATATTTTCTATATATTCAAACATATAAATAAGAAAAAATAAATAATGACCATTACAATATTCAAATATTTTTCAATTTAGAATTCAATGGATAATTTAATTGTTCATTCTCCATTGTAAAACCTTGGTTTTTTTGTAATTCAGCTTGTTTTGCTAAATAAGGTATAACAATATCTTTATATTTTTCAAAACCTTTATATTCTTTTGATTCTTCATCCCAATTCAAAACACCATTTAATAATCTTTGTGGCACAAATGGTTCTTTACAAATCTCAACCAGTGGTAAAAAATAAGCTCTTATTGTAAAGACAATAACCCCAGATTTAGGTAATCTTCTAAGGGATTGACGTTCTGATCTATAATAAATATCATCTATGGAAAGGGCTTTTGCTTCTCCAGTTTGGAACCTCCATCCTGAATTTGAATCTTCATCACCTAAAGAACTATAAGCCCAAGGTAAATTATCATCCATTTGGAACCCATAATTGTATCTAACCATTGGAGATTCAGGTTTTAACCTATAAAAAAATTTATTCATTGAATTTTGTAAATTTGAATGATATTTGGGAACTTTTGAATCAGAATGAATTGAAGAAATTGATTTATTAAATTTATCTTTAAATCTCCATGAACCTGCTAATAAGATTGAACCTGCAGTGAAATTATAATTTCCATTAGAATCTTCAGTCAAGATAGCAATATCATCTTGTAATAAATTCCCAATTATAAACATTGGATCATGAATTTTAAAATCATAGTCTTCATTATTGAATAAATTTTTCAACCCTTTTGAAGTGGCTTGAAATAATGAAGGGTATCTATTAGGTAAATAAATTTGTAACTCTTTCAACAATTCAATACAACCATCAAGTGCAATTGGAGAAATATCATAGAGATCTTTACCCTTTTCTTCAACTCTTTTTTGTTTTAAATCATGAAACTTAACCCATTCATTATCTAATTGGATCCAATCCTGTGGATCCATTGATTGTACCCCCATAGTTACATTATATTTATGCTTAAAAGCACGATATGGGATTGGATTAGTTTTATGGATATTCCAATCTGGATAAGGCTCTGGAATAGGCCATTTATAATTGGAAGGGATCCATACACCTGGTTTCCTTGTTTTAGGTGTCCTGAAATAGAATGAGATGGTTATTAGCACTAGTAGTAATGGTATAATATAGTAGTAATAGCACATTATTGGTTTAATTAAAGTGTAATTGATTGAAAATGATGAGGATTGGGCCTATACTTATAATTATGTCCCAGGGTTAAAATTGCCCAAAGAAGAATAAAACACAAGAACAAAAAACTTAATAAGCTACAGTACCATAATCAATACACTTTAACCATAATATTACACATTTTAACCATCATCATCAACCTCTTTATCTTGTTTTCACTCTATTAAACTCTCGTTGTCAGTTGCTTTGAAGAGTATGATTGTTATGTAATCATTATGTAATGTTTAAATTCGCGAAATTCATTTTTTATTATTACGTAATACTTACATAATATTGATAACAAAATGAACTTTTGTTTTGATTTCAAATAGCCATTTTCCTTTACTGACATCACATCAAATGGCTTTAAAATGACCAGATGTGGAATCTGTCATGGCTCAAATAATGAATTGTTTTGCTCCTCATGTGTGAATTTCCAATTGTTGAAACCAAAATTAGAATATTTGGAATTATTGAATGAATTATCATCTTCTAAAAATTTAGTGGATCAGGTACTTGATAAATGTATAAAAGGTAACAACTACCCATTCATGAAACAATACATCCAAGGTGATCATACATTAGATATTGAAGGATTATCAATAGGTTCCATTGCTGCTTTATCCTCACAATTGTTAACAATAGATGCCATGTTGTTAAAAAGGAAGAATAACAAGATTCTCAAAAGTATAAGTATAATTAAGAGTAAAAAAGATTCAAATTCTCTAAGGCTTGAAACATTGAAAAGGAAATTACAAGAGTCAAATGAAGTTTCCAAAATGGTTAGTTATAATGATGAAATCAAATCAATCCAATCTCAAACCAAGACGACAAAAGAAAATTCATTAAATATTGAAAAACAAATTAATAATTCTCAATCCATATTATTTCAAGAATTAATCAATTTATATCTTGTTAAAAGGAAAAGATTAAGTGGTGTTAAAAATCAATACATCTTTATGATTTCATTTATTCCAATTATTAATCTTGAAAATTTACTTTCTTTTAATTTTGAAATTATTAATGCAAGTCTTGAAAGGATTTGTAAATTTATTTATCAAATCTCTACAATTTGGTTTATCAATTTACCATTTCAAATTGAATTCAATCATCAACAACAACCTTCAATATTGAATTTCAAGTTATTTTCACCTGATTCTAATATTGAACAAATTCATGATTTATCAAATTTTGAATTGAAACTATTCTTAAATGGAATATCAAGATTAATTTTGAATATTTTTGAAATTTTAAAATTCTTCCAATTAGATAATGAAATAAAATTGTCAAAACAATTGTTTAATATTGATGAAATGATTTATAAAATTGTTAATAACAATTATAATTTCAATGAATTATCAAGTGATAATGATCAATCAAACCCAATTAAGGGAAATATTGATATTGATGAACTTACTGATTTGGTTTATAAACATATTTTAAACAAGATTAATCAGAAAAATAATGAATGGCATGTTGTTCAAAATGATTTTTTAATAGATGAGGATCAATAAATTAAGGAGGGAAAAAAGGGTATTGGAGTTTAGTATTTGCTTTTATTATGAATTGAATGATATATGTTTAATTAATGGCGTTGTAGGATTTAGATTTTCACATCGACAGGAGATTGAGAAAAAAAAACACAAATCGATCTTTTAATAATGGGCCATTTAACGTCTGGAACTGGATCATTGATGATGGAAAGAGAAAGGAGACTAAGTGAAATGATGCGAAGAAGCGCTGAGCTGGCTGAGATCTTTAAGAATGCAGCTGCTGAGCACGAAGAAGAGTGTCGTGATTTATCGATAGAGGAAACGAGAGATCGGATTTCTATCGCTATTCAGAAACTTATGAAAGCTGGACAGGAACAAATATGCTTTGCTATAATATAGAGAGATCTAGAATTGATTACAACTAGTGAGTCAATTGTAGATATTCAAGGCTGTTTATAATATTTCTATAAAGATGTACTTAATCGAGTCTACAATTGTTTAAACTCTTCATCTTAAAAATTAATTCATTATCTATTAAAATTTCAAAAATCGAAAATACAAACTCATCATATTGGTGTATCTTCAGAATTTAAGAATTCAACGATATTGTGTTTTAGTCTCAAGCTATCAATATATTCTCATAATTTTCAAAAATGTAATGAGAAATCATAGAGACGTCATAGACTGTGAGAAGTATTATCTTGTCACATATGTCGACGATCTCAGAGATTAAAGACGTACTTGATACTGTGGAAAACATATCCACGAGAACAAATACAAGTCTTTAATCTCTTAATTTATTTCACAGTTTCAACACCAATTTGCTTCAACAAAATCGAGTTTTGGAAAGAGGTTCAATTTCTTTGAAAGTTCTTTTTCTTTTAATCGAGTTGACAGATTTTACGGGTCAATACTTAGTCATTAGCTGGGTAACACATGGATCAGAAATATTAATAATAGCATTAATCAATGAATTAATCAACTTGAGTAGGTATAACTATAATGACATGTATATTAATCAATCCAAGGCCTGGAGATGCTTTCCAGGGTTTTCTTTTTTTGGGAGTATTAACATTGGAATTTGGGTGAAGATCTGTCAATGGATATGTGTACCTATGGCCGCTTATTCCCGCAGTATCATAGAATACTTAATTACACAGGTGTAATTACATACAGGTGGTTAAGTAATTCAATTTTAATAATCAGTTGATGATCTTCGTATAGAGATGGCTTATCAGGAAAACAATGGGACATTTTCTGATGCTTTTACATATCTTTAGATCTGACTGCGCTAGTGTCGACATAGGATGAGATCTTGAGGAAATTAGAGCTTTTAAGTGAAATGAATAGTTCACTTACAAGAATTGAGTTAAAGTGCTTTAGCTTTACAGCTTAATGGCCTCTTATACCGTTAAGGTCCGAGTTAAATATCACAAATACAACACTGCTTGAGGTATTATAATTGATTACACCCTAGTACTGCATATTTCCAACTGAATGGAGAGCCTTAGGCGTTATCGCAGAGTACAAACCTCCCAAAATGTGAGCGATTGAAATGGTTTAAATTGAGAGGTACAGAAGGTAAAGATTGAGGTTGAAGTATCCTGAAATGTCACATGATATTTCTTTCTGGGGTGTTTATCACAATAGTTGAACCTAGATTTTCAATCTGCAAACAGTTACAATTTGATTACTTCAATTGGGAGATAAGACAACTTTCCTATTATCAATTGGTGATATACATGAGTTTAATGTTAAAAGAGAACAATGGCTATGAAATCTCGGTTCAATCTTGAAGAATTTGGACTTGTAATAGTTGTCCTGAGTTCCCTATTTTATTCAACAGCCGCCTCTTTAACTCATTATACACTGTTTCCAAATTCACATTACGATTATGGCTGTGAAGTTTCAGATGGAAACCAAATATGCTTTATGGAATTGATGACTTATAATAAAATCATTGATGATGTTAAAAGCACAAGAATTTGGGTGCGTCCAAGTGATAATCAACATTTTAACGTCTTACATTTTAAGGATTCAAATCAATGGAGTGATAAATCAAATGCCACAATTGAAATTTGTAATGAATTGTTATCAAATTATGATGATCAAATAGATTATTGTGGATATAGACTTAGACTTAAAAGAAAACAAATGAATAATGAAGATTGGATCTTATGGAATAAAATGATGGAATTTACTGCACAGACTTATGAAGAGCCAAAATGTGAGAAAATAACTAAATCTTGCGGATTATTGTCAACTTTGATTCAAGTTATGCTTCAACCAATCAAATAAGGGCCTGAATGGTCCCATACTATAACCCAAGATGTTAGATGTGACTAAAGACGTGGTAATAAAAAGGGCAGAAAAAATATAATGAAATAGTACAAATCATACATTTTTTGATCTTTAACCTTTCATATAGCTAGTAAATCACAAAATGAAAACAATTTGAAGTTATTACACTTGATTTGATCAGATGACAGATTTAACGGGTCAATATACACATTAATCTAGCTGAATAATTATAATTCATGACAATATGGTAAAAATCAATTCTCTCTTGATAAATACCTTCAAAGTAAAATCAACCGTTCAATTAAACAATTTTGAGCTAACAACCTGGCTATATGATAAGCTAATATTTATATTTTAAAAATAGGCACGTGACAGATACAAATACCAGCTGATAACTTCCAAAATCCACTTTAAAACAAGCTGAAAAAAGGGATATATAGCTATTGATCCCATTTAACTTCATTACTTTATAAGTCTTGCTATAAAACCTTAATGCCATCCACAAATGACCACAATTTCGATCGAATCCAGAGAAAACGTGGTCCGGGTAAAAATCACTTGATTTTTTTGGCAGCCTCGAAACTGATGAAATTGAAATTGATAAAGGAATTTTGAAGCTGGTTCAAAACCCCTTCGATTGAGAAAAGCAAATTGTCAAACAACAATTGATTCAAGATGTCTCTTTCTGATAAGGAATTGTTCGAGCTCAACAAGAAAGCAGTGACTGAAGGGTTTAAAATCAAACCAAGACTAAATTATAATACCGTTGGTGGTGTTAATGGTCCTTTAGTTATCTTGGAAAATGTCAAGTTCCCAAGATATAACGAAATTGTTAATTTAACTTTACCAGATGGTTCTGTTAGAGCTGGTCAAGTGTTAGAAGTCCGTGGTAATAGAGCTGTTGTCCAAGTGTTTGAAGGTACTTCAGGTATTGATGTTAAAAAGACAAGAGTTGAATTTACTGGACAAAATTTAAAAATCCCAGTTTCTGAAGATACTTTAGGTCGTATCTTTGATGGTTCTGGTCGTCCAATTGATAATGGTCCAAAAGTGTTTGCTGAAGATTATTTAGATATCAATGGTTCTCCAATTAATCCATATGCAAGAATTTATCCAGAAGAAATGATTTCCACTGGTGTTTCAGCAATTGATACAATGAATTCAATTGCAAGAGGTCAAAAAATCCCAATTTTTTCAGCTTCAGGTTTGCCTCATAATGAAATTGCTGCGCAAATTTGTAGACAAGCAGGTTTAGTTAGACCAACAAAAGATGTTCATGATGGTCATGAAGAAAATTTTTCCATTGTATTTGCAGCAATGGGTGTTAATTTAGAAACTTCTAGATTTTTCAAACAAGATTTTGAAGAAAATGGTTCATTAGAAAGAACTTCATTATTTTTAAATTTAGCAAATGATCCAACAATTGAAAGAATTATTACTCCAAGATTAGCTTTAACCACTGCAGAATATCTTGCATATCAAACTGAACGTCATGTTTTAACAATTTTAACAGATATGTCATCATATGCTGATGCTCTTAGAGAAGTTTCTGCAGCAAGAGAAGAAGTTCCAGGTAGAAGAGGTTATCCAGGTTATATGTATACAGATTTATCAACAATTTATGAAAGAGCTGGTAGAGTTGAAGGTAGAAATGGTTCAATTACTCAAATTCCAATTTTAACCATGCCAAATGATGATATTACACATCCAATTCCTGATTTAACAGGTTATATTACCGAGGGGCAAATTTCTGTTGATAGACAATTATATAATAGAGGTATTTATCCTCCAATTAATGTTTTACCTTCATTATCAAGATTGATGAAGAGTGCTATTGGTGAAGGTATGACAAGAAAAGATCATGGTGATGTTTCAAATCAATTGTATGCTAAATATGCTATTGGTAGAGATGCAGCAGCAATGAAGGCAGTTGTTGGTGAAGAAGCTTTATCTACTGAAGATAAATTATCTTTAGAATTTTTAGAAAAATTCGAAAAGACATTTATTAATCAAGGTGCATATGAAAATAGATCAATTTTTGAAAGTTTGGATCAAGCTTGGTCATTATTAAGAATTTATCCAAAGGAGATGTTGAATAGAATTTCACCAAAGATTTTGGATGAATTTTATGATCGTTCTAAAAATGAAGAAGAAGAGGAAGAAGAGAGAGAAGATCCAGATAAAAGAGGAGACGAGAATTTGATTGATGCTTAGAGAGCATTGAAATCTTGAATCAATTGATAGTTATAATAAAAAGAGTCTTTTAATAAAATTGTGTAGAAAATGTGTCATAATCGGCTTTAGCCAAAACAAGAAATTTTTCGAAAAATCTCGAAACTTTTTTTTTTTAAGGAAAATTAATAAATTATCAGGAAAGCCACAAAGCAATTGATTGAAGAATTGACTACTTTTGAGTTGTTTTTGTTGGATATGACTGATTTGAAAGTGGTTAATGATGAGGATCCCATAAAATTGGTGCTTCTTGGTGGTCCAGGAGTTGGGAAATCCACTTTTGCAAACAACATTTATTCAAAATTTTTTAGGGAAACTTATTATCCAACTCATAAATCCACAATTTTAATGTTTGAATATTTCCCTAAAAAGAGGAAATCTAAAACTATATTGGATGAATATGGTGGATTAGAGGCAAAGAAAATCATAACGGAATCAAATGATATTCAATTAAGTCCAACAATTTTCCAATCTTATACAAAAGGTATAACAGATCCAAAGAAAAGAAGAAGTAGTAGTTCAAGTGGGAATGGTGGTAAAGTGATTAAAAACAAGATTTATTCATATAATTTCCCAGATATAAAGCAATATGCCAACAATGCAATTGAAGATTCAAATACATATAAAGAACCCACAATTTCTCCAATATTGGTTGAATTAATTGATACACCACCTTTTAAACCAGATTTAGTTGTACCTTTTTTAGAAGTTTCATTATATAGGAACTTGGATAAAGAGGATTTACATAATTTAGCAAATGAACCAAGAAGACCAGTATCAACAAATCCTTTATTAGTGGCTAGTGGAGCATCAGAATTGGATGGGAATGTTGATGGATACATTTTCATGTATAGTGCAGTTCCAAGTTTTAACCCACCATCATATGAAGAGGTGCTATCACCTTCAACTTCAAGAAATTCAGCAATATCACCAGATTTGGATATCATTAATAATGATGATCCTTTAACTTTATTAGATATCATAAGAGGAGCTATATTAGATGCATGGAGAGAATATAGAAATTATCAAAAAAAATGGAAAAAGGGTTCAGAGGGTGATGTTTATTCATTAATCTATGGTATAAAGCAATTGTGGAAGATGAAATCATTTGAAGATGAACAATTAAAATTAGCAGAGTTGAGAAAGATTTCAAATAGATTAGATGATTTAGATATTGATCCAAGTTCTCCAGAATCACCACCTCCTATCTTGATAGTGTGTACACATGCTAATCATGAAGGGATGAGTCCAAATTTAGTTGAAGCTGGTAAAAAAATGGCCAATAATTGGAAATCTTCATTTGTATTGGTGGAAAATGAAGGTGGTGAGAATGTTGAAGAGAGTATTGCAATTTTAATTAGAGAGATTGTGGAGAGACAAAAATTACAAAAATTGAGAAAGAAATTGGGGAAATGAGAGAGTGTTACATTTTAATGAATTTAACGATGATTAATATTTGAATTGTAAGTAGTTTATTGCCCAATTGGGAAGTCAAGGTGCCCTATATTTCCCTATGGAAAAAACGAAATTGAAGCAAACGACAATTGAAAAATTGATGGATCAATTGAAATACAAATTTCTGATATGACTGATAGTAATTCAATGGTTACTAGTGTTAATGAACATGAGATTATAATCTCTAGTTACTTATTGAAAAGGAACAAGTCTCACAATTGGCAAAAAAAATGGTTTGTTTTGAGAAGAAATCAATTGTCATATTATAAAGATTCAAAAGAGTATAAGGCTTCAAAAGTTATACCCATTGGAGATATCTTGTCATTCACTAAAATCCCAGATAACCATCCAAATCATTTCATTATAGTGACCAATGAACGTATTTATCATTTGAGAAGTGTGGATTCTGGTGATTTCAACAAATGGATCGAGGCATTAGATCAAGTATTGAAGATTAATGAACAAGAAGAGGAAGAGATGGTTGGAGCGAACAACATATTCAAACCAAGAAAGATATCTGATAACCTGATCATTAAAGATGCTAAGTCCAGTTCAATCGAGGATTTAAACCATGATATCCAACAACTCAATTTCTCAGGAACAGACGACAACTTCACTTCAGGTTTATCAGACGGAGGTGTATCCTGTCCAACACATTACAACCACTCAACTTCATCGTTCCACCCCCTGCCACCACCTATCCCAGAGGAAGAAGTCCTTGCTGAACAGGCCCAGTACAACTCATTGGCCTCAGACTCACCAGAACATGTCATTGACAAGGGCTACTTGCTACGGCTCAGGAAACGCTACAACCAGTGGAAACGCTACTACATCATCCTGACAAACAGGTATCTCTACTTCTACAAGAGCAGCAGAGACTCCGAGCACACGGACAAGTTCTACAAGAGAATCGATCTCAGTGAGCTGATTGACGTTGTGGAGCTGGACCCTTTGAGCAAGTCCAAAATCTATTGCATGCTCTTGATCACGCCGATGAAGAGAATACGGTTCTGTGCTGAGAACGAGGATGAGTTAACGAAGTGGCTGGTGCTACTAAAGACGATAATAAAGACGAGGAATAGTTAGTTAATGAGTTAGTTAATAGTTAGTTAATAGCTATTTGTTAGTAAATTATCAGTTAATCATCTAAATTTCGTAGTGAAAAAATCTCGAAAACAGAAAACAAAACAAAACAGAAAACAAAACATCAACAGAAACAAAATCAATACAACCACCATTCAAAAACTATTTAAGGACACCATGAATCCCAATAAAATGAACCAGCTCAATTTCAAACCCTCATCAGAACCCTCGCCTTTGGATTTCGTTGACGTTGATCCTACTTTCCACACAATGACTGAGTGCTTTCCTGATGTCCCAAAAGATGCCATATTCGATGCTGTTGAAGAAGCTGATGGTGATTTCAACAAGGCTTTTGACATTATAATGACCACTTATTCTGGCGATGCTCAACAGAGCGATGAAACAAGTGACGAACCTGATGTTGAAGACCCAAGTTTTAAAATCTCCTCCTTAGCTGAAGCTTTTCCTCATATTGACGTGGAAATCATTTCTAAAACTTTACTAGACTGTGATAATGATTCTGAAAAAGCTATTGAATCTTTATTAAACCATGATATAATTGTGGAATTTGAACAAAAATTAGAATTGGAGGAGATTAATAAGAATCAAAATTCAAATAGAACTTGGGTTCAAGTTAATGAACGTATTTATCACATTTCTGAATTACTTCATGTGGAATTAAATGTTGCTAAAAGTTATTATCATAAAAATGGGGGAAACATTGTACAAGCTTTAGTTGATATCATTTATAACTTGAGAAATGAAGAGAAAAGGGCTAAAGAGCAATTAAAACCTAAAACAACAAATAATATTCCATATGGTGGTAGAGTTCAAAATCATTCAACATCATCTAAACCAGTTTATAAAGGACGTCGTAAGAGAAGAAACTCTGAAGCCAATCAAGAATATGTTTACAATGAGAATAGTCCTGAAGTGTCAGAATTAGCTTCACTTATATATGATGATCCTCATCTGGTTAATATCAATTGGGAATTTAATCAAGAAGCTTTAGTTTTCTTCAAAGGAAACGTTACAAATGTTATTGCCTTGGATTTATTTATTGTGGAACATAATGGTGTAAAAGAAACTTATCAAAATGAATCCAAAACTATATCCATTAATAACAATAATAATAATAGAATAACCACTCCAATTAAACCACCAAGTTTTAAATTCACTCAAGTTTTGCCAAAACCAACCTCTACAGTCTTGAGATCACCAAGTATTGAAGATGATTTAACTTCTCAACAAATTGCATTACAAAGGGTCCAATTAAGAAAATGTAGAGAAATTAATAAATTAGATTTACATGGATTCCATGTTAAAAATGCAAGAGATACAACTGCAAAAGCACTAAGAGATTGGTGGCAAGATGAATTAAAAGCTAGAGAAGCAAGTGGTCGTGCCGCATATAGTGCAAAAGCTAGAGAAGTTGAACCTTTTATTGTGGTTACTGGGAAAGGTTTACATAGTGAAGGTGGTGTTTCCAAGGTTAGAGCATCTATAAAGAAATGGATGAAAAATAGTGAATTTTACGCATTGGAGGAAGAGGCTAGATTTGTTGTTATTGGATTGAAATCTTAATTTATATCATCTGTATATGGATTTTTTGTAGTTTGCTTTAATCTTAATTTACAAACATCAAATCTAATTTTACCAAATAATTCATGAATATTTTCCCAAATATCACCAGCTGAACAATCTTCAATAGTTCCCATTGGTTTAACTCTTTGATTTTCTCCCTCTTTTTGATGGAAATCTGGATGTGATTCACATCTTAATCTTGTACTCATATAATCATCATTTAAATTTTTTTCAAACCATGGTTTAGGAATTGGAGAATCTGAAAAATGTAAATATTTAACATTTGGATAAAAATGCTTAGCTTGATGTGGTTCTTTAGATAAATCATAATATGCTGGTTGATTATTTGTTGTTTGTAAACCGTGACCTTGATAAACAAATGGTTGATCTTGAGGATCTGCTAAAAATGAGGCATGATCTTTAACTAAATTAAATTCACTAGTTAATGTTCCATAAACTTGATGAGGTAAAATTAAATATTCAGGTATATCATTAATCAATTCATCTATACTAGATTCTTGAGTTTTTGGTTTCCTTTCATTTTGTAAATTCAAACATTTTGACATTTTGAAAACATAAAAATTTATAATATCCATATCAAATTCATTTTTTTGACGATGGTTAAAAGATTCTTCAATTCTTGCAAATAGCTCCTGGCTTGGTTGAATAACCATAATGATATTTGTAAATGAATATTCATCCAAAAATTTGAAATTTGGTAAATTATTGTATAAATTATTGTAAAAATTCTTTTCATTGATTTTGAAATCTGTTGAAGCATTAACATTATTATTTATTGGTAAATGTCCATTAATATTAGTAAAAGGTTTAATTGATTGATCAACCAATTGATTAATTTTCCCGGATCTTTCTTCTTTAGTTAAAGGTTTAAAATCATAATCATTTGGTGAATATTTATTTTTGATCTCATCTTTAGCATATCTATCTTTTGTTAACCAATATCCAGTAACTGAAGCCATTTTACATGGTGGGATGAAAAATAATTCATCAATGTTATCATTAATTAAAATAGCATCTGAATCCAAATAAATAACTCGATCATAATCAGTTTCATTGAAAACCATCAATTTTGTAAAACTTGAAATCCAAATATTAACATCATGTTTATCATTAATTCTCTTAATCTTTGTTGGTTTCAATTTAACATGGAATTTTTCAGAAAATGATGTCAATGTGGTAAATTCATATTCATATTTGGTAGGTTCTTCCAAAAAATCAGCATTAACCAACATAACTAATTGAGCTCTAGTTTTAAATTTTCTTAATTCTGCAAATATCATCATTGCATTACACATATGAGCAGATGAAGTGGCATATAAAACATAAGCATATTTAGACCAATCAACACCATCTAAATCGGTGTTGTTATAAATTTGTTCAACAACTTCTGGATAAATGTATTTGATATTATCACGATCATAATCCAAGATTTGATGGTTTAAAGTTTGATCTTTTATTATAGAGTGTGATTGTTCAGGTGATACATGATCCAATACATTTGGATATTTGTCTTGCAAGTGCTTAGAATAAGAGCTGTGTGAAATTGTGAATAAACATATCAACCCAATAATAACTGTGGAATAAATGATTTTGGTATTTCCTCGAACGTGTAAACTGTGTAGAAAAGACCTAATTTGATTCTTTGGGTGATCAAGACGTGAATATGAAAAGGCCATTTTGGAATACAGTCTTTCCAAATGATGCAAGCGTTAAAGAAGATGAATTTTTGTCTTGTTTTTGTTTGTTTCTTTACAGCCTTCAAAAATTTCACGCTTTTTCGTTGTCAATTTGAACGTGCGTGTGCTTGCTTCGAGATTCACGAAATCTGTAGAGATTTGGAAAGATTTAGTTGGAGATTTCAAGGGATTATGAAAGATATTGTTGATGTAATAGTCCAATTATCTGAGTAATAGTTATTTCCTCGAGATTTGTCGTTTTTAAACGGTGTTTATAGCTTTAAAGTTGACTTTTCAATTACGTGTCGAAGCCCTGCAATTGTGTCAACGCAGGGACACTTAAAAAGAGACAGAGACAGAATTAATTGAATTTTTATGAGTGCAATCACTTTATAGAGAGGAGAATTAATGAATTATATTAGCTCAATATCTCTTAACCTATTTCTTGCTTATTTCCCCATTTTCCTCAGTTATTTCGAAGTTTCTCGAGTTTATTGTGGGTATTAATTAATTCATTAAAGTTTAAGTTTGGGGAAATACCCCAATTAGGTAATACTCCATTTGGAGAAATAACCCTCGAATATCACATGACATATGATTACTTAATCAACTTTACCCTCGTATTTCTTTTTCGCCCGTTGCCTACGCGATTTTTTAAAAGAAAAATCAAAACATAAACAAACAAATACATACAACCATCGAAATCTGGATACAAACCAGTGACAAAAACCAACAGCACCTAGTTCCAAGCTCAAGATTCATCAACTCATCAACCAATCCCACCAATATCCACCTCTACACATCGTTAATTGGCTCTGGAATCACTGCTGTGCCACGCTGTTATCGCTAATTCGGGTTTAGCATAAAAAAACAATAGAGAAAAACAATCTAATTCTATCAATCGTATGCCTTCAATCAATCAATTCAATCATTTAGCATAATACAATAACAATGGATTTCTCAGAGATAGGTGTCAAATCCAGAAAGACAGGGTTGAAGGCTAGAGAAAATGTTCGAAGAGATGAACACAACATGGAAGATCTTGATGACTTTTTCAGAGAAGAACAAACAACTCTGGTCAATGAAACTTCAAATACAAATACAAAACCTCCAAATGGTCGTATAATATTCCCTCCTTCAAATGATGATGACATTTTACGATCTCCAACTTCAAACCATAGAATAAGGAATTCACCTTTATTATCACCACTTCCCTCACATTCTCAACAACGAACTTCATCATCACATTCAAGAAGTCTTACAATAAATAATGACCGAAATGACAATGACGAAGATGATGATAGTGAACAATTTGATGATGCTAATGAAAACCCTCCTCCTTTTAATGAAGATAATAATAATAATAATGATGATGATTCAGATGATAATATGGAAATTGATGATGAATCAAGAGGTAACATTAAAATGGTGAATGACAACAACAACAATGATATGTCACTAGACCTTTCGTTTAATGAAGATACAGAAAGAGTTTATGCAAATCAACAAGGCCCAGGAAGTAGTAGGAGAGATTCACGTACACCAACAAATACACCAAAAAGAACCCCATTGTTCGTACCAGAAGATGAAGATGATGAAGTTAATGAATCAATAATACCCAATGACTCAAAATCATTTTTTCAAAGACAAAAAGAATTGGAAAGAAATACTACAGTACGGTCATCTGCTAAAAAACCAAGTCGAAATACTGCACCTGCTTCAAGAACTCAAACTCCAACTAGACTAAAACCAACATCATCATTAAAATCACCAAGAGAAGTTTCAAAACCTCGTCCTCCACCTCCATCATCAAAATCAATTGCATCATTATCCAAAAAAATGGCTTTAAATAAAAAGAAGGAGTCTCAAAAACCAAGAACTCCACCAAGACCAAGATCAAAATCCAGATCGTCAAGTGATTATGAATTTAATGAAGATAGTGGGAAAGAAGTTGAAAGTGAAGAAGATGATAATACTAGATCAAGAAGAGATCAGTCTCCAGATGTTAGTGATTCTCAATCAGATCCTTCAATGCCAACATTAGGTGATGATGATGATGATGACGATGATAGTGAAGCTGAATATATCAAAAATAGAGCAAGAAAACTGGGGAAAAAAGTTGAAGTTAGTGATGAAGAAGATTCAGATGATGTCTTTGATGATGAACGTGGTCGTAGTCGTGACCGTCCTGATGGTAGAGTTAACAAGTTTAAACGTGGGGTACTGGATTCACTTTCACCTTCAAATGAACATGTTATTGATGTTAAAAGATTGAGAAAAGAACAAGAATCAAGATCTGCTTCAAGAAAACCTGAAGAACATCAACCAACAAGAAGATCTTCAAGAGTTAGAATCCCACCATTAGCATTTTGGAGAAATGAAAGAGCTGTTTATGAAAAAGGTAAAGGTGATAAAGTTCCAACTTTGAAAAAAATCATCACTGTTGATGAAAAACCTGAACCTATTAGATCAAGAATGCCTTCAAGAGCAAGTTCAACAAGAAGAAATAATAATACTAGATCAAGACCAACATCAAGACAACCTTCTAAAACAAGAACTACTCCAAAATCTTCTACTAATGATATGACTGATATTTTTGAAGAAGATGAAAATGACGATGAAGAAGAAGATGAAGATGAACAAGCAGTTTCAAATGGTGAATTTAGAGGTTCTGAATGGTTTCAACAAAAATTCCTTAAGATTGATACTTTTGAAGGTCATGGTTCAGATGTTAAAAATGATAGATTAGTTGCATGGGCACCAGGTGCAGAAAGTTTTAGTAATGAAGTTAGATCAGCAACTGATAATTTTAAATTGGCAATTTTGTTTGATAAAAATAAAGATTTCATTGCAACTGGTATGATGTTAATTCCACCAGGTGGTGTTAAAAGTTTGAAAAGTACAGATACAACTTATTTTGTATTTTATTGTATTTCAGGAATTATTGAAGTTACTTTATCTGGCTCTGTTTTTTTAATTAAAAAAGGTTGTTCTTTAGAAGTTCCAATGGGGAATTTTTACCAATTTGTTAATAAAGGTAAAAAAGATGCAACTTTATTCTTTGTTCAAACAAGAGGTCAAGCTGATGAAGAATGGGATGATGGTGATTAATAAGAGAGTGGGAGAAAAGTGTATTATTATTATTCTGTATTATTAAATTTTGGGCGTAAATATTTTGTGTTTTTATAGTATGATTAATTTGCAAGGCGTATTATTTTTTTTTGTCAATAGATTCAAGTAGTTTCTACATTTCATGATCAAAAATAATTGTAATTAAAAAAGTATTGTCTATATGATACAAGCCACAAAAGAGAAAACAACTTCAATATCATTCTTCATCAGATTTCTCAGCCATTTTTTTCATCCTTGCTAATTTAACCAAAGGTGATAAAGAACTAACATCATCAGCTTGTAAGATGAATGGATCTTCTAATAATTCAGTAGCAGTACCTCTTTTTTCAGGATCAACCTGTAAAGTCCAGCTCAAAAAATTTCTCATAATTTCAGTTAAAGATTCTGGATCTTTTAAATTTGGTGTACCATTTGTTGCAATTAAATATAAAGCTCTTAATGGAGTTTCATTTAAATATGGTGGTTCACCTTCAATCATTTCTATAATCATAATACCTAAAGACCAAATATCAACTTTTGGACCATATTCTTTTCTTGAAACAACTTCAGGTGCCATCCAATATGGTGTACCAACCATTGTTGTTCTTTTCAAATTAACTTCATTAATCTGGGCACAAAATCCAAAATCTGTCAATTTAATATCACCATTCATTGATAACAAAATATTATCACTTTTAATATCTCTATGGATAACACCTTTTGAATGTAAAAATTTTAAACCTTTTAAAGTTTCTCTTGAAACTGCACCAATTTGCCCTTCAGTCATAACACTATGAGTAACAACATCAGTTAATGAACCACCCTCCATATATTCCATAACAACCCATAAATCACCTCTTAATAAATAAGAATCAATAAAATTCACAATATTTTTATGTCTACTACCTTTCATCACTAAAATTTCATTAATGATCAATTCCTTTTTAGGTTGTTGTTCCAAATTCATTTGTTTTATAGCAACACTTAGGTTAGAACCAACTTCATAAGCTGTATAAACACCACCTGAAGCACCTTGACCAATTTTAACAAGATTTCTATATTTTTTACTTGGATCACCTTCTGAACAGATTGTAGCTAATTTAGCATAAATTTGTGCATTTCTTCTCTTTTTTTCCTCTTTTTTACGTTGAGAATTCAAGGCAGCTTGTTGAGGGTCCCTAACAGGTTGATCTTTTGGTAATGGTGGTGGATTATTATTGCTATTATCTTTTCTTTCATTTATTGGATGTTCATCAGGTATTATTTCATCTGAATGTTTTGGAGGTGGAGGTGGTGCACGAGGTGGGATATTATGATGTGGTGGTAGAGATGGTGGTGATTGTGGTGTATTTTGTGTTGGTGTTTTATGTATAGATGGATGATGTATATGGTTTGGAGTATGTTGAGGTATATGAGGTGTTGAACTTGGAGTCTTTTGTTGTTGTTGTTGTTGGCTCAATACTGAATGAGATCTAGATAATGGTGAAACAACAGTTGGAGCAGAAGCACCAGCCTGCTGAGGAGGTCTTGGTGGAGGTCTTGAAGGAATAAATTGACGATCTTTTGAAACATCTGGTGTAGAAGATGCAGTTTTGAAACCTTGTGATGGTTGTTGTTGAGGAGTTTGGAAATAACTTTGAGGTGCAGTTTGTGGAGTAAAAGATTGTTGTTGGTTAATTTTTGGAGTTCTAAAAGATGGTGTTGAAACTAATTTTGAAGATGATGGATTAAATTTTTTGAAAACTTTCTCATCAGCATTTTGTGTTTGATCTTGATAAAAAGCCACAATATCCATAACAGCTTGAGGATGTTGTTGTTGTTCAGTTTTCGTTATACCACTTGATGTTAACAATTTTTCCCATTCTTCAGGTAATCCAGTATATTGACCATCTTTATCCACACCGACATGGGCAACATGTTTAGCATCATAAGGAGTTGAAATCTTCAGACTCGAAGAAGAAGAACCAGATGAGTACTTGTTATTATGGTGATGTGAATCTTGAGAGTTTGTTGCACCTCTCATACTATTGACAAAATTTGAAAAAACACCCTTCATTTTATTCCCACTTTTTCTTTTTTTAGTTGATAAAGCATCACCAGAACTTGAAGATGAAGTTTTTGAATGGAATGGAGAACTTGCAGACCTTATACCCGAACCATTATTGGCATTTTTATGATGATTTATAGTTGATTGTGACAATACGGGAACCGTTGTAGTGACAGGGTTTGAAGTTGATCTTTCTTGTGGGATTTTAGGTGTAGTGAAATTTGGAGTGGGTATTGATGAAGAATCTGAAGAATGATCTGAAGCTTTTGCAACATAACTATTATTTTTAGAGCCAAAAGAACTTGAAGTGTTATTCCCTGTTTGAGGCTGTTGAACATCTTCTTCTTGGATCGTTAAATCACCAATTTCTTCAGATAAATTAGTTGTACTTGAGCCTAAGCTTGAGATATTAATATTTGAAGATGCAGCAATTGGTTTTTCAAATTGTTCAAATTTTTCATTATCAAAATTTTCAGAATATTTTGAAGATGGTGGTAATCTTTCAGTTGATGAGCCAATGAAATCATCAATGATTTTATTTTCAAAATTTGAACCAGGATCTGTTGAAACAAATGAAGATGTAGTTAAAGTTGGGTTTTGTATTTTTAGATCATGTGTTAATAACTCTTGTGAACTAACATTATGAGAAGATGATTGTATAATTGGTTTTTCTGTCTCCATTTCTTCAGATCTTAAGCTACTTGTTTCAATTGGATCAGTTTCCTCTTTTTTCGTTGTAGTTTCGGTAGATTCAACTTTTGAAGATCTTTGAAGTGGTTCTATTTGAACAGGTTGTTGCAATCCAGTTTCTTTTGCTTCACTAGGTACTTCCAAGTTTGCCAATTCTTTCTTTAAATCGGGTATTTGATCATCTTGTCCTAAAGTGTTTGAACCTTCTTCACCTATTTCGTCATCTGTTGATTTCAATTCAGGCGATTTATTATTAACTTGTCTTGTTGTTGGGGTTCCTTTTTGGAAAGTAGTTGCAGTAGCAGTATTCACCACACCAACAGTTATATCATCATTTGTATTTGAATTGTTAGGAAGAGATTCATAACTTTGAGCCGAATTTGTTGAATTTGTTGAGTCAGTAGACATTGTTGAGACTCTTTTGAAAAAAATTGGTTCATCAAGAGAATTTATCAATTCATTAACTCTTTGATTTGTATTATTTGAAGGTTTTCCTGGATCTAAAGTTTTGCTGTTATTTGAATCATTAGCTTCGTCGTCGTTGTTATCATTATCCTGTTGTGATAAACCTTCTTCATTTGGATCTTTTAAAGAGTTATCAGCACTTGTCAAAGCATTAACGTGCAATGTTCCTGGATAACGTGGTAAAGAACCTGGAGAAGTTTGATTATCTAGTGTTCTTGAAACCCTTGGAGTTGTGAGATGATTCGATGAAGTATCCTTCAATAGCAATGAGGATTTCTTTGAGTGTAATTCATGATCTATAGATTTATTATCTTGACTTGTGCTTGAAAAAGTACTATGGAATGAAGTATCCACAGTGGATGTTTCATCAGACATCTTTAAGAATGATATTGTATGAATTGACCCAGTTGTTAGATAATGAGAAAGCCATAAACAAGTGATTCAAGATGTACTCTGACTTTGTATTATGATGGAATAATGGCGTTTTAAATGAGTGAGAGTGTATGAGCTGTACCGAATATATCTTTGGATAATGTTAACACGATGTTTTAAATCAAATGTCAATGACTTGGCCCAGTGTCAGCAGTGAGTGTGATGGATAAATAAAAGTGGCACTTTCTAGCAGCAACAGCAGACAATTGAACAGCACCTTAGAACAGCAACAGCCAGTACGATCCTCCTATTGTTGACGTTGTTGACGATTCTTTTTGGCGTGTGTCTCGCTTCAACAGAGAATTTGAGGATGTTTTTACCGCGAAAAAAACAGGGGCGTTACCCGGTAATGATATAATATATTACATAATACACACTCTTATTTTTCTGACACGTGAAACTGTCATTTCCCAATATTTTTTTTGCTGATTGTCCAATATCACAATCACAAATCACAATTGAATTGATTATTCCATGCTCAAATGAGTCTTCAAACCAGTGATATGCTGTCTATAGCCTTAGTTAGACTTTCGCTCAGTAATTGGCACTGAGCGTCTCCAGCAGTGATTATCGTGTGCAAAGATTCCTATTGAGGATTTTATACCTGATACGGGCGCTTTGCTTTAGCCCATATACACTTTTGTCTGGGACGACGTACTCTGTCAGCACTTTCCGTCTGAAGAATCCAGAGACGCTACCTCAATCCAACTTGATCTATTTTGAAACACAAGTAGTCAGTGGATCGTTTAGCATTGAAAATATCTATTTACAGGCAGTATATGTTGATGATTGACTCACCATTCACTCTGATAGATGAATATTCAACTCTTGTTCAACAAATTCACTGTAGTTGCACGAGATGGGTTACAAGCTTACTCACTCAGTCAGTGGTTTAATATTGAACCCTCATTAAGTATCAGCTACTACTAGTAATGTAATACGGATTACCCTCATTAGAGAGAAATGGTGAAAATATTAATATCACATAAAGAAAACTATCTTTTGCAGAAGAATAACCAATACGTATAGTTGAAATTCCTTCAATTGTTTTTTGTTTTTAGATTGAAAGTGTTCAACGTTTATGATTGCGTGGCGCATGCTTTGAAATGTGAAGTTCGATGGTCAATAACAATTATTTACTTCGGTTGACAGGTACAGTTTAAAAGTCACTGCAGTTCTCTCACTTGAAAACTAGTTCAACTTGCAAAAACCACTATATATTAATTGTATTCATTTTTGAACAAGAAATGATCAATTAACAATTAACAGTGTTTTTTGAGAAGATGAATGTATAACGTCTAGGGTAGTCAAATTCACTCTTCATTCATCTTCAACTTTAAAGTCATCATTATTTTCAATTACCACATGTCTCATGAATATTTCCAAGGTTATTATGCACATATGTATGAATATTGAGTTAATATTAATAAATGATGGTTTTACTTCTTTTTTGAACAAACCTTTACAAGATGTAGATATAAACACTATTCATCCAACGTTCATTAATCAACTTCTTTCGAATAGCAATTAGAAGAAGAGAAAAAAAGCCTTGAAATCACTTGAAAACTAAAAGATCATGACATTAACAAAGGAATTTAAATAGAAGTACAGTTTGAAGTATTCTATCCTACATTGTATAATAGTCTGGAAAAATGAGTTTGTATTCTGAAAACAATTGATATGGATTTAAGGTGAAATCAAACCACAATATCAAAAGTCTCGTGAATGTTATTGAAAGGTAGATGCATTGACCAATTGAAACGGCGCGCAGCTAAAGAATCCAAGTTATTGAATAAAACCTCAACATGCAACAGCTTTTCATTGGCCATACGAATAGCGCTGAGCTCAACAGAAGCTAAATTTATAGCTTACATAGAGCGACTATATACCCTGTGAAACATATTATCAGACCAAACACCGGACTCATATCCTCGTCTGCAAAAACGCAGACCACGTAATTGAGGTGAATTGAAGTAATCCAAATTGGTTCAAGTAAAGTTCTTACTCGTTAGTGAATATTGCACGGGTTACTAGTGGACATTCCCAACGACGAGGTTATCGTCTCTCCATGTGGTTGACTCTTTGATCAGTGTGATTTCTACTTCTCCCAAAGATCAATTTCAGATTCAACAAATAACACAGCAGCCAGGGCACAAACCATCCGTGGGCAGATCTATTCTAATTCCAGATGGGAAAAATATAAAAGGATCCAAGATCCAAGTAATTGTAGTAATTGTACTATGTCCAGTGAAAACATGGTTGATTGACTTGCGTCCGTAAATGTGTGTGTCTTTTTGTCTTGTAGCATTATGAATCGGATCTAGGTTGATTTTAGGTGAAGTGCCAAAAACCTCGTATAGGAATAGTGAATCTACGGGAGGTGCTCTAATGTATTCACATATGCTAATGTTTCCAACTAGATCTATTTTTGAAACACAAAATAGTCTATAGTGTATATGTCTAGAGACATCAACAATCAATAGTGGCTTGATTCTTGATATTGGGTGATGCTTTATAGGTTATATCCTCATTCAATTATTAATATACACTGTTGTACATTTTGACAATTGATCGTTACGTGTAGAAGAATTTACTTGGTGGAATTTCAAAATAATTCAAATGATATAGCAAGCGTGTTGGATTTGATGCTTGCTCTGAATCTATGTAACCTGCAATCTGCAAGCACCATTTTTTAATGGAGTTGATAATTATTCAATTGATCAAATCATCATCATATTACATATCTACAACTAGTTAAAGAGATAAGAACTAATTTTCATTCAGATAGTAGCTATTCACTACCCATTCTTCTACAATTTAGTCATATTCAACCATGATTTGATCGCAACAACTTCAAAAAATTATTCAAAGAGAACACCACTCTAAAAAATTAGTTTAAATCTCATGAAAGTAAAAATGCCCCAGCACCTTCATTAACAGCCTTCATTAAACGTTCTTCTAAAATGTCTGAGCTTGAATAATTTGGTAATTTTAAATAATTGGCACATGTCATAACACTTGGTAAATAATTATCTGGTTTTAAATCTCCTTCACTATGCTTCAAAACAACTGTAAATACCGGTTTCAAATTCTTAAATCCTCCAATTGGTAATCTTGGTGATCCTGTTAGAAATTGTAAAAATAGTCTGCGTTCTTGTTTGGAAAATTTAGTCATTAATGTAATCAAATTTTGAACCGATGGTGAATCAACTGTATAACCATGATCTGCATGAATAGCTGAAATTAATGTTTCATAACTCCAATCTTCATTGGCATTACCTAATAATTCAACCAATTCATTTGGTGAAAATATCAACATTGATGAATATGGGAAAACTTCTGAAAACCCTTTAATAAAACTTTCAACTTGTTTTTCAACACCTAAACCAATTGTGAAATCAACAACTTTTGAAATATAATCATCAACATTATTAGAATCAACATTGATATCTGAACCATTTTCAATTAATTCAATTGATGGGAACCCTGGTAATGTAAAATTAATTTCTAAACCTTCAACTAAATCTTTATTTTTTTGTAAATAAATTAATGAATTGTATAACCCTTCATCAACAAGTTTTAAAACTTCTAAATCCTTGATAATTGGTTCTTTATTGATAATGGATTGTGCAATTTGAAAAAACACCTTGTTAAAATAAAAATCAACAATTCTATTATCTAATAAAGCTCTAGCAACAAATTTACCCAAATATTTAAAACTTGATAATCTCTCCTTACCATCAGAAACAATTGGAGATGGGAATAATCCATTTTTATTATTAACATAATCATCACCATCAATTTCATCATGTTGTCTCCAAATTCCTAAACTTTTTTGACAATATAATTTTGAAACTAATGCATAAAATTCTAATGTTGGACCTAATCCAGTACCAACCTCATTTGTAAATTCAACCTCCAATATACTTGGATGTGAACCCAGCTTATCTAAAACTTTAAAAGAACTTTGCAACAGTTGATTTCTTGGAACACGAACTTTTTGTCTTGTTGGTCTACCTAAAGGTGGTTGACTACCGTTCCCATTATTGTTATTACCATTATTATCATTCTCTGCATTATTTTGATCTTGATTTGCTCTAGCTGTCCATAATTGAATTAATCTTGAATAACCAAATGAAGTTGATTGTAAGAAAAAAATTCTTGTATCTAATGGGAATAAAAATGGAAACTTTCTAGTGATATTGATAGCCCAACTTGGTAATATTCCACTTGCAACAATTAAAGGTTCTTCCAATTGTCTATTCAATTTGGCTGTAAGTTTGAAATTCAAAAATGATTTAGAAGTTGAATCATCAAAATCATGTAAAATCTTTAATAAACTTAAAATGCTCAATGTTACTGGATGTTTTAAATTCTCCACATCTTCATCATCTTCATCTTCATCCTCACCAGCGTTTAAGCCAGGATATCTATCATCAAAATCTGCAACTGGTGCAACACCTTCAACTTTACGAAATTTAATTTCATGAGTTTCAAACCAAAATCTAGATGAATCAAAATTTGGATTTTTAGCTTGAGAATTTTTAAACAGTGCACCATAAATTGTTGAATCATATGGAATAACTTCATCATCAATTAAAAATTCAATATGCCAATCAGATCTTCTTCTATTTTCATCTCTATTATTTGAATTTCTTTGACGAAAGAAGAATGGTGTTTCAACACGTCTTTTCAAAAAAGAATTTATATTATTAAAAGATGCAATTGCATGAACCAGAATAATGAAAGCACTCATTCCTTCAAATTGTTCATCATTTGGATCTTCAGCAATCAGCTTAACTTTAATTTGTTTACCTAAAGAAGCAGCTCTATTTTCACCAGTTTTCAAGCCACAACTTAAAATCTCAAATGATTCCGATCTTGTTAAAGCCTCTTGTAATTTTTTAATTAATAATTCAAAAGCTTCATGATTGAAAACATCTAAAAATGAATTTCTGCAAATGGATTTTTGATCACCAGTTACATCATTCGAAAATAATGATGATAAGATTTCGATAAAGCCTGAACTAATTAATTCAAAACTTGAAATTGTTGAATCTGTTTTTTCATCACCTAATGCCTTTTTGAAATTATTCCAAATTTGAACCCAATCATTATAATTATAACTATCAATTTGTTCAGTATCTTTTAAAACAGCACTAATTTCATCCAATAATCTTAGATGTTCCAATTTAGAAGAACCTGAGGCTTTTTTAGATAAATACTCTTGTTCAATATCAGATGCATATTTTGTTAAATGTTTAATGATTTGTGGCGTTGTTAAATTTTTGAAAATTGCTTGATCTGACACGTTAAATAATTGTCTATTGTTGAATTCTTCATCTTCATCCTCTTCATCCTCTTCCTCATCATAAACACCTTCATCCACTTCACTTGATGGATAACTATTTCTTTGTTCTTCATCTTGTTGTTGAGTATCTTCCTCCATGGTTTCGTCATCATCATCTTTTTTAACAGTTTTTTCGTCAACTCTTAGGATTTCCAACAATGAAGAAGTATCAGCGATTAAACCTTCTCTTTCAAATTCTAGAAGATATTTTTCAGGATCTTTTTCAGCCAATAATTGAGTTAGGATTAATGAACCTAATAAAACCATATAAGGTTTTTGATCTTTTTTCTCTTGACGAATTATACTTTTATTTTGAATGACAATTGAAGCTAATAAATTAACAACTTGTGAATGATTGCCCAATTTAGTCAAATCATCTAATGAAGAAACAATTCTGATTAATGAAATCATAACACGACGACGAATATCAAAAATAACAGTTGATGAATAAATATTGATTAATAATTGGAAAATTTCATTAATGAAAATTTCATAAAAAGATTGAATTGATGAATAATTTTTTTCAACAAATTGAATAGTGAGGATTGAATTTTTTTCAGATGGTAACAAATTAATAATTAAATCCAATATAGATATAATTAAATCTTTTGGTGCAGCCATTAAAGCCTCTATTGAAACTGAATCATCTTGATTATTTGATTTTTTGTATTTTGATAATGAAGATTTAAAACAATCACCAATTTTCCCACCTTTTAAAATCAGGATTGATAATTCATCATTTCTTGCACAGATTGATAAAGTGTTTATTAATCTTAAATTTGTTGTGATATTTGTATCAGGATTTGAAATCACAGAAATCATCTTATTTAATAAATCTGTATTGATTAATTTTGTTAATAAATTAGGACTTGATCTAAAATTCTTAATAATTCTTGAAATGGCCAACCATGAATTATTTAAAGCTTGAGAATCTGAAAATTCAACAACAATTCTTTGTAAAATTGGGAAGATTTCCTCCACAATTTCAAATTCAGATTCTTTAATATATTTAACAGAATTTGCAGTGATGTTAATAGCTTTTCTTTGAGCATGAATGGTGAAAAAATCCAAATATTGTAAACAAGATAACAGACAATTTCTTCTAAAGATTTGAGTTCCAGAAATCTTGGAAATGATCTCCAAAGTTTGTAAACTTTGTTCAGCTAAATCAATATAACTAATTTCCAATAATTTTGATTGTAGAGCTTCAATTGCACCAGCATGGACTGCACTATGAACATAATCATTATTAATTTCCAAGAAATTATATAAACATCTGCAAGCAACCAATTGCAATTCCAATTGGTCCATGAAAAAGGGATCAGTTAAAACATCAACTAAACCATGAGCTAAATCATGAGCAGGTAAACCTCGTTCAGCAACTAATCCATTCATCATCAATAAACGTTCACTCAATTCATTTAAAGTTTCCAGAACTAAATAAGGATCATCACGTCTTTTCAACCCATCAATTAATCCACTTATACGTAATCCAGATCCTCCTGCACCTCCAGCACCAAACCCTCCAAACAGACCCATAGCTTCCGGAAACATACGAGACATATTTTCAGCTAAAGAGTTGGCAGCATTTGAGCGGGCTTCACCTCTTGGATTGTCATTAGATTCATTACTTCTTTGTAATCTATTTGCAAATGAACGGAAGGCACCTTGTAGTAACTCATTCTCCAGATCACCTTCCTCTTCATCTTCATCCGAGTGATCATAGTCATCCTCATGGTCTTCATTTGCTCTGTGGATTGATCTCATCATGTCTTCACTTTGAGAATCATCTTCATCTTCATCATTATCATCTGTATCATTATGGTCATCATCATCATCTTCATCTTCAATGTGGTGGTCATTATCATTATTTTCATGGGTATTGTTCTCCAGTTGTTCCAATTCTCTTTGTGATTCTGAGAATCTTCTATATTGTTCACTCAGTCTAACCAGACTAGCATCTTCATCTTCTTCCTCGTCCTCGTCCTCTTCAACTTGATGATGTTCAATATCTTGGTCACTTTGATGGTTTTCAGCATTGTCTTCATTTCCATCAGCCATAACCATGTCATTGTCCAGATCACAAGACTCAGCAGCAGCAGGACCTTGAGATCTGGTCTTTCTCTTGTCCACTGGAGAGCCAGTTTCTTTTCTTCTAGCCATGGTTTCTCGTTTGTAGATTCCTGATCAAAATAGATGGTAAAAAGATGATTCTTTTTCTTGAGGGGAGTATAATTGGTCCAGTGATAGATAACCAGGTTCTCTCTTGTTGATTCTATCCAATACACAATACACAATGGTCTCAAGTAACGTGGTTTTTCTTGTAGAGTTGAATCAAATTGGTGGCGTCTTTTTTGAATTTGTTTTTGAAAGGAGATCAAATGAAAATGAAAATGAGAATTAAATGGGAAATTTTGTATGGGAAAATCCGAAAACAGGAGAATAAAAAGATGAATTCATATAAATTTGATTAACTAAATGATTAATGAATAATAGAATGAATTTATCATATTTTAATACCTTTTTCATACTTAAAATCAATTCTATAACCCATTTTATCCCCGTCCAAATCAGGAAACGGTTACGCAGCCTCTGGCCGCGATGGCCTTTAAAAAAATTTGTATAAAGAAAATTTTATAAAGTCTCTTTCCCAATAAAACAAGTACAAATTACACATACAAAAATGCCTAGATCAAAACGTTCTAAACTGGTGACTTTAGCTCAGACCGATAAAAAGGGAAAGCAAAACAAAGAAAGAATCTTTGACGAGATCAGAGAGGCTCTTGATCAATATAGATATGTTTGGTTATTCTATCTTGATGATGTTAGAACTCCAGTTTTACAAGATATAAGATCTGATTGGATTGGGTCCAAATTAATCTTGGGGAAACGTCGTGTCTTGGAAAAAGCCCTTGGTGATACTAAAGAAGAAGAATATAAAGAAAATTTACACAAGTTTTCCAAATTGGCAAATGGTGTGAGTGGGTTATTATTTACAAATGAAGATGTTGAAACTGTTGCTTCTTATTTCACTGCATATTCTAAACAAGATTATTGTCGTGCTAAATCCAAATCACCAATTGATTTCACTATACCTGAAGGTGTCATTTATTCAAGAGGTGGACAAATACCTGAAGATGAAGATGTTGCAATGTCTCATTCATTAGAGGAAACTTTTAGAAATAAATTCAAAATCCCAACAAAGATCAAAGCTGGTAAAATCACAATAAGTGAACCATATCATGTTGTTTCAAAAGGTGAAGTTTTAGATGTTCGTCAAGCTTTAATTTTGAAACAATTTGGTATTGCAGCATCTGAATTTAAAGTTAAGGCAAAGGCATATTATGATAATGAATCATCAGAAATCAAAATTGTTAACATCAACATAGATGAGGAATAGACCAAGTTGGTTTCCCTATTTTGTATACTAGTTAAATCCATTTTTTGTAAGTTGATAAATCTGTAGTTGTATTAAAACCTAGAATGACTTTATTATTCAATTTTGTTAATTTTGATAGGATTAAATTTTCTGATGGTAATTCCCAAATAGCAATGGATTCATCATTATGATTCACTTGTTTCATACTCAGATAAACCATTAGTTTTTGTAATGAATCAATATGAATTAGATCAATTAATTCAACATTTTTCAAATATTGAACACTTGATCTTTGGAAATTAGAAGGAATTGATAACTCTTGATCGATATTTAGGATGATTAGGGTAGTTTTAGTAGCTTTCCACACTAAATGATCAATAAACTGATCAAATTGACCAATAAAGAGCTCCATAATCAGAGGTTAATCCAACTATTTAAAATTCAAATATTCAATAGAAATCGAATATATAGAAACGATTTTAAGGGTAACTTTCGCGAATTCTACTTTTTTTTTTTTGGTTTTCGCCTGGACATGAAAAAATTCGACATTTTAACGACAATTGCAAAGACATAAATAAAGAAATTAAAGATTAAACGTTGGTTGAGAATGCTGAGTCGAGGTTTAGTTAGGGGCATTGCTGGTCGTGGATTGAGACTTAACAGCACCATCACAGCGACAAGCACAACTACTACAACTACTTCAAGTGCAGAACCAGTCACTGAATCGTTAGTTGAATCTATACCAATTGATTCAAAAGAATTGAAAACTTTAGAACGTCAACTTATAGAAATCCTATTCAACGAACCTGCCACAAATGAATTAAATGCCAGTTTACAACAAAATGCCACTTTGAAGCAAGAATTGTCTAGTTTTTTCAAAGAATTTGCATATAAAACAATTTTAGAACCTAAAAAGAAAATTATTCAAAAAGGTCCAAATAAAAAATTCCCATTTTTAATACCATCTAAAAAATCAGAACCTTATACATCACAAGAATTACATCTACGTCGTGAATTTTTCAATTCATCAAACTCTAAATTAGGTTCAAATTTAACAGATGTTTATATACCTCATCATGAAGTCTTCTATCCTAAATCAATCAAGAATGTATCAATATCTAAATTATTAGCAGCAGGTGCCCATTTAGGACATTCCACCTCATTATTTAGACCATCTACTCAACCTTATATCTTGGGTTCATATAAAGGTATTCATATTATTGATTTAGAACAAACTTTATCATATTTAAGAACTGCATCCAAGGTTGTGGAGGGAGTTGCAGAACGTGGAGGTATAATATTATTCATTGGTACTAGAGAAAATTTACAACGTCCTTTGGAATTGGCAGCTGAACGTTGTGGAGGTTATTATGTTGCAACAAGATGGGTCCCTGGTACTATAACAAATTGTACAGAAATTTCAAGTTGGGATCGTCAAGAAGTTGATTTTGAAGGTGTTGCCACAGGGAGAGTCTTGAATGCAGATGAAGTTAAAGGTTTAGTTAAACCTGATTTAGTTGTTATTTTAAACCCAGTGGAGAATAGAGTTGCGGTTAGGGAATGTATACAATCAAGAATCCCAACTATTGGGATCATTGATACTGATAGTGAACCAAGTTTAGTTAGTTATCCTATTCCTGCAAATGATGATTCTGTTAGATGTTTAACTTTATTGGTTGGTGTTTTATCAAAAGCTGGTGAAACTGGTAGATTGAAAAGATTTAAAAAGATTCAAGATTATAAATTAAAAAATCAAGAATTGATTGAACAAATAAAGAAGGATGAAGCTGAAAAGCAAGCAAGTTTGTAAATAGAATAATAAATAAATATATATAGCTTACAAGGAGATAATTTTGTAGTTATTAATTATTAGGTTTTCCTCATCTAGTTTTGCACGGAATATCATGTGTTGTTATTGTATTGTCACCTTCTACTTTTCCCTCTATTTCTCCTTCTTTTCATCCTCTTCACTTTCATCATCACTTCTATCATCTTGAGCAACACCTCCAAATACAAATCTATACAAGATTCTCAAGATTAAAAATAACCAATAAAGGTTGACCAATTGCAAAGCACCAATTAAAACAAAGACAATTGGTAATGAGATCCAACATTTATATTGTTGAGTTGCAAAATTCAATTTAAAATCACCCACAGTTCTAAATTCAGTTAAAACTGACCATAAGATTTTCAAATTGATATAATGACGTAAATATATCCAAACACCAACAAATAAAACAAACCAAGGACCAACTAATGGAGAATCCAAATAGTTTAAATCTTTTGAAACGGCTAAAAAGAAATCTGAAACATCCATTGTGATATAAACAGCTAATCCCATTTTAGTGAAATGGAAAACATAAGATAACCAAATTAAACTCATTGTAACAATATGATGCAATACCAATTCTTTAAAATCTTTTCTTGGTTTTTCAACTTGAAGAATTAATATAACAGATTGTTGAGCCCAAAATGCACCTTGACCTAAATAAAACAATTTATAAAGATAATCATTTGTTAAATCTGGATAAGTTGCATACATAGTATCTGTTCTAAATAACCATAAGTCTGTTTGAGACATGACATAAAGACCAAATGGACCAGAGATTCCATAATAAATAACAGAATAGGATTGTTCCATAAAACGTTTAACTTTTTGAGGTTTTTTAACACCAACGATTTTAGCAAATGGACGTAATATAACCTCCATACAAAATTCTCTGAAAAAAGTGAAAAAAATCATGTAGAATGAAATAAATGCTAAATCTTTTGGACCTTTACCATATTGATTTGTATCACCAACTTGATATGAAATTGATACAAACATATGCAAGAAATTAGACTCGGTGTAATTGCCAGAAGTGAAATAAGCAGCATAAACGATAGACATGACGATGAAGGGCAATAACCAAGTATGACGATAGTTCAATTCAGTAAAGCCAATTTTAATCTTGGTCAATATTTCCAAATCGGTTTTAGACGATTTTGACAATTCATCAATTCTAGAGTCTGAGGCTGTTCTTTCATGGGAGGTTCTCGAGGTGGAGAATGAACGCACTCTGGTGTCACCCAGGTCGATCTTACCGACTGAAGAAGTTCTGTGACGGGACATCTTTGGAGTAATATTGGTGTTTTCCAATGGTGTTTAGCAGTATAAAAGAATTGAAATTAAAAAGTTCTCCTATTTGAAAACAAACACAGAACGCATTCGCGAAGCTGAAAAGGCTGTGAAATTGAAATAGCATTGAGATGGTATTGAATAGATGAATTGTAGGTTAGATTTAATTGGATTAGATTCTATTCTATTCTATCATATTCTATTCTATTCTATTCCATTACACCATGCCCAAGGACTACCAAGCACAACTGCAAAAGACAATCGGTGAGTATTAATCGAATTAATCCTTAATCAAGGGATCCTAACAATCCAAAAGACAAGGCCACAGACCCTCTTTTACTATCAGACAACTGGCAGCTCATCTTGGACGTGTGTGACAAGGTGGACCAGGAGCCTGAGCAAGGGTCAAGGCTAGTTGTCCAGGCCATTGAGCTGAAACTGGGCCAAAGGGATGCCAATGTCCAATTGAGAACCCTGTCTCTATTAACTTCAATAGCTGAGAATTGTGGTTCAAGAGTTAAACAAGAAATCGCATCAAAGCATTTCACTTCTGTGTTATTAAACAAATTGAAAGACCCTATGGTTCATAAAGAAATCAAGATCAAAATCGTTCAAGTGATTACTCAATTATCAGAATCATTCCAAAATGATTCATCTTTAAAACCTATTCAAGATGCTTACCACCAGGTTAAATCCTCATATTCTCAATTCTTCCCTCCGGATAAACCTCAAAAATTCACATTGGATAGCGATCGATTAAAAGAAGAGGAGGATTTGAAAGCTGCTATTGCTTTATCCTTAGCTGAAAATAATCAAGCTTCAATTCCAACAAGTCAAGAAATTCAACAACAACAACAACAAGTACAACAACCAACTACTCAACAAACTAATGAAACTCCATCTTTCTCAAGAGTCCGTGCTCTTTATGATTCTTTTAGTCAAGACCCTGCTGATTTACATTTCCGTAAAGGTGATATCATCACTGTTTTGGATCGTGTTTATAAAGATTGGGGGAAAGGTTCATTAAGAGGTTCAATTGGATTATTCCCTTTCAACTATGTTACTCCATTGTATGATCCAACTCCACAAGAATTGATTAAAGAATCTGAAATGGAATCTAAAATTTTATCACAATCAAGACAAGTTGAGAAATTATTAACTTTATTAACAAATAATAATGTTGAATTGATTCAAAATGATGAATTTCAAAAACTATATCAAGAGATTGTATTGATTAAACCTGAATTGGGTGGATTAATTGAGAAATATAGAGTTAGAAGAGATGAATTATTAGATTTACATGGGAAATTAAAAGATGCCACAGTGAAATATGAAGAATTGACTGATCCATTGAAACAACAACAATTGAGAGCTCATCAGCAACCACCTCCTCCATTAAATTTCCAATATCAACAACCTCAACCTTCTTTATATCAACAAAGAATGTCAACTGGACCAGCTCAGTTCCAACAACCACCTTTACAACAATCAGTAACAGGACAGCCTTTACAACAGCCTTTACAATACAACTACCAACAACAACAACCACAACAACCTCCATCTACAACATTCCCAAATCCTAATGTCAATCCATTATATCAAAGACAATCTTTCACTGGATCTGATCAACTAAACTCACCGGTTCAACCACCACAACAGCCACACTCTACCGAAAGACCATATCCTAACTATTGAACCAACCGTTTCCTCCATTTTCTCTATATAACTATAACTATTTACTATTTAGTTTTACGTATTTAATTGAAATTAACGTACTTATGTAAATTACATAAGCGATTACGTACACCTTTTTCGCGAATTGTGTTTTTATGTTGAATTTCTCCTTAAACAATTACATTTACAATTAATGATAACCAAAAGGAATTTGTCAATTGTTGTGAGAAAGGTTCAAATCATGTCTTCTGTGGATAAAATTATTTCTGATATCATCAAGGACACTCCAGTGGGGGAGGTGAGTATATTTGAAATAAGTATTTAATGATCAATTAATCTAATATATTCCATAGTTACCAAAAGTTATTGAAGATTTAAAACTTATAATTGATAAAAACATTAATCATGAATTATCAATTGCTATAAAAGAATACAATTTAACAAATTTCACAAGTATTGATGTTGAGAACAATCCAATAATTATTTCAAAATATAACCAAGATGATGATGAATTTTTCATTGATTCCAAAAATGGTGTTAAATTTAAAGTTGATCATTTACTTTTAAAACCTCAAGAAATTACTAAAATTGAACAATCCATTTCAAAATATGATTCAGAATTATCAAAATATGTTATTGATCAATATAATCAAGGTGAATATTTAATCAATAATGATGTCATTTTAATAAAAGGTCATAAAACAAGTTCTTTGAATTATTGGACAGGTTCATGGAGATCAAAATATGATTTACAAACAGGGAAAGGTGAAATTAATATAGATGTTCATTATTATGAAGATGGGAATGTTCGTTTACAAACTTTACAAAATGTGGAGATTGATATTTCATCACCAATATCAAGTATTAAACAAGTGGAGACCAAGATCCAATTATCATTAAATAAACAGTTTGCAAATTTGAATGAGGCTGTTTTCAAACAATTAAGAAGACAATTACCAGTTACAAGATCCAAAATAAATTGGGGTAAAGCTATAGGGAATTATAAATTAGGTAAATTAACTTCTTCATCATCATCATCTTCTTAAACTATCTTATATATAGTATATAATATGAAAAATATAATCAATGTAATTCCAACATATTTCCATATTGAATTCCCACTTTTCAAAGATCTTGATAAATTTTGTGAAGTTGATTTAATTGAAGTTGATAATGTAGCAAATTGTGATTCTAATGTTTCCAAGATTGTAGAGTTTTGTGCCTGTGTTTGAATATCTGTATTTATATTACGGAATATTGATAATTTATTTGCTAAATCATCAAATCTTGCATTATTCTAATTCATGAGGTTAATATAAGAAGGATCATATTCATTGTCTTGATTTCTACTTACATCTTGTTCCACTTGAGAATAACGTGACATTGGGAAATAAGATTGATCTGAATAAATGAGATCACAGAATAGAATGAAAATTATGTGGGTTCAAATGATGTGGTTAAGTGTTACTCAATTGTTATGTATTTTAAATTGTCATGTTTTTTGGATGTAGATAAAAAACATCAGGGCTACAAACCATTAATATCAACGAAAATACTGGAAACAGAGAAGAACGTCAAAATGAAGTTGAAGGTGTTTATAGAAATTGTTATTAAAATGATTATGGTTTAGCATAATGAAATGTATTCATTTCAGTGAAATTATACTTGTTTTAATGGTAATTTACCCCCTTAAACTACACTCAGGTCTACATAAATTTCCAAATATTGAAACTTCATCTATTTATAAACTAGTTAGTATTCTAAACAACATTAAAATTAATATATTCCCTTTCAAATTCTAATTAATATAGCTCAGAGTAGATCTTGGTGTATAAAGTTTTGAATCTTCATTAAATATTCAAGTAAGGCGACTGTTTTTCATCCCGATATATTAAAAAAGAATTGAGGTTATTCAATCACTTACAAACTAATGATATTTCAGTTAGTCAAATAAATTCCTTCATACTTCCCATTCCAAAACCATGTCAATTGTATTCGATATCAGACTTAATAAATTGGTCGCATGCTACCACTGGCCCATAATGAAACTAGGCGTGTTTCGAGTCACAATGGCACTAGATCGCAAATTATATCATCATTAAACCATAAGAAGAAGAATATTTTATGAACGATTGCAATTGAGTTGGTTCTTTTCTAAAGTTACTCACTTTAAATTTATATTTGATCTTTATTCCTAAATGTTGTTGTAGAAAAGAATTAAAAATGTTTAAACTGAAAAAAAAGTTTTATGTTTTCAGTAGGGTTTTGCGATTTGCCAACCATGTGACTTTCAATCAGGGCTACGTGATTTTTTTCTCCCCTGTTCTCTGTTTTACCCTCATCGACAAACTACCTGCGTAACTCCCAGCACTCATCCCTTCCCAGCCCAAGCCGAAGAAAAATCCCACCTCCCGCCTAGCTCCGCCCCTGGCCGCACGGACAGCTTCCCTTCAGCTGGACAACAAAAAAAAACGCAGTCACAGGGTAACCCACTCACCAGAGGTTTTGGAATTTTCACAATTATTTCACCAAAATCTATAATCAATCCATCAATCTCTATATACCCATTTCATAAAAGGATATACCATTACACACAACGAAATGTCTACTGAAACATCCGTCAAAGCTAGTAACTGGAGATTGGTCGAAGTTGGCCGTGTTGTCTTAGTTAACAAAGGTCAATACGCTGGTAAATTAGCCACTATTGTTGAAATCATTGATCACAAAAGAGTAAGATAGAACCAAAGTTGGAGAGAATAGGAATATGGATATGAAATAGAGGGAAACGTAAAAGAGAGAGAAATGTAAAGGGAATAACAAATGAATATGAGTTAAAGAGAAATGATCTATGTCCAAAAAAGAATAAAGTCCTAGTCAATCAATATGTCAAAAACCTATAATGAATTCAAGATTTAAATAACTGTCCAAGACTAATGGAAACCACTGATGAATACTATCAAACTACAAACTAATCCATATTCCTTCATCTCTCCACTTCAAACATGCAATTTTTAAACAGATTTACTAACATTTTATTTCTTTTAGGCTTTAGTTGATGGTCCAACCACTGGTGTTCCACGTCAATCAATCTCTTTAGGTCATGTTGTTTTAACTCCATTATCATACTCATTACCAAGAGGTTCAAGAACTTCAACCGTTGCTAAAAAATTCGAAGCTGCCGGTGTTGAATCAAAATGGTCATCATCATCATGGGCTAAAAAAATTGCTCAAAGAGAAAGACGTCGTGCTTTAACTGATTTTGAAAGATTCCAAGTTTTAGTTTTGAAAAAACAAAAAGGATATGCTGTTAAAAAAGCTGTTTCAAAAGCTTAAATAAATTTCATATTTTTTCAAAAAAAAACAGATAAAATTAAAGAGAGTTAATGGTGTGTAATAAATTTTTTGTTATTATAGGGTACGTTTCATTTTAATCTTTTATGAAGTAAAAAAAACAAATTATTGAAATTGTAGACAAAGTTATACAAATACGAATACGATACAATTATTAATCATTAGCAAATTCGTTAAAAATTATATAGCACATATTCATAATATCTTTCTGATCAATTAGTTTGACGTTTCAACTTTTGTTGTAAATAACTAATCAGTAAATTAACATCAACTCTGGTTTCTGGTCTTTCATCAAAAATCTTGTTAACTAAATCTAATTCATGAGGATTCAATCTTGATAAAAATTCAAATGATGGAACTGTAGCTGTAGTTGTACTAGTATTTGGTGGTGTATTCAATGATGATGCACTTTTCGAATCTCTATTAACATCAATTTTTTCAATCAGTTCTTGTTTAACAACAAATACAATAAATAATCTTGGTGTTGAACTTTTATCTGTTTTGTTCAAAACATTTTCGAAAAATCTTGGAACATGATCATCTTTTGTAGCTATTAAATAAGAATCTTTAATGAAACTTGATCTAAATTTAACAACTCCAACTTTTAATCTTGAATAAAAATAATGGAATAATTTATTGAAATTTTTATCATTTGATTCATTATTTTCCAATTCTAATAATATTAATTTTCTTGAATCTGAAATTTTTCTAATATAATCATCAGCTTTACGTAAATCTAAACGACCTTGAATTTCTAATGGTAAATCATGATCAATTAAAATCTCTGAAATTTTATTATAATCTTTGAATTTTAAATTTGTTTTGGATAATTTAACAACACTGTAAAAATTTGTAACATCAACGAAAACTGTTTGACCTGACCAAATTGGGGTTTCATAATTAAATGAATTGGATTCATCTTGTTGTTGTTTAACTTCTTTTTCAGTTTCACCCAAGATTTGTAAAATTGCATCATCATCTTGTAATGAATGTGAACGATCTCTCGAATAAGTTTCTTGTGTCCCATCCCCATTATCATCTTTATCAAATGAATTATCAAATTCATCATCTTCATCATTATTATTACCATTATTATTATAAATTGATGATTCTTTTCTTTCATTAATAACTGTGTTTTTAGATTTTGTAAATTTTTTCTCATCATTATCAATATTCATACCAACATTAAAATCATATTGAGTTTGTGCATTAGAATCATCTTTTTCTAATAAAATATCACCTTTATGAGTACGTCTGATATTTGAAACAGTTGGAGCTTCTAAAGTGGCTAAAGTCATTGATTCTTTAATAGCTTCTTCTTTTTCTTTACGTAAATCAGGATTTAATAATTCTTGTACTGGCATTCGAACTAATTTATCAAATGGTAACACTTTATTAATAATTGATAATCTTAATTTTGAATTTTTAACATCAATAACATTTGAATAAATTCTTGCACTTGCTTCTTTATAAGCTGGTGTTAATTTTAAAGTCTCTGGATCATGGTAAACTTTATACAATTCATCCTCTAATTTAGTTGCCCATTTCAATGATAATGATTCAATAGTATTTTCATCATCATTTTCATCCTTCAGATTAACATTTGATCCAGGTAATAATTTTAAAAACATTGTTTGAAATCTTCTCTTAACAGCATCTTTAGTTTTAGCATCAATTTCTCTAGCTTTTGATTCAGCAGCGTTAATCTCACTAATACTTTGACGGCCTCTATGTTTTGGTGATTTTGATTTCTTCTTGCGTTCATAATCATCGTCATCATCATCTTCATTATTATGATCAGTTGATTTAGATCTTGATCGTTTTCTTTGTTTTCTTTCAGATTTAACTTTGAATTCAGCATCATCAGCAGAAAAGTCTTTATCGTCATCATCAACTTTATCATTATCTTTAAATTCGTCATCTTCTTCTTCATCTTCATCTTTCCCATTACTAGAGTTTCTGCGAGATTTCTTCTTAATCTTCTTGATAGTCTTTGGTTTTGGTTTTATAGTAGAAGGGTCTATTTTAAAAGACAGGTTCTTATAAGATTCATTAGCAGGATCACAGACATTACACTTATATTCGTCAGGAATAACTTTGGACTGTTTACCCAGTATACACTCGGTGTGTTGCCATGTTTGACAATTGTCACATTGGATCATGTCCCTGTCGTCTTGTTCCTCGTCATAGTTGTCATCTGTGGTACCGCAAACCAGGCATTGTACAGCGCCATCCTCATCTTCTTCATCACCAACTTCTTCATCACCACTACTGTTTCTTCTAGCCTTCTTTGACTTCTTTGCAATCAATTCTTCATACTTGATCTGCTCACTCAGCCTCGTGTTTGTACCTTTGTTGGCCCTTGAAGAGCGACGTATCTCAGCCATAGCGCTCCGTTTAATAACCGCCACCACACAATTAATTGATAATTTGTTGTTGTTGTAGTTTCTAAAAGATAGTGATCATATTTTTTTTCTTTCTTACAATGAACTGGAAATACGAGGGTAAATTTTATGGTCATGTGACTATAAAATTAACCTCGGAATGTATGACTGTCACTTTGGCAGTGTCATTATCCTATAAACAGAAATACGAGGGTATATTGATCACATGACCATATTTCTCAGTACCCCGGTTCTCGGCCGTCTCGGTACGAATTTGCGTCCCGCAACGAGTTTCTTTTTTTTTATTTTTTTTGGCAGGCGACGTTAAAATTTAAAATGAATTCTTCTCCTTTTCCAAAATCTAAACAAACCTGAACAATAACCAACAACAGCAACAAAAACACTATAGCAACATTACCAAAAAACCAAAGAGTACTATCAATAGTTAGTCGCTCAGATATCCAATAGCATCTTCTGAAAAGAACCAGAGAAATCTCTGGTGAAAAAACCCCTAAAACCACCCTTTTTACAACAGAAAACCATCCTCAACAACCGCCATCCAATCATTATTATAACTATCTGAAATCATTATTATAACTATTTGAAATCACTATAAGCATACCATAATCAAACACACTAATGGCACAACTGTTTCAGAAATACTTTCTAAGTGAAAGACCCACTGGGGTAGTTATTGCAGATATTGATTTAAATTTTAATCCTAAAGTTTCAATTGAAAGATTAAAATCTCATCAATTTACTAGAAATGAAGTTATTCATTTTGGAACATTAATTTTTTTCTTTTCAATTGCATTCTTCATAAATCCTGTTAATGTTTTTTTAAAATTAATGGTTGTTTCATTATTAATAACGGTTTTATTAATTCCATTCACTTCACAATTTTTCCTTAATGCATTACCAATATTGGCTTGGTTAGCCTTTTTCTTTACATCAACAGGGATTCCTCCAAGTTATAGACCTCCAATTTCAGTTAAAGTTTTACCAGCTGTGGAGACTATTCTTTATGGTGATAATTTAAGTCAATTGTTGGCAACTTCAACTTCATCATTTTTAGATATTTTAGCTTGGTTACCTTATGGTATAATTCATTTCAGTTTACCATTTGTTGTTGCCGGATTAATTTTCCTTTGGGGTCCACCAACTGCTTTAAGATCATTTGCATTTGCATTTGGTTATATGAATTTAATTGGTGTTGTTATTCAAATTGTTTTCCCTGCTGCACCACCTTGGTATAAAATTTTACATGGATTAGACCCTGCAAATTATTCAATGTTGGGATCACCAGGTGGATTAGCAAGAATCGATACTTTATTACATTTGGATCTATATACAACAAATTTTAGTAAAAATTCACCAGTTGTGTTTGGAGCTTTCCCTTCATTACATTCAGGATCTGCTACAATGGATGCATTATTTTTAAGTTGGTTGTTCCCAAAATTTACACCATTATTTGTTGTTTATATCACATGGTTATGGTGGTCAACAATGTATTTAACACATCATTATTTTATTGATTTAATGGCTGGATCTTTTCTGTCATTTGTCGTTTTCCAATATACTAAATATAAACATTTACCAATTAATGATATGAATGCTAAAAATCGTTGGTCATATTCTCAAATCATTAAACCAAATATTTATGCAATGGATCCATTATCATTAGCACCAGAAGTTGATATTGAAAATCAAATTTCTTATTCATCACAAAGAGCTGTTAATAATGTTGAATTAAATGTTATTTCAAGACATAGTTCTGGTACATCCGTGGTTCAAGGACCAAATGCTATATATAATGATTCAGATTCAACATCTTCACCTGCATTATCAGTATTTGAAACAGATGATGTTCCAAGATCTTTTTCAAGAGCTTCAAATAATTCAAATACTTCAATTGAAAGTCAATTTGATATGTCAATTCCAATCATGCCTCCAAATTCTTCATCATCAAAATCAAGAATGGATTGATTTAATTGATGATGATGTTTTTTCTTCTTTTGCATCTTCTTTATATGAACATATAAATCACTACATCTTTTAATGTCTTAATTTTTAATATAATGTCAATACTAATATAATAATAATTTTAATGGGTTGAAATAAAAAATGTAGTTAAAAGCGACAAGGAAGAGTAGTCTTATGTATAAATTCAATACAACTACATTTGTTGATGATTGTACTACATAAAAAACAGTACAAAATTAAGAGTCATTATATTCATCTAGAGCACATGATAAATTCATCATGATATGTACATCTAGGACACTATACTCTGTGTAATCAATCTCCTATTACAGCACAAACTTCTTAGATCTTGATTAATCAATCTAAAGCACATTCATGGAATAAGAGAAGACACTAAATTAGGCAATGTGAAAGCCCTGCAAAAAGTAGCTACCCATTTTGAAACTATGTAAAGAAAACACAGCTATCATATATAACACAGTTATCAAGCTGAACATTATGCTAACAAATTAATAATTTCCCTTATTTAATTTCCATGTTTTAAAAGAATGTAAACGTAATTTGATCCTTTTTTTTTCCCATCCGAAATCGTGAAAATTTGGAACAATACAGGTCTGAGAAAAGTATCAAGTTCAGCTGGTTGACTAAGATCAGAATGGCTGGTACAATAAATGGAGATATTGTGAGCATGGTATTTAAGGTCATATTAAAACAGTGGTGATGGCTGTTTGATTACCATTTTTTCTTAAATGACAAAGAGTTAGAAGGGGCTTTAAAGAGATATTGTTGTATTGTATAAGTTAAATTAGTTCTCACGTCTACTACAAGGATTCAAAAATGCAGAGATTTATATTCAACCCCATGTGATCATTGGGTAACAATCTGTGGTCGAAGTACTCTTAGTTTCAATCATTAATCATCACAGAACAGTACTAAATTAACAGTATGACTCTATTGATTTCATAATTTTGATCTCTATCTCACTATACTTGTCCATGAGCGTAAATGACAATGACAAAAGAATTTACAGCTATCAAATTTTTAGCTATATGTAGTTCACAAAATCACACGAAAGGCTTCTCAATGACGGTATGAAGACAAAAGGAAAAGATCCAGAAAAGTATTCTTTTCAGGGGAAATTTGACCATTAAATAGACTATTTAGACTAGATTATATAATACAATATCTATTACGTAACACCAGAAAGTGATGGTATAATGTTGAAATGTTAGTTATTGGAATATTGTTATGAGTCCATATGTTTGATATCTCTCTATGCCAATGAGAATTGAATCAGTATTTCCATGGAGTTCAACAGTGTACAATTTTGGATTCAATGAACCTACAACAATATATTAAAACAAAATAATGTATTTATTCAATCATATATGGTGGTTAAACCAGCAATTAGATCTTAGAAAACACCCACTAGACTTTCTCAATGAATTGGGAATACTCAGAATATACTTAGCATAATTGTAAAATTAATGCGTATACCATAAAGCATCCCAACATCAAGATAAATGAAATACTCAATCAACCAATTATTAACATTAACGATTTAATTTTAATAAAAGAACCAATTTTCTTAAACATTGACAGGTTACCTAACCCATAACGCTGAAACGATGGTCGCTTTAGAAGTGTTTATGCTTATAATGGATACAAAACCATAAAGAGCAACATGCTGAAATAAAATTAGAAAAGCGAAAGAAAGACTATTCGCGAACTCACAGTAACCCAGATTTTAAAGTACAATAATGATGACCAGTATTGAGATTTGAAGAGCTCAATTGTATTCCACAATATCAGTGAAATACATCAAAAACATTATACTTCAAGGCCCTATTTGGTTGAATGCTACAAAAATTATTTTGAAACTATTCAATCTATTTCAATATTAAATGAAAAAACATGTAATTATCATACCCTATGCAGTAGCATTAAATTCACCTTCATCCAATTTTGTCAATTTTAAAGGTTTACCAGTAACTCTAAAATAAATATCTTTAACATCTTCTGTAACACTTTCAAAATGTGATGTTGCATCATAAGATTTTGAAATGAAAACTCCATCTTTTGAACCATCTTGAATTGGTTCAAAAATTTCAGAAATACCCATAAAAGTATATTCAAAATTTTTAATATTTAATAATTTGAAAGCTGATTGGATTTGTAAATGAGGTGGTTGATCACCTTCAATGATTGTGGAAACAATTGCAACATTTTTACCTGGTGGGGCAACTTTATGCTCTGATCCAATTAATGCAATATAAATATCATTATTTCTATTAGCTTCTTTACCAGTAATAATGATTTGACCTGAATTTTCACCACTTTTCAAAGGTGATTGATCTAAAATTGAAATTGTTCTAATTAATTTCTCATTTTTTTTAACTTTATCAGGGAAATAAGTTGGATCTGCAATTATAACTTTAGATTTTGCAGTTTGTAATTCACCATCTAATTCAACTTTAACACCTTCAACTTTACCATCATCATCATATAAGACTTCTTTTATAGGTGTACCCAACATAAATGTACCTCCATAAATTGCACTTAATCTACTAAAACCTTGAGGTAATTCACCTAATCCATATAATGGATATAAATAAGGAGATTTACCAAATCTTGCCACTGATTGAACATATAAAATAATTCTTTCAACCGCTGGACGTGCAGGTTCATTCAAATATGAATCATTATCATAAAGTGCCATTGCATGTCCAATGAAATTCTTGGTACCTTCTTCCAATCCAAATTTATTATAAACAGTATCAGTACTATCAACATCTAAGTTTAAACCTTTATGAGTGGAAGGTTCATCTTCTTTATATTGTGCAACCCATTGTAAGAAATTTTTCAATCTTCTTTTTTCAAATAATCCAATTAATGATGAACTTATAGCTTCATATTCAGTTGCTGGAACTTTTGAAATTTTATTATAACGATAAACATTAGAACCATCAATTTGTTTGAATTCAACATATCTTGTAACATTTGTATGAACCAAAATGTTTGTTAATTCACCATTGGCCATTAAAAATTTTGGAATTAAATCAATACACCAATCTCTTGAACGGCCTAAGGATTCATCAGGGGTTTTACCTGGTTTAAATTTTTCATAAAGCTGAGCAAAGAGTCAGTATAAGTAAGTAAAGAAAAGATCAGAATCACTCACTTGTTGAAGGTTCAATGAAGCAGATTCACTTGAATTTGTTAATATTAATCCAAAGAAAATAAACACCATCTAAACTCACCCTCCATAATAATCTTGACGATCAATATGTAACACTTTTTTACCTTCAACTGATAACAAACCAGAAAGAACACATTCAGTCAACCCTTTCTCAATTGTTAGAACAAATCATTCCCATCACACTTTGCAATCCTGTCACTCACCAGTTCCTATTCAAAGCATTTGTTAGTATGATCCTCAATTGGAACACCATTGTTATTCCCCATACATACCTAGCACAATAACGTCGTATTCTTCATCCATCTTTTGATAATATCCACACTTCAATTGAAATTGTCTTGTTGTTTGTTTTTGTTGTTGTCGATGAGCTTTCTCCTTATCGAACAGCAAAATAAAAAAAACGCCATCAACAAAAACTTTTCGGTAGGCACACTCTATGGGAATTTGAATAATCAGGTGAAAACATGGGTTTTATGGGAAATTGAGATATTAGTTATTGAATCAGAGAGTTAAGTATTTATTTAATACTAATAGGGTTTTTTTGGATTAAAATATACCCATTATTGAATATTTAATGGCTTTTGAAAACCCTCAAAATAGCTTCATTTTAGTATGTGATTATGTAATCAATATTAGACTTTAAAGTGATTTAACTTGACGATAAAAGCAGTAAACGAGTGTTGAAAATATGCTAAATGGAATAAAAATATCTGAATTATTTTACTATAAAGTCATATTTGATTTTTAAGATAATTTTTTTGATTTGATCTCTTTCATCGAATTTCAGATTTGGAAATAGTGAGAATATTGAAGCTTTAATTTTTTTTTAAGTTGTAATTATATTTTTGAATACGTTGAGATTCATCCAATTAATATTCAATTTCTATTGAAATATCACCATATAAGCATATATTAAACCTTTCAAGATGATTAGATCCCACGTCGTTGGGCTAGGTTGTTTGTAATATAACTAGAGCTACGGCCGTACGCGCCCGCTGGATATTCGCGAAATATATTCCTCATGAACTTCTTGAAGGCTTTAATTGAACGAAGGCTACAGCATTTCTAGAAACCTAAAAGTACCAATATAACATATATTTTCAAAAGTTATCAACTCTTTAGTGGTGACTAAAGAATATCTCGCAAAAAAAAATCACAAAACTATAGTTTAAAAATCACATCTCTTTCTCTCCTTTGCTCTATTTCAATTCATCATCAATATGCCTAATTTTATCTTCATTTTCCTCACGGCCTTCATGAACAGCAGCACTAATTTGTGATTGAACAACATGTAATTGTTCTGGGTGGGAGTTTTGCCACTCACGTAATTTATAAGTTTGACCAGTTAAATCCCAATATAACCCACGACAAGTTGTATAAATACCATGACGACCTTCCCATAATGGATAAATACAAACCATAAAACAAGTAAAGAATAACCAAATAATCAAAACAGTAACCCAACCAGTGAAAAATTTTTTACTGAAAATGTATTTGGAACCATACATTGGCATTGGCCAGACAATCAAAAATGCAAGAGCCATGAAAATACAAAGGTACCCACCAATTTTAGCAGACTTGGCCAAATGTGCAGTTTCTTCCTCCAACAATTTATCTTTATTTGATTGAGCCAATTGTTTCCCAACTGTAGCAACTGAAGTTATTGGGTTTAAATTTTCTTTATCATTTTTTTCATCATAGACTTCACCTTCACTTTGCATGATTTCTTCAGTTTCATCAACTCTTTTGATTTCTTTCAAGATTTCCCAGTCAAAAGGTTCATGTTTAAAGCAAATAGTTAGCACTGGAACAAAAATTAATGGAGATAGTAATGAAACAAGATTACCGATCAACATTGGATCATCTTCAAATAAATTATCGTAACTTGCTGAACCAAACATACTTTTAGCAGAAGCTAACCAACTAATAATCCCAACCAATGATCCAAGAACAGGTGAAATCACTGCAGCTGCCCAATTTTGTCTTGACCAAAACATTGTTAAAGAAGCAGGAATAACAGCAGATGCAATAATGATACCCATCAATTCATACAAGAACCCCATACTAACACCACCATAGTGCAAACCAATGGAAAACCCAATCATAATAAGACCAAAAATAATACAACTAGCATGAGAAACCAAGATTAGCTTTTTACCTGAAGCCCTTGGGTTGATATAACCCTTATAGATATCATAAGTACAAAGCGAACTCACAGCAATTAATTCAGCACTCATAGCTGAAGTGACAGCCATGAAAACCAACAATAAAGAAGCGACTGCACCACCTTTACCCAATAAAGTGTAAGCAGCAGTTGGCAAGACTAAACCTTCAGCAACTTGAGTAGCACTCAACCCATTTGGATAATACATGAAACTTGGACTATCTTCTAAACATCTACAGGCTAATCCCATTGAAGTTGAGATCAAGCAAGGAATAGCAAACCATGCCAACCCACCGAGAACATATCCTGGTAATGAAGCAGCAGGAGAAGCAGCAATTGCCTTGTTCCAGTAACCCTCTAAAATTTGTAGTTAGTATATCAATTCTTGAGTGAAAACCATGTTATTTCACGCGAACATAGCAGTTAATGAGGTACCCAAAGTGAATGAAGTTCAGCAGTCAGCACTGCAAAGTACCAAAAATCCACAGTAACTCTTATTTCATTTCACAGAAACACACGGGAATAATCTAAACAAATACTTACGATCCCTAGATTAATTGTTAGTATTAATTTCCAAAAAATGTGCTTTTTGTTGCAAAGATTCGCGGTAAATGAAAAACCATTCAAATCTGAACATTTGCAGCAAGATAAACTTCAATTTTATACTCACATGAACACTGTTGGGAAGTTTCCTGAAATGTTAATTAAAAAGAACATCCCACCTGATTTGGAATTGAATGTTAAATATGAACCTTTATGATTTCCTTCAATTGGATGAGTCTTAGCCAATTCTGTTAATTTATCATACACTGCACTTGGAGAACCTAATAATGGACTAGCAGCATAAACGGAAAATGCAAAGACGAAAATGATAATAACAATCACAACAGTATGTGCATAATCTGTCAAAAAAGTTGCCTTGATACCACCAAATAAAGTATAGACAACAGTACCCAATGGCAATAAAAAGATAGCAGCAACTGGGTGCATACCAGTCAAGAAATTAACCGTGGCGGAACCACCAGCCAATAACATAGCAGTAACCAAAATGTTTGTTGCAAATGCGAAATAAGTATAAACCAAATGAGCAGTCTTACCATATCTAGCTCTGACAATTTCAAGATAAGTATGTGCACCTGGGGCAATTTGCTTTGCCTTAATAGCTAAAGTTGCAAACAAAATGATTTGAACACAAGCACCTGAAGCATACCAAAACCCACCAGAGACACCATTTTTATAAGCTTGAGTAGTGGATTGTAAAAGAGTGGCAGCCCAAGTCCAAGAACTAACCACAGCAGCAGCAATAAGAGAAGTATTGACACTTCTACCAGCAGTAGCGAACTCTTCAGCAGTGATGATTTCCTTTTGATAACGTCTCAACATCGCAGTGACTGCAATCATACCAAATGCAAAGACTGCACCTAGCCCAACAACAATGGCATAACCGGCACTTTGTGGTAAAGGGTTTCCTTCTAACATTATCACAGCTTCCTAATTGACCTGGAATGAAAAGCTCATCTCAACGGTCTTGCGTCAGTTTGAGGATCTTTATGAAGTTTTATATAAAGTGCACTGTCAGAGAGTCGCGTGCCAATAAGCTCACGCTGATAAGAATTTTTTTTCGTTGATAAGCTTCATGCCGAACAAATGAGTTTCTTGAAGGGCTGCCAAAAGCTTGACAGGGACAGGGACGCTATTGGAAAAGAGCTAAATGGATGACTCTGAGATCTATTGAATGATGAGTGATTCTCTAGAGTCTAGACATCGTGGATTCTGGAATTGTAAAACATTTCAATGTGTATATCACCTTTGAAAGTGATTGTGAAAGTGATTGTGGGTATTTTTTGAGCTCTGTAGCATTACAGTGATTTGTCCTGAACAATAAAGGGCTTGAAACTTGAAGATCACGAAATAATTGTCCACTCAGTTACTCACAACGAATCTATACACAATGAACTCAATTTGTTCCCTGTGTTAAAGCCAGCCGTTGCTTTTTGACCCAAAACGGTTTTCCCTTTTCTCATTGGTGGAGTTAATCTCGAGATTGGAACGCCGGCGAACTCAGCACTTCATTTAAGCACAAATGATCACCAATAACGATGATGACAACACCAAAATCAACCAGTGAAAACCCAGAGATCTAGATCATGATGAAAGAAAAATTTGTGATCAGGGAAAGCTGGAACGATGAAGAAAGCAACGGCAGAACGAACAATCAATAGAAAACGGCTTCTCAAACTATCTTCTCGAAAACAATTGATATCTTTTCTGTATATCCTCTAAAACTTTACTGAACAAAGGCGAGCTGTGTATTCATAAAATCAAAGTGATAACAAGATCAGGTCATTATTGAACCAAGTATCATAGTCTAGATGGGAACCAGCAGCTATCAAATCATGAATGTGTTGATAGGATCAATGGCGATGATATCTGATTGTTTTTCTCCAATAACTACCACCAATTGACCAAGATACCTGAAGTTTAATGAATGGGGATGAAATTTCAAGCTGCGTGTATGGTACAAATAATCTCTTGAAGAAATGAAGTGCTCAGATTTATGATTCATTGATACTATGGGTTGATACAGTTCGATTCATGAATTTGGATAGCACAAATGCTTCACTTTTGATCCATTAAAAAACATATCCAGTCAATTCCAACAACACTAAAACCAGTATGAATTAGGAAAATCAGTACTTCTTATAAATTTCAGATAGATCAGTTGAAATTTTAGATGCGACATGGAAGTGAATCACCGATTCATTGTTTGTTTCAAATCACCGACGGATATAGTCGCTTTTTCGCGAACATGAACCACTTCCAACGGAGAATTTTAAACTACTTTATCATTGAAAATGATTGATTGAGATTTTGAATAGAGTATAAGAAGTCCAGCTACACAGATATTCAACTATAGAACACCTTTTATTAAATTTTTTGGATGTACTCAAGTGTTACTCAAATCGCCAACTTTGTGTGGGACAAAATCATGCCAGATATAGAACGTTGTACATTTATTCATCCGTATAATTCTTGAACAGCTGGGGTGAAAACTTCTTGAGGTACTAATTCCTCGTTGTCGAGTGAATCTGTTTCAACAACTGTGGGTGAATGATTGTACTCCAAAGAATCAAAAATTTTTCAACTTTAGTATCATCCATCTTGCACATTGGTTTACAAGTGAATAGATATACAAGAGGCTAAATGACTGAATTGTTCAAGAAAAACCAAGAGCTAATAGACTATGTCTATGCTAATTTCAATGGTGTTCCCAAGGGAAGTGATGATTATGAGAAAATGATTTCAGGAATGCGGTATGTTGGATAGAAATGTTACCTAGTTTGACATAATTGACAATACTAACAATAATTCACTAAAGTTATAGATGCTGGGTTCCTGAATTGAAATATGCTCGTATGAGAAGACATGAAAGAGCCTTGAAGTATGGTAATATTAGTATTGATGATTTTGAGACTCCAGATGAATACGAACAGGCCCGCTTAGATTATTTGAAAACCGTTTTTGGAAATATCAAAGGTGAAGCATTTGTTGAAGCACCTTTCTACGTTGATTATGGATTCAATATTGAAGTTGGTGATAAGTTTTATGCCAATTTCAACTTAACTATCTTGGATGGTTCAATTGTAAAGATTGGACATGGGGTTGCACTTGGTCCAAATGTCACTTTGACTTGTGCTACCCATCCTTTAGATCCTTACATGAGGGTTGATGATCATTATGAATGGTCCAGGGAAATCATTATTGGTAATAGGGTCTGGTTAGGTGCCAATGTCACTGTTCTTGCTGGAGTCCATATTGGGGACAATGTTGTTGTTGGTGCCAACTCCGTTGTTACCAAAGACATCCCAGCCAACTCTGTTGCAGTTGGTATTCCAGCCAGAGTCGTCAAGAAGCTGGAAGTGGTTGAGAGAGGTAAATAACTTTAAGATGCATTCGTGATTGCAAATTTCAACACATTGTAGAACAATGGCAGCCTGAGCCACCGACAATTGCTTTCAAAATCTCTTCTTTCACTTGCTTAACGAGCCCAACGGCATCTTCAACTAGCGGTCTTTACTTTACAGAGCCAAGTGCCTTTCTTGAAGGGCGTTTTCAAAGAGCTTAACCACAGTTTAGCGATGATGAAACCGTTGAAAAAAAAATTTAATAGCCACAGTTGTAGACAACCACATCAACAAAAGCACAAACCACAGTGCTCATCGCCATCTGGAGCTATACAAATGGACAACCAGGGAAATATCATTTAAATGGCACAAGATGCCCTTGTTTTCAGCTCGCTTCTGAATTATGTTTTCATATTTTGAAAAAAATGTCGGATCTTGAATCAAACAAGAAAGAGCACTTGGTTCAGAGAGTCGTGAGTTTGAACTCAGCTCAAGCTCATGTTGATGAAAAAGATGCTGATGCAACGTTGAAATTCATGGAGACTTACTCGAGCCAAGTAACTGGGTCATTGACTCCAGAGATTGAGAAAAGAATCAGAAGAAAATTATACATTTGGTTAGTTCCTCTACTTATGATGATTAATACCGTGTTATTTGTTGATAAAAGTGTACTATCTTATGGTATATTGTTAGGGTTGTTTGAATCAACTGGTATTTCGCATGACCAGTATAATAACTTGAACTCAATCTTCTACGCAGGTTATTTTATTGGTCAAATTCCATTACATTTTTTCCTTCAAAAATTCAATTTTGCAAGATTTGTCTCTTTGATATTGTTCACTTGGGCAATTTTGATCTTTTTAACAGCCACTGCCTCAAATTATGGCGGATTGATTGTGCTCAGATTCCTATTAGGATTTTTTGAAAGTGTGATTATTCCGGCTATTGAAATTACGTTGTTACAATTTTTCACCCCAAGAGAAAGAGCAATGGTGAATCCAGTATTTTGGGTTAGTTCACAAGGTCCTGCCGAATGGATAGGTGGATTCATATCTTATGGGTTGTTGCACCTAAAGTCACCACCAATTCCTCCATGGAAAATATTTATGGTTATTATCGGTGGGTTAACTCTGATCAATGCAGTTTGGGCATTATTTGTTTATCCAAGTAATCCATCAGAGGCAAAATTTCTAACCATAGAAGAAAGAGTCCATTTGATTAGAAAGATCCAAACAGCCTCAAGCTCTTCAATTGAACAGAAAACGATTAAGAAATATCAAATCATTGAATGTATTAAAGATCCACTGACTTGGTTATTCACTTCATTTGCATTGTTCAGTATGCTTCACAATAATTTAATGTTCCAAGTAAACATTTTATATGAAGCTATTGGTGTTAAAAGACTAGGAGTAACTCTTATAAATGTCGTGGGTGGTGCTTTTGGCTCAATTTTCCTGGTAGCTGGTGTCTTTATTGTTTATAAGGTCAAGGAAAGTTCTGCGTTGGTGATTCTCTTAGCAGGAACTCCAGCATTAGCAGGTGCTTTAGGAATGGTTTTAGTGCCTTGGGATAAAAAACTTTCACTGATTGTGATGTTGTTATTAAGTGGTCACACATTCGCTCTAGCTTTCATTGTCGTTGTCGGTTGGTCAACTTCATCAGCATCAGGTTATACCAAAAAATTCTATAGAAATATTTTTTTTATGTTTGGGTATTGTATTGCCAACATTATTAGTCCACAATTATGGAGAGGCCATCAAGCTCCAAGGTACTATCCAGCATGGATCATTCAGATTGTTTTATCGTTCTTCTTGCCTATACTGATTGGACTTGTGATTCATGTTATCTTGAAAAGACGTAATATTGAGAGATTGAAATACATTGAAGAACATCCAGATGAGAAATATGGTCAAGTTGTCACCACTGATCCCAACACTGGAGAACAAGTGGTGGAGGAAGTGGATATAGCTAACTTAGACTTGACAGATTTAGAGAACAAGTTCTTTATATATCCCTTGTGAATATAATACTACGAACTAGATTGAAATGCAGCGACCGCTTATACCCGATAATCAAACATCAACGAAAAAACGTCAACAATCGAAAATTCCATTGAAAAGTATTATTTTTATCAGGAAGTTCAATTTGAAAGAAATCTCGATCAGTGATATTGCAGTATCTCAAAATGATCTGTCATTTCGCTGGAATCAGTTCCTGAATACCATAAATGAGCCAATGGCACCATATTACTAGGGTTGACGATACCGTGGGTATTCCACGGTCTGATTGAAAACAGGTGTTTGATCATCATGAAAAAAAAACTTCACCCTTAAACCAACAACACAAGGAAAATAACATCAAAGAGAACTAAAGAATAATGTCTGGTGAATTTGACAATGAAGGTATCCCCTTTTGTAGGGACTGTCAAACTTGTGATACTCCATGTACCAGTAAGTTTAATATGTATCTTAAGAGAAAATATCCACAATATACTAATGATGGCAAAACTAGTTGAATGTATCCGTGAAATTGCTAAGATTGAGTGTGGTGATGCTTCCGAAAATGTCAGCAAGCCTGATTGCGATTCATGTGATGATTCATGTGAAGATAATGTTTGTTGTGAAGATGGTGACGCCGACAGTTGTTGTGGTCAAGGATCAGATTCGGATTGTGATTCATGCGAAGAGGAAGGTAAGGATAACTGCTGTGATAAATCAACATCATCTTACGAAGCTTGTGCAACTCATTTCCAAAAGGCATTGAAAGATTATTACAAGTATATCGAAACTGGTCAATGTATTTGTCGTAAATTCTTCAAGAATTTAAACACTTGTTGTGGAACAAAAGTTTCAGGTCCTTCAATTTACCAAGATCATGATGAATGCTTTGTCAAATCTTCCTGCTCACGCAAGAAAAGTTTCACTCCAAGATGTCGTAGTCGTCGCAAGGTTAAGTCTTCATGTGGTGAAAAAGGTGGAAATGAGGATATTTGCAAAGACTCCTGTGAAGAGACCAAGGAAAACTCTTGTAAAGATGCCTGTTGTAAGATCAAAGAAACCCCATTGAAATTCAGTGAATCAAAAGATCCAGAGTCTTTGACTTCCTATGAAGCAGTTGCTTTCAACGTTTCTGGCATGACTTGTACTGGTTGCAGTAAAAAAGTTTTAAAGGTTTTACAAAATATTGAGGGTATTAGCTCAATCAATGTCACTTTTGTCACTGGTATTGCTGAATTTACAATCAACAAGGATATCTTGGATGTTCCCCAGGCTGTTGCTAGAATCTCAAAAGAAACAGGTTTCAAGCTAACAAAAATTGAGTATGATTTCCAAACCATTGATATGATCATTGGGGAAGGAGATTTGAACAAACTGGAGGAATTTGTTGAATCAATTGAGAAATTGGATAAATCCACATACAGAGTCTCCTATGATCCCCAATTTATCGGTGCTAGATCACTTGTTTCCAAGATTCCAGGCTCAAAATTAGCACCACCAAAGTTTAACAAAGCTTTGGAGGAAGGGAAAAAGAAACTTCGTTTGATGTGGATTAAATGTGCTCTATCATTAGCTTTAGCCATTCCTGTTGTTGTCCTGGATTGGTCTCATAATTCGGTCCCTTATGCCACAAAATCTATCGTTTCATTGGTTTTAGCTTCATTGGTTCAAATTATAGCCATTCCTGAATTTTATATTGGTGCTTTAAAAGCATTAATCTATAGTAAAGTCCTGGAAATGGATATGTTGATTGTTATTAGTATTACTGCTGCTTATGTGTTTTCATTAGTCATTTTTATTTTGAAAAGAGTTGGTGTTTCGATATCTATTAATGAGTTTTTCGAAACCAGCTCGTTATTAATAGCATTGGTCTTGGTTGGAAGATTATTGTCTGAAATTGCAAAAGTTAAGGCTGTTTCCTCGATTTCATTAAGATCTTTACAAATTGAAACATCTATCTTACTTCAAGATGGCGATGAAATTGAAATTGATTCTCGTTTGCTGGAAATGAATGATAAAATTGTCATCTCTCCTCATTCAAGAGTTGTTACTGATGGTTTTATTGTTTCCGGAGAAGGCCCAATTGATGAATCCATGATTACAGGTGAGTGTTTACCTGTTATGAAGAAAGTGAATGATGAAGTTATTGCAGGAACTTTTAATGGCTCTTCTAAGCTAATTGCTCAAGTCACAAGACTACCAGGGAAAAACAGTATCACCGATATTGCAGAATCTGTGGAAAATGCTTTGGCTGAAAAGCCCAAAGTTCAAGATTTAGCTGATAAAATCGCTGGGTATTTCATTCCTGTTGTCATTATGATTTCAACTATTGTCTTCATTGTTTGGATCATTGTCGGTTTGAAAGTTAGACATCAATCAGGTGGTAAAGCCGTTTCTGTTGCAATCACTTATGGTATTGCAGTGTTGGCAATTTCATGCCCTTGTGCAATTGGTCTTGCTGTTCCAATGGTGTTAATCATAGCAGGTGGAGTAGCTGCACGGGAAGGTATTATCATTAAACAATCAAATGTTTTGGAAAATGCATATAAGGTTACCGATGTTGTTTTCGATAAAACTGGTACACTTACTGACAATGAAATGAGAGTGGAAGACTTCAAAATCTTGGAAGATAATGGAATCGAAAATGATGAAGTGATCTCTGTTGTCAAGCAAATGACATTGAACAACACCCATCCTGTTTCAGTTGCGGTTGCCAATTTTTTAGATCAGAAGGATGCTTCATCTGCTGCTAAGATTGAAAAAATTGAATCAATCTCTGGTTCTGGTATTCAATGCGAATTTAAGCATTCAATTTTGAAGCTGGGAAATCCATACTGGACTAAACTTCACAACCATGAAGTTGTCAAACCGCTATTGGAGAAAGGTTATACATTGCTTTGCTGTGCAAGTGACTCCAAGTTGATCTGTGTTTTTTCATTGAGAACAGAGCTAAAACCTGAAGCGAAGGATGTTATTCAATTTTTATCAAAGAAAGGTCAAACGTGCCATATTGTAAGTGGTGATAATAGGAAATCAGTGGAAATGGTTGCCAATGAATTGGGCATTTCCTTATCAAACATTCAGTTTAGAGCTACCCCAAAGTCTAAACAAGCTTTTATCAAGTCTTTAAAAGGTGCTTCAAAGGAAAAGGTTGTCCTATTTTGTGGCGATGGTACCAATGACGCTATTGCTGTTGCTCAAGCTGATATTGGTGTTCAAATTGGAACAGCCTCTGAAGTAACCAAAGCTTCATCAGATGTTATTTTATTGGGTGGGTTAGATGGTATTGTGAAGTTGCAAAGCCTTTCAAAAAGAACCTTTAATAGAGTTTTCTTCAACTTCATTTGGTCAGCCATTTACAACTTATTTGCAATTTTGCTATCATCTGGTGCTTTTGTCAAAGCCCGTATCCCTCCTGCTTACTCTGGAATTGGTGAAATTGTTAGTATTGCACCAGTTGTTTTAGCAGCTATCTCTCTATCCATTAAATGGAAAAAAGAATAGAACGTCAAAGCTCCAAACTTCTTCTGCTGCAACTGCTTTTTTGGAACTGCTTTTTTGAACAAGACTTTAAACAATACAAATATATGATGCTGATTTGATATTTCAAGTTTTCAACAACCATTTGAGCCTTAGATGTAGTGTTAAATGAGAGGGTTGCGCGCTGAGACTGCAACTAGTTTGATAGGTTGACCTCATTTGTCTAAAAACACTTCTCTGGATCTTCCTTGCCCTTTCACAAGTGTTTCAACCCATTTTGACTTCTTTAACCAGTAACCAAATTAGCTGCATCAAACCTTTTAAATTGTGAATCTATTTCAAGGTATTTGAATTCAGAAAGCAGTGATTGCACTTGCACCTCCAAATCATATTAAATCCATATAATGTGAATTGAACCATCCAGAGTTATACTCATGAAAATGTTGTGGATTACGTTCAAAAAGGCAGTGATTGCACTTGCACTTTTGTCACATCACTTCAAACAGGCTCCGTGATGACACAAGAGTTCCCGCGAGTTGGCACTTGAAACTGGACTTTGACAGTTGATTTCAAATAATTGAAGAACATGAATCTTAATCAAATATCACTCTCTAGTTTGCGTTTTTGAGTCATGATCAAACAAGTTTATATGGTTTTTGTGTCATGTCGATTTTAATGTTTCACAAAACCGTGTTGATTTACGGCTTTTGTAGGAAAAACGACGGAATCGTGATACGAGTCGTAGCACAATTAATAGAGTGATTATCATTTTCAAGCCTTGTATCATTGTTTAAATACTTCAGTTTATTGCCCAGCTTGTGACTTCTTTCAAGGCTCAGATTGTAACACATTAAATATCAGTCACGAATAACAGACAAAGTGATGATCTTAAAGTACCTTTTCAAAGTTACAATCTCTTTCGACACTTCCACAATCAACTTTACCATTAATTTTCCCAATTCTTCTTTAAAATAAATGCTTTCCTCAACATTTTGCTTATTATAGAAATATATCACGTGACCGAGGGTAGACTGACGTCATTTGCATACTTTCCAAGCCCTCGGTTCTTTCCCGCAAAAACATGATCAACAACTTTTCGAAGCGACGAGAAAAACATCAAAACAACCTGAAACTATTTATACTCTTTTCCCTCATTTCTCTTGAAAATACAAGTTCCTGCTGCTGCTACTGCTGCCACCGCCACTCCGTACAGAAGACACACACTATTACTACAGGCTAAGTTCCCTTGAGCAATCCAGAGCGCTCCCACTGCATCCATTCTTATCTCAACAACAATCAGAAAGCTCCCCTTATCGAGGCGTGTGCTAGAGAAACCATTCCGCATACTCCATTTCTTCACATTTGAAAAGAGTAGCAGTCCATTAGAAACAATCAAATACTATAGACAATTACAAGATTAGACACGGTTTTGAGAACGCGTCAAACTACTCTTCAATCGGGGTACATATCAAAGGTGCCAGATTTTTTTTTTGAGAATTTTTCAATATAATCAAGACACAATCTTGATGTTATAGATTGCACATCTGTTAAAGAAAACCAAAACAATAATACAATATGACTGATCACAGCGAATATCAACAACTAACTTTGAAAGAAAGTTACCTTGTGGGGAAACCACTATTATACTTTACAACATGTTTCGTTAGTACAGGTGTGCTACTTTTTGGGTTTGAACAAGGTGTTATGAGTGGATTATTGACTAATCATAGATTCAAAGATTATTTTAAAGACCCTTCAAGTGCCGCTATTGGTACTATGGTTGCCATTTTGGAAATTGGTGCCTTAATATCTTCGTTATTATCGGGGAAAGTCTCTGATAAAGTGGGTAGACGTCGTGCTATTCGTTATGGAGCTATTATTTTTGCAATTGGTGGTGCACTACAAGCATTGGCTCCATCTTTAACCATTTTGACCATTGCAAGATTCATTAGTGGTCTTGGTGTCGGTTTATTAACAACTGTTGTTCCAATGTATCAAACAGAGATTTCTCCTCCACATTCTCGTGGTCGTTTAGGTTGTGTTGAATTTACAGGAAATATCATGGGTTATGCAATTTCTGTTTGGGCTGATTATTTTTGTTCATTTTTGGAATCAAATGCAGCTTGGAGAATACCATTATCAATTCAAAGTTTAATTGCAATTGCTCTATATTTTGGTTCTTATGTCATTGTGGAAAGTCCAAGATGGCTATTAAACCATGACCATGATGCTGAAGGTATTGTTGTTATTGCAGATTTAACCTCTGGAGGTAATGTTCAAGATGAACGTGCTAGAAATGAATATAGAGAAATCAAAGAAACAGTTTTACTTCATAGATTAGAAGGTGAATCTTCATACCGCTATATGTTCAAAAGATATAAAAAAAGAGTTTTCATTGCAATGTCTGGTCAAGCTTTTGCTCAATTGAATGGTATTAATGTGATTTCTTATTATGCACCTTTGGTGTTTGAACAAGCTGGTTGGGAAGGAAGAGATGCTATTTTGATGACTGGGTTCAATGCAATCATTTATGTATTGAGTACTCTACCTCCTTGGATCCTTGTTGATAAATGGGGGAGAAGACCAATTTTATTGTCAGGGGCTATAGTTATGGGTGTTGCTCTAACTGCTGTTTCCTATTCCCTTTACGTTAATACGGAAAAGACTAGACATCTCGTTGTTATCTTGGTTTTCATTTTTAATGCTGGATTTGGTTATTCTTGGGGTCCATTACCTTGGTTAATTCCAAGTGAAATTAGTCCTTTAAGTATTCGTGCCAAAATTGCTTCTTTAGCTACTGCATCAAATTGGGCCTTTAATTGGTTAGTTGGTGAAATGACTCCAATTTTACAAGAGTTGATTACATGGAGATTATATTTAATTCATTCCACTTCATGTTTTATCTCATTTTTCGTTGTCTATACAGTTTTCCCAGAAACTGCAGGTGTTTCATTAGAAGATATGGATTCTATCTTTGATGATCGTTCTTCAACTTTTAGTTTCCATGGATCAACTTATCAACCTATAGATTCAGAAGCTCAATCAATCGCAGATGAAACTGTCCCAGGTGGTAATATTCATCAAAATTTATCAACGGCAGCTTTAGCAAGACAACAAGCTTTAGCTAACCCAACTGTTGATTATTCTAATCCATTATTAACAAAACAAAAATCAGAACAAAGTTTTAGAAATTTCATTCCACCACAATCTCAATCCTCAAATTTTAGTATTGAACCTCCAGGCATTGAAGAAATTGTTAAATATAAAAATAGTGATCAACATTCATTAAGTTCTTCAATAAGAAGATCAAGTGCCACAGTTAGCTCATTTGTTGGTAAAGTTTTCAAGAAAAAGGGAAATGGGAACTCTACAAGTAATGGTGATGGAGATGAAAGTGTATTTGCAGGCTCTGATACTGAATCATTAAATTCAAGTAATATCCAAGATCAAGTTTAGACTAGAAGTGTTATTTGATTTCTTTGCATCATAGATCCACTAACTATTTGTGATTTTTGTTTATCAGTCTATTTTCAGTTCGTTTTGTATGAGTACAGTTATTTTAAATATATTATTATTATTATCCCAACCGAGGCTCTTTATTCACTAATATACAAAGTTTTGTTTCATGAGTACTTATTTTGGATCTGGTAATCTTCTAAAACATTTCAAGAACTTATCACCTTTATTTCTTTCAACTTTTTTACCTTCTTCAGTACTATTATACATTATCTTAACACATTCATCATTTTTTTCAAATTCTTCGTCTAATCTTTCAAATAATGGATGTTCATCAAGATGTTTAACCATCCAGTCATGTAAATCTTTAACATCTGTAATGGTATAAATTATACCACCTTCTTTCAAAACATAAGCATATTCACTCAATAGAGTATTTGTGATAATTCTTGCCTTATGCTTTCTTTGTTTAAAATGAGGATCAGGGAAACAGAAAAACATTTTCTCCAATTGTGATTTTTGGAAAAAATTTGGTAAAAACTTCATGGCATTACCTCTCAAAACATTTATATTTTGATATCCGTTTGTGTCAATATGTTTTTGTCTTAATGCAATAATACGATCTTCGACATAATGTGTAACTTGAACACGAATTTCCATACCTAATATTAAATTATCTGGGAAAGCTGGGGATAAATCAATTAACAACCCACCGAATCCACATCCAACATCTGCAATAGTGACATCTTTTGTCATTTTACCTGTTGATTCATCAAAGAATCCTGGGTATAATCTTGACCATTCCATATCAGCTGGGCTTCTTGGACTGACGATATGGGTTAGAAATATGAAGTGAGAAGAGTTCTTAATTATACTCACTATTCAAGTTGATGGTCTGAGAATGGGTTTGAATGTGCACGCTGTCTATAGAAACGTTTCTGAAATTTCATTAGTTCCCATTATATTCTAGTGATAAATATCGATATCACTCACTTTTGGTAATTCAACTTCTGAATCCTTTATTGAATCAGCATCAATTCTAACATGCTTCAAGTTTTTACGTTTCTCTTCTTGCTTATCACGGTATGCTTGTCTCTTTTGCGAGTTTGTCACTCTGTCATCGGTGATTTCACTCATTATTGTGGTAACTTTTTTGCAAGTCTTTTACCAAAATTTTGTTTGTTGATGTTTCCATGTTTAACCAGCTTCATAAAATTTTTTTTTCCAAAAATCTGCCATCATCGCCAGTGTCATCAAATAGCACCAAAATTTATGAAAACATCACTTTCAGGAAAAAACGAAGTTGTAGGTTGATGATATGCTTTAATTCTTTCTTTACAGAGAAAATTGAATATCTGTAAATGAATAGGAACCAGTATGCCTGATTATCCACCAAAATTCAAACAGTACGTCTGTAATTCAATTTGTAAAGCCCAATATCTGGTCAAGACACGTACTTATCTGCCTACAGAAAATCTGGTGGGCTCTGAATTGGAACCTGAGATGTTTTAATGAATATAAATAATAGTAAGTAAATGATTCAGAATTTAATTCTCTCTTTCATTTGACCACAATTCACGGTATAGGCTGACTAAATTTAAGCCTGCTGGTTGCACTGTGGAAAATCTCAAAGCTTTCGGGTCTCTATTTCATCAACACATTAATCGAGAACAGAAACGTCAATTCTCACTCAATACGCCCAAAATCACATTCATTCTCTTCGGTTCACAATTATCTAGCGATTGAATCTAATTTAAAACACCATTGTCTAAATAAAATTCACTGTTTCGTTAGTTTTAAGTAAGCGATTACCAAATCTCATGTGACTCACGGTGAAGCTGCTGAAAAAAAACGATAAAGATAAAAACCGAGACCAAATCCAAAACTCATCGCTGTTGGATTTTTTTTTAACCAGAGAACAATACAAATCAAAAACACAAACCACATTTAAAACACAATGGGGATACACAAAAAGGTAGAGTCTCAACCAGAGAATCCATTCTCAGGGCTTGTCAACAAGCAAACGATAGTGGAAATCCCTGAATTCGTGCTGGAATCCGGGGAAGTATTGACAAATGTCCCAGTGGCTTACAAGACTTGGGGTCAACTGAACAAAGCTGGAGATAATTGTATGGTTATATGCCATGCATTGACTGGGTCTTCAGACGTGTCTGACTGGTGGGGTCCATTACTAGGTCCTGGTAAAGCTTTTGATCCAACCAAGTTCTTTGTTATTTGCTTAAATTCCCTTGGATCTCCTTATGGTTCAGCAAGTCCTGTCACAAATGATCCAAATACTGGCCAAAGATATGGTCCTGAATTCCCTTTATGCACAGTTAGAGATGATGTTAGAATCCACAAGCTAGTATTGGATGACTTGGGAGTTAAACAATTAGCTGTTGTAATTGGTGGTTCAATGGGTGGTACATTAGTTTTAGAATGGGCTTTTTATAAAGATTACGTTAAAAACATCATTCCTTTAGCAACAAGTGCAAGACATTCAGCTTGGTGTATAAGTTGGAGTGAGGCTCAACGTCAATGTATCTACTCAGATCCAAAATATCAAGATGGTTATTACCCATTAAATGATCCACCAACTGCTGGATTAAGTGCAGCAAGAATGACTGCATTGTTGACTTATCGTTCAAGAAATTCATTTGAATCAAGATTTGGTAGAAAAGATCCAAGTTTAGTTAAAGGAATCCAAAACAAAGTGGATAAACCTTCAATAAATAGAAGCCCTTCAACCCCTCAAGAAGAACATTGGGCAATTCATAATGAAGGTCACAGATTAGGAAGAAAGTTACAACCAAATGGTCTTGAAAAGACAGGATCATCATCCCAAATCAACTCTCCACGTCCAAGATCAGAATCAACAGATTCAAATGCTTCATTGGCTTCAACAGCTTCTTCAGTTCACAAACACCAAACATATTTCTCTGCACAATCTTACTTACGTTATCAAGGTGAAAAATTCATCAGTAGATTTGATGCAAATTGTTACATTTCAATCACAAGAAAGATGGATACAAATGATATTGCAAGAGAAAGAGAAGGTGATTTAGAAAGCTTATTAGAATCATTAACACAACCTGCTTTAGTTATTGGTATAAGTTCAGATGGATTGTTTACTTATTCAGAACAAGAAACACTAGCAAGATATATGCCAAATGCTAAACTAGAAAGAATAAATTCTCCAGAAGGCCATGATGCATTCTTGTTAGAATTTGCAGCTATAAATAAATTGATTATTGATTTCTTGAAGGAAAATTGCTCAGAAATACTCAATGCTCCAGGTATTGAATGGAATGAAAACATCGAAGAGGTTACTGAATCAGTATTTGGTGAAGCTGAAGAAGTTACAAATTGGTAGATAGAGTATTTCAATACATGGACGTCATTAGATAATAACATCATTACGGTAACCCTTTATACAAAAAAAAACACACACATTAAACCAGTAGCCATGACCCTTCCTCATCCAAATCCTTTCCTGCATCAACTTGCTTAGCAACATCATCAATTTCATTAATATTTAACATTTGACCTCTTGAATCTTCATCAATCAAACGCTCATCCTCTGTAGTGATAGGAATCTTTCTCTTGTTGGAAATTAACTCTTTAGCATACTGTAAATCACGATAGATAGTATCGATAGCATTAGCAACACCATTCTCCTTACGAATCTTTGCACCAATATCACGAGCTTTTGTGATCATTCTATTATTTGTAGTTGCCTCCTTCAAAGCTTTTGATAAACTTTTAACATTCAATTTTTTCAATGATATACCAACACCAATATCTTCAACTCTATTTGCATAAAAGAATTGATCAGCAAAGAATGGTTTGATAATTGTTGGTAAACCTGCTCTTAATGTAGCTCCAGTTGTACCTGATCCACCATGATGCACTGCAGCATCAATCTGTGGGAACAACCAATCATGAGGTAATGAACCTGCATTGAAAACCTCATATGGTAGCTCAATTTCAATCTGACTAGATCCTCCCAGTCTTTCAGACCATCCTTTATTCAAAATACATCTAACATCTGCATCTAGCACTGCATCAACAACTGCCTGTGTCAATTCTTTTGGGTTGGAAACAACAATAGAACCAAATCCAATATAGACCAATTTTTTCTCATCAATACGTGCTTGATTTATGAAATCCAGTAACTCTTGTGGTGGACTATAAGTTATAGCTTCATTTAAAAACCAATATCCTGTAACTTTTATCCAATCATTGAAATCAACAGGTGGTGGGAAGACTGTTGGTGAAATATTGTACAAAAATGGAACTTTATTTTGTTGTAGCATATCCAAGTTAGTCTTTGGTAAATTTAGTGTTTCTTTTCTCCATTTATTAACCTGTCCACTGATACCTTTCCAAAAGACATTCTCAAATAACACATGAGTTAGGTAATTATAACTACCACCCTTCTTTTGTTCAGGAACAATAAATGCATGGGGATAAGCTCTTGTTCTAGTCCATGGCATAGTGAATGCTCTGAAATATGGAATATTCAAAGCCTCAGCAATATGAATACCAGCCATTGCAGATGGCGATTCGATCAATATATCAGTATCTTGACAAGCTTCCCAACTCGAAGATAACAATTCCGTAATCCATCCTCTGAATTTACTCGAAGCTTCTTTGATCAAACCAACATTCATCGATCCATGCGAGACCATTAATGACATCAATTCAGTTGGATTACCAGCAATTTCTTTAAATTCTAAGCCATGCTTAACAATCCAATCTTCAAATTCTTTATGTGTGACAATTCTAACCACATGACCTTCAGCTTTAAGACCCAACCCTAAAGCAATATAAGGTTGAACGTCACCTCTTGAACCAATTGTAAGTAACGTAAATCTATAAGGGGTTTCAGGCTTCACGCTAGTCTTCATAAGTGGATGATTTTCAATCATTATAGGAACCTCAACACCGGTATCAGTATGAATTTTATCTTCAAACAACTGTATTTTGGCAGCTTCCAATTTCCCACTTGTAGTCATAATTGATTCTGCATCTGTGGAACCGACTTCTGTATTTTGTCCACTATCTTTATCCAACTGTCTTAATAGTAAAAATTCACAATCATCTCTTGCAGAAGTTGAGCTGAACTCAAAAAATAATTCTTCATGACCATGGATAACCACGACTAAACCTGAATAACCAAATTTGAAACCTTTTTCTTTATATGTGTTTTCAATATCTTTATATGGTAAGATCATCTTTGTGTGAAAACCTGGCACTAGAGATCTAAAGCAAATTTCCTTTGCACCCAAATAAACTTTACCATAGATTGGGACATTGCGCTGCAAATGAGCATAATACGACGCAACTAAAACATCACTTTCAGATAATGCAAAATGATGTTGGAATCTCTTTGTAGCATCAATTCTCTCCTTTGGTGAAGCCAAATATTCATCTTCTGAGCCTCTTTCTAATGAGATTCTTTCTTCATAATGAACCGGATTCGATATCCACATATATGAAGCTGATTTGATAACTTTAGGAGTGTATTTATATATTTGAGATCTTGCTTGAGTTAAAGTCTTGACAGGATTAATATAAGGTAATAAAGATTTTGGGTCTTTAGGAATTAAAGTGGCTGATTTGGAAATGAAATCCTCTGAAGGTTGAATTTTATTATCTTCAGTTTCACTATCACTATCTGAATTTGGACCCTCTCCAATATCTGGTATATCATCTTCATCAATAGGAGGCCCCAGATATCTCTCCACAACAGGTTCTTGGACAACCAATTCAGGTGACACTGGTGAAGCAATTGGTGATGTGGCAGTAGAATCACTATTTGTTCTTGAGCGGGACTTGGCTAAAACTTTTTTCAAAGGAAACAACGAAGATGATCTTGTCCGTTTACCAGTTAAATCTAGCCTTGCCGTACTATCCACGATCAATTCAGGTAGATGTGAATTATTCATATTTGATAATGCAGTTATAGCTTCATTGATCACTTTCATAAAGTCTGGACCTAAATTGAAAAACATAAAGAAATAATCATCCAATGCAAATGAATCAGAGCTTTCAAGAACTTTGATTTTTATGGTTTCAGCAGCTTCGAAAATAGGAGTTTCTTCCAAATCCAATATATTTTGCAATGGAACTTTAACAGTGACACAATCACCTTTATTTCTACTTGAAAAAATATGCTTCTTCAAAAGGCCTACCCAAGATCTGGCAGCATGAGGAGAATCAGCCTGAAGTTTATAACTCTTGGATTCGGTCAATATTCTAATCCATGTACCCTTTGACACACCACTATGAGGTATTATACCCGAATCATTAACAATTTCAGCTCTCAAAGCATATCTTAGATCCACGGTCAGCACTGGGAAGTACAGTTCAGTTGATTTGGTATATAATGATAACGTTTGATCTTTCAATACTGCCCAATATCTAACTTGTCCTAAAGTTAAAGAATCCATTGATAAATGACCAGCCAATGCAACCTTATCATGTTTCTTTTTCTGTAAAAAGGCAAAGAATAAAAGGTGAGATTGTGTAAGGTATATATGGCCTTGTAATAGCACATCTTTTAACAACCAACATGGGAAGTCAGCCAAAAATATATCATCGGGGCTAATTTGGAATGCATCTCTCAATTTTTCACTTAAAGCAATAGCTCTTTTCTTACAATCATTATAATCTTTTGAATGTTCACCAAATTTCTGTGCAATTGACATTTCAAATAATGATGGAGCTCTTTTCAACGTTGGGAAATCGTTTATATCTGGTATAAGTTCATCATGATTTTGATCCTCGGATGTAACATTTGGTGATTTTTCCACAATATTTGCCTCTAAATCTTGGTCAACACGAGCTTCTTTGCTTCCAGATTCTGAATTATCATCTCTGGATTGATCTGAATCATTTTCATTCAATTCTTCCTCATCTATAATATCTTGTAAATTCCCATTGTACATACTGGCGGTTGTTAACATTGACACAAAACTTTTAGCCATCCCGGAAGGTCTTGCAACGTCTGCCTCAGGAGCTGTAGTTGGTGAAGATATGGTATCTGACTTGGATCTTCTCTTCATGGGATTTGAGCTTATTCTGGTGAGTGAGGTATGGACTGAGGAAGCTAATGGTGAAAGAGATCTGATGACTGGAGGTGGTAGGATCAAACTCCTAGAAGCCGTTTTGAAGCCTCTGTTGACCCTGTCAAGGGAGATGGGCGAGCGACTTCTCCTGTCGATGTCCTTCTCTGGGGACGACGACGAAGGCGACTGTTCCATGGTTTTCTTATATGGTTCGAGTGTAACTTGATTGGTTTGATGAATTGATGAGTTGACAGGCAGCCATGCTCCTGATGTGTACCAAAAGATTTGTTGATAAAGCAAAAATCCGTTTTTGGCGATGGGCAGAACTGCCAAAGCCACACGTGTCACACGATAAGATATACAAAATACATGAAATCAAAATCATGATATTAGACATTAAAATTATTGTTAGCCATGGATCTATAGTAGTAAAATAGATATATGAATTCTTCTATTTTGGTTTTCTGTTTTAGGGATGGTCAAATCAGTTATATACAACTGTTTGTAGACTTCTTTTACTGTCCAAAACTTCTTGTTTAACTTCCTCCAAAGCACGAAGTTCAGATCTTCCAAATAGATATGAAATTAGCCCATCGACAACACCTGTGATACCTATAACGACAGCACCAAATACCCAAAAAATTGAAGACCAACCTGCAATGTTTGCAGTGAATGTGACAACAACGTGGATTGCAATAATTGCCAGAATTGACAAAACAAAATGCCATCCTCTCCATTTCTTTTGCCATAAAGCTGTTTTCTTATAATCATCCAAAAGCTCAAGCATTTCGTTGTAATATTCAACACTATTAACAGTTAAACTATTTGATCTAATTACTTCCTTATATGAATTTCTTGAAAGGAATTGTAAAGTACAGGAATATGCAAAATGATCTGAATATGAACCGATATTGGGTATTTGTTCTGTGAATTGAACACTAGCACTTATTGTTTTCAATTTTGAGGAGTCAACTAAAGCATAATCTAATCTACATGCTTCTGTTGGGTCACGATGAGCTCTCCAGGTGTTTAAAATAGAATCACAAGTACAACCACCCACTTCAACCTGTAGTTTTGGAGATAAATGCTTAATTTTATTCAAATCTTGAGTCCCATTTAGTTGTTCCCAACTATCAACTAGTGTTGTCTCCAAAGTCAAAAATTTATGCGGTAATGAGCCTGCTCTTGAATTCAAATCACCAACAATGACAACGGCATAACCAGCCTTTGATAGCATATTAGATATTTTAGCAAAATCCCAAGCTTGACAAGATCTATGACAAGAATAAGCTGCATCACCCTCTAAAGAATATGGAGCATGCATATGTGAATTCAAGATTGCCAATGGGAATGATTCATCATTTAATGGTCTTAATAATGTAACTGCAACAGATTTACCAACATACCAATCACCCCTCCAAAAAGCACTAGGTCTACCATTTATAGGAAATCTGTAAAGGAAACTTGAATCAATGGGTATTTTCGATAAAATTGCCAAACCTGGACCTGCAATGATACCTGAGTAAAAAATCCTTCTATAAGGGAAAAACTCTTGACAAACTTGGTCAATATAATCCCAATCCTCTTTACACCAGACTTCCTGGAGGGCAACAATATCATAATTGAGCTGTTCATGTGCTAGCTTGTCACCAATCGCTTTCAAACGTTCTTTCCGGTGCTTAGAAACAAATTTCAATCCCCATGTATTTAACGTTAGAAACTTCACTTGTGGCGGTCCAGTTGGAGCTGGAGTAGACTCAACATCGATAGACCATTCCATTTTAGAGCCCTTAGAGGAACGAGCAGAGTCCATTTGTTTAATATTGAAAAGTTGTGAAAAGGTGTCAAAAATTTCATTGTGATTCAGATTTCAGATTTTTGTTTATGTTTTTCTTTAGGCGCCAAAAAAATCGCTTCTTACCCGGAAAACACCATACAAAAATTCGCGACCGCGAAATCGAGTGGTTTCTTCAAAAATGTAAACAAAAAAATACACAAGACATAAACAATTTCAAAGATTTCATAGCATTCAGAAACAATCAAAGCCATGTCAGACGTTCGTACATTTGATCCAGAAGTTGAGGCCAGACTCGAAGAGCTCAGTGACAAGTTCAACACGTTCATAACGAGACAAAAGACAGAAATCATCAGATCCAAAGAAGATTACACCAACAAGTTGAAACAATTAAGAAATGAACACAAGGAAATTCAAAAATCTCTGCAGAGCTTAGCAGCAAGAGAAGCTGAACTCAACAAAGTTATAGAGCGTGAAATACACGACTCTAATATATCTCAAACAAGATTGAATGAGTTAAAGGTTAAAGAAAAATCATTGATAGAAGAACGTAAAAGTCTTGAGAAATCAGTTGGTGAGCTACAAGAAAAAGTGAGCAGACGAAGAGAGGAACTGAGCAAGCTTAAACTGAACCGAGAGAAGCAAGCAGAGATAAATTTACCAGAAACTATGATATATGAACAACTATTGGGATTTAAAATTGAAGGGTTAAAGGATGATATATTGAAATTTGTATTTCAAAACATCGATTCAAAAGATCCAAAAAGATCGTTTTACATAGTGCTAAATGTGAGTGAACATCTATACAAGGTTGAAGAGACTAATCCTTCACTACCAGAACTTGAGTTGAATGATGCTCTACAAGAATTTAACAGTTCCAGAGATTTGACCAGATTTTTGAAGAATATTAGAATAGCATTCAAAAAGCTAACGTGACCTCAATCCTTGATTACTCTTTAGTTCTTGAATTTAGTATCTTTTTAATGAGAATTTGGTGTTTTATTAGTTTATGCCTCGTAGACTGGTGTTTGGATTTTCGCGAATGAAGTCGAATATTTCGCGAAGACTTTTTACGTTGATGATGGAGGACACGAGCAGATTGAAGATACTCTGTTGACCTCAACCTCAGTAATCATGAGATTCTCCAGCTTAATATTCATTTCCATTTTATCAGCACTATCAATTGCATCACCAGGTGATAATTTGTACATATTTGAGGATTGTAACTCTGCTTGTGAATCCAAAATTTGTCAGACTTCAAGTACATTTGAAACAAATCAATTCTTACAATACGACTTTGAACATCTTTCTCCAATATTAAGGTTACTACTATGGGATTGTCCTTCAAATTGTGACTATCAATGTCAACAGTATGTTACAAATATAAGGATTGCAGAAGGTGAAGAGATTCTACAATTTCATGGGAAATGGCCATTCAAAAGAATCTTGTTAACACAAGAATTTGCATCTTCATTATTTTCAATTTTGAATTTCATACCACATTATTTAAATTTCAAGAAACTATTGCCAAAATACCAAAGAACACAAGGAAATAAAAAAACATTGTATTTTAATGTTTTAATAGTTTCATTAATTACAATGATTGCATGGATTTGCAGTACTGTTTTCCATATTAGAGATTTAATAATTACTGAAAGATTGGATTATTTCTTTGCAGGCGCTACTGTATTAAGTGGGCTACATGCTTTGGTTATTAGAGTTTTCAGATTTGATTTAAATCAAGAGAAAAGAATATGGACATCAAGAATTTGTATTCTGCTATATCTATATCATTTCATTAGATTAAATTATGATTGGTCATATACCTATAATATGCAAGCAAATATCACAATTGCCATTTTACAATATGCACTTTTCATTGTTTTAGCATATCAACATTATAAGAAAACACCTTCAAGAAAATCGTTATACATCACACCACTAGCATTGATTGGATCTGTTGTTTTTGGAATGAGTTTTGAAGTCTTTGATTTCATCAACTTGAACTATCAAATAGATGCACATGCTATATGGCACTTAACTACAATCATTCCAGGGTTCTGGTTATATCAATTCTTTTACGAAGATATTGAAAGTTTAGATAATGAAAAATATATAGATTAAATAATAATGACGCAAGTTGAGTTACAAGTTTTTCAATGTATTATCATGAGCAACCGGACCATCCAAAATGTCCAATTCCTCTTTTGGAAAGATCCATTTGAACCAAAAAGTTCCAATCACACTCAACAGTAGAACTAATGGGAACCCAATGGCACCTTTGGTATTAACAATTCCAAACTCTGCAACAAACCCAATTAAACTGAAACAAATAAATAAGTATAATTTCTTCTTTGGAACAGATGCTAAATCTGAGGAATGATCTTGTGAAAATATAAATCTAATTCTATTGATGATGACATTCCCATGTAAACCTTTAGCACCCATAATAAAGAATAAACCAGCTAAAACACATTGTGGGATAAGCCCTAAGCAAACTAACAATGGTCTTGTCATTGTACCTAAAAGCATCAATCCTTGAACCGTATTTGTGAACCTTTGCTCAACCGTTCCCAAAATAACATTTGCCCTATTACGAACCACTAATGATTCAGTATGTAAAGGAGCTTGAGGAATTAGCCCATTCGGACAAGGGATACCTAAAACACCAGCAATACCAGTGACAATACCCAATAAAAATAAATCATAATGAAATGCAGCTGGTTTTTTGAGTTTAAATTTTGAATCCTGAGCCATCAAAGCAGATATAGAATGATCAAAATAAAATAAAATAGCTAAGATAATACCAAATGGTAAAGCCAAAAATATTGAACCAACAGAAATACCAGTAACATCAATCCAATGTAATCTTGACGTTGGGTGAAATGATTTTGTGATTGGCAATCTTTCAAACTCAACATTATTTAAGTAACCACCGAAATGAATGAACCCTGAAAAGAAAACCATTGCTAAAGGTGTTGTATAATCCACAATAAATTGCCTTATATGATGGTTGAAATACTTGGTTTCGTTGAAGCAATTTCCTGCAAATCCCAAAACACCCATTGAAATAGCCAATGTACAACTAGCAAATCCTGAAGCACCATTGTCTTCAGGCTTAAATTGTCTAGTTAAAATTTGAACACCTTTCTGTAAATAAACAACATTAATGAATAAACCAAAGATATCACAAGGAAATTGTGTAACGAATCTTAATGCACTAACACAATTAGTTATTGAAATGATGAAATGGAAAATCATCCCCCATATAGCTATCCAGAACATAAATGGGAAATATGGAATATCATGAGGTTTCATAATTTCATAAACTGTATAATTAAAGATTGTGATGGGACCAGTTACACCAACAATAGTTAAAGGTTGACCCCCGAATATTCCAAATACTATCCCAGCTAAAGCAGAACTTAACAAAACTTCATTTACTCCATATGAATTATCAGTTTTATCAAACATATCTTGAGCAAAAGCAATTGCAGGGAAAATATTTGTGAAGAAAGTTAAGATAGTTGCTGGTATGACTCTATAATTCAATGCATCTGTCCAATCTGACCAATATAATGGGAGCCTATCTTTTAAATCCAATATTATACCTCTAAACAATCTAATCTTGTAGCGATCTTTCCATTTCAAAGTAGGTTTTGATTCCTCAGCTTGTGGTTTTTCTTCTATATCTTCTATCATGATGCAAACCTAAAAAACGGAATATCCCTTAAACGCTTAATTATACTGCAAAGCAAGTGGCTTATTTAAGGAACAACGAGATATTGATGTCTTGTTATATAAGTTTCAATAAACCATCCATCAGCAAACTGATGTCTAGTTTTAAATCTCTGAAGGCAATCATTGCAACCCCTTTGCCAGAACTCATGCCTTTTTTTTTGATTCTTGCGGTCTCAAATAAAAAAATAAAACAACGTTTTCATCACGGCAATTGACCCAAATCCCGAGAAGCCTAGTCCAGCCCTTCTCAGCCGGCATTCAAAAAATCGTAAATGAAGTTGATTTTATTCATCAGTTTCGACAAAAAGAATTGAAGTTGGTCAGTTATAGCTGGAGACAGAGACATCTGAAGCTCATAGTATATTTGGAAAGAATTTATGATTTATACAAAGATATGGTGGATTGATTAATGTTACAAGATTATAAGTGTACTTATTCCCAGCTTGAAGGGTGGAAGATATATTTCTATGATTTCTATGATTCTTCTATAAGTTTTGGTGCAGAGATTTCAGCAATCTGACAGATTACAACTCCTAATTATAATCTACCATGTATGCTGCACCAATGAAACATCTTTTTGAGCAAGTGATAATTTGAAGTGGCCTCTCTTTAGAGCGTCACGATGTGTCTGAAAATTAATCGATTGGACCATTGAGCCCCCATATCTCTGACCCAATCGAAGGTTGTAGGTCTGCAATAGTTCTGAGGCGTATATGCGTATATGAGGTTCAATAAACTTCGACAGACGCATGGTAAATATAGAAATTCTAGCATGATTGAGAAGGTTGTACCATTTTTGATGAGAATCAATGAGGCCTATTTCCATATGTCTTTACTTCCATACTTCATATTTTCAGAAGTATCTTGGTTAGGATCATGAAGAAGGAACAATAACGAATGCGAAATTAGCATCATGAGCGTTTAGTTGAAGAATTGTTCATGACTCAACTTCATGGTACCGGTTGGAGATTATAAATGTAGTTGGTAGTGACATGGTTATCCAGTGACAATAATATGACCAAAGACATTAATTGAGCTTCAAAATGTTTGATTGGATAACATTTGACATTTGACACCATCTGAACTAAAGTTGAGCTGTTCAAGATTGTTGGATCTGTAGTTCAACAAACTGTTCAGCTTGTGCATTTTCGCGCCATTCGCGAATATTCAAAAGTCGCTAATTTCACATGCTCTTGTGGCAGTTGGGATAAGTAAACAACGGCATTGAAACAGAAGGTATTGAGCCTTCCAATTGTAGAGCAAATGACTGGGTGTATATGTTGTCATAGTTCATATTTTTCACATACGTGCTTGGAAAAAAACTGTTGATGAAGTACAGGGACTTTATTTGATTCGCGTTACAACCATAGTTTGAACAGGAATGGTGTATGTACAGCGGCCAACCTACGCCTGCAACGATTCTATAGAACAATGTAGACAATACTGTTATCCATAGCATCTGAATGATATAACGAGGGAAGTGGGGACCATTTTGAATGGCTTAAGATCCTGAATTGGTTTCAATTGCCCTTTGCAATTCAAAACAATTTCTAAATTTAGACTACAATAAACATGATAAACTCTGTTGATAATGAATGCATTGGTGGAGGTTTAGCTAATAAACCTCATAGACTTAATTAAACTATTAAAATCAAACACAAGGTGACAATGATTTGTTGCCAGATACCCATTTGTGGGCTAAATGACATGATGATATTTATGAATGGAATGATAAATGAGTTGAATGAAATTAAACAACAATGATGAATGAATAAAAGCTCAAAACTTGAATTAGGAAGAACAAACAATGAAAAACACACAAACAAAGACATGATTGAGTTTTTGTAAATTTTATCGATTGGTGATTGACAACTGTTTTGAACGAATGAATGAATGAAGGGTATTGAAATTGGAATGGAGTTGAAATAAAAACAACTATGCTTGCTTGTAAGGTTGGTAATCATCGAATCTAAAAGTTCTAATCTTTTGAGAATCTTTTGATAAATCTGGAGAATTTGTTGGTGTTGATGAATTTGAGTAAGATAAGGAGGGTGGACCAGATTCTATATCATATGAAATTGTTTGTTCCTTGATATTTGAACTGTAGTCTAGTATACTTGAGCGTTTTTTCTTGTTGAGATGTGATATGAAGAGGTATATGGATGCTATGGCAGCTATTAGACCAAACAATAGAAATATTGGGCCACTAGTTTGGTGATTGACGAATTGGTCCAAGGCGAACTTGTAGTCGAAGTCCAAGACTGATTGGAACTCTTTGTTTCCATATTCGTAGAAGGCATGTTCTCTTAGCAAGTCTATTCCGTTAGCATCTGGGACAACCATATTGAAGTGAGTGTGTTGTAGTAGTTTGTTGTAGAGGTTAATCTTCAGGAGTACAAAAGATTGCAAAGGTTCATTTTTATACAAATCTTTTTTTTCTTAGCGTCTCTCGGCTAAAAAAAAGCGAAGCGGAACATCCCGATTCGGCAGTATTACTGCTTTGGGAGCGCTTTTACTTAAATTAGCTACAGCTGAAAAGTAAACAAAGCCGTCATTTGAAATTTAGGGGAGTCTGTTGACAAACGGACGGGTACTTAAGGGACTGGCTGAGGGACGATGATCAGTTGGGTCGAGGTTGGAAGAGTTGTGAAAGAACTGGTCTTCTAAAGTGACTGGTCCCTTTCTGTTCAGCTCCCATCCTTTAAAAGAGTTTCGAGATTTCGTCAGTTTTAACTTTTTTTCCCTTGTGTGTTTTTTTTTCAGAAACTTTATCTCTATGGCAACAATGTGGTTTTTGGATTGAAGATTATATAAGAATAGAGTAATCAATACAGGCTGAATCTAAGAAGAACACCTTTGAGTATGTTATTCACTCTTGTTGCTTCTTCAAAGAGCCCGCTTCTTTTAAAGATCTAGGGTGACTCTTAGCATATAACACCTTGGATGAAGCTTACAAGGTACTGCTCTTTTGGTGGGAGGAAATGAAAAGATTCTATTGGCAGATACCCGTGTCAATTACACGATAGCTTTTAAGCAAAGCAACATTATCACAAATCTATTAACATTCAATGTACTCTTTATCAACACCATAATGTCACAGCTAGAAAACAACCGTAATTTTGTTCTAGTCTCCTCAGCTCTTGCTTTAGCTTATGCTATTGTCTTTTATCCACATTCATTGGAATCCATCAAGACAATTGTTATCACTGGGGTTTACTATCTGGCCAACCACTATACTTCTCATGACTTGACAATCTCACAGCCTTTATGGTATGGATCATTCACAATTGACATTTACAACACTCTACTCAAATATTTAGAGGTGAAAGGAATATGTCATATCAAACATCATTTCATGACATCGGGGAAAAACTGTGATGTATTGGTCAAATCACTTGTTAACTTGATACTTATCGACATCATCACTTTAGGGATCAGTTATAAATTACAGATACAGGTTCCATTCTTATCAAAAGAGAATTCAAAAGGACTGCATTTCATTTTATCTATAGGATTGGTTTTATTTGCTGTGTATGTCATTGTAAAGTACAAGTTGGTTAATTGAAATGACTTAAACAACAGAATTGAAAAGGATTGATCCAGTCAAAGAGCCATGACAACTGCACCGCAATAACAACAGTATTACTCTACTAGTGTTTTTCTATTGTAAACACTAATATCTGATTTTGTTAATGTAGGGGCGAGATCTCGCGAATTTTGAAGAATGAATATAACATACGTAATTCACACAAATCAGGATCAACACCGTGTAAAATAGTTTATTACATTCAAGAATCAAATTCAAAGAGCAATAGAAGGTTTTGAACAGAAAATTTGAATAAATACCCATTTCCAAACATTTTTCCTTGGTTGGTCCCGTTCAAGTTTAATGGATTAGCAACTTTGAGAGAAATCTACGCTTTTCGCGGCTGCCAAAATCCTCGTGTAATTATAAATAAAAAAACTTGGGCTGTCATGTTTCTTTGTCTACATGAATTCTTTCAATTCCAGTTCAATCTTTCTCAGTCTCAATAACTGCTAGCATCAATATGGTGCCTGGTGAAAGCAGGGAAGAAGTTGAAAAACAAGAAAGGGCTGTTGAAAAATTTTACAATGATGATCGGAAGCTCTATGATATTGATTACAGAGAATACCTTCGGGAGTTTGGTATTGATGGTGATTCTTATGATTCAATTGATGAGTGTTGGAGTTCAATTAGGTAGTCTGACTTTTATACAGAAAGGCGTGATGACTATAAGACCTGTGAATCATTCATATTGCGGATCAAACTAATTGTCAAGTTCTTCTTCATCTTTCCCCGTATAGCATTCAATGATATAGAGGATTTATGTGATGCTAAAATAAAGGAGAGTCGTATCAATCGAGCAAAATCCCGTACTTCTAAATTAATTATGAAAGACCACATAAAATATGAAATGGAATATCTTTTAAACAGTGGCCATGATGAACTGAAGCAAGTTTTCGATGAATTTTATCAGAATCTCCTATCAAGCTTTGAACATTCCTGTCATGATGCTCATTCTCACAGCTGCGGTAAGATACGATCAAGCAGGTTTGACATGAATTATGTAGGAGGTGGGTACTCTTATAAAAATAGTCATTGCAGAATGGGAGATCTCGCTGGACCTTCAGGCTTGGTGACGGTGTTGGATAGTCATTTAAGACCCATCACTTCGGTTATGAGACTTTTATTCGAGGATCTCATCCTTGGCCAATTCAAATCACTCAAAACAGATATTGAAACTGCTGGTCGGTTAAGGTCAATGAAACTGTGGCCAGATTTTATATTATTTCAAAAACTGCAGAATAAACAAGAGCGCCCATTGGTCCCTTTCGAAGTTGTGCCTTACAATGCAGAAAAAGTTTTTGAAACTTTGGGTAAAGCTGGATTATCTCGTCATTTCGCTAATATATGCCTTTGTAACATGCTTGCTGCTAAATCTGAAGTTGGTTATCTACTTGATGGGAATAGCTTTGCCGAGATTGGATTCAATTTTGCCAAATATCATGATATGAAGTTGGATATACATAACCCAGATTTAATTGCACCTATGACTGTCCGTGTGTTTGAAAACAAGACTGAAAACTTTACTGCAACTATGATGCTTTGTGCTAAAGTTTATTCGACTTTGAAAAAAATGGATACTGGTGAGTTGAAGAAAACTGAAGAAGAAATGGATAGCTATAAGTCAACTTTCTATAAGAGTGGTAAAGAAGTTGCAGAAACACTTCAAAGTGCTGCGAGGTTTTACCACATGGATAAGAGCTATTTTTTCGAAGAAGTTACATACTGGGGCGACTATGAAGAATTACAAGTTGGTTTTACATGCAATTGTCAAGTTTTGGTATTTACATTGAGGCAACTTGAAGAGTTATTTTCACAAAAGCTTCAAGAGGAGTTTAATATTAAATCAAAGGATCATAGATTGGTGCTCAAGATTTATGATCCGGTTAGAAAAACCTTTACTGAAACACCTAGGGAACTTGTGAAGTACGCCCTTGCGAGGGGTCTTGAAGAATACAAAGAAAATGAACTCAACGTTTATCAAAGAATTAGAGAATTCAATATTTCACAAGCACGAGGGTCACCAAAGATAAATGCACCAACTATTTACAAGACTGGGAATATAAAGTTGACAATTAAAGACAATGAAGACTTCTTCTCGGGTGGTTATATAGTTATGGACCTTTTGGAAGGAGTGGTAACAACAGACCAACATTTTGAGAAGGGAAGAGAACAAGCTGCGCTGTTCCAGAAAGCTGGTGTTGACAAGTATACTCTCAGGTTCTCCAGTGTTCGTGTGCACAATGATGAAGTATACTTCATTGGTCATGGCTCCTCTCATTTAACCTCTAGGGATTCAGAGTATAAGACATCGCTATTGTCTAATTGGGAGATGTATATTGAGTCCAGATTACCGGGTACTTTAAAATGAGAATAGCTGAAATAAGAATAGCTTTAGTGTTGAGCTCCCTTTTTACTATGGTGATTACGTAACACACACACTTTTTCGCGATCAACAAAAAAAGCTTCCAAAAGCTTGAAATCAACAATCAAAACTTTGACGTCAAAAAGCCAACGATTTTTAAAAGAAAGACAGCCGCCAACTCAAAGAACACTTATTCCTATTCTTTGCTAACTACGCTATGATGCTTCCCTTCAGGTCTCTAGCGTCTGGGATAAGGCTGCCCTTGTCCAGAATAACGCCCAAGCTGACTCATCCGCACCCATCAACATCATTGATTCAATGCTCAAAATATCACACCCTTTTCAATAAAAACCAATCAATAATACCTAGAACACCATTGACAATACTTCAAAGATACAACTCCACCAATCCTCCATCACCAGACACCAGTAATGTGAAACCGATAACCACAGCAAAGCTATCTCCTCATGATTCAAAAGCTTCAGGATTCCAAGATATTAAACGATTATTCGAACTGGCAAAACCAGAAACCAAACCAATGATTGGTGCATTATTCCTTTTGATGATCTCATCTGCAATTTCAATGTCAGTTCCTCTTATAATTGGTAAATTTTTAGATTCAGGAAATGAAAATAAAGAAGATGATAATGAAGATAAAAAGGAATTTGGAGATACCAAAATATATGGTTTAACAATGAATCAATTCTTTGGAGCCATTGCTGGTGTTTTCGTTATAGGTGCAGTTGCTAATTCAGGACGTGTCATTATATTAAGAACTATTGGTGAAAAATTAGTTGCAAGATTAAGAACAAGAACTTTGAAAAAATCTTTAGAACAAGATGCTTCATTTTTAGATAATAATCGAGTTGGTGATTTAATTTCAAGATTAAGTTCGGATGCCACTATAGTTTCAAGATCTGTTACACAAAATATAAGTGATGGTATTAGAGCAGTTCTTAGTGGAGGTGTTGGTTTAACAATGATGAGTCTTGTTAGTTGGAAATTAACTTCAATCATGGCATTATTAGCACCTCCTTTAGGTGTTATGGCATTTTTTTATGGTCGTCGTATAAGAAATCTATCAAGAAATTTACAAAAATCTATTGGTGATTTAACAAAAGTTGCAGAGGAACAATTAAATTCAACAAAGACAATTCAAGCTTATGGTACTGAAAATTTAGAAGTTTCAAAATATTCTGAAAATGTTCGTGAAGTTTTCAAAATTGGTTATAAAGAGGCTAAATTATCTGGTATTTTTTTCGGTACTACAGGGTTAATTGCCAATGTTGGATTAATTACATTATTAGGGATTGGTTCCTCGATGATTTCAAATGGTAGTTTAACAGTTGGTGAATTAAGTTCATTTATGATGTATGCTGTTTATACTGGTTCTTCAATGTTTGGATTATCAAATTTTTATTCAGAATTGATGAAAGGTGCAGGTGCAGCTGCAAGAATTTTTGAATTAAATGATCGTAAACCTGAAATCCCGTTAACAAAAGGTTTAAAACCAAGTTTAAAAGATTTATCATCAACTATTAAATTTAAAAATGTTTCATTTTGGTATCCAACAAGACCAAATATTCAAATTTTCAATAATTTAACATTTGAAATTTCACCAGGTGAACATGTTTGTATTGTGGGACCAAGTGGATCTGGTAAATCTACAATAACTTCATTATTATTAAGATTTTATGATGTTCAAAAAGGTGAAGTTTTAATTAATGATAAAAATTTAAAAAATTTTAATTTAAGAAGTTTTAGAAAAAAAATTGGAGTTGTTCAACAAGAACCTTCATTATTTTCAGGTACTATTTTAGAAAATATAACATATGGTATTCATAATTATAAAGAACAAGATTTACAAATTGCATTAAATAAGGCAAATGTTTTAAAATTCATTAATGAATTCCCAGATAAATTAGATACAATTGTTGGACCAAGAGGTACACAATTATCAGGTGGTCAAAGACAAAGAATTGCATTAGCAAGAGCATTATTATTAGATCCTCCATTATTAATATTGGATGAAAGTACAAGTGCATTAGATACAAAATCAGAGAAAATTATAAGTGAAACATTAAATGAAAGATGTAAAAAAGGATTAACCACAATTTCCATTGCTCATAGAGTTTCCACAATTAAAAACAGTTCAAGAATTATTGTTATTGGTAAAGATGGACAAGTTGTTGAAACGGGGTCATTTGATGATTTAATTTCAATTAAAAATTCATTTTTAAATCAATTATTAAGTAAAAGTGAAGATGAACAATATGTTGAAGTTAAAGATCAACCAAGTAATGAACAAGTTTTAGAAGAGATTGAAGAGAATGTTGAAATTCAGACAGAAAAAGATCTTTCTTTAAACAAATGAGATATATAGATAATGCATGTAAATAGGTATTAATCTACAGTAGTTGGTAAAATGAAAATCTATAAAATCAAACCATAAAAAACTTTATACAAAATAAAGTAACCATATAACATGAATGCAATAAAAAAAGATAAAACATATGATGATATAAAAAATAATAATGAACCTGCAATAATAACATATTGAACACATAACTGGGATATATATAAAAAAACCATTCGAACTGAAACTTAAAATCAATCTAAAATCAAAATGAAAACTATAACTTTGTCTTTTGTTCTCTTCAAGCCACTGCAGGGATTGAATCTCTTTCCTTTTTGAAAACTCCATGATGAGCAGTTAGTGCAGTTGGAGTTGTATTTGTTGTAGGACTATTTGGTGAAGTGTACCCATTTGTTGAAATTGGTGGGACTAATGAATTTAAATTCGTATAAGAACCTGGACCTGTAATTGGAGAGCCAAATTGATTTGAAGAAGATCTTAATCTTGGAGAAGTTGAAGTTGACAACATGTTCAAATTTGAAGCACTTGGGATTCTTGCATGTTCATTAGCTTGAGCATTTGCAGGTAGGTCACTTATTGAAAAGGCATATTTTGGGGTTGATGGATCATCTGCAGAAGTGCTATCAAAATCTGGGATTGAATAATTATTGAATTTAATTAATGGATCTTCAAAATTAACTTCATTATATAATGAATTTTTCAAATTTCCAAAACCTTTGAAATTTGATGGATCATTTGAATATAATTGTTTTAATTTGTTTGAAAATAATGAAATAAAATCATAATCTTCATTTAATTTTGAAATATTTGACCAATCTAATGAAACGGAATTGAACGCCAATTCTGAAGTTAGGTATTCAGTATGAGGTAAACTTGGTAAACCAAATAATAAAGATTGTGATTCAAATTTTTCTGCAATTAATCTTTTTGGACGACCATATAATTGGAAGGAATCATATAATGGGATCAAGAATCTAATCAAAGTTTCAAAGTTTTTAACTGCATTATGAGGTCTTGGTAAGATATATAATGAAGTGTTGTTAATATTCCAACCTTTCATTGATTTTGAAGAAGTTATTGAAGAGATTGAAGTTGATCTTAAATGTCTATTTGAATTTGATCTTGATCTGTTTCCCGGGGTGGAATTTGAGGCAGCTTGAGATAAAGACATCATTGAATTTGATCTTGAGATTGGAGATGAAGGAGCAGAATCTTCATCCAATTTCATTCCCAAGTTATAAACTGTTAGGTCACCATTTAGTTTCAATAAAGTGGAATCATCAATCAAATCAACATGATTAGGATAAACAGCAAAACAGGAATCAATAGCATTAATTGAACAAATTAAATTCTTCTTGGTGGTTCTTGAACTTGTATAGAAATTGATTGCTCCGTTTTTAATCTTGTTACTTGTTTTCTTACTAATCTTGTTGTGGTCACATGGAGTTATAACACAGAAACATTTGATCCAGTTTGAATTCTTACTAAACTTGATATTGACCCATTCTTCATTTTGAAATCTAGTTTCAGACATTAAAACGTGTAAATCGGATAATAATGTGGCTTTTGAAGATAGTAATGAAGCTGTATAAGATTCATTCAATTTAGTAAACTCATAATTGGACAATTTGATGGCACTCAGCCATTGTTGCAAGAATCTTAATTCTGGGAACTTGAGATGATAGGCCAATTTGTTTGAAGAGGAAATGATTAATGAAATTGAAGAGTCATTAATAACCACGCTGGCTTCTAACAAGTTGACACTGATTGGCTTGAAACTGGAAGCTTCTAAACCTTCTTTGTAGAGAATTAATTGGTTACCCTTGATGATACCATCAACGAGAGAGTAGGACAAGTCTTGTAGTTCAGCAGCAGAGCCTTCATTTCTCTCGATGTTCATATAAACTTGTCCTTTATGGTAGACTCTGGCATTTTGGCAATTGATCAGAGTAACGATTGGAATCAGTTCTTTAGGGACTGAGTCGTTGTTGTTGAGGCTGTTGTACTGGGCGTAGATGTTTGAGTTTGAGCCTGTGACATATGAGTTTGAAGAGGTTAGTGAAGTGGAAGCAGAGTTCTTTTCAGTTGGATTGGCCTTGTTGAATGTTCCTGTTGGCGATGGGGTCTCTGACGAGGAGAGGTCGTGGGTGACGGTGCCGGTAGCAGGCTGTTGCTCCTTCTTCTTGAGCCTGAAGATGTTCTTGAAGGCCATTGTGGTGGTGCTTGGTGGTGGTGGTAGTGAAGGTGAAGATTGTGGTTGAGAGTTGAGCTTTATATTGGTTGGTGTACAGCCTTATTCGTTCAGGGCTTGACTAATCAGCAATAATCAATTCTCTCAGCAAAAGAGCAATGAAGGGGTATGGTAATAGTAATAGTGATAATACTATCTTTATTATGTTATTATGTTAATATCTTTATTATATTGATTCAATGGATCAAATGGATGTCGATGCCTATTTATCTCAACAGGAAGAAACGGTTAATAATACCCACAACTACTATTAAACGAATTACAGGCTTATTAACAATCTACACCCAAAAACACAACTACAAATTAAATCCAAACTAAACTAAATTACCCCAATACACCCATCAAATCCACCATACACAAGACTCTTGTCACTCTTTTGTTTCTCTTTTGTTTCATCATTCTCTTGCAAATTCCAAAATTTCACCTGTAAATTTGAAACTTTTCGTTATCATTTCCCAACGGTTTTAAACGCTAGACTTCCCCTTTCGGAAATAAAAACACACAAACAATAACATTCCCATTCTCAGCTATACACTACTCGATCATCTCCAAAACTTTTAACTCCATTGGCTTGGTATTGTCTCTTGATAGCATCATCTATTTCATCATTGTTCAAGATCTTCTTCACAGAGTATAAATCAAATTTAGTCATACCATACACTTTAAACTTGTGGAAACTAGTGTAAAACTCATTCCCATAATTATCTTTAGCCACAATGATTACAGATTTAACCAATTTCCGTTGAACTTCTTCTGGTATTTCAAAACCTTGTTCCTCTTGTTCTGATTTATTAACATCATAAACCATCTCACTAATCTTAAAATGTCCTTGAATCTCTTCATCTCCCATAGCTTCACCACCTTCCATTTGAACATATAATGATAAATGCTTTGGACAACTAGTAATTATACCACCATTCAAGACATCCCCATGACAATATTGAAACTCATTCATATAAATAGGTTCTAAAAATTTGATACTTAATTGTGTATTTTCAATTTGTGAACTTCTCCAATATCCTTCATCTGATGTTAATACAATAAATGGGGATGTATTTTCATAAATTTCAACTTCATTACTATCATCATGATTACTATTGAGCCCAAGTATATCCCATAATCCCTTTTTAAATCTTGGTTTAAAAGTCTTGGATGTTAAATAATTTATAATTCTAGCTCCTGATATAGCTTGTCCATAATTTATTTTACCATTAGGTTTTTTAACTTTAACCGTTTCCACTAATTTTTGTGGAATATTATTAACTCTTGTTAATGATTTGATCTCATTAATCAATTTTTTCTTATTTTCTTGAAATTGTAAAGTAATTAATGACAAAATCTCTTCTTTATTCATAAACCCAACTTTGGAATTTATTATATCTTCAACATGATTTTCAATAAAACTTTTATAATTCAATTTGAATTTTGATCCATTAATTTCTCCATCTATAATATCTTGAATTTTTTTTTGTAAAAAACTTGAAAATTCAGGTATAACCTTGATATTATTATGTTCATCTAATAAAATTGGTAATTTATCATTAGAAATTTCAATATCTCCAATATTTATCTTGTTAACCCTATCCAATATCTTGTTATTTTCCCTTTTCAAATCTTCAATATCTTTATCAATTTTTTTAAAATTTAAACTAAACTCATCAAGTTTCAAATCTAAATAATTTTTAAACTCATGTAGCTTGGTTTTTTGCTTTTGATTGATTTCATTGATTTGATATTGTAAATGTTGTATGTTTTTAGTTAGATCACCAAAATTTCGAATATTTATAATATCATTATGATCACCAACACCACTTCCCCCATTATTACTATTAAAATAACTTATAATACCTAAATTTGTTATGAATAACAAAAAATATAATAAAATCTTGATCCAATTTTGTTTAACTTTGTAAATTATCCGAAGTGTTGATTTCAAATAGTAATTAACATCATCATCACCTTCATCTATAGCATTGATATCACCAGTGTACATGGTTTCCTTCACATCATCTATCGTACTATCATCATAATCATTATCACTTTCTTCCTCTTCTTCCTCCTCTTCCTCTTCATATTGTTTCTTGAAACCTGAATATTTAGCATTCAGCAGACTTGGATTAATATCATATTCTGATTCAATGTCCTCCCCAACATCATCATCATTCGTCAAAGCATCAGTACTGAACTGGAAACTCTTGCTCATATTCCCACCTTTTTGAAATCAATCCAACAATTTCTACTTGATGTTGTTTTGATGATGAGGTTCATGTTTTGTTACGCGTCAGATTTGATTCAGAAAGTTTGACAGCTAGACTTCCCGATATGGAAATAAAAATGTACATATTCCGCGAATTACGAAATAAATACTATTATTGATTAATTTACACTAAATACAAATGGTTATTTGAACTAAGCAGTTAACTTCTCATTAGACTGGTTAGATATGTGTAAATGATAATTGGAGCTGGACGTGAAAACTTCTTTCTCTAATTCGTTTCCCTAATTAATTGATTAACCTTCAAGAAATAAAACCATTGAATGGATTGAATGAGAACCAAGTACTTCAACTGATAAGAGCTCATAATTCTCTGGCAAACCAAAGTAATTCCTTGCCTCACTGGCTTACTAAAAGTAATTCCCTGCCTCTCTCGCTCATTATCTTTTAATCTATTTCAACTTCAATTCCAACTCTTTAACTTTTTTCTCTAAAAACTCAATAGCTTGTTTTTTATTAAACTCTTTAAATTCACCATTCCCAATATCTAATTTAATCAATTCACCATCATTTGGATTGGTTATTGCCTGGACCCAAAATTCTCGACCTTCACCATCTAAAGGACTCAACACCTCATTGAATTGGTCCTGTTTCAAATAGTTCAATACATCTTGATACTCTTCTCTGTCCTTTAACAAATCATCTTCACTAGTGCCACTCATGTTGGCTTTCAGTTATTTGTTTATTAGTTTAAATTGTTTTGAATCTGAAATGCTTAAAATTATTTCACTTTTCAGAAAATTTAACTTGGCTGTCATTATCTACCGGGTCGATAACAACATCATTCTGTTTGATATGGTTTAAATTAGCTGTTTATTCTGTAAATTCTCGATAAATAAATGCTTAAATACTGATAATAAGTGGGTGGTATTATTGTCAGCTGATTATTCTGTTAAAATATCAAATGTTTTTATTTGAAGATTTAGGATATTGGTGATCTCATTTTATAGAATTTTAGTCTAAATATTAGAAATAAAGTTAAACATAAAACTTCAAATCCACTTTAAGTGTCAGAAAATTAAATCTAGCCCACTTTAGAACACTCCAGATCAATTTATCAAAGATTATCAGATAAATAAAAGATCCATTGTTTAGCAATTTTCCATTTTGATAATTACTGATCTGCCATATTTCCACGGGTATATAAATTCTCACCAAAAAAACCTTGAAAAATGAATTGTACAAACAAGATCCTTGATTAAAAGATTAAAGACCACATCATCACTTTGAGTTAAAATCATAATGGTTGTGAAGAGCAGATTAATCTCATCCACTGGTCAGGTGATATCCAAAAGATTCAACTCCACCATAACAAATGATATTTCAAGTCAATTGAGTAACATCCCAAAATCAACAGGTGCTGGTCCTTTCATTGAATACCCAAGATTTGAACCTTTAGGAAACCCTGCTTCACTAATAAATATAACATTGCCCCCATCAAGTGTGTTAAATCTTCGTACAAACTCAATACTGGCTGCTAATGGAGACTTAAACAATATTAGCTCAAAATTATCAATATTGAAATTATTCACAAAACCTTTAATTTATAACAAAATTTCAAGTACAACTCCATTATCATTGATTTTATCAAATAAAGGCTCAAATAAATTCTTTGTCAATCTTGAATTATCAGAATTAGAAGAATGGACAATTTTCAATACTAAAAATTTAATTGCTTGGTATGGACCTGATTTGAAAATTACAAATAATAATAAAATTGGAATCAATTTATCCTCAGGAAATAATAAAAGTAATGTTATTTTAAATGGTGAAACTCAACTATTTACTTTAAACTTGGAACAGGATGAAACTTTATATTTGAATCCAAAAAGCATAATAGCTATAAATTCATCACAATCAGGTTCAAACTTCCATAAATTAGATTCTTCAAGTTTACAATTATCAATTCCAAAATTCAAAATTTGGGATTCAATAAAAATTGCATTCAATTCATTATATTCTAAATTCAATCAATATATCCAAGTTCCATCTGAAACTAAAGCCATTGAAACAACAAAATCAATCACAACTGAAAATAAATCTTCAACATCATTTGAAATTCCACAATCCCTTAAATCATTTGGTACATGGATATCTACAAAATTTAACAATTTTATTCTTAATGATAAAGTGTTTTATGAAGTTAAAGGTCCAGCCACAATAATTGTACAAAATTCAACTTCAATCTCCACATCAAAAATATTTACAAATGAACAACTAAACGAAATCTACCAAAACTTGAAATAATAAAGAAAGCATAAATGAAAAATATATTCCTGTACAATTGATATACCTTTATATAATAAAAAACTTATAAATTTATAATATTCCTGCAATTGAGTAACCAATAAATGAACCAATATAACTACTAATAACAATAGGTAATGGCCAGTTTTGCCAATCTCTATCCCAATCTAAAGGAATAACAATAGCACCAAACCATGCCCCAACTGCAATAAATGCTAAATATTTATGGAAAACGCCCTTTTCACCAATTTTTAAAAATGAAACAATGATTGGATAAGCTAAAAATGCAATATGTGAAGATAATATCAAATTTTCTTTTAAAAAAGTTGTAAAAGGTGCACCAAATAATACAACCAATATATAAATTGGTAAAATTAAAACAAATGCAATCAAAATTGAAATCAACAAGATATTATAATCTTTACCAACACTTAATTTTATCTTTTTATTGTTTTTCTTTTTAGTTAATTCCACTATATTGGTCACAAATAGAAAAGTATAAACCAATTGAGTGGCAATCAATGCATAAAGGTTATTGGTTAAATTGTTCATAACATTGGATCTAGTGATATCTTGTTTTAAAATGGAAAAAACAATCAATAAATAATGGAATGGTATTGTTTTCAAAGAAAATGGGATTGAAATTCCATCATCTAATTCACCATTGCTCTCTTTTGTAGGAGGTGCATTGTCAGAGAATGACACTGTTTTCTTTGGAGTGTGTCTAGCAGCCATTCCTCAAAGACTTTTACTATACTTTTCACTTCTTGATCTGTTAATGATTTAATGTTTAACGTTGGGTATAAAAGGCCCGTTCTGTGACCAAAAAAAAAAAAAACAAAACTCGAGAAAATCCCAAACGCAAAACGCATTCGCGAAGTTTTATTCAGTTATACGTTCAAAATTTCATAATAATGAATTTATTTAATTATACACGTTACTGAAGATTTCTAATCGAGTTCTCAATCTCTATGAAATCCCTCCAAAGCTCCAAGTATGCGTTCTTCCCGACTTTAGCACTGAACTGTTTTCTTTTATCAACATTGAAATTGATAAACCATTTGATCAATCCATAATCAATAATTGGTTTCAAACCTAGTTCATTACCTCCAAATCTATTAGATCTAGGGTTTAGCCCAACATAATGTGCAACCTTATCACTCAACTGTTGTTGTAGAATGTATAATCGTCTATAAGTACTTTCATTGATTGGTAACATCTTGAAAATTGACCCATCAACATTAACACCAATGTTTTGGAAACTTGATGATGCTGTACCTTGATCGAACTCTTCATATTTTGGAATCATCTTTAATGCAGTAGTCAATGTATTTGTAGTGAATGTTGTTCTTTTCAACAATCTTTGGCCTGATAAAGATTTCGGATCATCTGGTTGATAAGTCAATAAATGTAAATTAAATTCATCATCTGCAACCAAGAAATAAACTTCACCATTATCAACAATGAAATCAGTACAAATTGCATTTAGCCTTTGTAAATCTTTACCCAACAATATCAATCTATAAGGTTCAGCATCAAAACCTAAAAACCAAACACTCTTCATTGAATCTGAAATCAACAATAAATTACCAAAACTTTTGGAATCTGAAATGTATGTAGCACAATCTAAAAATGCAACTGGGACAGTACTATTATCTTGTTGTAAATCTCTTATAATAACTTTTTGACCTTGACCTGCCAAAAATCTACCACTGATTTCAGTAATTGTAGTAACTGCACCTTTAACCACTTCTTGGAAAATTTCTTTAAATTTGAAATTTGCCTCAGGTTTTGTAGGATCTGGAACAATTGAAATCACATCAATAATCTTGAAACTTCCAAATACTGATAAATCCTCTAGTCTATATTTACCAACACCATAAATGATAAATTCTTTCTTCTTTTTGGAACGTGATGAAATGGTTAAATAGATTGATCTAACATCATTAACAACCTCATTCTCATCTAACTCAACTTCATCAATAACAACCCAATTTATTGGATTAATTAGTTTCAAATAACTCTTGAAATTCTTAGCACTAGGCTTATCTTTTTCACTTCCAACAATATCATTACCTTCTTCATCAACTGCATTATATGGAACTTCCTCAAATGTAGAAACTATAAATAAGTTTGAAGTTTCATGATATGTAATCTTATTAGCTGTTTGACCCAATGGGAATCTTTCAATACTTAAATTTTGTGAATAGTTGAAATTTTCGCCAAATGGTAATGAACAAATTCTAGCATTTTTATCTGCATCAATATACATAAATTTTAAATCATCACCATGTTCACCACCTTCAAAATTTTTATTTGAACCATCATGGATATTACAAAATGAAATTGCTGATTTTGAAGTGAATTTGAATAATTTAGGTTGAGATTTTGGATCCTTATAAATCAAATATGGTTGTTTCCCCGTGACAAATATAACATCTTTGTTATTGATTTTCAACTTTATTAATTTCCTTTCAATTATTGTTGATTCAGCCCAAATATTTTCCGGAGCACCAGTTATTGCATTCAAGTTTTCAATTTTTTGGAAATCATAATGATTATTTGAATTTTTGAAAATCTTGTATAAAATCAATTCACCACCAATTGTAAGAATTGTCAAAATTTCTTCTTTATGAACTTCATCTCCAATTTCTGTAAATTCAATCTCTTTGATGAAAGGATCAGGTATCAAACCTTTAACTTCTTCATAAGGTTTAAAATTGGCAATCTCTGTCAGTTTATTAATTTGATCAATTTGGTAAACTTGTTCATTATGATTTTTTTCAAAAACCAAAATTTGGTTATTGACTGTAGTGACCAAAAACACAATGTTTTTATTTTCAATCGGATTATTGTCCAAGCTTCTTTTAGCACCCCTTTTATTGAAACCATTTACTATTTTAGTTGATGAAATTGTAGCAAAAGTGATAATCAAATCGCTGATTAACTTGGGTACTTTGACTTTATTCAATTTTCTACCCTTTGGATCCATTTCAAAAATTTTCACTTCACCTTTAGCACTTGTTAAAATAATAAATGGATCAAAGATTTTACCATTTATAATTTCAAAATCAAAATTAATTTGCAACAATTTTTTGAAATTCAAATCAAATAGATAAACATTTGTTGAGGTTATTTGTAAAATTCTTTTCTTGGATTGAATTGTATCAATATTTATAGTAATGTTATTGTTTTTGAAATCAAAACTTTGGAAATTTTTGAAATTTTCATTGATCAAAAAAATCTCACTTTTAAAATTAGATAAATCTGTTGTAACTAAATATTTGTTCAGTATATTCCATGTTTTGCTGATATTACTGAACTTCAAAGTTGAATGTATTATTGGTTGAATGGTTGGTTTGAAAACAGTTAAAGCACCTTGTTCACCTTCACCTGATGTAGTAACTATAGAGACATCATTTTTATTAGGATTTTCCAAACCTTGTACAAATGGATTTGAGTTGATTTGACCTAAGGTAAATGAACTTATTGGTCCTGCATTGAATAAGAAATCTTGAATTGAAAAATCAAAATTAAAGACATCATTTTGATTTGTGCCGTTACCAGCATCATCTTCATCATTGTATAAATCGTCATCATCATCATCATCATCATCGTTAGTGTTGTCAGTTGTTGCTTCTTTGATCTTACCGTCTCCATTTTGTGGAACTTGTTGAGTTTTATTAACAGTTAAAACAACAGAGTCAGATGAAACACAACCAAGGAATAAATGATCATCATCAATTTTGGAGACCGTAATAGGTCTTATTATAGGAAGCTTTGTTGAGATTCTAGTAATATTCAAGTCTTTGACAACCTTACCATCGATTGTGAAATGTAAATTGTAGAAATTACCTGATTCATCAATTATTAAAACATCATTTCTTGTAATGACTTCAATTTTTGAGTTTTCCAAAAAAATATTCAAATCTGATTGATCAATTAGTTTGAAGTCAGTGCAATCTGGATAGTAAAGATTGACACCAATCCCCTTTGTATTACCCGAGTTATCAACGTGAATGATTTCATTACAACCAATCAGCAATGCACCATTTATTGGGTCTGGCATTGGTTTAACATCCCATAAATCATAAGGTAGGTTTTCAACCTGTAATATTGGGGTTGATGAATCATTTGCTAAATCTAATGACAAGACAACAAAATTTACAACATCTTTTTTTTTGGATAAATCACTTGCCCATGTTAGATCTGTACGGTATAATATCCCCAAAGTTGGATCTCTATAGTTGAAAAGGAAATCACAGTCCATGATTTTGGTTATTGTACTTTCAAGCTTATGAACAGGTACAATAATTGATTTATCAAATATTTCACGATCTTTATCTAAAATTCTAGTATCATCAATTTCAATTTCTTCCTCATCTTGTTTGAAAGGTAAGAACGCCAATATATCATTATAAAACACCAAAGAAGAGTTATTATTTGGGTCGACTCTTAAACTTGATTCATCTAGTTGACTTATTGTTTTGGATGAAAATTCAGATTCATAGTAATGTAATGAATTTGTTTGAATCGAATTGTGTTCAAAATCAAATGAAACAATTGATAACTTAGCAAATTTGGTTAAGATCAATAATTGATCATATTTCGAGTTTGGTAGTAATGCTGGTTTGATCTCGATAACTTTACCGTTCAATTGAAACTCATTTATCAACACTAATTTCCCATTTTTGACTTTGAAGATTTGAAGAAGAGTATTTTTAACAACAATTAAATCTTTAGACTCCAAGCTTGTGAAGTTACAAGCCACCGAGTGTGATACACTTGTGGGATCTATGAATTGGTCATAAACATCCATTTGATCTGAATGAAAATGTTGTCAATACTTTTGTTAACGTTTTTGCAATATTGTTGATTCAATTGTCGATGCTAATTTTTTTCTTCAACACACTGTTGAATTCGCGAAATTATATATATGGTTAGGAGCGTTTTCAACTACACGGATATTAACGGACCAATATAAAGTGTATTTTCATTCCTGCAATTTGTTGAGATTTAAAATCGAGGATATAGGTGGCAGTTTGACTGAAAAGTTCTTTGATGCCTCTATTCTAGGGAGCCTGTATCCGAGAGGATCAGGACTGAGCTCTGGAGGTTTGAAAGTACTGAGGTCGTATCTGTAATTTCCAATGGTATAGTCATGATTTTTCAAGTCTGGACTTTCTGGTCCATCATTTGAGATGCTAGGAGATCTGTTATTGGAAAGGACTGTGTGGCTTTCTGGTTGAGCACTGGAAGTCTCTGGTGAAGAATCAATAACGTTGGAATCTAAAGCGTCAGAAGTTGCTCGAAGTTCTCTTCTTCTCTTGGTCGATGCTGATGTTGAAGACTCACTTGAAGAGCTCCTATTCCGTCTTTTGATTCTGTTAAATCGTATCAAATTCTCATCAATGGACAAAAACATATCTTCATTACTCTTCTTCACAGCTCTGTGGTACCCTTTCTTCTTAAAAAACAGACCACAAGCATTACATATGGATTTCCCATTATCATCCCTTCTCCAAATTGAAGTGTTTATGTTTTCACAATTTGAGCACCTTATTATGTTCAAATCCTCTAATTTGATATCATTCTTAACCAATATTTTTGGATTCCTGTCCTCACCAGCCACAGTAGTAGCAGCAGACTTGTCATAATCTACATTCTTCTGTTCATTCTCATCAGCTAATTTCTCAAATAACTCTGATACACTAAGTATATTCTTTTTGGAAATTAACAACTTTGGACGATGGCAACCTTTGGTTTTGTAGTATATCCCACAAGCATTGCATAGAGTAAGAACCGCTTTAGTTTCTATATCAAGCGTTTTGCGCCACATTGGGGTCTTTTCAGCTTCACAATTGGCACACTTTGTCATATTGGATAATTATAATAATGTAGAGCTTCTGGGGTTGACAGGCTCTGTTGGAAAATAAAAGTTGAAAAAAGGCTTGAATGGTGTCTTTATATATGAATTGTAAAAGAATGTTACCACAGAGAGCCATAATCAAAAGTAAAATCCACCACCACCGTACACCATCATTTCATCGGGCAGTTGCAATGTGACATACAATTAGAATCCACAGTTTTTGACATGTCGTGAAGTTTACTCAGCGGAGCCTTTCTATCGCACGGACTGTGTAAAACTCCAAATCAAACTTTATCAAAGTGCTCAAAAAATTGTGTAATTCTTGAATCATTTTTAATCAAGTTCTGATCAGAATTTCAATCAAACTCATCATCAAAACGCGAATTGTGGCATCAAGCCCCAGTTCATATGGGACTAGACTGGGAAGTCTATGAATGTATGGTCTAAGTCCGATGAATACCCGACCCGACAGGGGGCTAGTCTGTGGTGTCTGGATGGTTTCCTGATTTGGGGCATTCTGTTTATTTTTTTGGTTTGGGAGTTTGTTGATGGAATTGTTAACAACGCGATGGAGTTGATACTCACGTTTCACCACCACAGAACAGAGTGATCAAAGTGGATAGAAGCCAATTGGAGTACAGCCCGCCATGGAGACCATCGACGTCCACTCAAAGTCATTTGTCGTCAAGTGGATCCATGTTCCTGACAACTCAACGGTCATATTCCAGTTGAAACCCATCAAGAGATCCATCAGCTTCAGCGTCTACAGATCATTGACCTCAGAGTCCTACTCAGCTTCAAACTCTCCTGCTCTGAGACCACAGGGTGATGTCTCGGAGAGCAATAACAGCTCATCCACTTCATTGGGTCGTAAAAGATCAAATTCCACTCTGTCATTGGAAGACAAATTGAAGCAATCAGCTTTGGCAAAAGTCCATGCTTTCGGTACTTTGAATGGAAACCAATTGTTCAAAAGTGAATTCAAAGTGGAAAAGGGCGGTGTCTTTGCTTTTATTTTTGACAACACATTTTCTAAAAGTTATTCCAAAAAAGTATTGTTCAACAAGTTCTTTTTGGATTCCAATGAAAATACCACCAGACCACAATTATCCTCTTCATCTTCATCTTTAAATTTACCATCTCATGGTCAAATTCATCCAAATAAAGGTCAATATCTTCAAGGGTTTCTTTTAAAGAAGAAAAGAAAGAAGTTACAAGGGTTCACCAAAAGATTTTTTATATTGAACTTCAAGTATAACACTTTAAGCTATTACATGAATGAAAACAGTTTGAAAACCAGGGGTGAAATGCCGGTCAATTTAGCCACCATATCTGCTTTCAAAGATGAAAACACATTTATAATAGATTCTGGTATGGAAATTTGGACTTTGAAGACCTTGAACAAAGAAGATTGGGATAATTGGATCAATGCATTGAACTTCATCAAGTTTAATAGTACCAACAGCACAGGTCCTAATACCGGTATTAGTAGCTCATCGGCAACAGTGGTACCACCATCCCATGCACCACCACCACCACCACCACCACCTTCAACAGGCCACACACAAGTTTCTAACATTAAGGAGTTGAATGAAGAAGTTAAAGATGAACAGTTGAATTCAATAAACTCAAAGATCGACCAACTAAGCAAACGTTTCCAATCATTAGAGTCTAATTTGGACCAACAATCATTATCGGATACAAAAGATCAGTTGAAGGATCTTTCATTATATGTGAAAACGTTATTGACAAACCAATCCAAACATGCTGAGAAATCTTCCACAACAAGAGCTGGTTATATATCACCAACTGCAACATCTATATTCAGTCAAGAGTTTTTCGATGCACTAGAACCTTATGATGAAATTGATAATATAACGGGAGCTACTGGTGGGAATGATGATTATGATGAGGAATCATCAATCGATAATCATGTTTTACTACTACCCACAGCTAAACAAGGAAATAGATCAGCAAGCTACCAAGTTGATTTATCTTCATCATCATCCTCTGATGTTTCAATTGATGGCGGATTACCAACAAAAAGAGTGGACACCTTAGAACTTGACAATGACCTTTCACCATTACCTTTGAACCCAGTGAAGAGAAGAAATGATATCAAATTAGCAACATCAACCCCACCAAGTCTTTTGTCATTCTTGAGAAAGAACGTTGGTAAAGATTTGTCTACAATTTCAATGCCGGTAACATCAAATGAGCCAATAACTATTCTACAAAAAATTTCAGAAACGTTTGAATATTCAAATTTATTAAATGAAGCTGTAAATGAGACCAACAATGACATTAAAATCCTTAAAATTGCATCTTTTGCAATTTCAAATCTAGGTGCAATGAGACCTAAAGAAAGGAACCTGAGAAAACCATTTAATCCAATATTAGGTGAAACTTTTGAATTGGTGAAAGAAGATATGGGATATAGATTTATTGCTGAAAAGATTCATCACAAACCTCAAATTTTTGCTGTTCATTGTGAATCCAAAGACTGGGAAATTTCATTTTGTTTGAATCCTGAACAAAAATTTTGGGGTAAATCAGTTGAATTGATTAATAAAGGTGTTGTGACATTGTCTTTTAAAACTACAGGCGAGGTTTATAAATGGCAACAACCTACAACGTTATTGAAAAACATTATTGCTGGGGATAGATATACAGAGCCTGCTAATTCAATTTCAATTTCAAGTTCAATTGGTTTGAAGAGTGTTATTGAGTTTAAGAAACCAAGCGGAGGGTTTTTTTCAGGAAGTAAATCTGAAGAAGTTTTAATAAAAGTATTTGGTGAAAAAGGTCATGCTCATGATTTGTTTGTGAATGGTAAATGGACTTCTGAGTTATCAATTCAAAGCTCAAAAGACCAGGATATGAATGTTAAAATTTGGGAAGTTTCACCATTATTGAAAGGCTTTGAACAAAAATATGGGTTTGGTCCTTTCACTGCCAATTTAAGTGAAATAACAGATATAGAGAAAGGCTTCATTCCTTTTACAGACTCAAGATTTAGACCCGATGTTCAAGCTTATGAGAATGGCGACATTAAAAAGGCAGAATCGTTAAAACTAGAAGTTGAGCAAATGCAACGTGATAGAAGAAAAGTTTTAAGTGATGCCAATCAAGTACATAAACCTTCCTTCTTTTTGAAGGCTGGAGAAGAAGAAATGGATTATGAAGTTATTAGAGGAGAGGACAGTTACTGGAATAGAAGGAAGCAACAAAACTGGGAAGGTTTAACCCAACTATGGTAATGACACGGTTATCATTGTGTATATTAAAACATTTGTTTGATTTAAAATGGGTCTTCGTAAGGATCTTCTTCATCATAATCATCATCTTTTTCGAACTCATAGACAATAGCACCTCCAGAATTGAAGGATTGCGCATCAAGATATGGTAATTCAACTTGATCCTTTGCCAATTTTTGTTTGTCAGAAGTTGTTAAATTGAATGTAGTTAAACCTTTCAATAAGGATTGTGAATCCATTGGTTGGTTATTCTCATTTGGATCTGTAGGTAAAACAAAGTTATATTCATGGTTTAGTGTATTGATCTCAAATTTGTAAGATAAAGAGCGACCTGATTTTCGACGATTAATCAAATTGATTTGGAAAACAGCATTGTTCATGTTTTTGACAATGTTTAATTTATTCAATTGATTCTCTAATTCTTCATCATCTTCAAAAGTAGGTATTATCTCAAATATAGAAGATGCAATATATGATAGCAATTTGTGTGAAGTTGGATAGTTGTTGAATTGTGGATTAACATCAGCCTCTGGGAGCGATGTATGTAAAGTTGTAATAACCGTTAGATTTGGTTTCATTATGGTTGTTATGAATTGTGATAAATATTCAGTTGCGATATAATTTATTGAATCTATAATCACCAAGTTCTTCTTTGATGGATCGTAATGAGTGTTTAATGTTTCAACCAACTTCTTTAATGGGATATCATAAGCTTCAATGAATACATTTGCAAACTTTGGCTTATGAATAGTTTCGAATGAAACAAAAATTATATTTGTATTATCTGGAGCATTATGAACGAATTCTTGAACCAAATAAAAAGATGATTGAGCTATTGTATCCAGGATTAAAAGTAATGGTGAACTTTCCTTTAATGTAAATAGACGGTTCAACAGCACCGTAGAGTTTTGAGTAACACCTGACATGATAAAGTTGGGTTTAAAGTGTTTCTTTAATGTGATTGACTTGATGAGTTTTATTTCGTTTTCAATATTTTTTTTTTTTCGTTAGTGCCGGAATAGGCTTTGGTTATGCCAAATGGTACAAAAATAAAAACGTCAAAACTTTTTCGCAAAAAACTTCGCGAATATCTACACGATTTTGATCAAGAACATGTTGAATTAATGTTAAACTCTATACCTTGAATCTCCTGCTGAAATTCCTCTAGGTGTTGATCTTGTACGCGGAGCTCCCATTGCTGCTAATGCCTCTGAGAAAATAGCTTTTGACTTTGTAGGAGGTGGATGGTCTTTTAAAAGGTCAACATGTTTGTGATCAGGTTCAATTAAATCTCCATCTTCATCATATTGATATTTCAAGTTTTTTCTATGGATTTGATCAAAGGCATCAGTCAAGTTTAAATTGTAACTAGTGTTGGTGATTTCAATATTTGAATCAGATTGATCATATAGCATCAGTTGTAATGGAGTGTGATCAATGTTGTTGATATATTGTTTATCTCCTTTAACAACATGCTCAGAAGAATCCATTTTATAGATTTTTTTCACATATCTAGTGATTCTTCTTGCTTGGAATTCCAAAACATCTTCATTATCAACAAATAATTGTTCATCATAATCAAACTCATTTCCAAGTAAACGTTGATTATAATTGAAAATATCCAAATCATCAACTGACTCATCTTCTGTGGAAATAGAACTTGAAGCTGGTACAACACCTGGATAACATTCACTATACCATAATTGCCCATCTGCTAAACAATATATTGGAACTTTTGTGATCCAATCATTAACTTTTTCTTTATGTGGCATATTTGCAGCTGATCTTGGATCAAATGTTGCTGGGAATTGTTCTTGTGGTGGCATTGAATATAAGAATTCAGGAGGAATAACACCACCTTGTTGTTGTTGTTGCTGAGATTTATGGAATGTGATTCCAGATGCTGTGAAATTTGGTGTCAATTGTTGATTAAGATCAAATTCTGTGAAAAAACCTGGTGGTGGAACTGGTGCAGTTAAAAGTGGTGTATTATTTGATGCAGTTTGTTCATTCAAATTATACTGCATATGTGAATGTTTATAGCTCAAAATAGGTGTTGAAACAGCATTTGGCTCATGACCGGTAGTGATATTAGAATATAATGGGAAAGATTGTCTTAATTTAGATCTTGACTCATGATAATTTGAATCTGTGATATTATTTGGTGTAACATTAGCAGCAGCAGGTGAGTTGAGATTATTTGGAGCAATAGGTGAAGGCTCATAACTTGAGTTCCACAATTTGGAGTTGTTGATTATTGGTGTTCTCATATAGCTTATTCTTTCATTGTTAGCATCATATTCCCCTAATTGCATGTTATTCCCCAGATAACTCTCATCAACCATTGCCAAAAAAAATATCAAGTGAGTGAAGAGCTGTAACCACTTTGATGTGCTCAATGTGTTTAATGTATCTTGAATCTGTGTATCATTTGTCTTTTTCTTTCTTGAATTGTTTGACGTTTTTGTGTCAACAATGCATGAAATTATGTATCCATAACTACAGGAAAAAAAAAGAACATTGAGAAAAAGCCACATTCAAGGGACCAGATATTATTCATTAGATATTAGTGTACATTATATATATGTCTTTGTATTACTCGTTTGTTTTCCCTTTCACAGTATTCTAAACAAAAATGTAAAGAAAACGGATAATGCTAAACAAACACAAATACCAGTTGGACCATACTTGTCATCATAATGAGCTGCAACTTTTGATCTAATGTTTATAACTCTCCAAACATACATGATTGAAGCATAAATAATAGTTAAAACAGTAGTTATGAAAAATCCAACAGAAGCAGCTAATGAAACTTTATCACCATAAGTTAATAAAGAAGTTGTAGTGGCACTTAAAATCAAAGCAATTGATATCCAACTTAAAAATGTTCTTTCAGTGGCAAAATAAACTTTTGGTTCCACTCTTACTGGAACACAAATTTTTTTACCAGGTGGAGCTGAAAATTTTGATTCAAAAACAGTATTTGGATTCACTTTATAAGTATTTTCATCTGTAAACCAATAGTTAAATTTATCCATTATTGATGTAAAAACAGTTGTTTTTTTATTGTTTCTTGTGGCACCTGAATAATTACTTATTAATAAAGGAGCATGTTCATTTGATGCAGTGTTTGGTTCAGAACTTGATTGACCTTGATTTATAGCACCAAATTGTGAACCAGCCAATTCTTCTTCATCCATATATTCACCACTTGAAGTGTTTGTATTTGAATTGTTATGGATTCTATGAATACCAATTTCATTAGGCAACATTGGTTTTCTAATATCAACATCCATTTGAGGAATCCAAAATGGAAGTAAATCAACACGTTCAGGTAATAAAGTTGCAATACCATGAATGAATTTTGAAAATTTAGGAACAGCCTCCACTAAATGTGATGAAATCAAATCTCTAACCCATTCTGGAGGTTCTTGACCTAATTGAGTTTGTAGTTTAACTTCTAAAACTGCATATGGGAATCTTTCTATATCTTTTGGAGCAACTTGATTAAAAGGCCAATCAACACCAATATCCATTCTTCTCCAATTACCTTTAGTTCTATCAACACCATCGAAATCATCTTCTCTAACCATTGTTAATTCAGTATCTAAAGAGATACGAACTCTTGCATCACCTGGCAATTGAAATGCAGTTCTATTATAAAAAGATCTAACAACAGGTCTTAATTTTTGTTTTAAAACGGTATATTGAGTTTCCATTGCTAAAGCTTCCAAATTTTCAATTTCTTTAATTGATTTTTTACCATCTTTTCTCATTTTTTCAAAAGCTTGTGGAACAGTATAATCACCCTTCATAAATGAATTAACATATTTTTCCTTTAATGGGAATCTTGCCTTGACAGATTTTTCACCAGTCCAATCTTCTCTATGAGTTTTTCTTTCAACGAAAATAGTATCAGAAGACATACCACCATACCATCTTAATCTATGAGCTTCAGCACCTTCATCTTTTCTTAATCTACCATAATACAAGTCTAAATTCTTATTATCATAATAGATAGATGTAATTGCAGAATCTTCTCTTTCAAATTCTTTATTAGTATTGAAGACCAAGACTGGTAAATGTTTTAAAATGATTAATTTCAATTCTGTAATATTATCAGGATGAACCCAATATTTTGTAGTTTGACGAACGAAATTTTGTTGAGAACCACCAGCGGCAGAATCACCTTTAACAGGATTACCTCTAGTTCTAACCAAATCATATAAAGTTGAGATTTTAACAACCATTGAATCATAATTTTCTTTGAAGAAAGGTTTAGCATCTAATCTAACTTGGAAAATTGGTTTTAAATTCCAACCAGTTTGTTTATCATGCTTTTTAATGATTTTTTGGAACCCAGTATAGTTTAATCTTGTGAATTTGGCTAAATCATGAACATCTGCAATAACATCACTCAATTCTTCCTCTAAATCTTCAAAGTCTTGTTCCAAAGGTGGATTCTCCGTATCAATTGAACCAATCACTTCATTAACAGATTGTTCCGAGTCCTTGATTCTTCTTGTGATTTCAGCACCTTTCACTTTCTGGAAGGTGTAGATCTTGTCCAGTTCAGCCTCTAGACTGGTTAAAAAGTTTTCCTCCAACTCAGTGGACCATTTGTTACCATTTGATTTCAATCCTGATTTCAATTCCTTCTTGAGGTCGTCGTAGCTGATGTAGTAGAAGTTGTAGTCTCTGATGAGAGAGCTCTTGAGATGCTCTCCGAACTTCATTGTGGGCCTTTGATCTCAGATAGAATATAGTTAAAAGAGACACTGGGATTCCTTCACCGTTATAACTGTTTTGATGGTGATGGCTGCTAATGCTGCTGCTTCTCATACAACTGCTCCACGTGCCTGGGCTCGTCTGCTTTGGGAAGTGGTTAGGGGGCTCTGGGTCACATGACATTTTATTTTTTTTATTTCACTTATGTTTTCATTTATACCTGTAATTGAAAGGTGATGAGCTCAAGATGAAGGTATGTGACTATAGACTTATAGAGTGAAACCCCTTCTAACACCTCTAGATCGAAATAGAAAGAGAAAAACTACTCTCAAACTTTGAAGTCAACCAACATCTAATAGAGATCCAATCTCAAAACAACTGGAACAATAATACCAAAGAATCTAAGAAAAAAAGAGCCTATAACCCAAATTTAGAAAGTATATCAAGAGATGTCACTTCTTATCTATCCAAGAGTCCAACTGCATTACAAACAGTCGACAATATAACTCAAGCAATGAAGGATTTATCCCAATATAAATTGGAAAAAGTGGAAAAATTACAAATTATAAATTCTGCACCTTATTCATTAGTTAATTTATATTCCATCGTGGAAGAATGTGATCAAAGATTTTCTGAACAAGAAATCGAAGATATTTTACAAATAGTACAAACTCATTTCCCTCAGCAAGAGGTGGACGAGGAAGAGGAAGATCAAGAAATGGAGGAATAATATATTTATTATTCTTGTTTACGAACACCACTAACAATATCATCAACTCTTAACAACAAACATGCACTTTCAATAGCAGTCTTGATACTTTGTTGTTTAATAACTTCTGGTTCCCAAATACCATAAGAATTCATATCAACAACTTTACCTTTATCACCATCAATACCAAATGTATAATCACCTTTAGCATGTTTTGCTCTTAATTGAGACAATATACGGATTGGATTACCACCAGCATTTTGTATAAGAGTTCTTGGAATAACTTCAAAAGCATCTGCAACGGCTTGATATGGCCATTGTTGAACTCCTTCAATAGTTTTAGCCTTTTCAGATAATTTAACTGAAACGGCCATTTCAGTGGCACCTCCACCTGGTGATAAACTTGGTTCAAAAATAACATTACGTGTAACAGCCATTGCATCTTGTAAATTTCTTTCAATTTCATTTAAAATATCTTTTGATGGACCACGTAACATAACTGTACAAGCTAATGGATTTGAACATTTTGTTAAAAATGAAAAATATTCATCTCCAATTTGTTCAACTTTAAATAATCCACAATTTGTACCAACATCTGATTCACGTAAATCTTCAACTCTATTAACAATAGTGGCACCTGTAGCTCTTGATATACGGTTATTATCAGATTTTTTAACTCTTCTTAATGCAGTAACACCACCTTTTAATAAATAATGTTGTGCTAAATCTGAAACACCTTTTTCAGTTATAACTAAATCTGGTTTGAAATTTAAAATAGTTTCACACAATTGTTTAACTTGATCTTCTTCAATTTGTAAAATTCTACTCCAATCTTCCTCTTTAGTAATTTCAATATTTGTTTGTGATTCACCTTTTTTATATTCTAAAGGACAATCCAATAATATAATTCTTGGATTTTCTATATATCTCTTCATCTTTGGATGTGTAACATCTTTGTTTAATAACACACCTTGTAAAACTTCACTATCCTCAATTTCACCACCTGGAAGTTTTTCAATACGAACATATCTTTTAGTATCAATTTCTTTATGACCATAACCATCATCAATTAATACAGTCTTGACAGCTTTTAAAGCTAATGAACACATCAAATCTGACCATTTACTAATATATTTAGTACCAATTGATGCACTAATCAATTTAATCATTGCAGGTTCATTTTCAATATCAATTGGTCTTGAAACTTGATGAATAATTTCCAAGGCATCACTTAAAGCTTGTTTTAAAGCTTGGATAATAATGACTGGATGAATGTTTTTTTCAATGTATGGGAATGTTTGAGCTAAAATTTCACCAGCTAATATTATAACAGTGGTTGTACCATCACCAACTTCTTCATCTTGAGTTCTACTCAATTCAATCATTGATTTAGCAGCTGGATGGGCAACATCAATTTCTCTTAAAATGGCATGTCCATCATTAGTCAAGACAATACCACCCATTGGATCTAATAACATCTTTAACATAGCTTTTGGACCAAGACATGTTCTAATGATATCTGAAACTGCTTTAGCAGCTGTGATATTTGATATTTGAGCTTGACGACCCGTTTGCCTCTCAGAAGAGGTGTCTAAAAGGTTAGTATGACTAGGAGAAGTATCAATTTCAATGGTAACATACTCATAAACACAACTGGTGCTTGCATTTTTGGATTGATATCGCTTAAATTGTTTTGGTAGTTGTTTCGTTGATTTCGCCTTCAAAAGTTTTCGATGGTTTTTTTTTTTCGCGTTGGAAAAAAAACGGTTTGAAGCGATGTGCTTTACATGGAAGAAAAAAAAAAGATCCATAATATAACTAAAATTAAAGGTTGTTGAAGTGTATTATTAGTGAAAAATGGGTATTGTGTAAGTGAAAGATTCTATTCTCAGCTTAAGGTTAATTTACTAACACAATTCAGCGAAAAAATCCAACAAATCCAAGAGGAATTGGCTCGTACTCAGAAAAACAAGGCCACCGAATATCATATTGGTTTACTTAAAGGTAAATTAGCAAGATATCGTCAACAATTATTAGAACCTCCACCAGGTTCATCTTCTTCTCCAGGTCAAGGTTTTGAAGTTAGTAAAAGTGGTGATGCAAGAGTTGTATTGATTGGGTTCCCATCTGTGGGTAAATCTTCATTTTTATCAAAAGTCACCAAAACAAGATCAGAAGTTGCAAGTTATGCTTTCACAACTTTAACATCTGTTCCTGGTGTATTGGAATATCAAGGTGCTGAAATTCAAATTGTGGATTTACCAGGTATTATTAGTGGTGCATCTGAAGGTAAAGGTCGTGGTCGTCAAGTTGTTGCAACTGCTAAAACTAGTGATATCATTGTTATGGTTTTAGATGCCACTAAAAGTTCAGAACAAAGACAAATTTTGGAAAAAGAACTGGAAAGTGTTGGTATAAGATTAAATAAACCAAAACCAAACATTTATTTCAAACCAAAACCTTCAGGTGGTGTTAAATTTAGTTATACTTCTCCACCTAAGAATCTTGATGAAAAAATGGTTCAAGGTATTTTAAGAGATTATAAAATCCATAATGCAGATGTCTTGATTAGAGATGAAAATGTCACAATTGAAGATTTCATAGATATTATAAATGATTCACATAGAAGTTATATCAAATGTCTTTATGTTTATAACAAGATTGATGCAGTTTCATTAGAGGAAACTGATAGAATTGCAAGAGAACCAAATACAGTTGTTATGAGTTGTGAAATGGATCTTGGAATACAAGATGTTATTGAAGAAATATGGTTTCAACTTGATTTATTGAAACTATATACAAAGAGAAGAGGGGTTGCAGTGAATTTTAATGATCCACTAGTGGTTAGAAATAACAGTACAATTGAAGATGTTTGTAATTCTATTCATAAAGATTTCAAAAATCAATTTAAGTATGCATTTGTATGGGGTTCATCTACGAAGCATAATCCTCAAAAATGTGGATTAAATCATCCAGTAGATGATGAAGATGTTGTTTCAATTGTGGCAAAGTGATCTATCTAACTATTTACATTGTTTTATTTCTTAATACCTCTTTTTTCCAAAAAATCTTTAGCTTCATTAATCTTTGTAGCAACATATGGACTACCACCTTTATCAGGATGGTTTGCCAACATGATTTTTCTATGTGTTTCTTTTAATCTTTTTTTAGTTAATGTAGTTTCTCTTAAATTCAAGATTTGTAAAGCTTCTTTTGCAGTCATTTTTGGTCCAAATCCACCTTTATGGAAAGCTTTACCATTTATACCTGGTTGATTTGATTTAAAACGACCAGCGACAATATATGCAAGTGCAAACCCACCGAGACCTGTTAGGATAGGATGGTTACCAAGAGTTGTAAGTGTTTGATCAAAGTAATAATCTATGGTACCTTGTTGTGGAGTTGATGATGATGATGATTCATTTTGTTGTTGTTGTTGTTGTTCAAAAGTTATCTGTTGAGGAGGTTGCTGTTTCTCACCTGGGATAGGGAGAGAAGGGATATCGATGGATTGTGGAGCCATGATGCGATGAGAAGTTGAGGTTTAGATACCAGGAAAATGGAATAGATCTCAATATTTCAATGACTTTTCAATTAATCTTTTTTTTCTCGATGAACTTTTTTGAAACTCATCCATAATAGGCAATATCCATATCAGGAAATGGTTTTGAGCGAGCGCGATGAGGAAAAGAAAAAAAAAAAAATTATTAGAAAAATTTTAATATGAGAGATCACATACTTTTTTTTTTTAGCATTTCACAAGAGATAGAAGTAACGACAAAATGAGAATCTATTCATGTCATTTCTGCTCTTCTCCAGTATACCCTGGTCATGGTATAATGTTTGTGCGTAATGACGCTAAAGAATTCAGATTCTGTCGTTCCAAATGTCATAAAGCTTTCAAACAACGTCGTAACCCAAGAAAATTGAAATGGACTAAAGCTTTCAGAAAAGCTGCTGGTAAAGAATTGGCTGTTGATTCTACTTTAACATTCAGTGCTAGAAGAAATGTTCCAGTTCGTTATAATAGAGATTTGGTGGCCACAACTTTGAAAGCTATGGCTAGAGTTGAAGAAATTAGACAAAAACGTGAAAGAGCATTTTACAAGAATAGAATGAAAGGTAATAAAGAAAGACAAATTGCTCTTGATAAGAAACTGGTTGAAAGTAATCCTGAATTATTGAAGATGAGAGAAGTTGAAATTGCAAGAAAATTGGCTAAACAAGAAGCTAGAGAACAAAGAGTTGAAGATGAAGAAATAGAATCCGAAGAGGTTGAAAGTGATGAAGAAATGGATATAGAATCAGAATCAGAATCAGAAGAAGAAGCTGTTAAACAAAAAGTTTTGTTGAAAAACAAGAAACGTTCAAAACGTGTATTTTAAGTTGTCATGGTCATAGGTCATTATTATTATTATTTTTTCGGTTTTTACAAATTAGTTTTCTTTTTATTTAGTTGTTTTATAATGTAAATTGGGTTACACTTGATGAATTCATTCAAATTTATTTGTCCGTATTTGAGCATCATTTGGTAGTTTTTTAAAAATGGCCACGAATCCACCTCCAACAACTCTTGATGCAACTTTTGGTCGACAAACTATTCCTTCTTCGTTTGAAGCTCTGATATGTGTAAATCTAACATCCCAATCTTGTAATCCACCACCCATACCAGGTGCTAATTGAATGGTTCTAATATGTGAAAGTTTAATTTCACCTTCACTATCTTTAATGGTTTTAATAACTTCCAATATTTGAGTTACTGAAGGGCAAAAGATAACTAATGATGCATCTTGTTTTAAATTTTTGGAAATTTGTGAAACATTGGAAGAAATTTCTGGCATATCTAGGAAAGCTGCACTTAAAAATCCTTCTTTATCTTCCAAGCTTTCAGATTCATCATGTTTTTCAAGCAATTTCCATCCTTCACTATGATTTTGAAGCCAATCCACAGGTGATTCTGCAAGATGGAACTTTACATCATCTCTATACATCCCTCTTTTAAAATGTTCCAATGTAATCTCACCTCTTCTAGAATGATTTGTATTACAATCAATCGAATGTAATATTCCACCTCTAACGTTAAATTTTTGCAAAAAACAATTTGTTGGATGTAATCTTGAACAGATGGCTAATGCCAATGACCCATGACCAGTACCAGCCTCCAAGATTTGTATTGGTGATCCGACCAATTGATTATCATTTGTTAATTCTGGGAAATCATAATGTAAATCAGCTAATGTCACTATAGCAGCTGCATCATAAGGGTAGATTGGTTGAGCATCTCTTTGACCCAAAGTTATGTAGTCCTCAGTAGTTGCTAATGTTGCAATATATGATGATTTACCATTTGTGGATTTCAATATGCTTCTTGACCTAAGATTGAATAATTTATCATGGTTAATTGAACCGTTATTTACATCAGTCTTACCACCGAATTCCAAAGGTTTAGATAACCATATTTTATCACCACGAACCACTGATCGTAATAAAACAACATCACCAGGTTTAAAAGTTGTGAAAAACCTTTTGGAAAACATGTTTTGATGAGGATATATTTTTTTTTGATGTTGTGATTTTTTTCTGAAATTTTTTTTGGCCATCTTTTCTACTATTACGCGTAAATGTCAACAATGCATTTAGTAACTGACATTTCTCAAATCAAATTACATTATAAGGAGAACCATGTGGTTAAAGTTCGAGTGTTTGGAGTGGTATTGGAATATAATGCAATGGAAGGAACAATCACAGTTCAATCCTTGAATATATTCTCAAGAGATCCAAATGGAGTAATCAAACTCACTTTAGATGAAGATCGTTCAATTTCAAATCCTGAAATCGCATATATGGGTACATTAGTTGATATTTACGGTTTATACAATGGTAAAAATATCATGCTTATTGATGTTAAATTTCCCAATTCTGATACTATTACGGAAAAGGAGAATATCGATATCCTACAAAAAATGAGTCAAGTTTAATATACTTATTAAAACCCACTGTTCCCAAAAAATTGATCCCAAATCGTGTCACTAGATACTCTAGTTATCATATCAAATATTCTTTGCTGTTCATGATCAGCCTGTGTTGCAGTTTCTGCAAATGTTGTTGTGGGAGGTGTTGATAAACTTTGGAAATTTTGATTATCATAATAATCTTCTGGTGTTGTATCATCAAAAACTGAAGAATATTGGAAATCTTTGAAAACGTGTGAATCGTTATTGTTTGGATCCGTTATTTTATTCAATTGATCGAAAAATCTATCTATATCTTCAAATTGCTTTGAAGAAGATTGATCATCACTTGAAGTGTTTTCAAATTTTAATTTAATCATTGCCAATGATAAAATTTCGAATATTTCAACACATGGAGAAGCAGCATCACAACTTTCAGTTAAGGAGTTTAAAATCTTTGTAACAATACCAATTGTTTCTTCAAATTCTTGAAACTCAATTAATTTTTCATTTGAATGGAAAATTGAATAAAAAAATGATGTACCAGCCATAAATAAATTATGTACTGCAGCCCAAGTGTAATTAATTGTTTTCGATTTGAAAAATTCTGCATAGCACATAATCATTCCCTTTGAAGATTCAAATATGATCTTGATAGCTTTATTATCAACCTTATTATTTTTTGGAGTTATACCAAAGAGTAAAAGTTTTGTATGATAATAATTTAATTTGAAAAATTCAAAATTAAAATCACAGTTTGATTTTCTTGAAGTTTTGAGAGGAATTGTTTTGAACCAATTTTCTAACCTATTATCAATGTTAGATTTCCAATCATTTAAATTTGTATAAAATCTTGGTAAAAGAGATGACGTAAAATATAACACTTGTAAAACTTCAGCTTGTAATCTCCGTATTCTGAAAAAATTTGTAGAAATGATTTTATAAGTTGGTAATGAATTTGACGTATTTGTGAAATCATGTTCTTCATTGGGGTTTATTAAACAATCATCTAATTCCACTGGGAATTTAGTTGATATACTTTCCTCAGGTATACCAAAAGGTCTTCCTAAATAGACACATATTTGACGATCTAATGAATATGCACACCAAAACAATCTTCTTCTTAAATCTTTAACAAATGGAGTAAATTGATTGTTTAATTTTTCTGTATGAAGTCCTAAATCAACACAAAGTCTTAAAGTTGTCCCTAAAACATACCAAACACCAGGTGTTGAAGGTCTCATTATAGAATACAAAGTCAATAATAACAATCCTTGTAGACATTCCAATCTATCTGGAGAAGTATAAATTGAATCGATATACTTCATTGCTTCTAATTTGTATGAGTTTGATATTTTCGCATTATATTGTAACAAATTCACAGACGAGGCAATAGCAAAAATCATATTCAAGAAAAACAATGGTTTATGAAACTCTGAAGGGGTAGTTTCAGGATTGGTGGTGTTGTGAATATAAAACCAAGTATTGTGTTCTTCAATTGGTGATGTATCAAGGTTCATTTTTGTGTAATTTGAAGCCAACGTTATATTCGAAGATAAATTGCCATAAACAGGTTTAAAATAATTATCAATGAAATGTTCTCTATGTAGAATGGGTAATTGAGAATTTGATTGTTCAAAAAAAGTTTTAAGGAAAAACTCAGCTGTTGGTTTTATAGGAAATCCTGTTATTGAACTTTGACTTGGTTCTTCAGCTGGACCTCTAGTTGTAATAGAGTTATTCTCATTGATAGTTCCTGGATTGAAATTGACTGCAGTGAACAACAGTTTAGCAAATGATATACCTGAAGAATCACCGATATAAAATGATAATCCATTGTCACTTGTTGAAGGTACTGCAAGATCCATACTAGATTGAATTGATCCATCATCTTTTTCCATCTTGATTGATTTAGCATTGACAGCAGCCTGTGATGTTGATGTTGGTGTACGGGCTAAGCTTGCTGGGGATGAATGATTTGATATTCCAGGTGTGGGATCTATTCCATGTTGTTTCAGCAGAGCTTCCAAATTGTTGACTTTATCCTCAAGATATATGACATATGATCTTGGTACTTGTCTCCCCGTAGCAGGGTCCAATCCAACACAGGGCACACCAGCTTTTTCACATTTAGCACAGCTTGGGAATTTCTGATCACATTTGGTCTTTTTCTGACGACACCTTTGGCAGGCCGCTATAGATCTAGAGATACCGATGATTGTAGAAGATGGTCTACCACCTTCTTCACTTGCCTGTCTCTTTCCCTCGGGAGCCACATGATCCTCTTCAGCCTGTTGCTTTCTCTTCTTAGCTCCAGCCATTGTTTTATTGGGTAGTACCGGTTGTAACCTGTGTATCCTTTTATTTACACTTGAGTTTTTTGTTTATCTCGACGCCACCCAACGCTGCCTAACCGCTTCCGTTTTGGGAACACCCGTTTGGCTCGGAAGAAAAAAAAAGGCTGAATATTTGAAGGCCATGATGATGATATTATCACCAATCCCAACCAAAACAAACTCAATAAACGGGCAAATGACTACGTATGAGAAGCTCGTAAAGGTAAGCATGGCACCGATATTAAGGTCAAATAATTGAGTCCACTAACATCGTTTTTTCTTTAGGGAGCCACCAAGATTAAGGTACGTTTTCATTAACCCCTATCAAGGTCAAAAAGAATAGTACTAACAAACTATTAGGTGGCTGCTCCAAAGCCAAAGTATATCGAGCCAATTCTTATGGCAACTACAGACAGAAGTGAATTCAAGTCGGTTATGGTTGCTCTTCAGTCAAGATTGGGTGATACCGCTTGGTCAATTGTTTACAAGGCATTGTTGGTGATTCATATCATGATAAGAGAAGGTGATGGAGACATAACGCTAAAATATCTGGCGACTCATTTACATTTCTTTGATTTGAACCAGATCAAGCAGATTGGGTCTCCAGATTCAAAACAATTGTTGAGATATGCAAAATACCTTGCTGTTAAATCAAAACAATATGGTAACGTGGGGATTGATTACGTTAAAGATGAACAAACAAAGAATGATGGTGGTAGACTAAGGAACTTGAGTATAGATAAAGGGTTGTTACGTGAAGTTGAAAGTGTTGAAAAACAAATTAGAGCATTGGTCAATTGCAAATTTAGTGAAGCTGACATAAATAATGATGTTGTTCTAACATGTTTTAGAATGCTTGTTAATGATTTACTACGTCTTTATCAATCTTTAAATGAAGGTGTGATAAATATTTTGGAACATTATTTCGAAATGTCTAAATATGATGCCGAACGGGCTCTGATTATTTATAAAGATTTTGTTGATTTAACAAAAGATGTTGTCAACTATTTAAGAATAGCTAAACATCTGGAATATGCAACCAAGCTACACGTCCCAACTATAAGACATGCACCAACTGCATTGGCAAATAGTTTAGAAGAATACTTGCATGATGAAAATTTTGAAGTCAACAGGAAACAGTACCTTGCTGAAAGGGAATTGAAAAATTCAAACCCAGATTCGAAAAGAGCTACACCAGCACCAAAGAAAATTGAACAATCAGCTACTGGATCGAATTATAATCCATGGTCAAATCAAATTGGATTACAACAGGTTAATTTGAACGGACAACAACAACAACAACAACAACAACCGTTAGTTCAACAACCAACTTCAAATCCATTTCTTCAATTTCAAGCTCCTCAAACTACATCACAAGCACCACAACAATTTCAACCACAACAAACAGGATTTCAACAACAGCAAACAGGGTTCCAACCACAATTCCAGCCTCAACAAACTGGTTTACAACAAGCCCAAACAATGCCATTACCTGTTCAGCAAGTTCAAACATTCAACTATCCAGGAAATCAACAACAACAACAATTTGTACCTAATTTCACTGGGTTTGGTGGTTACCAACAGCAACCTCAAATTCAACCACAGTTGACACAACAATCCACTGGTAATCCATTTACCACAGCCAATAACAATCCACCAAAACCATTAGAATCATCAAAGACCGGCAACAATCCATTTGCAATTGACTATAAATCCAGGTTAACTTCAATATCGGAAAACAGTAATAATTCGATCCAACCTCAACAAACTAGTTCAAACCCATTTTCAAAACCAATCACCACTTCACTTACACATCAATCTACGGGCACAAATCCATTTCAAAAAACATACACTTCAAATAGAATATCTGTCAATGGTGGTAATCCTTTGAAACCACAAGCAACTTTTGGAGGTTATGAAAATTTAACAACAATACCTGTTTTCCCACAAACCATTCAACAACAACATACAAATCTTCTTCAACAACAAGCTGGATGGGAACTTCAACAACAAATGGCCTTGAACCAACAACAACAACAGCAACAACAGCAACAACAACAACAAAATGCATTTCAACAACACCCAACTGGAAACCAATTTAGTTTTCAACAATATGAAGGTCCAAGTTTGATTTGATGTTAGAATAAAAGTTTTAAAATTTGTACAGTATAATATTGTTTTCATTAGATAATTAGTTTTTGTATTATTAGTATAAAAAAGATTGCGCATTAAGCATTTGTTCCAATTGTTCAATTGATTCTTGATCCAACATCACATCTAATAGATCATTTTCAGGAAAGTCAACCAACCCTTGATCAGCACTGGCTGATGCTTGAGCTTGTAAATTTAATTCAACCAACTCCGTCAAAACTTTGGAGGAAACAACTCTTGGTTCATTATCCAATAACTTTATATAATTTGGAGCAACTGGTGACTCAGATGTTGTGCCAAAAGTGTTGACAAATAAAACTGTTTGAATCATATTCATTCTTTTGGCATAAAAATACTTGTCAGAGATTCTTCCAAAGTTTGCAATGATAACTCTTGAATTTTGAAAAGAGATTCTTTTAATTTCTTCAAATGAAACATCAATCTTGGCCTTTGGTAAAATGTAATTAGTTCTCCCAATCAATGATATTTGTAATTGCAAAAACTTGTGCAATGTAATTAAAATCTTGGGTATAATTAAAAATGATGGTCCAAATTGTTGTTGTAGATTGTAAAAATGGTCCTTTGTTGAATCCAAGAAATGAGTCACATGTAAAACGGGATTAGATATACTTAAAAGTCTTGCTAAAGTTTCAAATGCCTTTTGAGTATCAATACCTGTGTAGTGTAAAAAGATGTGATACAAAACCATATAAACCAAAGAGCTAATGTCCAGGAAATTTAAGAATTTTGCACATTTTTCAACTTTATTTGGTAATGTCAAAATGAAATTCAAATCTAGATCTATTAGATATTGTTCTAGTTTTTCCAACCCCAAATTTAATTCTTTTATTGAAGGCTTTAACCCGACATCAGTAATCATCATAGCAAGAGGTTTGATTAATTCACGAACTTTAAATCTTTCCCTTATGTAAATAGTGGCATCATTTGGCTCTTGTGGGAACGGAGTACTATAACTCTTGTCATCAATAAGGAATGAACAATTCCCATCTTTTAAAAATTGATTAGTATCAAGTTCAACTAGATGATACCATAATCTCTTCAAATGTTCGTCATTGGTTTCAAAGTTTAAGCCTAAATTTATAGCCAATCTTTGAGCTAAAATATAATTGGCTGAATTTTCAAATCCCTCAACATAATCAAGATCTTCTGCACAATTAGTTCGATAAAAATCCAAAATCAAAATAAACTGTAATAGTTGAGTTCTGTAATGATGATAAGAATATCTAACCTCTTCATAACATTGTTTAGCTAAATCAATAGATTCCACAGTAAAGGGCATGAATTCAGCTTCATAACCTGCATTATAAAATGACCACGAAGAAATCCTCAAAATCACAAGTAGAGTTCCAATAAATATGAAGTCATATGGACCATCAATTCTACTTCTAACCGCTGGGTATGATTTAGGGCCAATGAAATTGATTAAATTTTTGTTAAAATCATCTCTTTGAAAAAATGAACAAGTATTGAAAAGTTCGGATTCAAAAAAATGATCCACTAAAGACCAAACAACAAAAGTATTTGAAATTAAAGGTTTAATTGATTCAAACAGTTCATTTGATGGAATCAAACTTTTCTTTCTTTTCCCTCTATCCAACTCATCACGAATTTTCATTGGTAATCTTTTATTATCCTTTACAACGTGCAACACACACTTCACGAATGGGTCTAATGATACTATAGTAAAAAATGATAATGGTCCATCTTTCAAAAGTATTTTCCCATATCTATGGAAATCAATTTGGTCTTCAGATATTTGCTGTTGTAGAGTTGATTCAACCAAATCTAAACCAGTGTATTCACATTTGATGTTTGCCTTTGTACAGGTCCCGCATGTTGGTTTGATTTTATCACACTCAAATCGGATGTTAGAAAAAAGATCAACTTGGCTGCTTGTTGGAACATACCTTCAGCTTCTTCTCACGACAGTGAGTACACGAGTGAATCACTCTTCTTCTTTTGATTCCAGTAGCCATGAAGTGTTTGATACAGTTGATGTTAGGATACTATTCGGCCGGTAAAAAAAAAAACAAAAGTTATACATCTGTATTACATAATCTCTATTCTCTATACTGTTAATGCTCTCTGTTTAATGATAAATGCTAAACCAACAACAACACCGAGTCCTGCAAGACCAATCCCAGTGTAAAATGCAGCTCTCATACCCTCTAGTGTTTTGAGATCTTGTGGATCTACATATCTCTGTACAGTACCAGCAATCCCTAGACCGATTGAAATAGAGTAGTTAACACAAGTTGCAACAACAGAAGCTGCAACACCCTGGTGTTCTTTTTTCAAATGGTGACTCAAGACAATAGTAGCTGCTGGGAAACTTATATCCATACCAAATGGTGTTAAAATGGCTGATGGAAATTTTTGTGCCCAATACATTTGAGTTACAGGTCTCGTACCCATTAAACAACTTCCTATCAAAAAACAACAAAGAGAAATAGTCATAACAACACTTGTTGAAAGATACTTTAGCATATAAGTTGTTGATATTCCTGCAATCAAACCTGCAAACATTGTTGGGACCATTTGAGCTGTGCTTAACAATGGAGATTGATGTAAAATAAATTCACTAAATTGAAACTGATAATAAATCCAAATACCAAAACAACTCCAACCTGAAATGATGCAAGCAAGAACAAACCCAGTATCTCCAGTTAACACTTCTCGTGGTACTAATGGCCTTTTGGATACTTTAAGCTCAACATAGAAAAACCCAACTATTGCCAGTATACCAATGATTAAAAGAATATAGACATATGGTGTTTCCCAGCCAACAACAGGACCTTGATTCCATGCGAAATTGAATAAGACTAGCCCAGTAACTCCAAACAGTGATCCAAAGTAGTCAAAATCTTTCCAAGAACCTTTATCATCTTGGCCACGAATACCCTTTGGGATAAATATGTATCCAAGAATCAAAACAATACAACTTGCAATACCAGTTATCCAAAAATACCAGGGCCACCAGGAAAACTGAGCTATCAAACTTGAAAATACAGCACCAATTAAGAACCCCATTGGAGCAACACCGCCAAATAACGATAGTGCAATGTTTTTAGAATGAGATCCATGAGGGAAATAACCTCCAATCAATCCTAAAGAGTTTGGAACAGCAATCGCTAAACCAAGTCCTTGTAGTGCTCTCATAACATCAAAGAAGATAGCACTGTGACTAAAAGTTGCAAATCCACAGATTAAGCTAAACAAGCCAAATATTGTGTAACCAATAAGATATAATTTTTTGTAACCAAACAAATCACCCAATTGACCAGCTATAAGAATAAAAGTACCAACCGTTAAAGAATAAGAAGCTGTAAACCAGCTGAGTTCACCTGAGCTTTCAACATCAAAAGATTTGGAAACGAATTTGAGAGGTACCACTGTTTGAGCTAACGCTGCCTGTGTAAATATTTGAGAGATGGCCATCAACATGACAAAAATTATCAATCTGGGTGTTGATATTTCATTGAATGAAGGAGATGGGGATGGAGCATCAACTTTTGGAGGATCGACCTTTTCAGTATCGAGTGTGAAGCTTTCACTCATAGTTTCTGGTGATGATTGATCTCAGAGATGAGATGCGATGAGGTACGATTCTCATGGGCTTATATGGGAAATGCTTCGTAAACATTAGTAATGGTGCGCGTTCCCGGTTAAATAAATTTTTTTTATGACAGATTTTTTTTACGCGTAAATAACGAGGATTTAACCTCTAGTTTTGGAAGACATATCCGCTATTGAGCAAATACAATTAATCAAGAGTGCATATTAGAGTCTAGAGGTACAGCTGGAGGAGTATCGTTGGGTTATCTATCATGACTGACGTTGCTACTATTTGAAATTTCATAAAGCACATTAAGCTAATGATATATTTAGATCTTTATCGGCAACGTAAATATCCCAATCATTTTCATATTCCTTTGAAACGGGAGCATCCAAATCTCTCTTGTTCCATATATTCAAGATAATCTCTCTTGATTTATTAACATTCCCCAATGAATTGAATTCAAGGTAATTGAAAAGGTCAAGTGTTAACGCTCTCAGCTCTTCACAATTTGAGCTTAAGGAATCAATTTGAGTAGCCATGATGAAAGTGGGCCATATTAAAAAAGACCAACAGAAATTATTTTCAATTATGATAAATTCCAAAAAATTTGCCAGGTTCGATACAAGTTCAACAATCATGTGATCTTTGGGTGTCTTGTTCAGCAAAGAACAATGTAAATAAATTTTTGTTGCAAGTTTCTTACACTCACAACCTAATAAAAAGCAACTTGTTTCATCGTTTGAAATCTGAGATGTTAATAATTGTTCATCTAGCGAATTTTCAATCCTATCAGTCAAAATATGAAAATCTTGAGGATTCATTGAGGTTCTTTCATATGACAAATCTGTGATATCTGAAATGGTGCTAATCAGTTTCCTATTACAACCCATCCATGAGATTAACGAACTATCTTGTTCCCAATCTTCAGAGTTGAAAACACTCAACTTTCGACATGCAGTTCTCCCCATTGCTTCTTGATAACCAAAAAAATCACTAGTGAACTGTAAGATTTTGAATTCAACATCATTTTCAGAACTGAAACTGAAATGATTTAGCAGCCATTTAGCCATTATTATATGTTTATCCCAATCATCATTACAATCATTTGCCAAATCATAAAGACACAAAAGTAAAGATGACAACAGTAATTCATAATTCATAACATCAGATGTGCAACATTTCAACCTTTCTTTAATCTCCTGCATTGCTAATTGCTTGTAATATACCGCTTTCCTTCTCCAGTAATCGTTATCCTGTCGTATTAGATATGATGATCCAATTGCCAGCAACATCGTCAACACATGATTAGCCCCATTATGTGAAAATTGAATCAATGTACTAAAATCTAGACCATTAGCATTAAGTGATTTTATAGGGTTGAAAATTGGTGAAACACGTTGAATATAAAATGATAGAGCAAAGTTTGAGCTACCATCAGCATCTATAAATAAAGGATTACCCTTTGGATAGATTGACCCTAGCAATCTGGGTGATGAAATAAGATTATCTGAAGTGACATTGATAAAATATAGCCTTCCAGGATAAACATAATGGTGCAAATGCTTATGACCAGCTGCAATATCACTCAGATCGTTTGTCTTTTTAGCAAGAGATTTGTTTTTGGACCAAACACCTTCTCTTCCAAAAACGGCACCTTTTAACTCTAGATCATCTTTGAATCTTAATGAAAGTTGATATAAACATTTGACATTTTGCCTTTGACATCTTGAACAGGTTGGTTTCTTTTCATCACATGCCTTTCTGCTCTTTCGACACTCCAAGCATCCATTTCTAGATCGTGAGTGCTTGCTTGTTTGTTTTTTGATTCCCATGGCTGTAACCATTTGTTATGGTTTTGGGTTGCCTTTTTGCATTTTTCGAATTTTTGATTTTTCTTTTTGGTCTTTTGAACAACACATAACTATTAACACCTAAATGTATCCAAAGAACCTTTTTTCTTTCATTCTTGTTGTGAAGGTTGTATCCCCCATGTGCTCTCCGGCTCGCAAATCTACTGAGGTGGTTATGCCTATAAATACCCGTTAAGATTTCCACAATCCAATTGTCGAACGTTTCATCCCATCATCAAAACATGTATATCCCAAAGCTGCTCAAATACTCACTGACTTTTGCTGCTCAGGATTTCCAAGCGTTAGATTATTTCACTCAATACTCCAATAGCTCTTCAGTCACCACTGATTTGCCAAATTTTGGTCTAAAATCGGAACACTCATGGAGTTCTTTTTTACAAGATATTCAAGACTTGAATGATAAATCAGATGATACAAGATACAAATTGATCTTTTTGGCACGCCATGGTGAAGCATGGCATAATGTGCTGGGGTCTTTACCTAATTGGTATGAAATTTCAAGACAAGATACTTACAAGAATTATACCTTATTTGATGATGATTTGACTCCAACTGGTGAAAGTCAAATTTCTAAAGTCCATGATTATTGGATTAATGAGTTAAATAATGGAGCACCGTATCCTCAAGTATTTTATACATCTCCATTGAGAAGAACTTTACACACTTACCATATTACATGGGGTGTTGAAAATGGAAGTGCCATAGTTGTTGAAAATTTAAGAGAAAGATATGGAATTGAAACACCAGAGGAGCGTCATAATAAGACTTGGATAAGTGATTACTGTAATGTTTGTGAATTTGAAAAGGGGTTTGCTCAAGATGATGAATTATGGAAACCGGATGAACAAGAATCAAAAAAACATGTTAGAAAAAGAGCTAAAGAGTGGATACAATCACTATTCATTAGAGATGAACATATTATTAGTGTAACTAGCCACTCTGGAACTATCAAACAGATATTGAAAGTCATTGGCCATCCAAAGCACTCTTTACAGCCAGGTGAATTGATCCCAGTTGTTGTAAAAGGGCGGAAAAGTCACAACTAGATGTTTGAACTTAAGGATCAATTGTTTTAGGACTCTATCGGCTATGCTAGTTCTGCAATGAAATTGACTAAAAAGGCTTCTTTCGTATACTAATAGTTCATTTGAAACTTGTTGGTTCATCTGAGAAGCTTGTATTTTGTCTTTTTTTAGCTTTTTACTATTTGTTTCCTAGTTATTCTTATTCAAAACGTCGTCATGACCACTATTAATTGTTGAAGAGATGTAGTTATGTATTATAATATACTTTGTGGTATTAAAAGTCTTACAAAAGATGATAATGTGAGAGACTAGTGTTATTGATTACATTTCAAGAATCAAGTCTTGTCAATTGTTGGCTAACAACGTCTGATTTAGCAGGGGCTGAATCAAAAGTTATTATACCACTAGTTGTCTAAATGCTGGTGAAATATTCACTTTGTTCAGAATGTTAATCCCAATTGTGGAAAGTCTTAGATGCTAACGATCTAAAATTGCCGATGAATCAAGCACAATTATTAATTAACAAACAGTTTAGAGATACTAAAAGCTACAATTTTTGACGGTCTGGAAGATGAATTGGCTCCTAGTTGATTAGCCAAAATCTTTACCAAATAAAAATTGAAAGCTGAATATTTTTCATCTTAAATGAGCTGGTGAGCAGTTGAAGCAGTACCAAAATTAAGAGTTTGGTTGGATAAAAGGGGAATCAGGTCGGATGGTTACAAGCACCTTCCATCCTTTCAGCGTGGCATTGAAAGTGGTTTGACCTCTTTCATTTTTCCCTATTAAATCACGATACCTGTAACTTTCACAGGTCAATGAATCATGATGATAGAACTTGCTTCTGCATTCAACATTATCATCGTTTTAGTAGTAATAACTCCAAAGAATCAGAGGGTTTAACAGTAGTTATGCTCTTACGTGTAATTCAATTTTGTTAATGGAAGTTGGTTTCTCTTCGAATTATAAAACGACGCGGCCAGAAAGTCAAGGTTCCTTCACACACACTTTTTGTTAACACCCTGACACCAGAACGTTTTCTCTATTATTTATTATTAGTGGATTTTGTTATTATTATATTATTATTATTAGTGGATTTTGTTAATGTGCGTGTCACGGTATAGGTGGGAGGGTACTACCGTAGGTGTGACGGTATTGACGTGTGGTTATACGCTTTATGTGTTGTGGTACACTTGCAGGTGTGACGCTTATAGGTGGTAGGATAGGCTTTGGAGAGCAAGTGTTGTGCTTTATTTCCATCAATATAAGGGTTTTGTTAATGATAAAAACTGTTGTAGAATCACCAGAAAAGGCCCTTTCCCGGGGTATAATTATTATACTGATATCTTGTGTTTTTATGTTTTTATTATTTTTTTAATCTTTAGATTTTTATTGACCTTATATTTTTTTTTATAACTTGAATATTTATAATATTGGAATACTGTAATTATTAAATTTCTTGAAACTATGAAATAACAATATAGGGATATTCTATGGCTTATTTTAAGTGGATAGAGCTATTTTAATTTACTAGTTTGTTATTTGGTTGTGATGTTATTGTTGGTTGAAGTTATAGGGCCTGGTAAGGGACACAATTATGGTTATATTATAGAAAGTATAATTGATTTAAAGAAGTTGGAGTATGGATATGGTAAATAGGATGCTAGATAAGCCACATTATTACATGCAAGTGTTGGTGGTTATATCTTCTCAATTGGGTTGTTGGTGGTGGGTTATATGGGTCCCGAGATCATCTTCGGGTATTAAACAGGGTATAGTTATGAAACCACAATATTTGAATTCTAGTTTGAACTGTCATATTATTAAGCCTACTCTATTTCATAAGCATGTCACTCGATTTGCTCTGGATCATTGTGGTTGTAGAGATATTCCGGGTTAAAGTTGGTCCCCATAGTTAAGGAATTTGGAATTTTGTGTCAAAAATTAACTTTTTCTTATATGATGGATTTTGGTGAAAGTAAAGGGCTTTATATCATAAGTGATGTTGGGGAAGATGAATGCTAAAGTTTGGGAGTAGCTGCATTTAAATTGGTGAAGTTGGTATATTTTGTGGAGTCTTAGAGGGATATAACCCCGAATACAGAAACTTGAAAAAACCAGAACACTTAGTTATTTAATGGATCTTTTAAAGTAACATGTCCCAATCCCATTGCACTTGTTTTGGCTTCATAATGTTTAGATTCGATCAAATTATCCCAGGTTTCATGATTTTCAGGGTCTCACCGAGCAAGATTAATATAGTGAAAAATGAAATTCCGATTTTGCTAAAGTAAAGGTACCCATGGATAGCCAAGATACGATTGTATGGGCTCCAGGTGAAACAGGTTTTCATTTCTCGGTAGTTTGGTGGGAATCGTGGTTTTGGTGATGTCCATAGTTAAGGTCAACATTATAGGCAGTTCATCCCGGGATATCAAGATTTCAACAGCGGTAGATTCTTAGTTATTTGATGGGATTGATAGAGAGAATTGAGAAGATACAAGCGCCCCTAATCAGGGATTTTGAGCTGTTCTGTTGAGGTAGGTACTTGATGATACTTAAAATCTGGGGTAATCACCGACGACAACAATAGGTCAAAAATATGAATTTCGGAATTTCAAAAGAGTAGCAGTACCAATGGATAGCGCACCCAAGGTACCATAGCGCCACGGTGTAATGTTTCAGGATTTCTTGGTAGATCTTGAGAAATCAATAATATTGCTGACAAAAAAGTTTCAGATTT